GGGGGGGGGGGGGGAGGGTTTACCGAGCGCAGCAAGAAACCAAATGCTGGAGTTGGAACAGGAGCAGGAGGGGGGAAAGAGCGGCAGATCAAAGTACATCTAAAATGTCATTGCTTATTCAAAACATGTACTCGGAAAAGGCCAAAAAGCAATGCGAGCAAAGCATCGGTGGGGGCAAGTTGGCCACCGCCGATCCATCAATAGATGAATCAATCAGTCAGTCCGTCGGTCCATCAATGGGGTCTGGAGAAATATCGACCTCGGGCATATCGGCCATGACCGAGGCAGCTTTGCTCACAAAGTCCTGACGGTTGAGGTACGCGCCTCTCAACCACCTCTTGCCCGAGTTCTTGTCGAAGGCGTTCCGAGCATGCACGATGCGCAGGTTGTCGAAGATGACACAGGTGCCGCTGTCCATCTTCTCCTCGACGACGTTCTCGGGCATCTCGAGGTGCTGGGAAAACACCTTGCTCGCGCTGACGAACTTGACCAGCTCGTCCGGAGGCAGGCGCGAGGGGACGCTGCCCACGAACGGCGGCGACCAGAAGCAGTGGGCGATGTTGCTGATCTCGGTGCTCGTCGAGTTGAGCACGGGCCGCGGGGGCACGTTGAGCGCGTCGTTCAGCTGGACGGTCGGCTTGGCGTCCGAGTAGAAGAAGCCGTCGTTGTCGTACTCGTAGCGCACGAGGCCGTCGCGCAGCACGGCGTAGTACATGGGGTGCTTCTGGAAGACCTGGTCGAGCGCCTGGAACGTGTCGGCGAAGCGCGACTCGCCGCCCGCCGCGCTGTTGTGGACGCAGTGGAGGAACTGGAACCCCGGAGGGTCGCGCATGTACAGCAGGTCCATGTGGAAGCCGAGGTACTTGGACGTGTAGGCGACGTTCTTCGCGTTGGGCACAGATCGCACATCCCACGTCGGGCCGTAGAAGGTCTGCTGCAAGGGTCCGATCCGGTTGACGATCTGCGAGACCGACGCTTCGGACTCGGGCACGCCGTCGATGAACAGGAGCCCGTCGCGCCATAGGAGGTGCACGGCCTCCGCGAACGAGGCTTCGTTGTTCATGTAGTCGTTGAAGTCGACGCGGGACGTGCCTTGCTTGAACGTGTCGCGGCCCCATAGCTTCAACGGCCGCTGGTACAGGTCCCAGTGCGGATTGCGGAACTTCCGGTTCAGCCTCGAAATGACGTCCCTGCTGAAGACGCTCTGGTGTGGTGCCGCTTTGGCCGACGTCGGGATGTCGTTGGACCAGCTGATTCGGACTTCTTTGGCCTCTTCGTCGTAAGAGACCTGGTCGAACCCGATGGTGCGGGGGATGTCGGAATACGAAAAGTTGCGTTGTCTGTCGGACGGGTCGACGCATTGTTCGCACTGGCACGCATCGCGAACCACGATCGGAGAGTATTTGGACGTGCGTCGCTCGCCCTCGAGCCTGGCGGCTTGGGATAGGACATGGTGCTTTTGCGGCGTCGTTGCCGCCGCGTCTATCTGAGCGAACCTGACTTTCTTGGTCGACCGTCTGTCGATGAGAGATTGTAGTCGGCCGGTCTTGGGCCTCATTTTGGCCGACTGTATAAATCTCAACGTCGGCGAATAGATATCCCCCGGTCGTGGCGCTGCTTTGCTCATGGTGAACAACGCCCAAGGGCTGAGCTCCGCAGGTCCAAGTACTTTTAAGTATCGTCCGCTTGTCCGAGAAGGACTTTGAAAGGGACGATTTTTGTACTCCGTGTAGTATTGCGGTGCAGGCGGCTGGCTCAATCAAAATTTGGGCTGTTTGCTTCAACGCTCATGGTGATGTTTGTGGATAGGTGGTCCAGGGAGCGAGATGTAGTAGGTACATAACAAAAGCCAGTAGGTAGACAGAGTGACATGGGCGAAAGGGACTGTAACGAGTAGTTCCGAGGTCTGCAAGGCTGAGAGATTCGTGCAGCGGACAAGGCTGGCCACAAGTATGCGGTCCGCCAAGACCACCGGCTTAGTCAGGCGGCGCTTGGCAACTATGTCATGAGCCTTCAGGCATGAATCACTGAACTGGCGCCCGGAACGCAGTCGCGCGCACGCAGCCGCGGGCGCCTGTCCAGGCCTACAGCTCCGGCGGCTGCGGCTGCGGTTTGCTGCTGCAAGCCTCACTAGCGGTGCGCTTCGCCCTGTCTGTCTGTATCTGGCATGACTTTGCTGTTCCTCACAACTACCTCACTTCATCCCTCCCTTGCTGACATCCCATATCCTTCATCGCTTCCGCATTCTTCGTCCGCTCGGCACGGCCTTCTGTTGCCTCTTATTCTCCCAATCTCTCCGCCACAGCTTTGTTGCCTGAACGCAATCGCTGACAAAGCCGCGACGAACACCCCGACCATCAATTCACCTCACCACTTTCGTCACCACACATCGCTCGTGCACTTCCCAGCCCCCCCACAGGCCTTCCCACTCCATCGGCGCAGTTGCTTCATGCCACCGTTACGGTAAACGGGATATTTGAGTCAGATCTGGGTGCCCTTGAAGAAACGGCAGGCACCTTTGCGTGCGACAAAGACTAATGAAAGATGGTGGAAACTGAACACGGAACTCCCACGTGGAAGTTCACACAATGTTTCGGCGACAAGGGGGATGTCGAAGATATCACAGAGGCCGACATCATTTCCACAGTCGAGTTTGATCACACAGGAAACTATCTGGCCACTGGCGACAAGGGTGGTCGCGTCGTGTTGTTTGAACGGAACGAGACAGTAAGTCCTCGTAGAGAGAACCCCACCCTCATCAGTCCCCCCCTGTACGTCCAGGACTGACATCCGTGAAGAAAAAGACATGCGAGTACAAATTCCACACCGAATTCCAGTCGCACGAACCGGAGTTTGATTATCTCAAATCCCTCGAGATAGAGGAGAAGATCAACAAGATTAAGTGGTGCAAGCGTCAAAATGCCTCACACTACCTCCTTTCCACCAATGACAAAACCATCAAGCTGTGGAAGGTGTTTGAAAAATCCTTGAAGGTGGTGGCAGAGAACAACCTTTCAACAGACCTGACCCCTGGGGGAGTGGGAGGTGGTGGTCCCCCTCGCCCTACTCACACTCACTTCAAGGACGCTTCGCAGTTGAAACTCCCTAGGTTGACCCATCACGACACCGTCGTAGCCGCTGTCCCTCGACGGACTTATGCCAACGCCCATGCATATCACATCAATAGCATCTCCGTCAATAGTGATGGAGAGACCTTCATCAGCAGTGACGACCTCCGCATCAACCTGTGGAACCTCAACATCCAAGACCAAAGCTTTAACATCGTCGACATCAAGCCTGCTAACATGGAGGAGCTCACAGAAGTCATCACCGCGGCAGAGTTTCATCCGATAAGCTGCAACTGGTTCATGTATGCCAGCTCCAAGGGCACGATCAAACTGGCCGATATGCGTGAAAGCGCACTTTGTGATCAACACGCGAAGCGTAAGATTCTCCCTTGCCTTGTGAACTGCTGGTAACTGACTGTGCATGTAGAATTCGAGCAGGAAGAAGACCCCTCATCCCGATCCTTCTTTTCCGAGATCATCTCCTCAATTTCCGATGTCCGCTTCTCACATGATGGCAGATACATTCTTTCAAGGGACTATTTGACTGTCAAGATTTGGGACGTAAACATGGAAAGACAACCTGTCAAGACGATACCGATTCACGAACATCTCAGACCACGCCTGTGTGATACCTATGAAAATGACAGCATCTTTGACAAATTCGAAGTGGTATTCAGCGGCGATGGCAGCAATGTAATGACTGGAAGCTACAACAACAATTTCATGATCTACCCGTCTGATCCTGAGCAAGAGACGGAGGTGGTCCTGCAGGCAGATAAATCTGCTTTCAAGGCTAAGAAGGTGGGAGTGCCAACGCCCATCAATTCGTCAGCGAATGGCAACAAGAAAGGATCGTCCAGAGCTGGCAGCCCAGCAGCTGGAACAGGCAGCAGAATGCGCAAGGAAACCGATGCCGATCAGATTGACTTCAACAAAAAGATCCTGCACATGAGCTGGCATCCATTTGAGGATAGTATTGCCATTGCTGCCACAAACAATGTAAGTTTTGGCATTATGCGCTGTCGTGACTCTTTCCTGAACATCTCGACTGACAAGTATTCTCTAGTTGTTTGTCTTCTCAGCGCTGTAGTCCCAGGTAAACGACCCGCGAAAGATCTGCGTTGCAGGATCCTCCAACACTAGCCCCGGGGTTCCTTGCATTCTTGACAGCGTACTGGAGGCCTCTTTTTGTTCAGCTTTACATGGGTGCAAGGCTGTCGTAGCTCTGCCGCTGCCTCCATGATGCAGTGTGTGGCTAACGGATTCGTCAGGCGCAAAGACGATGGAAACTTTTAGAGTGTCGATATCTTCCCGATGGTGAAGAAGGTGTCGCCCACATTTGTTTACTGCGAGAACATTGGTGACGAAGAGATCGGGAAAGGAGTTGCAAGCCCGATTGCTCACCGACCGATTGAATGCCATACAAAGGCCGGTCCTTCTTGGATTTTTACCATCGACTTGTTGCGTTGCTTGAATGTCAGCTTAGACGACGATACAGACGGTAGCTGGAATCAAGGCATCAAATGCTCTCACGTCCGACGCTCTATGAACAGACAGGACTGGACGGGACGGGACTGAACTGGCCCAATGGACCAATGTCAATCTTGGGGGCCTCTCAGGACCTTTGTTCTCCTGTTACAAACTCTAGCTTGGAGTGGCAGCGAGGAGTGCATTCCGGACAGCCGCTGCATCGACGACTCGGCACAGCTCGCAGCTTCCAGCCGTAGAATAATAGCTGGATTGAAGAAGCGACCAAGAAAGAAGAGCAGATTGAGAAAGGGCTTGACGCAGATCTTAGTACGTCGGGGCTGAGGAGTAGACAGACACATATTGAAAAAAAGCTTTAAAAGGTTTTTCTTGCGTACAGGTTTCTGCATTAATTGTAATCGTGGACTCGTTACTGGACAGGTACTTAGTTGGGTTGGATCGTTCCTGTTTGTGATGCGTGTGAGAGAGTGAGCAGGGGGCTCACTGGGCTCGCTACGAGCTATCCAGCACTTCCTCCCAAAGTCTCCAGGCCCCTCTCTGCGGTCGACAAAGACCCGTTGTGAGTAGCAGCAGCAGCAGCAGTAGTGGTATCAGTAGAGGCAGTCGTGGTTTGTTGAGCACGATCCGGACCTTGGGCATGACCAGTACCAGGACCAGAACCAGGGCCAGGGCCAGAACCTAGATGTTCCCTGGTCACCCGTTCGAGCTCCTTGCCGGCTTCCTCGAGACTGGTCTGGATGTGGTCCTGGCTCAGCTTGATCTCGGACCTTTCCCGCGCAATGTCGGCGCGGCGCTTGTGGATGCGGGCCGTCTCGAACTCGAGGCGCGACACCATGTCCCTCAGCCTCGCGAGGCCGGCGCTCAGCTTCGGGATGGCCGTCGTGTCGCGCGGCTGTCGGGGGCGGTTCGCCTGCCTCGTGTGCGCGGCGTGCGCGGCGCCCAGGCCGTCCATGCCGCGGTGCGTCTGCGCCGTCTCGTAGTGCGCGTGTCTCTCGTAGTCCGAGTCCGAGTCCGACAGGTCTTGTCCCCCTGCTTCTTCTCCTCCTCCCGCTGCTGAATCGTCGTCCGACGCACCCTCGGCCTCGTCAATGAGCGCACGCATGGCCTCGCGCTCCCGCAGCGTCTGCTCGCGCTGGCCCTTTCGCGACAACGTCACGCGACCCGGGTCGTCGACGAACTCGTCAAAGCCCTCTGCCATGTCTTCGTCGTCGTGGACGAGCCGCGTGTCTTTCTCCCGCGCCGCCGCCGCCGCAGAGTACATGCCCACCTGCATGCGACGGGGCTTGAATTCCCCGTCTGAGTCGTAGTCTTCCAGCGATATAAAGTCTGCACCCGCCGCACCTGTACCCGCATTGTCGCCCGAGCCCGCATTGGCTGCTTGTTCTTTCGCCAGCCGCGCGCGACGTTCTTTCTTCTCACGAATCTCAGCGGCAGAAGGGATGTAAGACGAGGAGGACGAGAGGAGGGTAGTCTTGCCGAATTTGGATTCGAGGTCTAGCGCCGCTGCTGTGTTTGAGGCAGACGGGTCGACCAAGTCTAGAGATGGGCTCGCGCGGGCAGAAGAGAGATCGCGGGGCGTCGAAGGCGTAGAGTTGCGTAGTTCGTCGAGATAGGCTTTGCTGTACGTCGGCCTGCTGCTGTTGCTGTCCCCCTCCTTCAAGTTACGCGCTCTGTCGTCATGGCGGTCTTGACCTTCGCTTCGATTGAGGAGGAGAGAATGTGCCGCGCTGGACAGACCTAGCCTGGGTGGTCTGGTAGAGCGAGCAGCCTCGTCACCACCGCTGCTGCCGCCGCCGCCGCCTGTTGCTGTGGTTCCCCTCTGGGAGGCTTCGTCTTCTTCTCCGCCCGGGTTGAAGGACATGCGCAGCTTGGACTTTGTTCGTGGCGCATTGCCTGTCGGCCGCCGCACGACGGGGCCAGTGTCTGCCACAAAATTTGCATCAGTGTGTTTGGTTCATGCTAGACTTGCGGAAGAGAAACAGGAAGAAGTCAGAGCGGTGCTTGTAAAAACCCAACAGCAGATCTGGACATTGGGACATACCTTCTTCAACGTCGTCTGCCTGCGCCTCGGGCTCGTCACGCACAATGCGCTTGGGTTTCCGCCGAGCAGTGAAGAGAGAAGCCATATGGAAGAAGCTACGATGATGCGACGAAGCGTCGCAAGCACGATGCTTTCTGAAATCTTGTCGTTGGATCTGGATCTTGACTTGTGGTTGATGTGGAAAATACGACTATCGGCATCGCCAGTTTAGCCGAACATCGGCCGGAGGGACTTTTTTTTATGCTACATATTAACCAGGCGACGGATACCGCAAGGCTGAGCAATTCATCAACCCTTGAGGATGTTGAGATGCCATCCTTTTTCAAGGGGGCTTCATTTGAGGCCTTGGATGGGCTTGAGATACGGTAAGTACAGGCCCAAATATGTGCGAGCGTGGATACAAATCCAAATCTACGTTTATTGACACACCGCATACCGGCCGCGGAAATGGCCATCAGAGCAATGAGCCTCTCGCTGGAACATCGAACCAACTCTGTCAGGGGGCTTCACCAGGTGCCCACAACACAGCAAAGTTATGGATATCTTACGAGTTCGCCAATCCAAGGGCCAGATAGTTTGGCGAAATCATCCGACCGTTTGAAGCATGCAGTAGACTGCCGAGGGGTTGGCTGCCTCTATATCGGGCGTTTGAGGGCGGGACAACGAGCCAGATGATTCTCTCACAGCTTTGACACAAGTCGGGCTACAGCTACAACTGTGTTCGAGGTTATCACCAATGATGTGGCTGTCAAGTCGTTGTTGAGCGTCTTCTCTTTGTGCCAGTGGCGTCGAGCTTTTGAATGTCATCTCCCATTCGTTGTCTGGCAGAGCCTGACTTGACTTCCCCCGAGGATCATTTCCTCCAGCACAAAGGCATTTCGTCATCATTTTTGATTCATTGAGCTTGGATTGCTGGATTGCTCGATAATAAATAATAAGGAGCCCGCTTTAATGAACTCTTACTGCCCTATAAAGTTCTGCTGATGATCAGTGCACAGTATCAATATCCCAAAGTTTCCGCCTACTGACTGTCCCACTGACTAAAACACGTTCAAAATGTGCTCGTGCCACATTCTTATCACACGCGAGGTTTAACGGCAATATACCTCACAGAATCAAATGACTTTGCTCAAAGGTGGCTCTTTCAAGGGAAACCCAACGCGAGCTGTCAGCATCAGTAAGCAGTGTCGGATTCATTGGCACCCGGGTGCGACCCCGGATCAAGCAGTACGAGAATGGGTTGAAAGACTATCCAAAGAGTCCCACCTGTCAGGAACGCCGAGTGAGGCAGCCTGGACCTAAATCAGAACCTACAGAATCGACTCGTCTTAGCAGCGGTACGTCAACAAGAACCTAAGTTAAACGCAGAGAGCAGTGTGCACAGCAACGCCCAGTACCCCCGACAATCAAATCTGCACCGGTCGGACAGCAGACGCGACTTTTTGAAGCAAGACATCCTGCATGCATGCCTCAACGTGGCTACACTGCGGTGCAACCTCTCGCCGTAGAGCGTGCGCCACGAAATTTCCCGAGACCAACTGAATATTATATGTCGATCGTCGAGTGGCACATAATCGTAGATCGCTGATAGCAGGCCTGAAATCAGTGAATAGCGAGTTAGGGTTCCTCGCTAAAATGAAAGCTCAATGATCATGCTTCAAAGCCTGGGCCTAAAACTTCGACATAGACCAGAAGCATCACGACTTTTAACATACGCTACACAGTGGATAGCTCCACTAGTTGACAAAGTATACACCTAGAAAGGCAGGACGGGGAGATCAGAAAACTGCTCTTCCGCTATCTTGCCTTCTATGCAAAGCCGTTGTTGGTTTGGTATGTACCGAAAGTAAAAACGATCCCGCTCCTGGCCATCGTACAGAATGCCAGCTTCGGGTCATCGGCTTCTACTCTTACGTGGACTCTCGTCGAGGGCCCCTGCGCGACGATCAGCCCTGACAACTGGGAGCATTGACGTGCGCCACGAATATTGGACAGGGGGGATGTCTTTCTCGAAAGCTTGCCTCAAAACTCTGCGAGTCTCGGAGCCGATGTCTGCAGGAGCATCTTGGTCAAGCTGGGAAACGGACGTCTCATTCATGGAAGATGCGGTAATACTTGCTCTGGTGCCGACAGTTATAGCAATCGAGCCCGCCCTGCCGGAAGGAGAACGGCCAACAGCGCCCAGCGCGGTAGGCCCTCGGGTTTTAACGATATGCCTGATCCATACAAAGATCGCGCAAGAAACAGCCAAGATAACGGAAGTCTTCGACTCGGCAACCAGCAAGGAAAAAGAGGAGTTCGGTTAACCAGGAGTCGATCAAGTTCCAGCGGGCATGTTCAATTGGGGCTTGCGCCTGTCATTTGGCGTTGCCAGAGCTAGTGGCACCCGTGAGCACGAATTCATTTGAAGGCGGAAATAGCATGCGAGCAGTGATCCAATTGGAATACGTGTGGCCTTCCCCCAAAGTTACCAGTTCGTGCCTTATGCGTCCCAGATGCCCGGACTAGGTTGGTGTGGCGCTGTTTGCGATGCACAACCTCGATGCAGCCTAGGCCGCTGATATCTTTTTTGAGGACCCCATCATGGAACTCATTTGCGGTAGACGAGACCTGTTCGCCAGCGGCCGATAGACGACGAAAACCGTGCGTTGTGACAGGATTCGTGCCGTGATTGGAGTGCCAGGCTGGCCGAGCCGTTGCGACGGGACAACTGACAGTCTACAGAGATCCATCACAAGAGCGATGCAGTTTTCGGGCAACGGTTGGGGGGTCCTGGGTAGAGTGTGATGCGCCCACTGATTGCTGAAGCATATCGGCATGCTTCTGTCAAGGTAATACTAATATAGGAATTTGTAACTGCGGCCATGGGCTGTCGTCTTCGAACGTTCCAATGGCTCCTGGACTGACCGTTTGCCCCATCCGATGCTGCCGGCGCCATGCCTGGGTAGGGGAGTCCATAAAGGCCGAGACTCTCGCCAGGACCGCAATTCAGTCGATCCCGAGTCGATAGGGTCGACCCGATCGCAACCTCGCGATAGCGGTTTGTCCGAGAGTCATCGTCCGCAAGAGGCCACCACTGATCGGGGGATGTTTTGTGTCGAGTGGAATGAATAATGATGATTCGGCTGGACTGCAAACTTTCTAGACATGGTCGAGGCACTTGAGGCGCGGGCTGCCGTGGAGGTGGCTGATAGATTTTGCACGTCGAAAAGATGCACCGGCGCTGTTAAACTGTTAATTACGTACCTATACGAGGACTCGGACCTTTTGCACCGCTTTGAATATCGAGGCGAGTTATTGCTTTTCCCACGATTGGAGGCCCCGTGCGGGAATTAGTTGCGCTGGTGTTGAAGCTAGGAAAAACCTTGCAGACAAAACTTTGCTTCAAACGACAGGTTGACCCGCGGCTGGCAGCACATCTGAGCATCAGAGCTATTGCAACCGACAGTGGTCCTCAACGGGCATTGAAGGCGTTCCCAAAACGTCCCTACATGATTAGCTCACTCCCACGGTCCCTACTGTTGGCACGATCGCGAAGACAGCCTGGCGCTATGCAACACTTCATACGTATCGGAGAAGTCTCGCGCCAAGGTCGACTTTGTGCCTGATTGACCTCGAGCCATCTCAGGACTCGGCTTTCCACGTCACGCTCTGTAGATAAGACCGTCGCACAAGGGCGTACCAGATGCAAACTCCAAAGCAAGTGCAGCTCTTCCGTCACATTCGGTTCCTCGTACTGCACGTAGCCCGGGACCATGAGCCTTCGTCTGTCGTCCCTTGATCCGAACGAGCCCCGGGCGGCCAAAGGTGCGTATCGTCTATCCCTCCGAGTGACCCGAGACGCTCGGCCACGCGAGGCTGGACGCTGACGGCTCCGCCAGACTGTAGGACATGCAATCGAAGAAGGGTCAGGTGCGACCGTAGCCTTCCTGGCTGCCGGAAATGTGGGCTCAAAGGTCTCGAGTGCCCGGGATACGGGCTTCGAATTCAATGGGGTCAAGGGGTTGCAAGCCGAGGGAGACTGACGGGAAAGACGCTTCCCATCTTGGAGTCGGCACCTCCATATCCAAACCGAGCTGTCGAGGAGCGCGCGTTGGTGTCCCCGACGGCCGAGAGCAGGTCAGACGCCGTCGCTTCGAGACAGGAGGTATGTGTGCCCAAAGACATACGGCGCCAACGGACGGACCTTGGGAACCGTGAGAGCTGACCCACCAGTAGACATATGCCGCTTCGGGTTCGAGAGACTTGCTGGACGACAGAGAAGGAGACTCGTCAACCTCGCCGCCCGAAGTGGCCATCCCAGTACCGGATGACTTGCAAAGTGCATTTCAGCCCATCTACGATCGATCCCGTAACTGCAACCCGTTTGCGTTGGGCCTGGACTTGAGCTCTTATCACATTCCAGGCTACCTCCAGACCCAGGTTGTCTATGACCTGGTCCACTACTACGATCACGTCGTGACCACCGTGATGCCGTGGTTGGATGGGCCAGAGAACGCATGGCGTACTATCATGTTACCTCTGGCCCTTGAATGCGAGTCCCTCCTTCTAGCGATCCTTGCCCTCTCGGCAGAGCACTACTCGTCGACCATGGGCTCGACTTATGCCACCAAGACCGGCCCCTTGGCCGCCTATTTTCGAGACCGTAGCCTGCGTTTGCTCGCACGGAGCCTTCGGACCGAGCTGTCTGAAGAGCAAACGACCGTTCGCAGCGGCCCCGCGTGTGCCATGCTCGCGACCATCCTGGTGCTCTGCAACCTTGAAATGATCCGATGCGATTCCGCGGTATGGAGGATTCACTGGAAAGCGGCGAGGACCATCACGCGACTCTGGACGTCCTCGCATCACCCCCCGCCAAATTTCGACCCTCGGTTCGACTTCCTCATCAAAGAAGCCTTTGTGTACGAGGTGTTTGGATCCTCCACCACCTTCCGCGACGAAGCCCAGATAACCAGCGCCGTAGTGAATGCCGACGATCCCTTTCTGCGCTGGCTGCAGCTCATACAGGAGGTGACGATAATCGAGCGACGGCGACACGCCAATTTACCTGTGCACGAATATCAGCTGCACGACGCGAGCATGCACACGCTGCATCAAGCGTTCAAAAAGGCCACAAATTCCTCATTCTTCCTCAGCAAACACAACCACCCCGAGTGGCACGGTCTGGAAAGCGACCTCGTGATGCTGCTTAACGTCTACGAACAAGCAGGCCTCCTCTACAGTTACCAGGCTTTGATCGACCCTGAAGAATCTGCCTCTGCACGGAGCATCTGCGTAGAGACCATCATCTCGGGCATCCGCCACATAAAACACATGAGGGCTTTGCAGCACGATCTGGTTTGGCCATACTTCCTTGTAGGAACAGAGAGTAGGGGCAACATCGAGAGACAGAGTTTCGCACAAGACGGCTTTCTAAACGCGATGCAGTCGACCGCATTTTCCAACTGCGTTCCAGCACTAGACTTCTTGCGAAGATTTTGGACCACGGATCCTTACGCGATCCCTCTATGGCTGGACTTTGCTCGACATGAATCTCGCCAAGGCCTGGATTTCCTGGTGATATGAATACAAAAGACGCCGGAGTTGAAAGTTCCGCCATCCGCCATGATACAGAACGGCCCCAATGAAGCTCCATCATGCTCAGCCTTACTTACATGTTCACAGTTTCTTCATCCTCGACACCGAACAGGACCCGCATTGGATCCTGATATTCCATGAAGCCCAGTGAAGGCAGAGAGATGCCGTAACCCAAAAGCCGCTGTGCTTGCGGTGACAGCCTCTTTGCCATCTCAGGCGGGACCATGAGATATTGATTCTCTGCCTGTCGGTAATATGGCTTGCAAAGGAATATTCCAACCGTCTCTCGGTATTGGTCTCTGTCAAAACGTCAGAATACTCCCCAATGCAGTGTTCAAAAGTGGTCTGGCGGCCACTCGAAGGGAGGGCTCACGTGGTGGTGTTCCCGCCACCAGCATGGTACAAGTTGCCAACGAATATCAGCGCGTCACCCGGCTCCAATTCAGCTGCAACGGCTTCTTCGTCATAGGGACAACGATCAGGTCCCCAGAGGTGCGAACCGGGGATGCAGATAGTCGCTCCATTCTCCTTGGTGGTCTTGGATATGGCCGTTACACACCCCAGCATCATCGGCATGTCCACGTTTCGCGTATGATAGTCGCTGGGGGATAGTGAGCATACATTGTGGTTTGCATTGGGGAAGTGGAGAAATTACCTGTCGTCACGATGCAATACCTGCTGTCTACCTCCAGGATTCACTCGGAACGCCACGGTCCTTTTGACGGGTCAGCGTCAGAATGCATAATGCATGAAAAGTTGTGATGACGCCAGAGATGCCACGCGGAAGAAAAAGAATAAGAGACAAGAAACACTCACGAGGATATGACGGGTTTTGACGTTACAGTCTCCTGCTTTTGACCGGACCAGTATGTGTATGTCGAGGACAGCATCTTGTTAGCCACGTCGATGTAGGTTTTGTTCGTCGCCAGTTCGACACACGCATCCGATCGGCCTAGAAGGCCCGTTGCCCGTTGCGTCGTCTCGGGAAAGAAGCCACTGTTATCCTTCTTGTCGGTGTCGAAGAATGGCTTGAGCTCGGCCTTGATTCGAGCGGCGAGTTCCTTGGATATGATGTTCTCCACAATGACGCCGCCATCCCTCTCCAGGATGGAAATCAAAAGGTCGGTGGTTGTCGAAGGGTCATTTGCGTCAAACCGAGCGATTGTGGGCTTGGTCGACGACGACCCCTTCTTCGAATAGACCGGAGCATCGACGATGTCTTCCACGGCGATGGGAGACATGGCTGGACGTCGAAGTGGCCTACCTGTTGTTGTGAATGCTCTGTTGTGTCTCTGGGCAGAATAGAAATGGGAGATCGCAGAAGATACCCTTGACGGTGGTATTCGAGCAGACTTCCAAGGCAACTGAGTGAAAGCAAGTGAGATCATGAAGTTGAACAGTGAGGTAAGGTTAGACTGGAGCCCGCTATATATATATATATCGTCCAGCTGAATCCGACGTTTGAACAGACTTCTCTGACCAACTGCCTATGTAGGCTTGAATTACGAGCGGAGTGCTGGGTTGGATGTAACGGACGTCGGGACGGGAAGAGAGATTGCGCCGTTGGGTACGAGCTAAAGAGGATCTGCCAGGACCTCTCGGCGAATACCCCAGAATATCAAGCGTCAACGGCCAATTCCTGGCACTCTGATTCGGATCAGCGCGCACTTTGAGTCATCCGCTGACGACGTGGCGGCCCAACGCTGTGAATCATGGGAATAGAATACTCGTTGCGGCTGGTCCTTGGAGAGATAGAGTGAGGACGATACGAGGGAGGCGCGTCGTCCTCGTATCCGGGAATGCTGTTCCCTTGCCAGAACCTAGCCAAGGTTCTCTCTGGGAGAGCTTTTATCGTTGATTGTCGTCGAGATCCTGAATCAGGGAATAAATTGATCTAGGTTCTCCGCAACCTGAGTAAGAAGTCCGTGATAGCCGTGATAAAAGAACCGTAAAGGCGAAAAAGTACGAGGTGGGATTGATCTTTATCTCGATTCTCCATCGACCCGCCTCATTCGGAATAGCCAAGTCACTGACCACCATCACCTTCGCCAATCGTCGACCCCCAACCGTCCTCAATACCGAGTGCACAAAATTCATCAGAAGGAAAAAGCGCCACCGGTCCCTTCCGTGAAGGGCCTCGCGGTCACCTAACCGCTACCACGTAGCTTCTGGTGCGAAACCCCTGTAGCTATGTACCGGACCTGAACAAGTACACACATACAGTACATACCTTATGCACGTGAGCGCGGTAGACTACGCGTAGCAGTCGACTTTTAGTAGACGCCATCAAGCCCAGAAAGAGGAAACTTGTACCTAGCGGCAAAGATAAGCAGCCGTCGATCCCTGCCCAGCGCTGTTCAATCAACAAAAGTTATCAAGCAAGGATGCAACCAGCCGGAGCTGGGCCAGTGAAAGAGTGAATGGTCCATACTGGCATATACCTTTCTTATATGACAACGGCGCCTCCATACAGCAAGCACTCTTGTTGTTTCGGTATCCGCGACTTCACCTGTGCCAGAAGAGCGCAGACTTCGGGTGCACCCATCATTCGAATCTCACCACTTGGTGTGAGCGTGTTCTTTGTCGCCGGTTCCAACTCGCCCTCACCAGGCCGGACCACCACAGCACGAACACAATGAAAGAAGAAGGTGTGGAGATCGGGTCGCGAGACTTGGACCAGACGCTTTCTGCCGAAGAAGCCAAATCCTTTAACAGCGATGATGCCCTTCTCATGAGCATGGGCAAGAAGCCCGAACTGCGACGGGTTTACAATTTCTGGACATGTGAGTGCTTGTGTGATATGCAACATTCTCAGAACGGAGAGTGTGCTGATCGTGTCGTACAGTATGCGCCTACCAGATCATGATATCGTGCAGCTGGTCATGCCTGGTAGTATTGTACTCGACCATCTTTGACGTCGGTGGACCGTTCTGCTTGCTTTGGGGGACGTATGTGTGCTCCTTTTCCTGACTGTACTCGGGGTCGTTCCTAACCGTGCGTGTTGTTCTAGTCTCTTTGTCGCAGTTGGCCAGACTCTGCTCATGACCTCCCTTGCCGAATACGCCAGCCTGTGGCCCACGGCAGGAGGGCAGCAGTACTACACCCAAGCCGTCGCCACAGGGCCAATGAGGCCGTTCTTGTCGTACGTCGTGGGTTGGGCAGTCATCGTCGGCGAGATATCCACAGGGTCGAGCTGTGCGCTCAACAGCGCTGATATTATCGCCTCTTTCGTCGAAGTCACCCACCCCGACTTTGAGTGGCATGTGGGTCAACCCAGTCTTCCGAGTGTCTGCGGCATTTACTGACGCGATGCTTGTAGCCCTGGCACACCTGGCTCATCTATAGTGCCTTTCTCATCGGCCCCATAGTGATAAACTTGAAGCAAAGGTGATCACTCCTCACGCATGAGCTTTAAGCCGAACAGGCTCGAAACTCGCGACTGACTTCTGAACAGATGGCTGCCAGCAATGAATTTGTTTGGGGCTGGGTGGACGATATTCGGAGGCCTTGCCTGGGCAGTTGTTTTCGGTGTCATGGCAAAACCAAAACATGACGCCGCGTTCATCTTCACCAAGTTCATAAACAACTCAGGCTACACTAGCAAGGGCTGGGTGTTCATCATGTCATTTTACAGTCCCATGTATGGACTATACGGGACTGATGGGATGATGCACTTGGTAAGTTTTTTGCTTCCCCCTTCCCTGACAGAGAGTACTTCAAGGATCTTGGGACCTGATGAACGAGAGTCGCATGTACTGATGCATTCGCGCCTTAGGTGGAAGAGATGAAGAATGCCTCGAAGGAAGCTCCTGTAAGTGAAAACCTTTTCATATTCCATTTGGATGGGGAAGAAAATAGCTAATCTGCGTTCCAAGCGTGTGATGGTGTGGTCAATGATTTTCTGTAGCATCACGAGTTGGCTGGCGGCTGTTCTCATGATGTGGACTGCTGGAAACTGGGAGTCCTATATGACAGGTATGCCATCGTGAAACGTGTGATGTCTGAATCGCCGTCTAACAATTCCTTCTTTAGCATCTCAGCCGTATATGAACTGGTGGATGGATGTCACGAACTCTGTGTATGGTGGTGGGATCTTTTGTGCACTGATCATGATAGGTCTGAACTTCTTCATCATCGTCGGCACCAATCTTGCTGGTTCACGGCTTGCTTGGAGTATGGCAAGGGACAAAGGACTTCCCTTTTCCGAGTACTTTGCCCACGTGAGCACAAGATTCCATATCCCTTTGAGAACGATGGTGGCCATCTTGGTCATTGACCTAATCATTGGTAAGTCCCGCGTCTGGTATCATCGGCGAATGTGGTGCTAAGCTGCCTCACAACAGGCTTGATCGTTCTTGGTAGCGATCTTGCATTCGAATCGATCATATCCGGTGGAGGAGTGACGTTACAGCTCGGTTATGTCATACCAATTATTGTGGTATGTGGCTTTTTTTGTTAACTCCCATCGATCTCTTAGCTGAAGCTTCACTCTTCCAGGTTCTCATCCGTGGCCGCAAGATCCTCCCGCATAGGCCGCACTTCGACCTTGGCCGATGGGGCTATCCTATCAACATCATCAGTGTCTGCTGGTCCTTGATCATCATTTCCATGTATCTTTCGCCGCTGTATGTGCCGGTGACGATTGCCACCATCGACTACATGAACTGGTCATGTTTGATTGTCGGTGCAACAATATTGTTTCCTGGTATTTATTGGGTCTGGAGGGCGCGCTTCACATACATCAAGGAGAACAACTCTGTGTTGACAGATAATGTCGTGTTCATCGATGGAACGGCTGTCAGCGGGAGCGATGCTCTACGAGCCGCTGCTCTTGGGAAATAAATCCATCATTTGGAGGAGAGTCCAGACTGTTAGGCCTAGATCAAGCACTCATAGCATGTAGCGCTGATCCTAGATATGGTACAGGCTCAAGCGAGCAAAATACAATACCCCGACGAGGGACAAAGAGAGATGATAAGCGTGGGTGTCGATGGCAGCATGTGTAAGAACCGATGAGGTCTAAGTTAGTGAGTGTCAATTTCTCTGCGGCTTCAACGCGACGTCATTCTCGCCGCGTCGCAACTGCGGATGCATGACGCTGAGTCCGGTCTCTCTTTTCCTTTGCCATGTCGTCTTTGATCACACCTACCTCATGTATGTCTATCGATCCTTTCTCTCTGCCACAGTAGAGTCGCCCTGACCGCCGGATGCGGCCCTTTCTGCGTTTTGGGTGCGGCGCTGGCCCACGACGTTGGGTGCAGGTCGCTTGCCGGATCCCCCGACGTCAACAATCCTACTCCAGATGGACACGAAAATACAATTTAAAAGATCCTAGACAGAGGCGCGTCTCTCCTCTTCTCGCAGCTGCTGCGGGTCTTTCCTCGGGGGCCTTTGTCGAGATCAGCGAGAATCATGATCAGAACCAGACGAGTGAGATGCAGATGCTAGAGGTGTCTCGGCGAGAGATCAGCAAAAAGGTGCCCGAGGATGCCCGTGGTCTACGACGGTTATACAAAAGCATAATATACTTTGTGGACCAATATATCTACGAACCACTTGCTACTGGCGTCCGCTTCTTCTACCTGGCTATTGTGTTTGTCCCGGTCCTAGCCACTGTTCCGATTGTGTTGGTAGGACGGCGGAGGAAAGATCGCGACAACGAAAGAAGTGGCACTATCTGGTGGTATGGTTTTCTGGTCAGTGCCATGGAGAGAGCAGGGCCGGCCTTCATAAAACTGGGCCAGTGGGCAGCCTCACGATCCGATATATTCCCTGCCGAGATGTGCAAGGTCATGTCTACGCTTCACTCGAATGCTCCAGCTCATTCACTTCACCATACGAAGAAGACGATTTGCGCTGCATTTGGCGACAGGAAGTTCGATGAGATCTTCCTGGAGTTTGACGAAAAACCACTGGGCGTCGGCGCTATCGCTCAAGTATACAAGGCCAGACTGAAACCCGATCTAGCGAGGGTAGACAACAACGAGCTCGACCTTCAGGATGGTGTGCGCCTAAGCCATCGAATCAAGAAGAATGTCAACGCCCTTGTGAAATCAACACCACAAAGGATACCCTCGGCATATGTCGCCATCAAAGTCCTGCATCCTAAGGTTGAAAGAAATGTGCGGCGTGATCTTAAGATTATGGCTGTTTTTGCATCCATCATCAATGCCATTCCCACACTGGAGTGGCTCGATTTGCCAAACGAGGTAGCTAACTTTGGCGAGATGATGCGATTACAGTTGGATCTCCGGATCGAAGCTGCTAACCTAACCATTCTTCGCAAACACTTTCAGAACCGCACGACCGCATGGTTCCCTCATCCTTACACCGACTTCACCACCCGCAATGTGCTTGTAGAAGAATTCGCCCAAGGTCTTCCCCTTGCAGCATTCTTGGAATCTGGTGGTGGCGTGTTCCAACAGGAGATTGCCAATGAAGGCCTCGACGCGTTCTTGCACATGCTTCTGATAGACAACTTTGTGCACGCCGATTTACATCCGGGCAATATCATGGTCAACTTCTATAAGCCCACGCAGCCCGACGTCAAGTTACCATATGTGTCTCGACAAGATCCAACCCAGCCCTCGACAGCGACGGAGATTGATCAGTCCGAAGCAGTTCTCTCTCGACTTCGCCCCCATGTGGGTAAGAAGCAGGAGTGGTTGGATGCGCTTGCCGAGATTGATAAAGAAGGCTACAGACCACAACTGATTTTCATTGACACGGGTCTCGTTACGGAACTCAATGCAAAGAATCGGACCAACTTCCTTGATCTTTTCCGGGCTATAGCAGAATTTGATGGCTACCGAGCAGGAAAGTTAATGATCGAACGATGTCGGCAACCCGACGCCGTCATCGACGGCGAGATTTTTGCCCTCAAAATGCAACACCTGGTGTTAGCAGTTAAAGGCCAAACCTTTGCACTGGGCCACATTAAGATTGGCGATGTTCTTTCAGAAGTCCTGAGCATGGTGAGATCACACCATGTGAGGATGGAAGGTGACTTTGTCAATGTGGTCATCTCGATTCTACTTCTTGAGGGCATTGGCCGCACACTCGACCCTGACCTTGATCTTTTCAAGAGCGCATTGCCTATCCTGAGACAACTGGGTTCCTCGGATCCTGGAGCGGTGCTTAAGAGCTTCAAGGAAGGCGACTTCTCTTTGCTGAAGATATGGGTTGGACTCGAAGCACGGCGCTTTTTCCAGGCCAGCGCCGATAGTGTCGAGATGTGTGTGAAATACGACTTGCTCAGTCCTAATTTTTGAGATTAATATACAGTTTGCAACAAGATTTGTCCTTCGTGGAAGCAATTGCGGTATATGGGTGATGCCCACGTGAACGCTGGCTCCCCCTACCATCGGACATGATCACGAAGGCGCAGCAGACGTCAACTTCCCAGGCCAGTTCGAGGGTCCTGTGGCCAGACTCAACAACCTGTGCGGACTTCATATGCGCGCCGAGAGACGAGTCAAGCTGCTTTCCTTGTGACATCTATCTATATTAGATAGCGTCCGCTGGTCGGCTCCAACCATCTTGGAAAACAACGCTACTTAGATTCAAGGACATCCTGGACCGCCCAAAGACCAAGGCATAGGTACGAGTAGTAATGAACGCTGAGAAAATGGCGTGAGGAATGATGGAACAACGTTGATATGTCACCATTGCATTGCCCTTTTGACGGCGAGGAAGACTCCATTGGTGGTGTGATAAAATGCTCACTTCTGAGATCTGAGAGTACCCCAGACTGGGAGGAGACAGACGGACACATGCCAAAGAGGCGGTGACATCTACCGCTGCACGCAGAGTTCAGCAGATGGCAGATGTCTAGCAAGAGCATGCCGAGAGCCGATCACGTCGATGGCAACGTGCTAGGCGAATTCCGCCAGACTTGATCGCACCGACAGACACATGGAGTCTCTCGATGGGCAATAAGGTTTGCGAGATGAAGATTGGTAATTTACCTAGTCCGTGTGTTGTGGTTAAAATTGCACAACGTCCGAGCAGAGAAGCTGACACCACAACAATCTAAGGTACAAGTATATATCCCCGTGCGGAGCACCACATGGGCAATTTGGTATGGCTATTGCGCAAGGATCATGGGGATGACAGATGCGCGGGTCCTTGTTCTCCATCCAGATCCTTGTACGAACAGTGTGAGGGTCAAAGGCATCGACACGCTAGATACACGGTTGTGGACGAAGGAAGCGATATGGAAATTGGAGCTGTTGAGATCTGAGATCAATGCTTCATGAGGCGCGTCGAAGACGCGATGAGGACGTTGTGTTTTTGTTTATGCCCATTACGTCAGCACCCGGAGCTACGGGAGATTCGAAGGAACAGAATGAGCCGGGGACGGCAGAAGATCGCCAATGAAGAATGAGATGAGCCTAGAATGTCGCCATGGTTGTAACTGGTACGTCTAGGTAGGTACTGTAGAGTGCTAAGATGTACTCGGTTGGGTGAGAGTGAGACTGAACAGGGAAGACATCCATCAGTCCGTCTCTCGAGAAGGGCAGTGGTGAGAGCAATCTACCTGCGTCCCTACACTCGGCTTATCAGACGTTGTCTGCTGTTCTGCACCTCTCAGCAGTACCTCGTACAGCAAGGTCGAGCTGTTCACAGCCTCACAGGGAGGGAGTACAATATCAATGCTTACAGAGAATACTGGGACGAGTGAGTGGATGAGCATTCTGCCCAACGCTCACAATTCTCCCATTGTAACCCGATGAGAAGAGGCAGCCAGAACCGAGGCCCAATGACGTCGAGGAGAAATGTCCAAACAATCCCACTCGTGCCAGGTGATTTGAACGAGATGAGCTGCCTCAGTCTGATTGAACTTTCTTCCTGTCTTGGGCGAGGAGGAATTTAATTTCGGGCTTTTCAGGGGTCGCAGGCCCGATATGCGGGAGACTGGACGCCCAAAGTAAGCGGGAGCTGGTGATTGGGCTTAGTGCTATATGAGGCAAGCTAGTGTTGCTCCATTAGTGTCCGCGTTCAGCCACTGGGCCACACCGTTTCGGCATCTGCCCCTGCCGCTGTCCCGCCGCCAATCTGATAGCGGTGCCCTTAGGTGCCGGGGTCCAGCACCCAGGGCCCGCGAAAGGCTATTGTAGCAAGTAGTCTAGGGACCCTTGGGCCTTACAGCACTGTAGAGTGCCTAAAAACTTTGACGCCTAAGCTCCCTAAGGTATGTACCTACGGCCCCCTGACAAGCGCCCCAATACAGCCATCCCAGCTGAAAACCTGGAAAGCCGGCAGTCTAACATTACCTGAACCTTCTAACTAGGGGGAGCCTGGCGTGCCTTTTAGGGATCTTCCCGAGCGCCTTGTCCGCTCTTGAAACATCCAGCCCACAATGAGGTGCCAGTATGTACCTAGAATGCACCAATGCCCAATCGGCTCGGGAGATTCGCCCAAAACCAAGGGGTTCCGAGAGGGAGACAGTCTGATACAAGTTCATACTGTACATACTGCTTTCCGCCCATCCACAGACGGCCACTGCTCACTTCGAGGAGCAAGCACATCTTGCTGGACGCTCCGTGAGCCAGAAAAAACCACGGTGGCCATTGACTGTAAGTCTACCCAAGAGTCAGTACACTATGGAGGGCCCGTATGCGATGGCAGGTTGGCAAGCTAGGAGAACATTTTCTGAGAGACCCATTATAGGATGCTAGCTGGCATAACTCCGTATCACTAACAGCCGCATGCCATATCAGTCCAGATTCCAGAGGGGGGAGACGAGCAGGAGTATACGTGTTACAGCACGAGTTCCACGGATCCAGAGCCCAGAGCCAGTCCCGTGGAAGCCACTTTTCGAAGCCGTGAATTGTGTTTCCCTCATATGCAGGTAGCCGCCTCTGATGTGGCCGCTGGGATCACTCCTGGTCGGTGCATGCGACTCGGACGGTGTTCACGTCTGGATCAAGATTCAAGAATGAGAACGAGGATGGAGAGACTGCATGAGATGATCTGCCGCAGTCCTGCATTAGCTGCGAACTAGCCGGGTCTGGACTAGTCGCAGCCTCTTCTGTACCTGCGTCTGCCATCCGTGCATCACACAAATCTGCGACACGCTAATTCCACCTCGTCTCTCTCGTCGTCGCTCTCTGTCTTCGCACTGGTGCGTTGCTCGTCCTACTAGACCACTGGCACCCAGGCCAGGCCTGGTCCTCTCCCTGTCTTTTCTCCCTTCCGTTTCCCCATCCGCGCGCCCTTTCGCCTGGCTAGCCACTCTCTGCTCCCGTCTCCCTCTGCCGCCTCTGGGAGGCCACGAGGGAAATGGCCGTTGTCCAGCCTCGCTAGTGACAATCGCTGATGCCAGCCTGGGATACCCTGATTGCTCCGACAACTGTGTAACCAGCACGTCGGCTCACTGCTCGAGTCACCTCTCGTTGACCCTCTCTCTCCTATCCCACGCCGTACGAGAAGTGGTCTCGAGAAACAGGGCGGTATGACTAGCTTGGAGGGGTTCGGCGACTCGCTTTATCCATCATGATATAATACTCGCTCTGGCCTCGAACTGGCTATCGAATTCTGACACTGACACCTGTCAGCGCTGCATCAACAAGGGAACGGACAATAAGTTCTTGGTACTACTGCGAATTGTATGCAGTGATCTCCGCCGTCATATTGCAGGGCAAACTCAGCGGACGGTGGACACATATCTCCCACTCTCCACAAAAAAGATCCTATCCACATATCCACACAGGCTCATCCGCGACACGCTTTGTTTGATTAGCCTGGTGACAAGGGCCCTAGAGGCTACAACCTCGCCAACTTCTCAAACGACCGTCATCGTGGATGCAACGCCTCAGCAATCCGCCCTCGACCTGAATCCTGGAATCGTCCGCCTCTTCGCTTGAGCCTCCGAGCGAACGTGCCCTGTTCATTGCAACTTTTTCGCCTGTGTCGAGTCTACTTTCCGCCCGCAGGCGTAACCTTGTCCGAACTCGACGGGCTCTCTCTCGCCTACTCCCTATGCAGAGGCTCGTATTGCTCTCCATCCGCTGCTTCAGCTGTCTTCTTCCTTCATCCGGACTTGACCTCACCAAACCAAGCCTTGTACCGTCCCTCCTAGGTCAAGATCGCCGCCTTTTCTGACCACGGCGCCCGCATGACTGGGACTTCCATTTTCCACCTGCAGCCGGCTGCTGTTTCCAACCTCGATCCTGGTCAGAGTCGACGTATCGCTAGACACGAGAACTTCTTTTCTTTCATGCTCACCACGAACGACCGCGACGCGATCGGCTCTTTATCTCGTGTGTTACCCACGAGTTGTCGAGCCTTTTGACTCCTTCCGACTCCGACCTCGACGCTCCTTGATCTTCGGCACGGCAACCACCGCTCGTTTACGGTCTTGTCCCCTGTGCAGACCTGCTTGGCTATCCTTCGCCGCCATTACTCGTCTCAGATACGTCTGGGCCTGACTGACACCTGGGTGTGGTCGGCACGACATCCACAGACTTTAGACCTTGCTAGGTTCTGGGACTCCCAGGAACATCGATAATCTACAGACGAATTCTCGCCGCAGTGTTGCCGGGGACACCACAACTATTTACGTCTTCGTCACAGAGCGCATCTTGAACTGGACTGCGTTTTCCGGATTGACTGGCTCAACCGATCGTTGCGCAGAGGACTAACCTTTGCCGCCTTATTTTCCCGCGGAGGCGCCTCCTGTGAGCTCGCGCTCTCAATGGACCCTTGATCAGTCCGCGCTCTCTACACAAATCTCGTCACTCTTTTAGTCTTGTATGGTTGGCCTTGCGCAGCTGACAATCATCCCGATTGCTAACGCGATCTTAGTGAAGCCACTTTACGGTCATTACCTATATCTTCACTTCACAACCACACCTCAATATGAATGTTTTCAGGAAGAAGGCGAAGGCAAAGGATGATGCATACATCATACCTGCTGCAGAGTCGTCTGACTTTGCTTCCACGTCAAAGATGTCTCGGAGTCTGAAGCGAAAGCAGAAAAACGTCGAGACAAAGCCCGAGATCGATCTCTCAACGGCGCTGCCAGACACCAACGATTTTCGAACCAGTCTTCTCATGCCTGGGCTTTCCGCGCGCTTCAGTATGCTCCGTGAACAAGATGACCCAAACACGAAGGTTGGCAAGGCAAGCGATGACAGTGTGTTGTTTCCCAAGCGGGCCTCTCGTATGAATCTCTTCAATCACAATCTTCTCACCGATATTGCCGAGGTTGAATCGTTACACACCCCGGTGAAAGCCCCCTTCGCCGACCCGATGCGTTCTCACTCATTCTCGGAGCTTGATGACCAAGATAGTGTCATGAACCGGTCGAGGCCCGCGGAAAGTAACAATCTCTTTAGTGGTCGCCAGAAAATGTACCGGATTCCGACGGCGAGCTCGAGCCGAGACCTAGGTGGCAGGTCTGCTCCACTGACAACATCTAAACATGTCTATCAACACGACGTCGCAATGTCGAGCTACCAACAGCTGCGCCTAAAGGCCGCTGAAGAGCGCACAGAACGTGGCATGGAAGCAGAAGAAGAAAGAGATGAGTTTCCCGACAGGCCTATTAGCACGGGAACGGACGATCACGAACAGGAACACAGCAACTTCGCAAACACTCCTTCTACGGGATTCAGTAAGAGTAGAGGTACGACCTCCTCGACAGCGTCCGGTCCGTCCAATCGGCGAACTTCCACAGCTGCTACTTCAGTGATCTCAGACTCGCCCGCGCCTAGGCAAAGTCAGCTCAGCGCCAGTTCACATAACAAGGGGCCTGCCTCCGAGGTCGGTAGTGAAGATGGATTTCTACGACGGGATACTTCCCAAGAGTCTCGGCGTGGTAATGACGAATCCGGTCAATTCAGCCAGCCTCCTCTACCCTCGTCACCTCCTTTCAACCGCCAACTCTCCCAGTCCAAGAGCTCTAGTCATCTCGCGGACAAATACTCCCGTTCAAACTCCCCATTCTCTGGAGGGACCCCACGAGCCACTAGCCCTTTCCCTTCCTTGCAGACGCAAGCTCTGGGGTCGCTCGATTTTGGGCTGAAGTCGTCGGCTGGCACCTTGAGGAGATATCAGACAGCCTCGCCCACTGGGGACGAGCACGATGGAAGTGATGTGTACGCGAGCAATCTGCAGCCGAATGATCGTGGAAAGGCAACGGCCATGGGACTTTTTAACCGCCCGCAGCAACAATTTGATGAGAGGAAGTTCGAGGAGCGCCAAATACAAATGTACGGACCGCCTGCATTCGCAAATCCTGGGGAAGCCCACGCTACAGAGAACAAGGGCGATTCGGAAAAGACGGGGGCTGCTAGCATTTTACCTTCGCCATTGGACAAGAGTGACACCCGACCCTACGAGACAGGCAGCGGGCCTGTGCCAGGTCGTCCCAGGGCGCAGTCATCTGCCTCGTCCACCAATGCAGCCCAAGTTCAAGCAAGAGTCGAAGCCCTGATCAAGCGCCAGAATGAGGAATTCAAGGCCTTCCAAGCGACCAAATCTACTACCGCCCTTCAAGGTGTAGCCTCTCCTCCTTCAAGAACCTTGATGGCGCAGCCAGCCGCCTCGAGAGGAACATTTTTCGACACCTCCGACGGCAGCGAAGAAGAAGATGGGGATGAGGCTGTTCTTGACAGTCCGATGTTGGGTCGCTATGAGCCACCGCCTGTTCTGGCAAAGACTGACGTCCATCCAGCACTGCGTGATGCCTCACAAGGCTTCGAACTCGGCGAACAGGTTCACGCTGCTCAGGACAACCGGCCGCACTCGGATGCCTCGGCCGAGACATCATCTCCTTCGGTTGTGCATGACACCCCTGATACCTCGGATTCACTCCATCTCGGAGCTGACATGAAAGGTGTCGATTCTCCCACTCTAGGGCCAACCACGGGTCTAGGTCTCAGCGGCTTGATCCGTACACATCTGCGACACGATAGCGATAGATCATCAATGATGATGCCGCCGCCGTCCCCTGGACCTTTTCAGGGACAGCACCCCAATTTGGCGTACCGGGAGCGTGAACCATCTGTAGCTTCGACAGCTCGCACAATCAATCCACCAGAGAGCACACACAGTGACCCCTGGGAACTCGATAATCCGCACCGTAATCAACGGAGCCCGATCGAGCCGCCCACAAATGACGCCATCTCATCCATGTCATCCAAGGCCCAGCAAATTTTAGGACAAGCCATGTCACATCGAGATCAGAGTGCCTTGAAGGCGCAGCGACTCCTCGGTCAAGATGCACCTGCACCAACCGAAGATACGAGGCAATGGCAGAACGATATGATGTCAAGTCATCATCGAGGAGACAGTACGGAGACTCAGAAAGAGTTCGACAATGAGCTCGCTGAGCGTGCGAGAAAAATCCAAGAGGGCCTCAGGGGAGTGACTGAGGCCGAGAAGCGCTCAAAGAGTCCTCGGCCTCGTCAAGCATTGCAGGCTTTACGTCAGAGGACGAGCAAAACATATATTCCACCCAAGTTCAACGAATCTCAACCAAAGGCAATGAAGATGCTTGGCATCAACGGTGGGCCTGGTCCAGCAGTGGCAGGACGTTCGCCAAATGGCGATTTCCATGCCGAATTCACTGAGAGCTCCGACGAATATGACGAGCGTCCCACTCCGAAACAGCGCCTTGGTGCCTTTGACAGTCCAAACGGAAGATCCTCGCCAGGACCATGGCGGCAGGAAGCGCAGCGCGACTTTGAGCAGCGACAGCCACGCTCGGCAACCCCGAGTGGCAGGATGCCCCGACGTGATAGGTCAGAATCAGGAGCCGCAGAACGTTCGCGAAGCCGGACTGGGCGCTACGCCGACGAACGGCCTCACTTTGCTGCTGGCTATGGTAGGCAAGGCCCTCCTCAACACTGGGAGCAACATCGGCCGTATGGACCTCCTCGTGGCCCTCCTCGTGGCCCACCACCTGTTGACCCTCGAAACAATGAGAGATCTTCCTCGGCTATGTCGAACAGACGGCCAAGTGGAAATCGAGGAGGACAGCCGGGCTACTTTGATGGTCGAGCAGCGACGCCGACAGCTGCGAATACTCCAAGACTGGGTGACGGACCGGATTCATTGAGTGTTCCCAGACCGTCTCCTCGGCCTCCATTTCCCCATTCTCCTAGCAGTCCCTTCGCTCCCCCGGGTCTATCACCTGGTCTTCCAGGGAATCCTGCGTCCTTGCCTGCAGCCCTCCCGTCGCCATCTGGACCGCTCCCTGCACCTCCGGTCCCGACTGATCGCTCAACACCAATCGAGAACAACAGACAGACCATGATCGGCCAGCGGAAAAAATCTGTCACGAAAGGAATGATCTCGGAACCTACATTTATCTCCAGTACTTCCTCCGTTCCCCTGGTTGGCCTCCCCAACGGTCCTCGACCGAGGGAGATTCCCACCCCGCCCGTTCCAACCATGCACCCTCAGCGCCGGCGTGCAGGAACTTTCACCGAACACACCAATAGCTTCGCCAGCCCCCGGATTGGGTCACCGCTACCAATGACGCCCCATTCACCCGCTCCAATGTCTGCTGTCCAGGGTACTATCATCGACCAACAACCCTCACAGAAGCCCACTCCTCGTCCGCGAAACAGATTGAGGAAGATTAGCAGCGAAGGAGGCAGCATTGCAGCTCGCGCGAGGAACCAAGCTTTGATGGCAGAGTTTGGTCGGGAAAAGTTGCGAAGCCCGGCGTTGCCGGTCTTTCCGAATCGAAGCGCGACTGCACTCGGCTTACACCAGGAAGGAGGCATGTTCTGAGATCAGTCAAATCTGTTGTTTCAACTCGACGCAGTCTGATCTAAGCCGAACCGAGGTGTCTGCCCGCAGTCCGAATCTTCCACCAGACAGGCATCCTCCAAGAAACATTTTGAGCATGTCGTGTCACTTACCTTTTTACTTTTCAATATTTCGTGTTCTCATGTATACGACTATACACAACGACTCTCTTTCGACATGTGGTTTTTCTTGATACGGCCGCCTTTTGGAAGAATTTCCACTTTATGGACTGGACGACCTGGTTTTTGTTTTCAACCTTTTTTGATTCCCATTGTGAGACTTGTATGCTACGAGAACGATTTGGTGGCTGAATGAGAGGGATAGAAGACTAGTTAGGGTTCCTGAGCGGATGAGGCGGGCCACCTGGACAGACCTGTGGGACTGGTAACAAAAGCAAACGCTGGGATTGATTCTTGTCTGATGGTGGAGTTTATCTTTTTATTTACAACCCTCTCCATGGTTGAAATCGTAGTGTCTTTGGGCTTAAATGACTCGGCACAATTGGTGGTCGTGTCCAAAGGTTGGCTACCAAACATTGGCGTAGCCTTTTCCTTGGTTTTTTTTTTCTTGACGTCGGTAGAGACATACACGAGTCGTTTTCTGTTTGTCAGAAACACTTCGCCTGTATAAAATTTCATGTATTGCACGAGCACTTCGACTTTCTCCGAGTCTGGCGTGAACCTGCCGACGGGCCATCCATCCTCTCTGGGCCGTGCACCAACCGGTCAGCACGCGTTTCTTTCTCTGTTGGATCTCACCCGCGGTGCTGATCAACCTCTCTCTCTCTCTCTCTCTCTCTCTCTCTCTCTCTCTCTCTCTCTCTCTCTCTCTCTCTCTGCCTCGGTCTGTGCGTAAGGGTTCCCATCGTCAAGCTTGTCTTTACGGAAGAGGGACACGTAAAATAAACAATAGTAGTACTCATATCAATAATCATCATTAGCCTTGGGGAAGGCCTAGTGAGCCCCCCTTTTGATCAGTAAATAGTCTGCAGACTATCTGTCTTATCTCTCTGTCACGTCACGTCACGTCAATTCACGTCAATTGTCGTCAACTCAGAAGAAAAAGACCAAGTCCGCGTCCTCCATGACATCTATCCAGTGGAGGAGGGATTCCCATTCCAGAGGAGAGGAGCAGTTCATGACGACCCCACCGCCGGCGGAGACGCCGGACAGTAGTGGCGGTGCCAGCGACGACGAATCCGATCGACGACGACGACGACGATGATGATGATCTGGATCCAAATCATACGAGTACTTATGAAGGATGGCATCTGATCGCGCCCAGACTTGTTGTAAGATCAGCCTTACTTTTCGTAGCGCGTCGAGTCGGAGCGATTGTTCGAGAAACGTGATCCGGTCGAGAACAATCTGTCGCCATTGCCAGAGGGCCACGCAAGAAGTTGAAGAAGAAGGAGAAGTATCTGAGAATGACGATGGCGATGACGATGGTAGTGCATCCATTCTAGGATTGTTGATGTTGGAATCGATATTGGTGTCGGCATTGGCATCGATATTGACATCATACACAATACCTGATCCTGACATGGATACAAGTGCTGGAGGAGGTGGGTCCCATTTAAGGTGAGGCAGAAGCGCACTCCCTGACGCCAGGAGAAGGAGGTGGTGCAAAGACCGCGTGCCGGAGTCCGTTGGCATACGTGACAAGAGCGTGATTATGGTTGTGGAAAGCTTGGTTATGAGCGTCTCCCGACACGAAGATGAGGAGGGGTCGTCGTTATCTTCGTCGGTCTGCCCGTCCCCTTCTTCCTCCTCTACCTCCCCCTCCTTCCTCTTCTGAGGCTGAGACATCCTGTAATCTTTGTGGGTGTCCGTGATCACACTTTTAATCAAATCAAGTATTGCTTTGGACTCGTCAGCAATATCAAAAGCTCGATGAATCTCCAACAGTGCTACCAGCTGGCAACAAAGAGCCAAGTCTTTCAAATGAGACTTGGGAGTGTGATCGTCGTACGTTTCCTCGATCTGCTCATCACATGGCATGTCGTAGCTCAAAATTTGAGCCGTGAGGATTCGTGCCCGGGATTCCAGCCGTCGAAGGTTAAGCATGTCAGACTGACACCGAGACGCACTACTGCCGGTGGTGGCCGCCATACCCCCATTCGAATTACCCACGCGACTCTTGACCAGTCTACGCTTCATTCGGATGAGACAGCCTGATCTTGCAAGGTATAGCCAGGGTATGGCACTCAGCCCTGTCCAAGGATTGATGTGGATCTGTTGCGGCTGCGGCTGCTGTGCCGGGAAGGTGGCCAGCGAAGCAAAGAGAAAGTCTATCTGGGATGGTTCCTGGTCGATCAGAAACGAGGCCATGGCTTCCCAGTATGCCTGCAAGCCCACGTAGAAGTTCAGGAGAGACAGGAGTCGGTGGTCTCCTTGCTGCTGCTGCTGCTGCTGCTGCCCATTGCCGAAGCTCCGCGCAAGCCACGTCCGAAGCAGAGCTCGGGCACCGGGAATATGTTCCAGGCCGAGTCCTGATGAAACGTGCCATGAAGTAGTCACGCCGAGAAGCAGAACGCCCAGTAGAAGTCGATCCAGCTTGTTTTCGTCGTCGGCCGTCGTCGTTCCAGCGACCAGTGAAGATGATGGCGAATATGAAGACCTCGAGAGCAGCAGCACCGTGTCGAGTTCCCTCTTTACTTCCGATATTGCCGCCGTGAGGTACTCTAGCCTGTTGATCGACCAGTGCGGATTGATCAGACACAGATGCGCGGCCGAGATGCTCATCACGCAGCTCTGGATCAGACGTGACGTGGTCATGGCGGCCTGGATTTCCGTTCGTAGTGGGTTGGTGAATGAGTCAAAGCAGGACAGCATGGTGCATACCGTGCTGAAATAGTGGCCGACGAGGAGGCTTTGCTTGTCAAGGTCAACCACAAGCCCTCTCTGGTAGGGGAGGAATGTGTGTCTCGTCAGCATCGTACAGAATCCGCTGCTGTCCTCAGATGATATATCGCATGGCTCTGAGGAGTCGATGGCTTCCACCGCTGGCGGCCATGAAGTTATGAAACCCTCAGGCTGGCACCTCTGGGTGGTGGATGCATCATCAGCCCCGGAGGAGGAAGGCATTGCCGACAGGAAACACTGCTGCTCTTCATGGTGGCCGCGGAAATCACTTTTCAAAGACTGAACTGCGCATTGGGAGTCTTTCTTTCCTTCCGGTGGTCGGGAGAGAGGCAGCACAGGGCTACGACGTTGAGCCTCGTGGTCATCGCCCGCGGCGGCAGTCAAGGTGATTTGATGTTTCGTTTTCCATTGCAGCGGTCTATCGTACCCGGGACAGACGAAATTTCGTTTCTTACAGTTGGAACAGCTGGGAAGGCCCACGTCACATTTAATATGACGGGCTTTGCAGATCGCGCAAGCAACTGCGAGGTAGTCCGATGCCGCGGACAGAACGTGAGCATGTACACTTATTAGTAGGAGGGGTGGTCAGTCATACCCGAGGAATGTCGTCGGCGAACAGGTTGCCACCGACTCTTCAATGTACTCGTACCAGGCATTGGCGCAAGGTGGATTGAAGCAATTCACGCGAAGCTGCGAAGGGAGCATAGAAATAAATGGATGATGATTCTGACGACGATTGGGAAGGCAAGACAGACCTGCGCTGACTGGATCGACTGACCACTCCTCCCACTTTTGAGGTTGATAAACGATAAGCGATAAGGACCGGACAGCGATGACCAGATTTCAATCATGGGCAGGGCCTCGTTTCTGGACTCTAGGATAAAGGGTCCGGGAAGCGCTGGTAATCTAGCTTTGAGGGGAGTCTGATAGATCGAGTGGGTCCCTGACCCTCCCCGTCACCACAGCCTCCCCACAACCACTTCGCATTTCACCTCGTTTATTACCAGATGGCTTCCTACGTAGGTACCTGTGACCTAGTTGCTAATTTCTAGATACCCAGGGCAACTGGTCAGTCCTGTACTCAGTGCGAGCAGCTCTATGATCCCCCGGATTTGGCAGAACATGAATGACACTATTCTACTCCCTGTATCGAGTCGACACGAAGGGCTTCGACCGGCTTCACCAGCTAGTTTCCTTTGCCATTCCACAGCTACCCAGGCTCTCGCAGAACTGGATATCATCGCTCTGTGCTGCGGCTGGTCTGGTAGGCCAGATTTCTCTCCCAAGCTTGACCTCCTCGTCCCGGTGCGATTTGAGAGCTTGTCTGACCATGTTCTGAAAGTAAAGAACACCTTCTTCACCCTTGGGCTCTAGCTGACCCGCCGTATATCTGCCCACGTTGAGGTTGACTTGTGCCCCATTGCAAAGTTCTTTGTCTTCCCTCTCGACCTGCTTGAAAAACTCATCCATCTTTTTGAATTCGGCATCGGTGGCATCCTTGTGGCGATAGACTTCGTATTCGTTCCTGACCGTGGTCGGGCCAGTGGGAATGGAACGCAAGAGGTACCAGAAGACGTCTCTGTGTGTCCGAATCAGTATTCAGAAACAGAAGGGAGGGGAGATGTATTTTATTATAAAAGAGTCTGTAGATGTCGAGAAGACTCAATTGGACGTACGATATGTTGAACGCTGCGTTCGGGTAGAACCAGCTGGGAGCGAAATTGTGGGTGTTCTGTCCGGGCTTGTCTTCCATGAAGTAGAGAAGTTCTGCGCCCTTGTACTCTCCCCTATACTTGTCTAGATTGGTTGTCACCGTGAACAATGGGTGGGTTGTTGGGCAGTGATAGCACTATGAAGCGTATTGATAGTTAGGGGGGCATCTCAAACACTAAACAAACGACTCTGGACACCATGAATGGACTGGGCCTGGGTCGTCAACTCACCTCGTTGTAGTTATCGGCAGCAGCTTTCCAGTTATAGTTACCTTCCATGACCCAGGTGTGGTCGTAGACATAATCATCCATGTTGAACTTTGCCAGACGCGGACGCTCATCACATCCTTTGAGGTGTGTCTCCCATGGGATTCTGGGCGTGTCTGCGGCATCCAAATTGATCCACACAATTCCTCGGTCATCAATCCTGACGTGAATAGGGAACAGATTGTTCTCGTCCTTTTCGAAGCCTTCGACATTCTCGTACTTGGGAGCTTTGGCAAGTTTTCCATTGAGGCCGTAGGACCATCCTTTGATCGTGTGAGTGTAAGGTTCGTTCCTGTGCGGAGACCGAGAAGGTTTCACATAAGGCAGTAAGGGAGGTACTCACCATGGTAGTAACATGCTAGTATGCTCTTCGTGCCGGACCGGGGCGCATCAGGCCGGATGACGGGAAAAGCACGGTGCCGACAGACATTATGAAAGCCTCGGATGGTCTTCTGGCGATCCATGATGAGAAAGAACGGAAAACCGGCAACATCGTAGGTATGATAGTCTCCAGGCTTCTCGAATCGGTTCTTGTGAGTAATGAGGAGCCATTCTTTGGAGAAGATGGCTCGTTTTTCAAGTTCGTGGAGAGCTGGAGATCGATACCACTCCGCGGGAAGGGCAGTGTTAGTGCTGGTGGTCGTTATGGTGGTCGTCTGGACGGACATGTTTGGTTGAGGAAGCCTGGCTTGATGCAAGCTGGTTCAGGAGGCCCTATTGCACTTTCAAGTCTCAACTTTGGGCCATTGAAAGCAACCATGGCGACCTTTGTTCTTTTTATCATCACAGAGTCTTGAACTGAAACCATGTTAACGACAAGCCAATCGAAAATTTATTCCACATGCAGTTAGAGTGGCGAGAGGCAACCAACTCTTCTTGTGGTTTCGTAGTCATGGCAAAGGTTGTGTCACACGTCGGGCACTGAGGCTGGGCTGTCTTTGACCCTGTCTTGAAAGAGCGCTGTACTTGACCCACTGATACCCTTTATCAGCACCTACTTGGTGCAATGGCTACCAATCACGAGGGTGTCAACACACCAGAAGTGCTTGCTGATATCTGTGGAGACCGGGGTATGAGGTTGGAATCAATCGGAAAAAAGTTCCAATTTGGGTATGCGATGAACCAGTGGATCACATCGTTAGCGAATCCATTCGATTCAACCTGTGGCCTTGCGGGGGGCATGTCGCTCGCTTCGCTTAAACCTGGATACTTATATTTTGTGTCCGTACCAGAGTCTACACACGACTACTAGATATCCCATCCCCGTTTGCCTTCGGACGAATCAATGGCACTGTGATCCCTGCTTATCTCAAGGCTTCGGTAGGGAGATAAGTTAGGTATCTCTTCGCTTACTGCCACAGTTCGAGCAGCTCGCAGGGGAGATGACCAAGTCACTGGTGAATATTAGATTCTCCAAGCAACTCATATTCGCAAGATACTTCTGGGCTTTCAGAACCGAGTACACTCTGTACACGATTCCTGATCTGGAGTCTGACAAGGCGGCACGACTTAGGTATATCAGTGGTCTTTGACGGCCCTCAAACCAAATCTCGCAGATGCAAAGATAGGCTCTCCTATATGTCACGGCCTTCACCAGTCAAAGAAGTTGACATATGCTGCTGTCCAGTATACACCAAAAAGTAAATGCAGTTCCTACTGTAGATCTAAAACTTTCGTCCTGGTACGTCGATGGAGATGGCACTTCCTGCCTCCAGCTGTTGATCCTTTGTCAGTGTCAGTGTCAGTGTCAATGTCAACATGTGTAGAGTCCCAACGTTGTTGTGACAGACGTAGTCCAGGTGCGGTCAGATGTCATGGGAACATTGTATTGTGAAGACCGGTGAGGCTGGGAAAGGCTGAGCAGACGAGGCTGAGGCCAAACCGCGTCTTCGGATCGATCGCGCCAAGCGCAACCACCAAAAGCGGCTTCCAGACATTGACTGAGCCAGTGCGGAGAAAGTTGAACCACCAGCTAAACTTCTTCCCCGCCAGAGGTCGGTCAGTTGTTGAATCAAATTAATTAGTTCCTCTGCTCTCATCACCACCACCTCCTGTCATTGTGTTGGCCGTCGTCTTCGCTATGCTCTAGGCTGAGCATAGACTGTCGCCGTCATTGTTTCCTCTTTTCCTCGCTCGCCCGTCGGTCCTGGCACCAGACTCCTCCATGGTGCCAGCCTGGTGGTCGTCGCTCGCATCACCCTCCACTGATTACCTCTAACCATGGCGCCAAATCCCAAGGGTCGTCCCTCCAAACCTCATGGCCGTATGGTCCAGCCTGCTTTGCCATTGATCCCCGGACCAAAGGGCAAGCAGAACAATAAGCCCGCTCCTGCGCAGGTTGAAAGTGAAAAGATTGAGCCAGCGTTGAAAACCTCCGACGCAGTCAATGGAGGCAATCAGGAACACGCTGAAATAGTCGAAGCCCTGGCCAAGGCTCACGATGTGACAACAGGAGGTGGAGAGGCAGAACATGTCGAGGATCGCGCACTGACTCAAGGTTCGTCGCCGCCGCGGTGCTCATCGGTGAATTATCTTGAGCTGACTCACCTTTCAGGTTCACCCATTGACACCCCACAAAAGCCATTGACTCCCCTTGCACAAACTGCCAATGACAACGAACCGGAAGACAACATTTCTGCTGGCGAAGACTCTCTGTCGCAGATGGCAGACACCCAAGCCACAAGCCAAGATGTGTCGGGTCATACTTCGGAGCAGGAGACAGCTGTCGACGAACAAGAGACGGTGAATCTGACAAACGGTCATCTTGCCAATGTATCGCAGCCTATTAGTAGTGCCAGCGGTGAAGACTATGATGGACAAGCCTCGGCGCTGGAACCCTTTGCACAGGTTGCCAACGAGCGCCCAACTGGAGCTGCTACTGCGAATGGCAATGGCGCCTCATCATCACCACAGGAAAATGGCCACATGACACCGGAGGAGACTCAGCCTTACGGAGCGGATCAGCCGGAGCAAGTCTATGGTTCGAATGCCAAATCTCAACCGGAGGTGAATGGTGTTTATGACCCAATCGCGCGCAAATCTAGTATTCCTGAATCAGTCCAACAGCCAAGAGTCTCTCCTGGGTTGATTCCTCTGCAAGATTATCTCCTCCAGGTATCCCACACCAAGGAAGGCGTCGACTGGGCAATTCAGGTCAACCCTCCCGGAGTCCAACCCTATCTGTTGTATGCGCATTCATTGTTGATGCTACGAAGCGACCGCCTCAGACGCTTGATGCAGCGCGAACCGTCATCGGCCTACGGAGGAAATATCATTCACCTGTATCCTGCTCGAAATGCAGTTCCTCATGCATTTGACGCAGCGTTACGTTTCTTGTACTCTGACACGGTTTTGTCACACCTCATCCAACCGCATCCTGGCCCAGATTTCCATGCGGCGAGACTTCAGAACCTCGACTACATCTTGTCTTATTGGGTGGCAGGCATCGAGCTCGGCATCGACCAGGTATCTGCATGTGCGGAAAGACTCTTGTTCAACTACGTTGACTGGGACATTCTTGAGGTCACGTACAAGCATGCCATTGACCTTGCCAACTCACCAGTGGTCTCGTCTCGTAAGAACACGACTGGTTCCGATTACGTGGTCGTTAGCAACGCTGTGATCAGACCGATTCTACACTTTCTGGCAGCTCGCATGGATGTGTCAAAGTTCAAGATCGACCTGACTGGAGCCCCAGTTCACTTTCCTACTCGCTTCCCAACGGTCGACGGTGGTCGTCTCAAGCATAAACCAGCATTGGCTTCGATGGTCTTTGGCTCCATGCCATCTTCAGCCGACATGTCTCCCACCTCGCCTCAATCCGAGATCGTGCCCGCTACTGCGACATTCCGAGATACTGTGGCAACCAACATTCTCCTCAATATCGACTTCGAGCATCTCTTTTACTTCAATTCTATCCTCCAGAGAAGCAACATTGCCGGTGCTTCTCAGCTCATGTCTAGCATCATTACAGAGCGAGAAGTTCGTCGCCAGAAAGTCCGGAACTCACGAGCTGTTGCCAACAAGGACCGCATGGCCAACTCGACCGCCTGGGAAGTTGTTGGCTGGAAGGAGGAGTGGGACACCGAGACCAACCTCCCGAAGCGTGAGAGAGTTGGCTTCCTTTCTTGAACGTTCTTCCTTTCTTGAACGCTGAGCAAGCATTGATCCTTCTTCACTACCCAAAAAGAGCAGCGATTCAGCGTACACAAAAGTTGTTGAGAGATATGGCGCAGCCATCACATCCAGAAAAGCAGGCGATTAATGGCAGCATATTGGCGTGGATGATTTTTTCAGGGACCTTTTTTCTTCTTGTGCTTGGTTTTCGGGTCAGGGTGGTTCCGGCGTACTCTTCGTGGTTGATATGATGCCGTTGATGGCCGAGACGAAGCTGAGTAAATACACTGAGCTAGATACCCCCTCTTGATTGCAATGAAAACAATGCAAGGCGTTCGCGACACTGCGGACACGCCTGCTTAGAAAACAATCATGGTTTCTACCGTCTCTGTTTCAAGTGTAGAGCTTTTTTTTAACCACCAATGTTAACACGATGTATATCTCGTTGGGGAAGAGGCGAAAATGTCTTTCCTTCCCTCAGGCGATCAATCCATGGTTTTACGACGGCCCAGCCCAAGAGACCTGCTGTCGCGAAGATGAAGACCACAACTACGGTCTCGTCTTTGAGAGAGTCGCGCTCTGCGGACAAACTATTAGCGCACGAACGGCAAAACGGACAACCCGACAACGGAAATGGTCATGAGTGGTTGGATACGAGTATTCGAGAAAAACGTACGGAAACATGTAGTGAATACATCCTCTTCCTCTGCGCCCTTGCATATGGGAAGGTTGTAATCGAGACAGAACGCCCTGGTGCAGTCGGAACAGGTGAATTTGCGCTCCTTGTTGGGTGGACGGCCCGTTGGGGGACGGTCGTTGGCGGCGTCCCCGTCACTAATGGCCGTGGTGGTGGCTGTGGAAGGGGCCACGACCGCCGTCGCCGTCTCCTCCGCTTCCTCCTCTGAAGACGATGATGGCGACGACGCCAAAGTCAGCGGCAAAGACGATGCTTCAGCTGCTGCTGCTGCTACTGCAGCGTCTAGCCCGTCGTCGGCGTCTCTCTTGAACGACCAGCCTGGAATTGCTTCCGTTTCTGCTTCAGCATAGTCACCACCGGGAGACCTCATATCTAAGCTACGTATTTCTCTTCGCGAGGAAGAAGGAGGGGGGTTGAGCGGGATTATGGTGCTATTGTTGAAGCAGATGCATTTGCAGAAGGACGTTGCGGCGGATTTGGCGGCCAGGGACGGTTGGAGGATGGCGAGGAGGAAGAAGACCGACAGGTGAGACGAGGCTAAGAGTCGCATCGTGGAGGATTTGGATGCTGCCTTCTTGTAGGGCACCCTGTGTAAGGAGAATGCCAACAAATACCTACCTACCAGGCATGTTCGGATACATATAACAGAAGTCAATGTCGAGGGTGCGGACGAGATTGCGGTCGATGAGAAATATAGTCCGACGGAGAGATTGCTACGGTGGATCAAATAGTGTGAATAGTGTTACGGAGTGCGATTCGTCTCCGCCACATGTTTTCGACTTGTCTGCAATAGGCCGAGGCATCATCCACGTCCCTCATCATCACCCTCCATCAACCATCTGTCTCCCTTTCTGCCATCACATCCAACCGCCTCTTCCCCACGACACCTCCATGGAGTCGGGTCTTTAACCAGAGCGCCCTCGTCGACGTGCTGGTCAAGGGTTGGTCTCCTTTCATTCGAAGGCTCAGCACATGAACCCCCTGGAAGCCAAAAACCTGCTATGGCGGCCCATCGAACACCAGTCCGCTTCGTGCTGAACGAACGTGAGATCGAGCTCTTGCGGAAACACTTGTCCAAAGCCTCATCCAAGGCGGACTTTACCATCACCGAGAAGTCGACCACAAGCCCGAATGACTCTCTACCGGAGCGGGACGACCACAATGCGGCGGCATTTCGCTCTGCTACGCGTGTCTTCCTACTCACGCTTGGATCTCTTCGTGGAGCTGATGCACTCCTCGGATACCTGTCCCCCCGTCAATCCCAAACAGCCACCCGGTCAAGGAAACCGCTTGTCGCATCTAAGTTCAAATTAGCCCTGTCCTTCTCGTCGCTTCTCTATCTGCATTCCATGCTGTACCGCATCCTATCCCGATTACGGCTTCGACTACTGCACGAAAAGGTACGAAACATCCGCGAGCGATACCCGAAAATATACGCGGCGCTCACCTCACGCATTGCACCAGCAGTCGGAGCGGGTCTGTCGGGACTTGCGCTGGGCATTTGCCCTGCCGATCAACTACGGGTGTCCTTGGTGATATACGTCGTCTGCAGGGCGTTAGAGGTTGCCTACGCCGCCATCGAGCATACGGACCTGGTCAGGAACAAGCCAAGCTGGCTGGGAAGCTGGCTCCTCTTTGCCCTTTCTCAGGGTCAACTTCTTCACGCGCTCGTGTTTGACCGGGACTGTTTCCCTCGGGCATACGGAGACTTCATCCTAGGATATTCGCCGGAATACATTCAGCGACGGCCACCGAACATGTCTCCAAAGGTGGTATGGCCATCCTCGGACGACATCATCGATGGGTTGGCTCAGATGGCGAGATTGAAGTGGCCGCCGTTTGAATCGCCCATCCTAAACCCGAATAAGGTCAGCACCTTGCCTAGCAGCATCGATCCCACCATCTCACCCATCACTTCTCGTGCCCATCCGGCTATTTCAAAACTGTCGTGCGCGCTGATCCACCCGTCGGATCCGTCCTGCTTCATGGCCTATCTGCGCCAGAACCTGCTTGCTTTTCCCCAACTGGCCCGCTTCTACGCAATGTACTATGGAGCATTCTCGCTGCTTCGAATCAAGAAGATGATCCGTGATCCAATCACCTCGCTCAACAGACTCTCGGAATCCGTCTTGCGTTCGACCTTGGCGATATCGGGATCCATTGGTGTCGCGTGGGGCAGTATTTGTCTGTTCCAGGTGCTTTTGCCTCGCGTGGTATTGCCCAAGTTTCGGTTCTTCGTGGGCGGGTTCTTGGGAGGCATGTTTCAACTCTTTGACCGTACGCCAGCTGGGCACATGACTTCCCTTTACGCGGCGAGAACGAGCGTCGATTCTCTTTGGAAGGTCGGGGTCAAGCATAGATGGTGGAAAGGCATCCGCGGGGGTGACGTATGGTTGTTTGTGGCCGTGTTGGGACTGATCAATGTCGTGTACGACCTAGGCAAGGATACCCCCGCTGGCAAAGACTCGACAATGACCTTGATCAAGCTCTTGCGTGGAGAAATTGAGGTTGGTATCCCGAAGAAGAAACAACAGGTCGAAGACGTCAAGAGCGAAGAGGTGCAGACTGAGGATAAGACGTTGTGATGTACATCACGAACTCTTTGTTGGCAAATGGCATTGGAACAAGTGATGATGGACTACTAAAACGGGTTGTTGCACTGGGTTTCTCGGGTGCTGAAAGGTCTCTATCATGTCACTACTGAAGGCTGTGATTCTGTTCATTGCCAAATCTGAGAACATCAAGTCTCTGTAAGCAGGACTCTCCGCTGAACGCCCTTTCAATTGTGAAGTGTGAGTGAGTGATACTTCAAGTCCCGATGGTTGGCTCTCAAACCATCAGGGAGACCCATCGCAGGACCGGAACCGAGTATTTTTCTATCCTGTACCCATCAACGTAGATGTACTCGCGGAAGTATTCCCTGGTCTATCATCGAGATTGACATTGATACCAGCCAATCGGTCGTGGAAGCCACTTCGGCCATCGACGGTTACTGCAGGCAACCATCATTTCCACCATTTGAGCACGCAGTATTCGTTCTTATACTTTCACGGCGCGAGAAATCAACCCGAATACGAACATCTCTACCCGTCATTCAATCAAGCCACGATGCACGGTTTGTATCGCCTTGGTAGGCATCAACGTTTTCTTTTTCAAGACGAAGGGAGAACCAGAAAGGTCCCCCCACACGTGGAATACAAAATAATACCAACACCCAGACCACCTTCACCTGAGCGTTCAATCGGTTCAGTCAAAATACCTCTTTGTAGGGGGTTAAGATCATACGATGACGAAGATCATCATAATTGGAGGTGGGATCTCAGGGTTGAGCGTCTATCTCTTCCTACATAAGCATCTACTGTCTTCTCCCACTTCCGCACGTTGCGATGTACGCATCTACGACCCTCACTCCATCACGGCGTCCAACTTCCCAGGGCTACGGAAGCATGCCTCAGACCCGGCAGATGTCGAAACCGGAGATACTGAGCAATCCGACTCCTCCACCTCTCCTACCACCATAGGAGGCGCCGTGGGAATTTCAAGGAACGGATTGGATGTCATTTCCCGTCTTGATACGGACCCGTTGCGTAATACTACCATCAAGCAGACGGTCATTCGCGGCCATCCAATCCAGTACTGGGATATCAACACGGCGCGTGGATTCAAACTTGCCAGTATCAGGACGAGCTCTACGAAGAAACGTGCGGATCCACCTGGTGACAGGGTCAGTGTCAGGGACGGGGACAGGGACACGGCGAGTGAAGTGCCTGACATGGTCATGATAGCACGGCAAGTGTTTGTTGAGATCCTCTACGATCGATTCAAACAGATTGCCCCTACTCCCAAGGACACTCTACAGCATAAAAAGGTGGTCGACGTCGTCGTTGGAGACGAGCAGACACCTAACATTGTCAAATTTGCGGACGGGACTCAGGAAGAAGCAGACCTTGTCATAGGAGCTGATGGCTTGCGGAGCGTCCTCAGGAGAGCAATGTTTGCGTCTTCCCAGGGAAACAGGACAGACGTCGAGGGCCACGAAGATCGAAGGTGGTATCACTCGTGGCTCGAGCGGGCGTCGTTCGGTTTGATGAAAGTCCAAGACAACAGCCCCAAATGTGACTACATCACACCTCACTACGAGTATGTATTCTCCACTTTCCTCATTTCCAAGGTCAGGTCAATCTGCTACCCACTTGCCCTGGATTCCTGTTGGATACTCCTTTGGACACTCCCTCCTTGACTGTACGATGTATCTGACAAAGAGTCTTGAAAAGAGGTCTAGTCGGACTAGGTGGTTTCGTTCCTTCTTCGATACTCAGGTCGACCGGACACAGGCCGGGAAGCATGTCGATTGTGTTTGGCCCGAATGGGTTTTTCGGGTATGGATATCTTACCTCGCATGTGGACCGATCGCGCGAAGAAGATTCTTCTTCTGCTTCTGATTCTGAAGAAGCAGTCCGAGAAGGCCCATTGGCAGGATGGTGGTCGACATTTTCTTCCAAGGATCCATACCCCTTCCACACGACGGCAGACGATGCACAGAATCGACGCGACGACGACAGTACCAACAACCGATCATTTGATCCTTTCCGGGCTGTGACCTCGCTGGTATCCCGACACTCGACGTGGAAGAACTGCTCTGTGTCGGCAATCGTGAGATACATCCGGCAGTCACACGCCCAAGGGTATGGCAATCCACGCAAATCCGAAGCGACATCTGGAAGCGTGCGTGATGGTGCGGGCATCGAGACAGATTCGAGATTCGGCCTGCTACAGACGAGTTACCCGACGTATACCACCCCGGAGCTTCCACACTGGCACGTCGGTGGGCGCGCCATACTGATCGGCGACGCCGCACACGCTTTGCAGCCCAGCTCAGGACAGGGTGCAAGTCAAGCGCTCGAAGACAGCGAAGCGCTGGCGTTGGTGTTGGCGCACCACTTCAACTTGTCGTCGTCGTCGTCGTCGTCGTCGTCTGCCTCTCTATCGTCTCCGGCGGCAAGTACCGGTGGTGGCATTCGGAACACAGAGCAGCGGCGGCACTCGTACCCTTACAAGGCTGTCGAGAAGGCTCTGGTGACGTTCGAAACAATACGCAAGCCACGGGTACACACGATATACGACTATTCGCAGAGAATGAGTCGGATGAAGAGTGACATGGGTTTCGTCATGGAGTGGATCATGTCGTCTTTCAATCGGTCGTACAATGACGTCTTGATCGAGTACGATTTGCCGTCAGTTGTAAGGGAGACGATTGATGGCGTTTGATAAGGGTCGGGTGATGCAATATCCGGGCAGAGGGGGCGAGCTGACGTGAGTTGAAGAGGACGGGAACGTGAGAGCGCGTGAGATGTGCGGGAGGATGAGGTAAGTTGGAGCGACCGAGAAAGAACATTGGAGCACGGGATGCGTGGGACGACCAGGTGAGCCGTGTGAGATGGAATCAAGTCAGGAGAAGTGTTGCCGTCACTCGTCACGGAAGCAAGAAAAAAGGGAGGGAGGGAGGGAGGGAGGGAGGGAGGGAGCTGGAAATCGAAAAAATTATGCCACTCATATCTACTCACTCACGTCAATATCCACGGCTCAATTACTTATTTCTCCTTCTCCGGTGGTCTCGAGACTCGTGTACACTTTCTTTTTTCCAATGACAGGGACGACACAGTTCTGTTCTGTTCTGTTATCTGAGACTCACCCTGACGCCCCTTTATTTACCTGTATTCTTACAATAAACCCCATCGACCAACCAACAGTGAGCACACAGGCTACCTAACGTATTAATGATCGTGAGGTCTTGACCCTGTCTGTCACTTATCTCAGGGAACGCGTATAGAGTCAGACAAAACTCCCGGGTTGCAAAGGCGGCTCGTGCGCTTTTCTCTTGACCTTTTCAACCAGCGTCTCATCGGCGTGTCTCTGGTCCGAGTCCAAACCCAGTTCCCGCTCGTGGGACTTTTGCACGCGTCGGAGCAAGCAGAAGTTGTACACCGAGAACAAGCCGCCGCCGACGCCGACGCACGAACCCGTGACGATGGCGGTGATCTTCGCCGTCACGCTCCACACGCCTTGCTGGGCCGTGTACACGTTGACGAGGGTCGTGATGAGACCGGCGACCGAGTTTAATGTTATCGGCCTGGGTCTCGTCAGTGTGTGGAACGAGGCCCAAGCACAAGGACGATCTCGCCCAACTTGAGAAAAGTTTGCACGAGGTGAAAAAAGGAACTCCCAGAAACATACATGAAGATCTTGTTCACCAACCAAACATAATTATACCGCCACACCCACCAAAGCCACAGACACAAGACCGTACCTGCCACGCAGAACGAGCCGGACAGCCACAAGAGGCCAATGTTCGCAATCGAGTGAACAATGGCGTGAGCCACTTCGTTGCTGTCGTCGCCGTCGGCTTCCTGAAAGGCCTTGGACTCCTTGAACGTGGTGAATGTGCCCGGCACAACAAGGAACCCGGCCAGGATGATCCATGTCCCCAGGCTGGAGAGGATGTTGTACAGTCGCGGAATCTCGTCGAGGTGGAGAAGCATTTCCATGTACCGTGTCGGTGTTGACGGGACACGAGCAAGAGGTGCTGGTCGTTTGCCACTGCTTCCTCCTCCTGATGATGTTGTTGTATTGGCTCGTTTGGGTTTTGCCTTGCTCGTGTCTGTCTTCGATTTAATACTGGCGCCGGTGTGCTCTCGCATTGTAGCTGCTCTAGAGGGTTTTATTTTGGACGTTGTCGGCACCGGAGAGTCGGGATCCCAAGATGATGATGTCGGCATAGACGATGATGGGAGAGTTTCGGCCCGCTTGACTGGAAAAGATCCAGCGTGTGTTGGCTCATCGGCCGCGATTGTAGATGAAGCATTTTGATCAGTTTTATGGGTGTTGAACATGATGAGCTGAGGTCAGAACCAACATTCAACAAAGGAATCACTTTGGGGGAAAAGCGTAAGTAGTAGCGAGAAAGAAAGAAAAGACCAACAGGACAATCTGAGCGGCGTTCATAAAGATCAAAAGAAGCCCAAAGATACATACACCGCCGTGTACGTATATTTTGATTCATGGATCCTTGACTCTGGCACAGCCCACCTGGGGAGAGGAGGGACATGACAAAGATAGCACGACGCAGACAAAGAACAGAGCCAGGACCCTACCTAAGGTACGAGACCATTAGCTTCAGACCATGTCTTCGTCGATAACATGACTGGCTGAGAAGTCGACAAAGACCAAGTTTTGGATGCGACACAAACAAAAGCTAACGCCCACGCAGACGCTGCTGCAGCTGCCGCCGAGGAAGCGAGCGGTAAGAATGAATCAGAACCCAAGAGCCATGCAGTGTGACGCAGGTGGTTGAGGGTGAAATAGCCCAATGGACAGCTGGAGTCCGTAGAGGCAGTTCAGCAAAGCGAACAAGCTGCTTAGGGAGTGAAGCCAAAGCGAAGATCTCGACCAGTCGTGAGGATGGAAGTGTGAGGTGATTCGGTAGAGAAGAATCGGTTGGTTGGCGATGGATGAAGGAAGATGCAAAGAAACCTGAAACCTGCAACTTGGAATTCGACGGTGCCAGTCGCTTATCGACTAGTCTGTCTATTTCTCTCGCTTTCTCTTTATCCAGTCTAATGCAGTCTTCACAAGTGCTTGTACAAGCTTAGAGGGCGAGGACGACGATCTCCGCAGTACCGATTGTACCTACCGGGTGCTTAAACACGCCACAGGGCTGTAGATGGCATGGGTTCGTGGCCGTGGTAAATACGAGTCGGCGCCATGGAAGTACTGCTTCCAGTACAACTGCGCTACCGATGACGGGAGCTTGGACATCGTGCTCTAGCTACTAACTCTGTGGATGTCAAATATGTCTCGATCGTACCTCCTACTCATCGCATACGCGAGGAAATGGCACAGCCTATGTCGCTACAGAGTGCGAAGCATGAGATGGGTTCCCTCATCAACGAAGAGAGAACTGCTCCGCCGTATTGATTACCTCATCTCGGCTGGACAGCGATGGTGGTTCGTTTTCATGAGATCATTCATATGTGTATCAGCTCCAGTGCTCGTAGTGTGAAATCGACTGCAGCTCTAAGGATGTTGTTTCTTCGGGGGGTGCTCTTACTGCTGCACGCTCCCAATTTCTTCTCCTGTCGTTCACTGACTCTATGATGCGTAGAACCAGGCCTTCGAGGCTCCTAGCAATGCCTGTTGTCGTGAACACCATTCCTTTCAATGCTCCATATTCGAAACCATCAGGTCCTTATACAGCCGAGACATATCAGCGAAGAGCCGAACACAAGGCTCGCACCGGGAACAAACATGAAGAAAGCTACGTCTTGACCTTGCACACCGACCGGCAGCACCACCAGTCAATGACCTCCTTGCGCAAGCGTTATTTCCCTCCTAGGCTAAACAAGTTAGACGCACATATCGCTCTGTTTCGTGCGCTACCCGGCTCCAGGTTGCCTCAGATCATCGACGACATCAAGGCCCTGGTCCAGTCACAGGCTCCCTTTGAGGTCTATGCTACTAGACCTTTCCTCATGAAACACGGGGTAGGAATCCATGTTGACGACCCTGATGGCCAGGCCGAGACAATTTTTAAGCACCTCAAAGCACAATGGGAGCCTTTCTTGAGCCAGCAGGATCGGAGCTTCAGGGCGCATTACACCCTTCAAAACAAAGTCGATGATGATGCAGTCATTCGTCAAACGTTCAAGGAGGTCAACGAGCAATTCCACGGCAATCGGGGACAAGTGATAGCCTTGACCCTTTACAAGTATGAACGAGGCTTTTGGAATGAGCCGCAGTACTTCTATCTCAACGACACTCCCTCAGATGATGCAGGGGGAGAGTCTTTGGGAGAATAATCTTCTGGGAAAGACGTGAGCTGTGTCTTACTCCAGCGCTTCGTCAACACGACCGCCCATATCGATTAAGTGACCAGACGGAGGCAGGCATTACGGTGTCAAAAGCATGACTTGACGACCACTAGTAAGACGAACCGCGTCGAATTGCCGACTTTGTAGCTCAAGTGGTTTCGAGGTTGGGCTTATCCTTGGGAACTAGCTGCTTAGTGAATTGAACTGGGAGTCTTCAGCGGTTTCCATGGCTCCGTTCAGTATTATTCGAACCTGCAGTGAGTAGGTATGTCTAGCCGATACGAATAGTCGTAGGCGCAATAAATAGTTATAGTGTTCTGAAGTCGAGGCATGAGCTGAGGTAATACTGTGGTTACAGCTAGGCACCTACTAAGTTACTTCGGGCTAAGCGGTTCCTGGATGACAGTGATGCGCGCCTAGCGGGCCCCTTTAGCTCAGGTACCTGTAGGCTGTACTGTAGGTGGGCTGACAGTAGATAAACTCAGACCAGTGACGCCAACCCGATGCTTGATGTGCTTGGAATTGCGTCGTCGATCGTCAACTAGGTACCGCGTGGGTTAAACAAAACTTGGTTTCCAACAAGTCATGATGACATGGAGCTTTTCTGCTCAGTATCCTGATACAAGAACCAGTAATGGCCGCATCCAGGCTTAACAAGAAATGGTGAGTTGGTCTGAAATACGAGGAAGTCTGGTCGTCGAAGGACGCCTCTATGTATATTGCTGCCATGACACTTACACAATATTTCGTCGTGGTCATACTGAAGCTCTCTCTGGCAGCCGTTGCATTCTCTCCCTCACTCTACGATACCTACAACTTCAATCCTCTAGAGCACTTGGCAGGCATCGCTCCATATTTTGAGCCCAATGATCCCCCTCGAAATCCCAATCCTCCAGACGGCTGCACCGTCACCAAGGCGGCCTATCTCGTCCGGCATGCCGCCATTAATGCGTAGGAGAAAGTTCCTCCGGATCCTGGTCTGTACTGAGCATCGACTAGCAATGACTTCGACTACGAGTCGTACATGGAACCCTTCCTGACCAAGCTGAAGAACCATACAAACATCAATTGGGGCGGTCTCCCTTCCCTGGCCTTCCTTTCGACGTGGGCACCCCCATCTTTCGCGGAACAAGAACATGTCACAAGAGTCGGTAAGCTGGAAGCCGCGCAGCTGGGGGTGGAAGTGTCGTTTCGATACCCGAACTTCAGAGCGCCTCGCAATGTATGGGCGTCGACGGCACAGCGCACTGTTGTATCTGCCGAATCTTTCATTCGTGGCTACGAAACCGCCGACAACAACATCTCGTTGGTACAGATATATGAGAGTGAAGAGGGAGGAGCAAATACTCTCACACCCTACGACAGTTGCCCGGTGTATTCGTCCTCGGCCGGAAGCGAACAGTCTCAGCGATACCTGTCCAAGTGGACTAAGCCGTACCTCTCTCGCTTGAACCATGTCTTTTCGAGCTTCAACTTTACCGCCGACGACATGGTAGGAATGATGGAACTGTGTGGCTATGAGACTGTCATTCGAGGATCATCGCCTTTCTGTTCGCTTGACCTTTTCCCACCGGACGCATGGCTCAGCTTCGAATATACCAATGATCTCATGTAGTAAGTCGCTCCTCGCTCCTCGCTCCTGGATCTTGTCCGTGTTCTCGATGATGGGTTTCTGACGATCTGCAGCTTTTACAACACGGGTTATGGACAGCCCGTTGGTGGCTACATTGGATTTCCATGGGTGAATGCGACCATGGGCCTTCTCAGCTCCGACGGTGCGTCCAGCCCCCAGGATCTGTATGTCAGCTTCACTCACCGAGAGTTCCCACCCACGGTTCTCGTCGCATTGGGTCTCTTCAATAATACCGACTTCATCGGAGGAAATCCAAACGACAGCATGCCGCTGGATCGCATAAATTACAATCGAGCTTGGGTGTCGTCTTACATTCTGCCGTTCTTGACCAATGTTGCGATTGAGCGGATGAACTGCTCGGCCAGAACAAGCACTTACGGCGATGGAGGCAGCTCGCCGTATTATCGTGTGCTTGTGAACAACTCCCCACAAACGTTACCAGGGTGTAATGATGGTCCCAACGAAAGCTGCAGCTCGGAAGGGTTGTCAAACTGGCTGGCTGAGCGCGCCGCAATGTTTCACGGCTTCTCGGCGGCTTGCAACACCGGTGCTGATTACAAGAACTCGACGGATATGGTGACGTTCTATGAGAACGGCGGAAATGGGAGCTTCGTGGGCTGATACATGAGTTGTGCTCCCGTTTCAGGTGTATTTTCTTCCTTCACGAGTAGTAACGATAGTCGAACAAGTCGAGAAGCACTCAAAGAAGTAGAGAGGTTTGTTGAATTCCTTCTACCTCCCAGCTTTCCTTGAGTTCTTTGGGCATTGTTGGAGGGACAGCATCGGTATTGCGTATTCCGTCCTCCATACATACATAAGCGCTCAACTTTCTGATGGCGTTTGAGCAATGGAGCATGGGCATACTGTATCACACTGTGGTTCCTTGTACTCGTAAGCACACCAGGCCTGATGTGCCGGTGACCGGTGGAGCTCACTAGGCCAGGGGGATCCAAGGCTAAGATGCAGCGTTTTCAGTCTGTGAATCCTGCGATGTTTTGAGGGAGCAGGACTCCTCATTCCGGTGGTTAGTATTAGCCATGGCATTTTGACCGTGTCTGTAGTGGTTATCTCAGCAGAGGAAATCGTCGAAATCTTGAATTGATGGACGCTCTGCTGAGATCCGTCTAGTCTGTACAAATTCTGGGATGTTCGCCTCAGGTTTTAGAGCAAGGTCAGAGGCGCAGTCTCGAAACAGCCATGGGGGCTAGCGGAGGAGCTGAGATGCCTATTGGCGAGCACCTTGGGGGGGGCTTTGTCCCTGTCAAACACGTAATGCTGGCCACCCACTGGGGGCGAGTCCGGGCATCCGTAACTGCAGTACTCGTAACCGCTGGCCCCTGCTGGCTCCAGCCTCCAGTACATGTTTATTCGGATCCCTTTATCACGCCCCCAGCCCGCCATCATTCAGCCGAGCACCCCGTCGTCACTTGATTGAGTGTTGCCTGCACACCGTCATCAAAAACCATTGCTTCATCACACCTCTTTCTTTCTTCTACAACCTCGTTCCTTTGCACCTGGGTCTCCGTCTTCATTGACTTCTGAAATTCCACATCCCTCTGAACCACATCTTAATGTCTCTCACATGGCACATTGCCCCTCGGGGCTTGGAGGCCGTCCATGGGATGTTAGGAGCCCCAGAGCAAAGCCAACCTGATGATGGAGAGGCACCACAAGTGGCTCCTGTTGCTGCCCTGGTGTTCTTTCTCAGTGCTTTCGCCGTTATCCTCGTTATGTTCACGGTAAGAAAGCGAGGGAACTTTTGTCCGAGAGAGAAATATGTACTCATTCCGAGCTAGATCGTCTACACCTACGGCCACATTCTCCCAACCCTGTGCATGATCGAATCCCCCGAGACCGAAGCCTACGTCCCCGTCGATATTATCGAGCCGACCAGTCCTCCCGCCTATTCTGAAACCCCGACTCCCAAAACCACCGACGAGGAAGATGGTGGTGACCTTCTTTTGGTCCGTAACAAACCCGTGACGGCATCCATTCGTGCAACGATACTGCACCTGCGAGCACGAGCTGGTTACTGGTCACGACTCCGCGGTCTGTCGATGTTTATAGTCTGGAGCTTTGTCAGTGGCTTCTTTGTTTCCACACTGGGAACTGCGTTTGGCAGCCGACTCGGATTTGCCTTCGCCGCCATTCTTGTCGAGACGATGCTGTCAACGTTGCACATGGCCTGGATACACATTGTCATCTCGGAGCCCAATCCAAAACGATGGTACCAACGAATTCCATCCGTCAAGACCTGGCCGAAGATTGCCCCAGCTGTCGCTCTGTGGGCCACTGCCAACCAAGTGGTAGCCATCTTACCCAGGCTGGTCTGTGGCAGCTTCGGCTCCCTCAAGCATATGAACAACCCAGACTATACGCCCGACAAGAAAGATCTCTACGCAGTGGGTGCGCAGGGCGTCATGGGCATGTTCCTTACCGTCCTTCTGTTCGTTCTTCTGCAGATCCCCGCTAGCGTGACCATGGTCAGAGTGGCTGCGTCCATGCTGCCAGAGGAAGATGAAACAATTGTGCCATTCGACAGAACATTTGGTGGCAAGACGACGCCCACGATCCTTGGTGGTCAGGGCAAGATTGGTCTCGTCGAGGCATGGAGAAGCTTTGCCTGGTCCAGCAGAGTTCGGCTGGTTAAGCTCATGATCAAGGTGGCGGTGATAGTGATGGCCTTGTGGCTTTTCTTCACCATGATCCTCGTTGCCGAAGCGCACTTGTTATTCGGTGACAAGCTAGGGGAGATGATGAGGGCGATACACGGAGTTGTTCGACATCAGTAGGCACCGGGTGCACAGGGTTCTAGCATATCACGGGCAGCTGAGCAGTCAGAGCTCGCGAGTTGACTCTGACCGCAGACCATCTCTGATCTTGGTGTACATTATATCCGTAGTCGGTGTCAGTATATCGCTGCAGTATTGGCGTTAGGTGGAGGCGGGGCAATAGGGAATATCTTGAAAAGCGTATAATCATTCGAAGTACGGAGTACAGTATATACATATCTAGGCATTATCTAAGCATGCCCTTGTCTACCATATGCTCTACGGATAGTCATACCTTTTTGCCTGGCCGAACTGTTGCCGTCTTCTTGGTTCCGAGCAAGATCCGTTGGTGCGAAAACTGACCGGAGTCTCCAGACCAGATGCTCCATGTGCCGCCTTGCGATCTTCCACCTCCGAGCCTCGGTTGTCACTTTCTCATTGCCCCAAGGGGAAAAGGTTCACACAGCACGAGCAGTCTGCTCGGCCATCTGGAGACCTCTGGGCAGATGCATGTTGCCGTCACCGGTCACTCGAAAAGTAAAAAAGAGGAAAATAGAAAAATAGAAAGTCTTTCCTGCTGTTCTACGCGCATACCTCTCCCTTATACACAGCTTCTCTCTCGCACACTGCCTGGGACACCGAGCAAAAACAATCAGTCTGACCTTCTTCTTCCAATTGCTCCCAAGAGACCTGTTCGAACCATGATATCAAGTCGCTAGACGAAATCTTTCCCTCCCCAACCACACCCACCACGCGTTCTCGTCTAAGCACCTGCCCCTCCCTTCCTCCTGGGAGCTTCTCGGCGTCCTTGTTGACCACTGTTTTTGGTCCCATTTGTCCGCTGCTTGCACTGCTGGAGTCGCTTAGCTATCGTAAGGCTCTAGAAACATAGAACGAACCCTACGGCGGTAATATCATCACCGCATCACTTTTCTGGAGCTCGGCTTCGTTTCCCAGTTTCCCTCTTCCAACCCCCCATTACATTACCTCCCATGGCGCCTACAACGATACCCACGTCGGTAGACGAGCTACCTACGAAAGAAGAGCTGAAAGAGGAGGTCAAGGAGAAAGCAAAGGGCGCGGCCTCAGGCCTGAGGTCTCTCGCCGCAGGCGGTGTCGGAGGTATTTGCGCCGTGATCGTAGGCCACCCCTTTGATCTGGTCAAGGTGCGGCTGCAGACGGCCGAGAAGGGAGTGTACAGTGGAGCGATGGACGTGGTCAGGAAGACGGTCGCCCGCGAAGGGCTCGCGCGGGGTCTCTACGCGGGCGTGTCGGCGCCTCTGGTGGGCGTCACGCCCATGTTCGCGGTCAGCTTCTGGGGCTACGACATGGGCAAGAGACTGGTCGACACGTTCAGCACGGTGCCCGTCGTCAACAACACTCCGCAGTACAGCATCGGGCAGGTGTCGGCGGCAGGCTTCTTCTCGGCCATCCCCATGACCCTGATCACGGCGCCGTTCGAGCGGGTCAAGGTGCTGTTGCAAATCCAGGGCCAGAAGCAGCTCGCGCCCGGCGAGAAACCCAAGTACAGCGGAGGCGTTGACGTCGTGAGACAGCTGTACAAGGAGGGCGGCATCCGCTCCGTCTTTCGGGGAAGTGCCATGACCCTGGCCCGCGACGGACCCGGCTCAGCCGCCTACTTTGCAGTGTACGAGTACGTCAAGCGCAGTCTGAGCCCGAAGGACGAGAATGGGAACGCAACGGGTGAGCTCAGTCTGCCGGCCGTCATGACTGCAGGCGGTGCGGCAGGTGTGGCCATGTGGATTCCTGTGTTCCCCGTCGACACCATCAAATCCAGAATCCAAACGGCGGAAGGCCGACCGACAATAAGTGGTGTCATTTCAGGTGTCTATAGGAGTGGAGGGATCAAGGCCTTTTTCCCTGGATTCGGACCTGCTTTGGCCAGAGCTGTGCCAGCCAACGCGGCCACTTTCGTGGGCGTGGAATTGGCACACAAGGCCATGAACCAAATGTTTGGTTGATCGGCGCTGCCTGTCTGTCTCGACGGGGAGTTACAAAGCGAAACTTCCTCCCGTTCCACCCCGTCTTCTATGAAAACGAGATGGAGGGGCGGCGTGTTGTTCTTGTGACGTGGACATGGAGGTATCAATTGCATTTTGCAGGGCGCTTGGTCATGACTGTGTACGGTATGGAGTGAAGTATACAGCGGACTTCGTATAGGCATCTAGTTTCCGTGCGGATTGCAAGCATGGCAGGTTAACATGTTGTACCCAGCAATAATTTGCTACTCGCAAGTACGCAAAAAGAACGTGAACTCCCAATGTTGCTTTACCTAGATTCTCTGTCTGACTCTGACTGTTTGCGGGATATTGACCGTGGTATGATGTACCTGGTCTACCTCAGAGTATCCGGACTTCTGCAAGGGAAATAGTGCAGCTGCGGAGTTGACGGACGGCCTTGTGCTCCCCCCCAAAGTTGACTTAATTTGACCACGACTACATCGACCTCCTACTATGGCCTCCTTTCTCTGATCCAACACTCTATGTGCATAGTGCTGTACTGGAGTCTTGCACGTCACAAGCTAAAAGGCCACGCTCGTTCGCGCGATCGGCAATTCGATTCACAAGCCATTCATTCAACTTGGACCCTAACACTCCGTCCGCCAGTCCATCTATCGTCACTCATCCTCCTCGTCTACCGCCGCCATGGTCCTCTCTTTCATTCTGGTTCAGAACCGTCAAGGCAAGACTCGCCTTGCGAAGTGGTACGCACCGTACACGGATGAAGAGAAGGTCAAGTTGAAAGGCGAGGTATGCATACAGCACCAGGTCACTACAAAGTTGACCACCACGCACGCCGGTCAAGCTCGCTCGCTTGCGTTCCTCCCGGAGAGATGGCTGACAATCCCATTGTTCGTTTTACAGGTCCACCGTCTCATCGCCCCTCGTGATCAAAAGTACCAGTCCAACTTTGTCGAATTCCGCAGCGCGCCCAGCAGTGGCGGTTCTTCTTCTTCCTCGTCGTCGCAGCCCCTCGTCCGACAGAATCTGTCCTCGACCAAGATCGTGTACAGACGGTACGCAGGTCTGTTCTTCTGCGTGTGTGTCGACGCCAACGACAACGAGCTGGCGTACCTTGAAGCGATCCATTTCTTCGTCGAAGTGCTGGACCAGTTCTTTGGGAACGTGTGCGAGTTGGACCTCGTCTTCAACTTTTACAAGGTCTACGCTATACTCGACGAGGTCTTCTTGGCCGGCGAGATCGAAGAGACCAGTAAACAGGTTGTGTTGACCAGGCTGGAACACTTGGATAAGTTGGAGTGATTGCAAAAGAAGGAAGGCTGGAAGAGGGAACAGTGACACCACACTACCGTATACCAAACTACTAGTGGACTCGGGAAAACCATTATTATGGAACACGACACGACAGGACACGACACGACACGGCATGGCATGGCATGGGCGCATTTCAACGTTCAGATTGTTAGGTTGAACTCAAGAGACACGCACGACCTTGATAATGTACGTCCCCCTCCGAAGAGATATGACCTGTGCTGTTGGGAAGCAAGTCGGGCCTAAGGCATAAAGACTCGTCTAAGGATCAACGGGAACAACTTTGGGATGAATTGATAAGGGATCGTCCGCGCGAACTTGACTTGTCCGACTAATGAGACGAGGAGAGTGTTGACGCGCCGATACAGCTACAAGCTCATGCTACGGCCGTTCCAGGGTATGAGTTGGTTTCACTGTCAGGCTTCTACAGACGAGTCACTCACCGTCTGGACACGCGACCGTGATCTAATGAGGGAGGTCCTGGAGCACAGGCGTTCATCCTGGTGAAAGCAACGAGAAGATCATGTTCTAGTAGGCCAGGGCGGCACAATGGACAGAGGGCATGGAATACGGGACATCGAGACACCGGACATGCAACGGGAGCAGGAACTACAAACCACCATTGTCATCACGCGGTATCATCTTCAACTGCCCGAAATGCTGAAGACAGCCCAGCACGCGCAACGTTGATCGACACTCTTGGGAATACACTCATACTGGAAGTAGTAAATCTGAGGGTGATGAAGGAAAAATCAACGACGAAGCGGGAGAAATCGAAGAAGGAGAATGCTAAAAGAAGGAGTCTGTCTGTCTAACAATGCTCGTTCGTATCCTGACCAAGTAAATAAACCATCCTTAGGACGCCCGCCTAGCCGTGTAAGTGTGAGGCAAAGTCGTCCCGAAATGAAATAATCGCCTCGAAGAAGACAAGGTGAAGTGGGTGAGCGTACCAGTGCTTTGACTACAGGTACCTCGGATGAACTGACGGTCATTGAAAGAAAAGGGGTGTCGTCGAGATTCAAAAAAAAAAAAGAAATTAAAAGAGTCGTTGCAAAAAAAAAACGAAACCATGTCCATCTCATGTGGAAGAATCGTGTTACAAAGTAGTAACCCTCGTACAGAGTACGACCCGCAGGTCAGAACAACCAACCAAACCCCAACATAGTCTCCCAGGGCGAGCTTGCTTCCCGACGTTTCCCAAACTTCCCGGCCGGACGAGGTTAGGTCAGGCTAGGCCAGGTCAGGCTACCTAGGCCAGGGGCAGCTTGGTGCCGTCGGGGCCGTAGACCGTGTAGCCCGTGTCGATGCCCCAGGCGATGCTGTTGAACTCGACGTACGTGGCGGCGATCTGCTTCTTGTCGGGCGTGATGTCGAAGATGTTGATGCCGTTGACGGGGAGTTGCTTGCTGCCGATGCCCGTGAAGGTCCAGTACCACACCACCTTGGTGCAGCCGGCGGGGAGGATCATGTTGGTGTTGATGCCCGTGACGGACGGCGCGAGGAGGACGCCCTGGATGTATTGTGCTTTGCCGCTGAAGGAGTCGGAGCCAGCCTAGAAAAATAGAACAGAGGAAAAAAGAGTAAGAACTCGCTCTCTTTTCTGTTTCTTTTCCTCTTTTTTTGGGGGGGGGGGGGGGGGGAACCCAAGAACGTGTGTACATGCAAACACATCAGGATACATCTACCAGTGCCTTGGGTGTAGGATCGTGATAATGATGATAACAGCAGAAGGGGTGGGCGCCGCGCATCACGCATCACGATCATGATACGTCAGGGCTGAGGAGGGACAGGACTGGGACGGACCACCACGAACAGAAAAGAATTGCAGATCGACTCATCGAGATCGAAACTGGAAATTTCACAATTGAAAACACACGTACCGGAAAGCCTGCTAGCAGATTGATAGAGTCGCTCTTCTCGAAGAATCCGTCGGCTATCAAGGCTTGAGCGGTGGCGTTCGAAGCGTCGACGTCAGGGTGGTCGAGGACGCTGATGAACTTGTTGACGATGTCGTTGGCGTCGTTCTGGGTGAGACAGCTCGAGGGGCCCTGAGGCTTGCCGCCCTGCTGCCACGGAGTCCATCCCGGTGCCGCGACGGCGGTGGAAGCGAGAGCAAGAGAGGTGACGACGCCGAGGAACTTCATTTTGGGAAACGAGTGAGACCGAGTAACCCGGGTTACGTAGATGAGGCAGGTGATTTCTTTTTTTGTTTGTAGATGGGGGCACAAGGAGAGTGAGAGAGAAAGTGAGATTCCGAACGATCGACTTGGGTGAGCTGAGAAAACGAGTGACAAGACGAACCCGGCTGGTGTTGTGTGTGTTTGTGTTCAAGAAAGACTGGCTGACTGACTGACTGACTGACTGGAAGAGAAGAGAACAACTCTCCCTTCTTATACTTTGAGTGCGTGTGTGTGAGTGTGTGTCTCTCCTGGTGTTGTTTCTGTACTCAACCTCACTTTCTCTGATCCGGCCCGGTCTCTTGAGAGTCCTGGACAGGCATTCATGAATACGCACACATGCACTCCTTGCCGAAGCCAGTGACCTGTCAGGGCGTAGTCCAGGGATTTGAACAGGGATTTGAACAGGGAGAGACAGTGTGACAAGAAGAGATCCCTGGCTGATCTGCCTGCCGCAGACTCACGGCTCGAGGCTGAATCCCAATCCTGAATGTCGATTGGCGGCATCACCGATGCGTATTTCCGTCCACATCAGCCATGTTCGAGATGAGCCACGTCGTCAAGCAGGGCAGAAGCAGCGACGGATGCGGGATGTAGATTATCCCCAGATTCGCAATCTCCGGGCAGCTGATGTCCGTCGTGTATCTCGTGTGTCGTGGGATCTGGAGCATTCGCTAATCACACACTGTTCCGAATGCAGCTGCGCCAGTCTGAGATCTGGTCCCTTGATAGGTGAAGGAGGCATCCTATCGTGCTGCCATGCAAAGACATTTTGAAACCGGAGCGTGGGTCGAAGGAATCAAGTCCAGGTGAAAAGAGTCAAGGAGAAAGCGTCCAGATCAAGGGGGGGGGGGCCGAATGTTCTTGCTTGGCACGAGGGATTACTGACATCTTTGTCCCAGATGAATGAGCAACTCAGCAACGTTACTTGACGCCACCAGACGCCCTGCTGGGGGCCATGGGTTCGAGGATGTGCAAGTCTCAACAGCCTTACCGAAGTACCGGATCTCGAGTCTCATAGATGTTCCCGGGCCTCGTTTGGCAAAGAGGACCTGTTGAAGCGGGAGACAGCAACTACATCGAGACATGTACAACTGGAGTCACAAAAGGTGCTCAACTCGCACGACACCAAACGGGCTCACGGCCAAGGATACTGTGCAGGGTTCGCACAGTGATTATGACCAAACACAAGAGGAGACTTGAGGCAATTATGCGGCAGCGTGTAGAATTTTTGTCCCACCCACCCCCTGCTCTGGAGCAAGGGACACTGCGAGATTGATATGGGCCAAAACAGTACGAGCAAGAATGCGTCGTCACCGAACAGGGCGTCTCCGAACACCAGACATTGGAATCTCCAGTAACTCTTACAGGGGATTTGCAATTCCAGCAGGATTGTTGACTCATAGGTTTGATACCTGGCGGTCATGGCGCAGCCTCGGCATTTTTCCCTTCCTCAAGATGCAGGCTGTTACCCGTGACCCAGAAAATATATGCGTGCTCCTTATGTTCTCAAGACTTCAGGAAGCTATTGACGACAGTGATGATGGTGGTATAGATCATACATACCGTTCCCAGAGCCATCAGCGCAACGTCGCCGATCTTCGCCCACGGTGTTTGGGCAACACCTCTGTAATGCAGTAATGGCGGATATATGTACACAAGTGGAACGCAAGCCAACGAGCCGATCAGTGCCACGAACCTGTCCAGGTTGTTGGACCCCAGGATTGCTATCAAGACGCATACCACGACGAGCGCCGTTCGAAATCCATTCTTCTTCCATTTCGTCGAGGCATCTCTCTTGCCAGAGCGACGGCCGAAAACCTTGCCCTCCAATATCCGAAGAGCCGGAAACAATTGAACTGGAGTGCCGGCCATGACTGCTATGGCGTACAGAAACTGCACTGCGTTGACGAGCTTGCTGTTCTGCGGAAAATTGGAGATGACCTCGATCTGCGTGGCCGAGCCGAAGGTGGCATAGCATAGAGCTCCTATCGAGGTGAAGATAACGGTATTGATGAGCATGATGACCCATAGCAAGGGTTCGAACTTTTCAGGTTGCTTCATGGAAGATTGAATGGGGAGGATGAGCCCTATGCCCTCGAATGTGAAGATGGCAGAACCAATAGTCATTGTGTAGTAGTCAGGATTGAAGAGCTGGACTGTCGGATGGATACCGTCGGTGGCGAGCGTGCTGATGTCGTAAAAGTATATATATGCTAGACCTAGGAGAATAAAAACGTCTGCCAACAGAGCCGCGGGTCCAAGCTTCGAAATATTGCGGATGTAGGACAAGGGTATCAGAGCCAGCAGCTGGAGGGCGATGAGAATGTTCGTGGATAACGGCGGCTGAGGGCCTTTGGTGACAGCTTGCAGGAAGGAGTGTAGGTTTTGTGCAACGAAGACAGTGCCAGCGCAGACAAATCCTAGCTGTGAGATGGTAACGGACCCAAGGATGATGGCTCTCAACTTTGGACCACCAATGGCCTCTCCAAGCTCTCCGTAGCCGGTCTTCTTGTGTACCTGCCGACACTGCAACAACAGATGGAAAGCCAAAGTGGTGACCAACGAGACCGTAATCAAGGTGATGGATGAGAAGAGTATGCCGCCGTTGTTGAAAGCTTTGGGCAAGAACATGATGCCAGTGCCGATGAAAGCCTTGAGTAAGGTGAAAAAGGTCTTCGTGGTGCCGGCATCGCCTCTCTGTGCTCGGGTGGTGGTACGCCGCCGACTCAACAACGGTCGGGTCTCAGTGGGGGCCTCTTCCTCATCCTCGAGAGCATCCTCGTCGTCAGTGTCTTCGAGGTCTTCTCCGGCAAAACTGCCGTACAAGGCAAGAAATTCGACAAAATTTCGTGTGACAGGCATGACAGCGGGGTTGAAGCGGCCATATTTTTGCTTCACAAACTCGCGTCGAAAGCCTCCAGGAACAAGGTGGCCTGCCACCGTAGGCTGTTCATCCTCGTCATTCGTAGAGTCAGCACGTGGATACGAGAATGTTGCAGCTCGTTGCTGGAGTTTGCCTCTGTGATGTATCTTAAAGAGGTCTCTGTGAATGTCACCGCCCTGAAGTTGGAGGGAGGATTCGCCCTCGCCGTCATTTGGATCTTTCGACGCATCTCCGGAATCCGACTCGGGGACAAACTCTGCAGTATAGCCCGACGGTAAATGGCCAGATATCACGCGAGCGGCCTGGGCATCTTGTTGGGAACTAGGAGTGTCTGCCATGGTGGAAGGTGACGGTATACATCAACGGCCACAATGAAGATCTGACATCCAAGACTGAAAATCCTGAAAATTTGAAAGACAGTGGCTATGAAGACTCACTTCTGGAATCAAATGCCACATTCAAGGGCAAACATCAAGGACTCGGGCGGTGAGAGAAAGAGGAGTACGAGAATCAGTAGGAGACTCAAAGAATGGACGGGTTGGAAGTCTCTAGAAAAGAGATCTCGACCGTTTTCTCCACGTCATCCTAGGTGTGATGATCTGTGCATCGATGATTGGATTGGATTGCACGAGGCATCGTCACGAAGGGAAAATCTGGAGTAAAGAATACTACTGTGCACTACGGTCAAGCAAATAACTCGACGTACATACTCTGTGTTGTACGGTCGAGCACAGCATCACAGGAGGACGACTTCCTCCTCTTCCACTCTGCTGTTGACACCCAAGTCCCCAAGTACACTTACATCGGCCATTGATTCTCGTACTCATTGAGCCATTCACGCTCCCTGATGGTAACCCTTAGACTCCTTCTCGATGCCTCCTCAGTCCCCTCTGACACCACAAATTGCCCCTGCTTCCTCCGAGTCCTACCCAATGACGATTTCATTGTGTGCCACCGTTCGAAGCCTCGACACCCTGGATTACCACCTCGGTGGTAGACGTACAACTAGCGCTATCGTTAAGAATAATGCGACTTTGAATGGCTGTTTCCCATTCTGTTTGCATGCCACGCTACGGAACAGTCTTGACCCAGTCACTGCTTTTTCTGCACTTCCGTCTCTAACGTTTCTATTCAATAAATGATAATATAGAGGGGAAAGAACCCAATATTAGAATCCCATTTCTTCAGGTCTACCCTGTTTCACAACACGTCCAGAAGCCAAGACCACGCAGGAGTCGGCGTTTTCCACCGCTGCCGCGCGGTGGGCAATGGTGATGATCGTGCTTTCTCGCAACTCTTCCCTCAGCACACGTTGGATTTCGGCAGAAGTTTCAACGTCGATGCTAGCTGTTGCCTCATCCATGATGACGATTGCACTGCGTCTCAGAATGGCTCGAGCGAGTCCAACAAGCTGTCTTTGGCCTTGACTAAGATTTCGACCGCCATTGTCGATCTGTGTATCCAATGTCCACCCGTACTTCCCACAGACCCTGGAGATCACAGCTTCACACTCATAGTCGGAGTGGTCCTCCATAGGATCTAGGTTGTGGCGCAGCGATCCAGGAAACAGCACGGGGTCCTGCGCCAAAAATGTAACTCTTGTTCTCAAGGCTTGCTTGCTGACCTGGGAGATGTCGATGCCATCGATCAAGATGCGGCCAGAGTCAGGCGTGATAGTTGCAAGCAGGGCCAGGGCGAGCGTGGACTTTCCTGAACCAGTCCTTCCCGTGATCGCATTCGTTGTTCCGCCTCGAAGTCGTAAGGAAACATCTGAAAGTGCTGGTTCAAGGTGCGGCTGATACCTCACCGTGACATTCTCGAAGATGATGTCGCTCCCGTAAGTTGGCCAAGCTGCTGGGGGTTCCAAAGACCCTCGCGGCTCTTGCTCGATGTGCATGAGCTCTACAACTCGCTCCACAGAGACGAAGTTGAGTTGAAGTTGTCCGTATTGTTTGCATATCGTGTGCGTTGACTGGACAAATTTCTGGGCAGCAATAAGCACGAAAGCTGTAAGCCCAGCGGATAAGTTGGAAAATACAGCCAACATGGTCAGCACAAACGTCGACACGGCCGACAACGTGTCGAAACGATACATCAACCAAGCTTGCAGGCTCCAATAGAAATGGTCCATCTTCTGAAATGCATCTGTGACTTGGATATTTCGTTCTTGAAATTGAGGCTGGGCGCAGAACGCTCGGACTGTCATCAGACCGTTGAGCAATGCCCCAAAGTTGGACATGAGAGGTGTCAGGGAGACCATCTCAAGGCGGCGAAGGCTTTGCGAGGTTGGCAGGAACCTCAAGAATATGACCACAAAAGCTAGCGTCATTGCAAGTGCGACCACGAGGAAAATGGGCGTTACACTAGCGATAACGACCATGGAAGCAATCCAGGCTATGCTGTACCATATCACAATCATGAACTGATCTGCAATATTGCCATCCACTGTTCCCATGTCCGATGTAAGGCGATTCATAAGCCTGCCAACTGGCGTAACATCGTAGAAGTGGAATGTGGTGTTGCTAATCTGGTACATGATGTCTTTGAACATGCGGCGTGCGGCTAGGTATGTGACAACCAAAATGGAGATCTGAGCGAGGACATTTGCCACCGTTTCACAGATCACGATAACAAGAAACCCTAGGAGCCAAGGCTTCACATTATAGGTGGGATTCGGGAATTTGTTGAAGAGGCCGCTGATCGGACTCTCAAAAACGTGGACATCAGAATCCAACCTTTGCAGCGTAAAGATATGAGTCTTCATTCGATCGTACGCTTCACCCCACTCTTTCAGGAACCAGCTCTCACTGATGTAGACAAGACGACATGTTGCAGCGGTGAAGACGACTATGGCCCACCATTTGAGAGTGCCCGCTTTGATATATTGCCAGTAGACGGCAAGTTGAACGCCTCCATGGGCTCTGTACTCGTCTTCGACAAATTTGTCTGGGACAACGGCTGACTCGTCGGAGTCTCTTCCGGTATCATCTTCGGGCGTTGCAGGAGTGCTTTCAACGATCGTTGCAGAGGCCGAATCCGTCAGATCCTCGTCGTTTCTATGCAAAGTCGCGGTGCCGTTCGAGATCTCAATCAACTGAGCGGCGAAATGTTGGCAGAGATCAGTACGGTGCGTGGCCAAAATCACGGTCCGTCCTTCCATCAGCGTGCCACACAGACACTTGGTGACAATCCATTCGGCAGTCTGCTGGTCAAGAGCGCTCAATGGATCATCCAGGAGAAGAATTTCGGCACGGCTGTAGACGGCTCGTGCAAGTGCCACACGAGACTTCTGTCCACCAGAAAGACCGATACCGTTCTCACCGATGTTTGAGAGATCTCCATGCTTGAAATTCGCGAGGTCTGGAAGCAGTGCACAAACCTCGAGTGTTTTCTTGTACCTCCCTTCCTCAAACGGCGAGTTGAAAAGAATGTTCTCTCTGATGCTCATGCTTTGCAGCCATGGTGTCTGCGAGCAATATCCTATGGGTGCGTCTGGGCGGAAAAGCTGGCCTTCGCGCAAGTCAAGTTCACCAAGCAGTGCTTGAAGAAGAGCGGTCTTCCCAGCGGCAACAGGCCCATAGACGACAGTCAGGCCTTGAGGGAAAGAGACTGTGATGTTGTGCAAAGTGACGTCTGATAGACCAGGCCAGGAAAAAGAAGCATGCTTCAACTCGAGGCTGTTCGACTCTCGGCGACTGTCGGTGGGCTCGAGTTTATCGGGTTCCGCAATGAAATCTTCGATACGACCTACAGCAACTGATGCATTTAACAAAGTGGTGATCAACGCAGGAAGTTCCCGAATGTTCGTTTGTAGGAGGATGAAAAGCTGTAGAGCAGGAAATGCGACATCGACTCGTAGTTGTTTGCCAGCGAGAACAGTGTATGCATAGAACGTAGCCACGGGGATCAAGCCACTGGTGAGGGAATTGAGAAACCGGATGGCAGAATTCCATAAGTAAGTGACGATCCTTAAGTTGAGTTCCTTCTGCCTAGCTGACATAACACCGTTGAGCCATGTGAAATGCCAGCCATACCATCTCAAATGTCTGATAGCCTCAACATATTGAGATATCGCTTGTAGCTTGGCATCGGTTGCCTTTCGACGTTCTCTTTCCCAGCTCATCAGGATGCGAGCAAGGACGTAGTTGAAGACCTGAGCCAAAACCACTACCGCCACTCCAACCATGCATGACCACCCCAACATGCGCCAGATGAGAACGATGGAGAGAATAAGTCCAAGGGGTTTGTTGATGATGTTCTGGAACTCCCAAAAGCGCTGAGCAACCTCGTAAACATCATTCCGCATAAGATTGAGTATCTTACCCATCGAGGCAGGGGGTTTCTTCTCGACTTTTGATGTCCGTCCAAAGTTGAGGGATGACCGAAATCTAGAGAGTGCAGTTTGCGCGCGCTGCATAATACCGGGCTCGTTTTTGGTATGACCATCCTGCAGCGACTCAGTCTCTGGAATGGCATCTGGCGAATCGTTGCGCAAGAGGTCGGGTTCGCTTTCAACACCCTGCTCTGAACTTTTCTCTCTGATTTGTGGTAACCCACCAAGGATTTTCCTGTGAAGTGTCTTCTCATATAGCATTGTAATCATTTCACCTCGAGCACGTTCATAACATCGTCTTTGAAACCATAGACTAAACACAGCGCTCTGCGCGGCGACAAACCTAACGACTAGTATCAACAGTGCAGATGTGACAGCGGGTTGTTTCTCAGCCCTCACACCTTCCATAGCTTTCAAGAGGCTCTGGAGGATGACCGGTGCGGAATAGTTGGTTACCAGTTCCAGGATAGCCAAGAGGAAAAGAAGCGCCAAGTCAATCCAGTTGGCCACCAAAAGACGCCTCACGACTGTGCCACGGAGGTCACAGAAAGAATCGTGGAGTTGTCGGTGTTGAAATTCGTAAGGCAATGCCCAGACGTCTTCATCGTGGAGTTGCCGCTTGTTGCCGATCTGCATCAAGGGTGCCATCCAGGAGACTGTCATCCATTGAAACAGGCTCATATTATCCTCCGGAGAGCGAAGATTACTCGTCGGGGAGGTGAAGGGCTTGCTGATTTTGCTCTGGTCCCTGGTTGGATCGCGCAAAGGCATGTTGATCACGCCAGCCAGTGCGACAAACGCAAGAACCGTGGCTGAGACCGTGAATACTGCATCGTTTTCGAGGTTCTGGTAATCAACGCGAGACGAGGCGACAGCCAGATCAACAGCTGCGATACAAGCATAGCATGCGAGGAGGGGTATGGAACCCGTTCTCGGTGGCCGGAGGACGATGTACGTGCCTGTAACACACCACAATGCGGTCACCGGCCGAGACCATGACGATTCGATGGCGACGAGAAGCTGTAGAGCAAAGCCGACGGCTGACAAGGAGAAGAGACATATTGCCCACCAGGGCACCCTCGTTTGCTTTGAGCCTATGTCGACAGGATCAACGGGCTCTTGGATAAATGGCCGGGGCCAAGGAAGCCTCATACTGGCGGAGGAGGAACAAGCACTCTTGACGCCTACAACGCCCACATACGCACGCACAAGTCCGCTACCGGTAGGAACAGGTAGACATGAGTTGACAGCCTGGAGTGCCTCGGTGAAGCGGAGGCAGAGGGTCGTCAAGTTCGCATACGGGCAATTTTCGAAGTGTTCTTTTGCCGTTCAGTTCCTTTTGAGGAGCCAGGGCTTCCGAGGAGTCTGTCGCACACCCGGACTGTGTGGGAGCGAGAAAAAACAGAAAACTCATAAGCCCCGACTACTACGACGCTGGAGGCCACAAAATGCGGTGTTGCAGCCAAGACGCCGAATATGGTTTGGCCCCAGAAGTCGTGATTTCCGTGCCACCCACGGCGAAGAGCGGCCAGTCAATTTTCGCTCTCTCAACCACCCTGCAATAACTAACTACCCCGTACGCCACGCATAGGTACTGTGTGGAGAGTGCGGATGATTTAAATATACGCAGCTGCTCACCCCCGAAGAAGTCAGTCCTCTGTAGGATGGACCTGCCCTGTATGTCGAATCTCGCAGCAATGGCACATCCACATGGCAGTGCTCCACGGACTCTTCGGCGAGTTCCCAGACGCTCTGGCGAGGGCTGGCGACATCCATCCTGAAGTCCTCTTCTCCACAATCTCATACCAGACCCGATATCCGACGCAGCCAAGAACGCGGTGCCTGAGCCCAGGAAGCAGCCTTTCGCTATCGGTGCACATTCAAGACGTAAGAGGAAGGACACAAAATGCCGGCCCAGATAACCAGGGTGCGCCTTATCTTGTCGATCGTGACTCTAGGAACGGATGAAAGCGCGAGGAACAGATTCTGTGTATGCTTTTGTGTCTGCCGAGCAGAGGGCGGGTCAAAGGTATGAAAACGAGGATACATGATGCCATCAAGCTTCAGAGGTAGGTTTCTCATCCCTCACGACGACAAAATCCTCACGCAACATCATGGCTCTTTCAAAGACATTCCTGCTGCTGTTGGCATCCTGCGTTACCTCTGTGTCCTGTGCGCCAGTGAAGCGGATTCCATATGCTCCGATACAGACTCTACCAAGTGGTGATTTACTTTTCAAATTGGGCAACTCATCGTATATCGCGAACACACAGTATCCAAAGGCCGTTGTTCCAGGTTTATTTAGACCCGTCACTTCTTCATCACAATTTCCTATTACGGTGGTCAATACGAATGTTTCAGTGATTACGGACGAAGTTCTACAGAGTATCGTTGCAAGCTATTTGGGTGCTGACGATGTCTTCACCGAGGATTTCTTGGAGTCTATCTTCATCTTGTCGACCGCCGAAGTTCCTGTCTTGGATCCAACAGCGATCAGCTACTTGGAATCATACGCGGTGAACCAGATTTTTGTGGGCGAAGGTTTTCAACATACAGATACCGGCAATTGCACCGTCACCACCCTGCCCTCAGTAGATATGCTCCCACCAGGACCTTACATAGCTACAATGACCCAAGGCTCCCTCGCATTCGATATGGTATACCTCCTCTATGCGGATTCTTACCGAGATTTCCTTTTCGGCGCTTACGAGGCTAACGATGGGAACGGAAGCTTTGCTGCTTTACCAACATTCCTTCCAGAATTCTGGGATCCAATGATCCCGGTGCCTTCTCGGGTATATAGCTGGGCCGATAGCAGGCCACTAGCAGGCGAACGTGTCGCTATCAAAGATTTGTTTGATATCAAGGGCTTGCAGACATCTGGTGGCAGCCAAGCATGGGCACATATAACCCCTATTGCTGATGGCACTGCTCCGTCGATACAGCGGATCATAGATCTAGGTGGAGTCATTGTTGGAAAGTATAAACTGGCCCAATTCGCGTCTGGGGCGAATCCTTGGGATTGGCAGGATGAACATTATCCTTTCAACCCACGAGGAGATGGCTGGTTGACATGCTCGGCGTCTTCCTCGGGCGGTGGTTGCTCGATCGCCGCCTATGACTGGCTTGACTATGCAATCGGGTCTGACACTGGCTCTTCGATGCGAAGGCCTGCTGCCGTCGCCGGTGTCTACGGGTGAGTTGGTGCGGCTATTCATGGTGGACAGGTACTGACCTGGTTGCAGCCAACGCCCAAGTCAGGGCCTGATGACCCTCGAGCGAGTGATGCCTTTAGGCGGCGCCACTGACACGGCAGGAGTCTTTTCGAGGAATCCGTATAAATGGATCAAGTTCTCAAAGGCATGGTAGGTTTGCGATGCGAGAGCGTGTATATGTGACTGAGTATTATAGGTATACCCCTTCACACTTCCAGTCCACAGCTCTGACTGGGCTGTCTCCACTTTCATTGCCCGATACCAACGCCTTTCCGAAACGAATTCTATATCCTGTCGAATACTTACCCTTGAATAATTCGGCTGCGGAGGTGGTCCTGCAAGAGTTCATTGCCAACATGTCCACCTTGTTTGGCATGACTGTGGAAAAGTTCAACTTTACCGCCACTGTCCAGAATGCATCGGATCCACAAGTCGCCAACCTAACGTACCTGAGCTCCGGTCCTCTTGGGGTTATCAACTCGTACACTCAATGGGAGGAAGTTGCAAAACCACTCATCACGACATGGGCTAAGCTCTACGATGGTCGTTTTCCGCCTGTCGATCCAGCTCGACGTCCAGGGTGGCGCAGGTATAACGAAAGTCAGAATACTGCTGCTACTTATCAGAAGGCATTACAGGAAAAGAATCTGGCCGTTGAATGGTATGAACAGAATCTTCAATTCAGTACCGACGAGTCTTGCTCCGAGTCGGTCATGCTGTACGATATCGGCCCTGGAGGGCTTCCGTCGTTTCGTGAGGAAAGTCTCAATGAGTCTCCTGCTGCGTCTTATTTGGCCATCAAACCGCCAACGGCCCAAATCACTGGGGCCAATATCTGCCCAATCTACGGATGCGCGGACTTTACCATACCGATCGGACAAGTGCCGTACTTCAGCAATGTGACGTTCCACGAAGAGATGGTGCCGGTCACGATCAACATGGTCGTGAAACGTGGCTGTGATTTTGTCTTGTTGAACATGATTGAGCAGATGGCCGATGCCGGGATCCTCAAGACAGTGAAGACGGGACGAGCAGCATATTAGCAGATCAGGCTGTGTCCCTGACTACTCGTTGTCAGCAGACGTACCGGGACAGCTTGAGCTTAATAGTTATCATTGCTGATTGATGGTGTGGCGAGCCGACGACTTCTTAGCTCTTGCTGGGAGATTTTCATCGATGGCCTTTTGGGGGAGAGACCTATCTAATTCACTGAAGACCTGCCAGGTTCACGTTGAGCTTCACCTGATTCCTTCTGAATCCTGATGCAGCATTCAAATCGTGAATCGCTTAGTCGCGGTCAGCACTGCAAAGTTAAATACCTTGATAGTCAGCCTCTATCAGCACTAAGGAGTGATGCAGTACGGTCCCGACGGGGAGCGCTTCCGACCCCGGAAAATTGCTCCACATCTTCGTTGGCCTACACATCGAGTCGGCCAGAGACAACGAATGGTGTATGGTTGGCCGCCTTCCCAGCTCGATCGATGGGATGGCGGGTGTCACCACGATCCATCGTCCGTCATGCATCCTCTTCCCGATTGCTCTGACACAGGTACACAGTGTTTCCGCCCCGCGATTGTAAGCAGTATGATTGCCCGGTCGCCTCGAATGGCAGAGTATAAGCTGCTTTGGGAATGTGTTGGTGGAGATCTCTGTACCGGCTGAAGACAAGCTGAAGATGTGCTGCTGGAATCATCGCGGGTCTTCTGCCATAAAAGGCTTTGATGTCACACAGTCCACGGCTTTGAGCCCTTTCAGTCCTTGAACGCATACTCCCCTATCCAATCAAACTACGGATTACTCGTGTTCGATATGTCGGCCGACAAGATCCCTTCTATCGCTGAGTCTTCCCTGACGAACAACGGCGAACGCACTGTCGTCGTGTCCGACCTTGCTCCTGGGGCAGCGGCGCCACCTCATTACCACACTGATTTTACCGAAACATTCACGCTGGTCAGTGGCGGAATGACCGTCTTCCTCTCCCCAGACATGGACGAGGCGAACCTCAAGCCAATTGCCCTGGAAGTCGGGGAACCGGTCACCGTCCCCTTGAACACGCTTCACTCCTTTGTCGTTCCCGACGAGCTCACCCATGTCAAGGTCGTCTTCAATCCCGGCACCCTCAGTTTCGAGAAAACGATACTCATCATGCGAGGACTGCAGGCAGATGAGGTCTACACTCACTTCAGCAGCCCGACGTCGGAAGCGGGTGCGATGTTTTACGCAGTGATGAGTGACCTGACCAACACTGTGTTCGTTGGGAAGGCGAAGACGGACTTGGATCAGCTTCTCGCAGCCAAAGGCAGTGAAATCGAAGCCACAAAGCAAGCCTGGATCGCCAAATACGCGTCGGAGAAGCACTTGAAGCAAGCTGCGGGCATCGTTGATGGAGGAGATTGAAGGGAAGACGGAGTGTACAATGTTCTTCGTTCTTCCGTCGACTACTGATCTACAGTATCTAGAGCTAGTAGATGCCAAAACACCGCGACGATAGCTGTCGCACGTTCCAGATGTCAGAACTATATCTACTCCCTCCGTAGTCTGTAGAGACGCGTCGTTGCGTGAGTAAAGCGAGATTACCCCGAGAATACACGACATCTCCGTCGCTAGCCTGCGCCAAGTCCCGGTCCAGGCCTGCGAGTAAAGTTTCACTTCGCTTGTCCAGCACAGCTGTGGTCTGCTCAGTTCACAAGATCAGCCCACTCATTTTGGGCGGATGACGCCGCCGCAATGGACAATGCAAATCCATCCGAGGGCGACGAAGACCACGTTTCGCCCACCGAAATCAACCAGATCTTGCGACGCAAGCGGAAAGCCCGCGAGCGCAGGGCTTGCTACCCATGCCGACAGCGCAAAGTCAAGTGTAATTACGAGACTCCCTGCCAACGATGCATTGATCGAGATCACGTAAACCTCTGCTCCTACCAACAGGTGCCGAAAGGAATTGTCGACACTCCGTCCACATCGAAGCCCGCGTCTGTCCTCAACGATGCGCCATCCGGGAGGGGTCTGGACTGGAACCAGCTCTGGTCCAAGTTGCAGGCCATTGAAGCTTCTCTGCGCGATATCAAGACTGAAATAGCCGGCCACGTGCAATTTCCAGACAAAGCGGGCCCCTCTCTCAGACCCTCTATTTTGCCCTCTCCCCAGGGACAAAGAGAAATACACACAGCTTCCGCTGCTACACCAGGAATCCCCTCGCGAAGTGGTCTCGTCGCCGATGGCTCCGTCCACCTGGGACGTAACTCGGTCCCTGCCATGGCCCTCGCTCTTGGTGGCGGGAATGACGAGCAAGCCTTGCAAACCGTCGTGGGAAATGCCGTCTTGCCTCTGTTCGGCCTCGACAATGAAACGGCGACGTATCCTTTCACAGACCTCTGGGGATTGACCGACACTGCTTCTCGAGTCGGGGAGGTCTGTAAATTGATCCCCTCGGACGCTGATTGCTTCCAGTATCTGCGACATTATCGCGACAATGCCCATGTACTATACCCGGCAGTCGTGAATATTGATATGTTCGAGTCTGAGTTGACCGCATTTCTCGTTACCCGCGCAGATCCTAGGTCTCAACTGGCTGCCTACGTTGATGAGTCTTCAGAGATATATGGACGTACAGTCCACTGGATCAGCTTACTGTTTGCGTGTCTTGCATCAGGGTGTCAATGCTCGTCGTCACCCCGAAAGGGACGTCAGTTAACTGCGCAGGTCTATGGTAGTCACCACTCTCCTCGTTGCTTTCGTGGACGTGTTTTTGCTAATGACCAGAATTATAGTGTGTTGTGCATATGAGTGTTTGCGCATCAGCAACCATCTATCGAGACCAACGCCGGTTGACATCCAGTCCCTTCTAGTAATTGGAAATGTGATTGCCAACAACATGAACGCAGGTGTTGCTTGGTCACTGCTTGGTAGAGGTTACCTCCTGTCTTGACGTCCTATATTCTAACCTTTTACAGGTCTCACAGCCAGGTTGGCCCAGACCATTGGTCTGCACGAGCCCGCAGAGCTTTCTGCGGCACCAGAGTACGGACGTCTTCGGGAGGAGATCTGGTACGTGGACGGCATTGTGCCTCAAGACCCCACAGTCGTTCCCTGACACAGCCAGGTGGCGCATTGTATGGCAAGATAGCTTGCTCTCAATCCTCTTCGATCGATCCCCCGCCACGTTCACTGTTGCTTCTCGGCGACAACACAGCGCGTCGGAAATTTCCGGCAACCTCTCCTACATCGAATGCATGAAGAGGTTGTGCGCAGCAATACTCGACATCGTTCGAGATCGATCAGTTACGGGAGACACGACCCAGGAGGTCCACCTCGTTCTGAAGCACCGCGACAGGCTAAACGCTATTTTAGCCGATGCCGCACCGCATTTGACGACTGTCTCTGCGTGTCGATCGATGAGACACCAGCTCGAGCATTGGAACCTCTCGCTTCATCTATCTTATGTGATGTTCGACCTACATCGAGCGGCACTTCGATTCCACAGGGACCCAGCCCTAGGACATTTACGAGAAGCATGCATCAACGGCCTAGCTGGAACAGTTAATGCCTACCTCGGTCTGCAAAGGGTATCGTCGACTACCAGAACTTCGTGGATTGCCATGCAACGCGCTCTCAGCTCTGCCCTCCTTCTGGGCATAATCAGGGAGCACACGAAGAGCAGTCATGTCCATGCACTTCTTCAGGATCTCCTGACGGTTATGACCAATCTTAACGCAGATACTGATCCCACAGAGGTGCCAGCGCCCATGGCAAGAGGTATTATGGCTCTGCGTATCTTTTTGCAAGGCCCTGACGCCATGGAAAGTGACAACAGTACTTGGTCATTCCTCGGGCATGACAGGGGTCAGAAGTCTCAGTCGGAAACGACGTCCATGGCCTCCCCAACGCTGTCTGAAAAGTCGCCATATGGCCACAGCCCGTTCTCCCTGCTGGGAGATATCCTCTGGGGTACTCAGTCTATGCACGTTCAGGGACTCTACCGCCGAGCTTGAAGCAGTGCGGCACTCTTAGCAGCAATCCTGGAAATAGCCAATCATGAGCCATTACGCGTCTGCTGTCAATGATGTTTGGAAAACACTGCCATCCGAAAACCCCAGGCAAGACGTCCACCGGCGGCCTTTATCTGTTATAACATATTGTTTCTCGATGCCTTGAGGAGTTGGTTTCTATGTTAATCCCAGCTACAACTTTCAACGAGTACGAATCGAAGCCCATCGGACGGAATCTATTGATCTTAGTGTGAAGCTAAACGCTTCGCTTGGAGTCAGCCCCAAGGCAAGCACATGCGGTTAACCTTGGGTGACGCTGCGAAGGAGGCTTCCTCCGGAATTACCAGGACCTTTCCAACAAAGTCTCAGCCCACCTACGTTCGGATACGCTATGCGGTGCATCGGCCATCCGGCCAAAACGGGATCTGAAACCCAGTTCAACAAATGCACACAAACGAGTCCAACGCTGCAATGTTCTCAATATAACCTTTTTTCTAACCATGGGTACATCCAGATAGACTCTCCATTGCCCTCAATGGAGCTGTCGGTGGAGAAGTCGGTTGGATCATAATATTCTCCGGGGTTCAAATCAAACGGAAGCCTCCAATCTGTCGTCCATACTGGAGTCGAGGTATCACTGTGACCGGAATCATCCAATTGGCTTCCTGTTGTTGAGAAAAAATCAGCTGCAGCTGATGAGGAGGGAGTTGTCTCCTGGGCACCCGCTGTGAAACTGTCTTCTCGTGCTTGCTCAGCACAAGACCAGTTTCTGTCTGACCGGCTGCAGGCCCGTTTCTCCGTGGGTGCTACACAAGGGCTGGAGGTGGATCGGGGTGCCATCTTATGCCCTAGATTTGGCCCCCTATCGGTCTCAACAATGTCGACTGCTTCCAAGCCGAGCGACACCACAATGTCGTTCACAGATATATCGCTGAATGGAGCGCATGCGGTGTTAGCCGCCCCTTCATCTGTTAATCCCTTCAGCTGACGATACAGTTCATGTACGCATGCCACGAGAATTGATTGTTGGCGCGCAAGTTGTTCTGCATATCTAACGAAGAGTCAATCCACGACCGGCTTTAATCACGGGTAAATACTCACGCGGCGACTGTCTGGCTTCCGATACTTTTTCGCACATATTGATATGTACATGAAGTCTTGCTCCTCGAACACTTGCCACAAGGCTCACCGCCGTCGCACTGACCGACATTACGCATCAGCGTCTCGATAAGACAGCACAACTTTCGATGCCTAGACTGACCTTGGCCTTCTTTATTCTGCAAAAGTCGCAAGCTCGAGACACCCTATGCCTAGCTTGCGTTGCCATTTTTCGATCGAGAGTCTTCTCTTCTGGTCTATCGCCCTTCGCCAGCTTACGATGATTGCTGCCATCTTGGGAAGACATGTTGGGCGATGGCCTGGTCTTTATTGTCAAAATTTGTTTTTCTGGACAGGGGACTTGAAGAAGAACAAGTCAGTCGGCGCATTGATATGTATTTCCTCTGGAGGCTTCCAATTACGTACGAGGAGGCCGAGTCCCTTCGTCCTCACTTAGCTTGATACACGGCCCATGTGCCACTCATATGCCATCAACAATGGCTCAGTCAGAAGCGAGTGAGCTATGATCGTCATGAGAGGGCATTGTTCTGAATAAAGACCGTCCCAAGCGGCCCACATTCCGCCTTGGGAGACTCTCAAAAGGGATGTGTGCCTCAATGGGATGTTGTTTATCACCTGAGTGCTGCATGATGGTGAGTTTAGAGCCAATAAAATGCACAGGTCAAGCAATCGATCATTTTTTTTGTCATGGGGCTTGTGGCTGAAAGTACGAATGAGGAGCTAACACAAAGTTTGATTTAGAGGCCTCGTACGGAGGTAAATCGGCGATGCTTCATCTGAGAAGACATCAACTCTCGAGCGGCATCTTCACCGGTCCAGCTGACTTAAGCTCGCCCTTTTACATTCGCCTACGCTGTCAATAGTTTCTTGCGGGGTCTTCGACCTTGTGTGGAAGCAAACCTCTGGCTATCGTCGACCTTCGATCTCGTTCTGGTCGTCTTGGAAAAAAGCATGAAACAGCTGCAAATAGGGTGACACACTCGTGATGCTCGTGTTCTTCTCGATTTGATCAACATGAGTCTCGAGAGGTCTGAGTCACCGGATCCGCGCTCCAGCGGACGAATATATCTATTGTCAATGTCGCTTAGCTGGAGGGGAATTGGATCTCTTTGTGCATCTTCATCAAGTCCAACCACAGTCCTCGCCAGACCTTAACAAGAAACCAAATCACATCGTTCAGTCAAAAGTAACCACAACTCCCAAACCAAATGTCTAGTTACGATCCTCGCAAGATGGAACCTGTCGTTCTTCGACTTTTCTCAAGGGGTTTTTATGTGTGGGAGTCCATTTGCGCTGCAGTAAGTATTCAGACTCCGCTCGCCTGCAACCCGAGTTCACGGACATTTCTTTCGTTGCCATTTACGTCTTCCAGAACCCAAACCAGCGAGGCTGACACTCTATGTTTTCTTCCATAATAGGTCGTGCTAGGTATCAACTCATGGTACCTTGCGCACTACAACGACACGCCAGTCTACCCGCAGGCACGTCTGATCTACACTGAGATCATTGCCGGGCTGGCGATCCCCACGGCAAACATCTTCGGCTGGATCTACAACGTCGTCCCCCGCCTGTTGGCCATGGTCAATCTGTTCTTCTCGCTGGCATTCTTCTCCGCATTCGGCGCCCTGATCGAGTTCGACTGCGACAAGAACTGGAACGGGTGGACCCAAGAAGTAGGGTCGTCGTATCGTGCCTGCTGGAGAGCCACGCTGGCGTTCTGCTTCATCGGTGCATTCTTCTGGCTCTGCAGTGCCGTCTTGTCCTACTTCACGCCCAGAGTCGAGGCTCAGGCGCACATGCCGTCATACAGAAAGCACAGCCAAACTCCAAGTTCACAAGTGTGAGGCTTTGTTTCCGACATATCAAATTGAGAGGACAGGGAGAGGGAGGGAGAGAGGAAGTCTCAACGAAGAGTCCTGTGGAAGTTGTTGTGGAAAAGATGGCGGTTGGTCATCATTGACTTGCTGTCAAGTTTTTGATGCCTGTTTTGAAGTGTTTCAAGGATACTCTCTTGTACCACACACAAAAAGTAATGCCTCGTTAGTAATAGTAATACTGTAATAAAGTCATAACAGAAGTCATTTCTGTGGCGAGAGCTATAGCGGGAGTTCGACTTGTTGATAGATAAACAGCTTTCATTTTTGATGTCTTCAATCGCAAGGTCGCGCACGGCTTTTGGCAAATTACCCCGAGGTTTTATTTAGGCGAACTCAGGATCGACCAACGGGGCCGATGAGCCGAACTGTACGATACTCGACAGGCTAACTAGTTAGTGACAGTGAGTGCCCTGCATGGGGTTTAAAGTGCGCCACGATGATGCTCAGCCTTTTGCCGGGTTGCCGTGCCTATCAGGAAACCTGTCTGCGGTATCATGATGCCCTGAAGATCTGATCTGAGGCTGGCTCACCCTTGGTACTCACTAGGCCGAACATGGGACGAGACGATAATCTGAGACTTTTCTTGAAAATCTCACACCACCGCTTCCTGTCCTTTTCGTTTTTCTTTGAGCCCCATGTGACACGGACAGGTGTGGTATTTTCCGGCGAGGCACCAGCTACTAATCAAGCCGAGCCACGCTTAGGAGGCCGTCATGTTGCGTCGTCATCTATCGTCGTCCTCCAGACCACGTCGAGGGTCGGGAAGCCTAGTGAGCCTGACCTTTTGACCTTTTGTCCTCTGCCCTCTGCCCTGTGACCTCGTACTTCGTATGCAGTGCGGCCATGTCCACTCACGGGGTTGTCATGCGAGACGCTCTCGTTCTGTCCAATCCATAGGCATGAAGATCACTGAGGTAGTTTGTTTCATATCACAAGATCCCACGAGGCGCATATTTCAGTATGGGGGACACCTGTAAGCTCTGTTGGACTCGTGGTTGCAAAATGATAGAGGGAAAACAATGCAAACGAAAATATCTGCCAACAACAACAACAGAAGCAACAGCAACAGCAACAGCAACAGCAACAGCATCGACAACAACATCCCATCATCCCATCAAACATTACCGACGTTCTGTGAACAGTGACCTTTAAATCATACCTAACCAATACCCTCCCCTCAGCTTCGATAAGATACTTGCCTCGGTCTGACAACCAGCAATTGACGATTGAGACGATCGTGACAATTTCATGGAAACCCTCGCATACAAGTTGACGTGGCTTTCCAAGTGGAAGCTTCGCTGCGAATCTGAACGGGGCGACCCGGACTTCACCAAGCTCATCGGCCACTATTCCGTGTATCTCAAGACTGCGCAATACCTGACTGAGCAAGACGACAGTGCCAGCTCTGACGCCACGGCCGTTGACTTGGACTACACGACGACATCTTCCGGTATGGATGACTTTGCCTGGCGTGAAGGCGACATGTACTCGCTTCCCTCGACCCTTTGCGACGACCCGCCGGCCGAATCCAATCTGCGTGGCGGGGAACCTCGACAAGGAGAAGCGACCTTACGCGGCACAAAAATCACATCCTCCTCGTCAGTCGTGGTCTCGGAAACTGAGATTCAACTTGCGGGTGCTGACGAAGATGACGATGACAGCGACCCGTTTTCTGACGCCGAAACCAGTGATTTCAGCGATGATGAAGACACGTCTAGTGACTCGAGTGTCGAAGAGCTGGAGGCTGGCGACGATTTCCAGCCGCCAAAGACCGTGTGCGAAAGACCTAGACCGAGGCTGGTTCGACGTCCTTGAGACCGTCTTACGAGCCATGGGAAACAACCAAGTGACGAGCAGGGCTTTTGGTAGCAGATGGGTTCGTCAGCTTTCCAGATCTTCCAAAGTCTTCAGAACCCCAGGTCTCCAGAACTTCAGCTCGGCTCTGCCACCTTCAATCGCAGACAGACGTGTCTCTAAACACAGCTATCGAACGTGCTTCAGGGGTCGAGGCAATTTCCACAGACCCTACAGCTATCGACATAACTTTGCGGGTGGCACGGTCAAAGGTCTTGAACCTCTTATGGGGAAGGAATCCCCCTGTCTGAACAGACAAAAGTCACGGCGTCGTGGTGCAGGAGCAGGACCAAAGAGTTTTTCTTTTTCAAACATGGTCGAGCTCGTACTTGTCCCGCGAACGACCCGCGAGTCAAGAGTGACCGAACGGCACGCATTTTCCTGACATCCCCAACGACGACGAAAACAAAGTGCTTCGACACCCAATCCGCCCGACAGATCAGTGAGCACAGGTGAGAAGTTGCCAAGTTGCCAAACAGATGGCGGAGAGCGTGGAATGGTTTATGAATCCTCACAGGATCACAGCCACGAGGAAGAATTGACAAAAGGATTCGGCTTCTATCAGTTGGTACCAAAAACAAACAAACCTCGGGTTGACTACCCACCTGTAGGTTCTGTAGATAGTGACCACGGGCCACGTGGAAGTCTTAACCTACCACTTTGCACAAGTCAAGATTTCTACATCGACATGTGCGCAACGAGTTTCCTTCATTATTGCATAGGTAATCAGTACATTATGAAGGTAATGAACAAAATCCATGCCATCTCTCCATGTTCCTTACTATGTTTAGACGTCTGGAGATAGAGGACATGGGACATGTGGCCATAACGTGTTCTGCCGTGCGGTGCATTTATTTAGTTGGAGTGTCTTTCTCAAGAGCTTGTGACCATAGTCGGGGTGAGGTTCGAGTGTCACAATACGCTTGTACAGCACACACTGTACGCGCGGTGAGGAGAGTGTTGTGTTGTAGAGATCTACCAGATCTTCTTGGAACGCGATAACTTTCTAGCACCGTCTATGTATCTATTGACCGCAACGGAGGATCCCGTAAGAACTTGCCGACCGTTTACATTTTGCCCTCATTTACGGGCGCACGTCTCCGTGAACCTCGGTTGATTGCACTGTAGGTACAGCACGAGTAGTTTCTGCTCTGTCACAAGATTGAATTCTCGTTTCTGGGGGGGCAACTGACCAGATGATTCAGAGACCAACAGGGCCACACAACCTCTGGTACTTGGTCTCTTACGGGCCAATTGCATTTCTGCCTCATTCCATTTTCCATCAACTGGACATACCTACCAGTAGACTTGTAGACACCTGCGGTACCGAGGTACGGTTACCTAGCCCCCTAATGTGACGACGATGATCATTCTACCCCGGTGATCGGGTCTTCAAAAAAAAAAAAAACATCACGCCATGAACAAACAACGACCAAGATCTACAGTTGGAACCTAGCGTACACTGCAGAGTATATCTCTTTGCGGGACTACTCACGATGACCTACCTAGTCTTGACCTGTCCCCAAGACGACAAAGAAGAATCAAAAAGCATTCGCGAATACTACATCCATATCAACGAGTTATCGGAGTGCAAGTTATACTCCACCCGGACAAAAACTACTACTGCACAACCTACAAACAAGTACACCTGCTACGACAAGGACAACAACAGCTACCGCCACCGCCTGCAACCCTGACCCTTGACACAACCGTCAAACTCGATGTTATCAGAAGCTCTCAGACTGTCCTTTTTCTACTTCGCCATAGTCTTCACCTGCGGCGTCCTGTTCGGTTCCGTCCGCGTGCCGTTCCTACAACCCACGCTTCTCGGCGCGCGCTATGCCGAGTTGCTGGAGATGCCACTCATGTTGTTCGTCATATGGGAATCGGCGCAACTGACCATCTCCCGGTTGACGATGATGAATGGTTCCGGCGGCACCGGCACAGGCAACAACGCTGCGACAGGCACCGGCACAACCGCAACCACGACCACAACCACCGCCGACGCCAAAAAGGTCGACGAGGACGACGACAGCACCACCTCAAATCAACAGCAACAACAACCCCTGACTCCAATCTTGATCGGGGCGCTGGCGCTGGCGTGGCTGGTCGGCGTCGAACTCGCCACCACGGCCATTCTACAAGGCGGATGGTGGAACGGGGTACGGGTGTACTTTGTCGGCCGCGACGTGGTCGCCGGCCCCGTGTACGGGTTGGCCGTGCTTTCGTACGCCGTTATGCCGTGGTACATTTGGCTCTGTCGGCGGCAGCAGACGAAATGGGCAATTGACTTTGACGGGTCAGTGGAGGAGGATGGAGGGTGGTTCTGAAGTGGAAAATGGAAGAAGAAAACGAAGAAAAAGAAGAGGGGGGGACGGGGGGTCTCTTCAAGACGAACAAACAAAGACACAGACATACAACAACAATAATAATGAGATTTGGGATTGAAAAACCGGAAACGGAAATGGAAAAAGAAGAAGGGACACACACACACACACACACACACACACGATAGTTCTTTGTGAGGACGGTACTCCGTAACTATATACAACGAGTAATTTTCGAGACTCATACGGTCTAGAAGACTTGTACTCAATTTCCCACCATCATCAATATCAGCCGGTACCAGTATTCAACCTCTGGCCATTTTCAGCTTCAGTTTTCACTCTTTCATATGAAATCTAATCTCGGTAGGTACATACAAAGTCACAAAGATCTGCTTTGATCCATTTTGACCCAGGTAGCTAGCTAGCTGGCTGGCTGGCTATCCTAGCAAGGCTTTTCCAAAACCATTCGTCTCACATTCTGTAACAGCGTGCAATCCTCGCACTTGATCAGCCTCTCGAGACCTCGAACCTGGTCTTGTAGCCGCTGAATCTCATCTCTCATGTGACGGCTCTCGGTTTCGGAGCGGTGGACGTACTCGAGAGCCCTCGTCATGATGTCACATTTCCGAACCCTCTTTCGACCGAGGTGTTCGGACGTCGGTGCGGGTGGTAGAAGAGCAAGGGCACTGGCACCGTCGAAATCGAATCGCTGCTGCTGCTGCTGCTCTCGCATGAAAAGGGGCGAACTGGCCTCGGTGGCTTGCAGGGTGCGGTGGAGCTGGTTGATCTTCCCGTTGAGATTGTCACGGTACCGCCGCTCGATGATTGAGTGGTTGTACTTGGCCTTGAGACTCGCCATGTCTTCCTCCTCATTCTCATCCTCGTCCTCGTCCTCGTCTCTATCCTCCTTGGACGAATCAGACTGGCTTCGCTTTTTGTTTTCTGATCTATTCTCCGCCGACGACAATACCAGCGGGCTTTTGTCTTGTTTTTGTTGTTGTTGTTCTTGTTGTTCAGTCAACATCACGTTTGCATTTCTCGTTCTGGACCTTGTACCAGGTGGGCCTAGACCACCACCCTGACTTGTTGGTATCGCTGGGACGTCCTGCGCCGGGCCAGATGAACCTTCTCTAGTACCGACACCTGGAAAAGTCGCAGATGACGAGGATGAGGACGATGCTGTAGGCCGTACTGCAGAGCGAGGCTTTGGCCCTGATCTCCTTCTGCCACCTGGTGCTATGCGTTTCAGGGACTGCCGCGGGTGTTGGCCCTGTCCGTGCTCGTGCCCTTGCTCTTGCTCGAATGTCATTTCGGTGTCTGTGGAGTATCTTTGCTGCTGCTGCTGTGATGGTGACGATGGTGATGGAAGGGAGGAGGTGGCAAAGATCTGCGTCTGCGACGGTACAATGAAAGAGACCGGCCCTGCTGCCACTGCGGCATTTTCAAACGAGTCTGAATACGTCGTGTTTACGAATGGCGACTTGGTCCAATAGTCGTAGTCGTAGTTGCAGTTGTTATACTGGTAATTCTGCCCTTGGTGTCCTTGTGCGGGCCAGGCATCAAAGTATGTCATGTCGGGATAAGTATTGTCATTATTGCTGTTGCTGTGGTTGTGGTTGTGGTTGTTGATGTCGGGTTGAAAGAAGAAGACATCATCACCGTATGATCGTTGCTAGCTATCTTTAGTACTTTTATTTTTTCTTCTGAATCATACTGGCTATCGGTCGAATATACCCACCTGGTTGTTGTTCAAGATAGGGTCCTGGTATGCAGCGGTGGCCTGGTCTCGATGAGCAGCCATGTAGCCTCATAGAAGGTCGTATCTGGTATGTTGCTAGACTCTGGTCCTCAGAACCTGGACGTTTTTCTCGGCCGTCACAGTATTGCACTGGTTGTGGAGGAGAGCCTCTGTCAGAACGTGAAGATCTCGGAACACGAACACACAAATCCCTGAATGGCGACCGGGAAACTTTCCCGCCTTATCAAGACGAAACCCATCGTCAGAATGAATGGTCCACTCAAAGACGAGAGCCTTTCACGCCGGTCGGTCTCTGAGCACTGAGCGGATTTCAGGCGACTGTGCTTCTCTGCTGCGCATGCCAATGCTAGGCAAGGTGGCTCTGGGTTTGGTGAGGCTTCTTGCACCAAGCCAGCATACACCCCACACGGGTAAAGTCTGGTGGTCCACGGAGCAACCACGGAGCGAAACCGAGCCGCGTGGGAGGAAAAGAGACAGTTCCGTTCCCCCGACAAGCACATGTCACGCTGCCTGCCACGTTGTTGTCTTGGGTTTCGTCAAAGGACAAGTCCGGAACAGACAGTGTGCGGATGAATGTCGTCGCACACTCGGACGCCCCATGCCATCTCGTGATGGTGGTGGGACGTAGTAAAAGTTGCCTCAAGGGCACCTGGGCTAGATCAGATTGGGGGGGGTCGGTTCCGACTGTGATGGGCCGAAGACCTCGAACGGGACTTTGGACCCTTGGTGAACCCACTCCTCGCTAAAGGCGTGGTGGCTCGCTGGGCTGGGATGATGAGGATGGCGATTCTCCGGGTGGCATGCGGTAGCGACGGCGGTTGAGGCTAGGAAGAGGTACAAGTACTTCCGAAAACTAACGACCGGCGTACAGTACGCTGTACTTTCGCTGGCGGGACTTCTTATTACATACTGAATTGATCCTGTACCATGCGCCGTGCGAAACTCTTCCCGCCACCTTCCTCGGCCTCCCTCCTCCCTCGACTCGATCTCGACCCAGCTCGAAGCCGCTTTCACATTGCGAACTGCCTCTTGAATCTTCTGGCGTCTTTCCAGTTCTATAAGAATCCAGATCCATCAGTAATAGTCCCTGAGACTTTCTTAAGTCTTGGTATTGCTTTGCATCTCACACACAGGTGGTCTTCTCCAATGCCTTGAGAAGGATGTTCTGCCTCTATTAGCTTCATGTGTCGGCCGCAGAAACCTACCGGGTCGTGCACCGATTAATTCGGCCTCGGATTCTCGTACAGTATCATCTCGCATCTTCTCAAAGCTGGATAGGCGGCTGGGAAGCACTACCCTGGCCCAAGAAGAGGTCCAGTTGGTCGCTAGGCGTCGCTAGAGCATGGGCGGTGTGTTTCGGGCACACAAACTCTCTGGCAAAGGAACGGGGGACGCATGTCCAGCACATTCGCAGACTCGCATCGGCCGATCGGATGATGGATTTCATAACAATGCGTCGCGTCGAGCCAGTGACCCCCCCCGCCATACTTATCCATACTCGTCCTCACACGGTCATGCCCGCCATCACAAGCCTCATTATTGCCGGCCGGCTGCAGCTTCATCTTCTTCCGCCTGTGCTCCGCTTGATTGCTCGTTGACCACGCCTACTATAAACGCCTCGCTCTCCGAAGGGTATGCCTTGACCATCTCCGTCGCCCATCCCTGACGGCGATATTCCTCCAGAGGCCACACGCACGCATAGGCCTCCTCGTACTCTGCCCGGTCGACTAGACTATCGATGTACTCGGTCATTTCCACCCTGGCTTGCCCTTCAGCTTCGATCTCCCGGTCAAAGAGATTCTGCCTGGGAGACTGGCTGATAGCGCCGCGCTTTGGCCGGCATTGACCATCGACACCGCCTCCATGTCTTGCGAGAAGCTTGAGAACCGAATACGGGGTTCGAGCTGAAAAGAGAAAAGTCCGTAGTGTCAGTTTTTGAGCCACAAGTCCTTGCCATGCAACCACCGGTACGCCAGACCAGTAAATAAGAAAAGACAACAAAATGGGGAAAGGGAATGGAAAAACAAATCGAAGAGACGTACACTTCTCCACCTCACCTTCTGCTCTAGATCCGTCATCGTTGATTTTCCAGGTGTTGACAGCTGCAGCCAAATCCGACCACGTTGGCTTCGACGGCTGTGACAAGGGCGACGCTCTCATCTCGTGGTTATGTGGGGTATAGGAACCTCCTACGGACTCGGAACTGTCTGTGGATTTCAATTCAATCTCGTCGATGCCGGGCAGGACCGAGTGTTGTGGGTAAGCGTCGCTGTCCAACGCGAGCTCATTCTTCGTAGATGTCGCAGACTCACTCCCATTGACAACAGGAGACTGGTGACTGTCACTGTCATTCTCAGCTGGCCACTTCCCACAGTGTAAGAATTCTGGGATGTTGGTAGTAATCTCTGTCGACGCTTGTGTCGTGCCTTGATCCACTGATATCACTCACAGTAGCGTCATGATTGGGACAGTGGTGCCGGTCGCAGTCTGTATGTATCATCCTGGCGATGGCTTTGGTGTCGACTGTGCTTCTTAAATCGCACATGCGCGTACGGGGGGATGCAGAATATGCTTTTTTTGGGTTTCTTGGTGAGATTCGAATTTCGAAGCTGTCTCAAGTTTCTGTGCACGATTACATGAATTCTAGAAAGATTCAGAATGATCAAACACATATTTTTCTTTTGACTATGATCCAAATTGACTGTACAAAACACACATGATCCAAAGGGATGCGTGTGGCGTGACCTCCACCTCGTGTTCGCTAACTGAGGTTTCGTTCCTGGTCCGGCTTTTTAGGCTCGAGGATGATAGAGTCACAGGTTCGACTACATCCACGAACTCGGTCTTCTCTGCTGCCGCCTGCGATTGCTAAAAACATCACGTTGCGATGGAAAGACCACCAAGTCACCGTGAAGGACCGAGGTAGGCCCCTCTCGCACTGCACCTCAATTGCGCCGCCGACGAGAAGGTTTGTCGCTCGAATATCTCTCCGCCTATTCTGCAGACCAGTTTCGGGTCGTTATTTCGGGGGGGTCTGGCAACCACAGTCGACAATGACAAAAGACTACCAAATGCAGTATTGCAGAACTGTCCTGCCGAGTTCTTGAAATTCTAGGGTTTTCTATTACAAGATACCAAATCTGTGCCCCTTCTCTCACCACTGTTGGAGAGCAGAGCCGGTGGTGCCTGTGTGTCGGACGAATAAGGCTCTGGCAATCAGGGGGTCTGTGTCTCTCCCACTTTCCAACTTCAACGCAACGTGCAGGGGAATTTCCCGCCGCTTTTGGAGGCCGATTTCCCTCTATATCATATCCAGAACGCTAAAACATGAAAGCGTTCTTCCATCCCGCATTGACTCGCCCACCCCATGCAACTTCACCGGACTAAAAACAGACCCCGTCCAGAAGCAACCCAGGAATCGTCAACTCCTTGGAAACGGCATTTGGCCGTACTGTTCTCCCGTCCGAGTTTCTACTTCATACCAGAAGGCGGAAACCATGATCGCGCAGTAAGCTCTGGCAACTGTTGTGGCGATCATAGATGATCATTACCAGAAAATGGCCATGTGTGCGATGTTCTTACGCGTCTCGCATTATAGCGTGGTACAATAGTGAGCTAGCGAGTACTTAGTGTCTCCCCGACGTCATAGTCGTTGCAGTGAATTGACGATTCAGAGGAACTATAAGTCCCTATACTCTATTCTATGGCTTCTGCGTCCATGACTACTTCATTTTCCGCTGCGAATCTGGTAAGCACAGGACATTAGCCAACCATGGACACTTCGCACGACGGTCTCAACCCAGTAGATGACGAGCTAGACAGCAGCACCGACTCTCAAGACGAGGTCGAACCTCAGCAGAGCGGCGAGTCGCTCCTCAACACGTTCATTCAAGCCCACTCTCAGCCTTCCACTTCGACAACACACTTGCAAGCCGCGAAATCACGACTTCCCTACCCTGTGATTATCACTCAACGACGACCTGGACACAAAAGGCGAGGCTTCATCAAGGCGTATGCGCCTGTGCTAGAACAATATGGCATCGACCAGGACACCTTTATAGAATTCATTCGTGCTACGAATAAGGCCATGGAAGAGAATAAGTTGCTCGTGGCAGTCCAGTTAGCGGCCGCTGGCACTGGGTTTGTTCCGAATCATATTGCACTGGGTGTCTCAATAGCGGTGCAGTTTATCGCCGGCGCCATTGCACAAGCCGAGGCCAAGTGGAGGTAAGTCCTGATCTTTGCCTTGTGTCAGACGCTCCATCGCCATCATCAGCGCGGATATTGTGCTTATTAGCCCATGACTGGCGCGTAAAGGACGAACTCATTCTTGGACCGCATCAACGACGAATTCTTTCGTCCTCGAGGTCTCTTCTGCCTTCTTATGTGTTACAACCCGATCGCGTTGGAAAAGAAGGATGCGCCAGAGGAAATTGATGCCGTGTCCAAGGCGATTTCCCCCTCACTCAAGCCATCATTCGGTGGCCGTGCGAGGCGAAACCTTCGAGACCCAGTGGCTGCTACGGTTGAAGGCGAGGAAAACCTCCCTGCCAATACCGCTCCATTGGTCTACCTGGAAAAGACCGAGAGCGAAGACCCTCATTCGGATGCGAACTCAAGAGAGAAGCAAAACATAGGTGACCGGCTGAACAAGTACTTTGATAAAAGAGCGCAAGCACGATACGTGAGTGTTGTTTCTCGCAACAAGCCTTTGACTGAATGGCACGAACATACTTACTGATGCTCGATTGACACAGGCCAAGGAGAGTAACGGAGATATCCTTTCCAACCCCGAACCTGTCAAGTTCAAGAACCGATACCTCGACCCAACTTCTGCAGCCAGCAACGGAGGGCTTCTAGGGTTAGTGTCGGGAGGGAAACTTACTCGCGATCCGGAGAAGACAAAGCAAAGCATACAAGCACAGTTCGAAGCGCAAGAGCGGGCCATTCAAGAACAGCAGTCAATCGTGATGGCGGGTCTTCAGCAACAGTTGCAAGCCATGAGTCTTTCACCCGCTCAGCAGCAGCAGTACATTAAGCAGTATCAGGATATATACGAGGGACAACTACAGCAGGTTCGACAGCAGTCGGACCTGTTCACCAAGGGGAAACTACACCGTCGCATCGTCAAGGTATGTTTCCCTCCCCTCTTACTGGCTGGGTGAAGAATAGTGCGTGTTGACCTGTCCGTTGGCTTTCAGGACGTTCTCTACTTGATGATTGTCGATATGCCATCGGATGAAGAGATGGAGACGGCTCGCACCCAGTTGAGGACTTCTGGTCAGACTCGGGCGACCAACAAGGTGAAATTTGCCACCGTTGCTGTATAAATCGAGTTGAATGTGGACGCAATAACCCCGTACCTGTGGAAATGTCAGATCTTGGAACAGGTATTCATCAAGATGATTGTCCAATCCGTCGCCGAAATTTAACACTTAAAGATTAACAGAAAAAAATATTGTTTAATTGATCAAACTATGCCGTCCAATGATCTATATTGTCGTCAGAAGAACCCATATATATTTTATATCCCAGTACCAATGCAATCCAAGTGCCAAGAGGCCAACGCGCTGTTGAATATGATTCGATGCAGTTACAAGGCGAATGCAGCAAACAAGGCGCCAATAGCGAGACCAGCCATGGAGCCTTGGGCCTTGACGGCAGCGCCGGTGAAGGTAGACGTAGCAACTGGATTGGTGCCAGTGGCGTCGCCGTTTTGCGAGGCAGTGGCGCCGCCAGCACCAGTACCCGAACCGCCGGCGGCGGTGGCGGAAGCGGTAGCGGTAGCAACTTGGGGAATACCACCTGAGGTACCGGCACCAGCAGTTCCAGAAGCAGTGACCGTGGTCAAGGTTGCAGAGCCACTTCCTGAGCCTGATCCATGAGAGGCAGTTGAGGTGCCGTTCTTTGAAGCGGTTGCCGTGGAGGTGCTGGCAGATGAGGTCGAGGTGTAACCAGCCGTGGCGTTGCAAGCCAGGTTGTAGAGAGGCGTTCCGTTGTCGGAAACACCGAAGGATGGGGAGGCACCAGCATCGGCAAGAATGTACCACCAGAAGTTGATACCGCGGTTCTCGAGAGCACAAGCGACATCCTGCCAGAAGATTTCGGCATTATCCACGCTTGCAACGGCGAGGTTGGAGGCGGGTCCTGAAGTTGGCCAGCCAGCCTCGGTGATCCAGATGGGTTTTCCTTGAGCCACAGCAGCGACGCGGTCGTAGGCCTGGAAGAAAAGGAAGCCGCCGTTGTCGATGCTGAGAAAGTTATTAGCAAAGTGGCATTCTACCCACGAAAGAATTGCCTTACCTGTTAGAGTCAGTGGTCTGGAAGTAAGGGTACTCATCAAGACCAAGGAAATCGCAGCTGGAGATGACATTGAAGTTGGTCTCATTGACATAGACGTTCCAGGTGTCGACGTGGCCGACAGGCTTGGAGGCCAGAGATGTACCCTTGATGGTGTCACGGACTTGTCCAATATAATCGACCAAGGTGTCTGGAGATTGACCCACACCGCTGCCTGCAGCGATACCAGTGGCAGAGATACGGTACAGATCCTCGCTACCGACCGAGATACCAACCACCAAGTCGGCAAATGAAGAGCCATATTGTTGAATGGCACTCTTCAGGGCCGAGATCTCGTTGTCGAACGAGGCCTGGTCTACAGAAGCCCAGAGACCGAGCAGGAGAGTGGTGTTGGTGTCGATGGCGGCCTGGATGGCATCGATGGGCGTGTTTGTGGTCCCTTCCTGGATCATGGTGTACAATCTTGCACTGGTGAAATCGTTGGCACCAGCTAGCGAGGCGGCGGTCTTGAACTGGCTAGCGAAGCCATCGTAACTCTGACCTTGCGAGGCGTAGTTGAAGCCCTTGATGGCGGCCAAGGCAGTGGAGGCACCTCCTAGGATGGCGAGAATGGAGGACTTCATGGTAACGGTGTAAAAAGGGCGATCCGAGTCGAATGAATGTACAAAAAATGGATCCTGCAAGGAGCGAAGTAGTCAAGGGAGGTATCCAAACGAAGGAGCAAACGAATGACTGCTCGTAGAAAAACGAAAGAAATGAGACAATAGATTGAAGTTGTCGAGTTGAAGGTTGCAAGGGAGGGAGAGACAGGAGGGAGTTGGAAGACATGATGGAAGAATGCAAGAAATAGAGATCGGATGGCCACAGCACGGATCGGGTAAAGCGCAGGGGAAATTTGCATGGGGGCGTGTTATGGTGCATTATTTTCGGCTCGTGTGTTTTTATGGGGAGGACGGTGGCGCTCGCTTGGGCCTTGATCTGGCTGTGGGCGCCCCCCTAAGGGGCGCCACGCCCGAGAACCCCTGGCATCTCTGGGCACTCTAGGCACTCTCTTAGGCTGCCAATGCCTCCCTGAGTCCCTGCATCCTGGGCACCTAAGGACTAGACTCAGGCTAACAGAAAGCTTAGACTCCGGCGCCCACCGACCCGCGCACTACCTAGCGGGAGGCTGAGCAGGTACGAGTGCAAAGCACAAGATTGTACCTGACGATCAGCCACTCGCCGAAAAGTTCCTCCGAATCACCGCTGCAGGCTACAGACTCTGCAGTCTCTTCCATCACCATCACCATCACCAACAATTGCTACGCCGTGTCTGCGCGTGAGTTGAGTGAGTGTCCTTTCCACGCTCACCGGTATTATCCTGTCTTGAAACGACGACGTCCACCACCGAGTGCTCCGTGCTGTCTCCTGCTTTTTCCCACGCTGGTCCAATGGAGAATTGCGTCGGCGAGGTTGACGTGTCCCTCAGCCTCGATGCAGTCTAGTCCATCAACCATCTCAAACATTATTGACAGGGGCACCAAAACAAAAAGCCACAAAAGAGCCAAAGAGCCACCGGGGCTGACGTCAATACGGTGCAAGGTTTTCTCTCGTGTACAGTAGGTTTTCCACCAAGTGTCAACAATCCCCCTTTGCACCGATCTATTTTTGCCCATGGCGTACTCGATTGGGGAAGACTTTGCGGTTAGCTTCCCACCCAAGCCTTGAGAACGACTGTTAACAACGTGCTTACGTCGACGCGTTGGTCCTTGCATGTGACATGGCCGGTAGACGGAGAGTGAACTGGTGGACATTGTTCTGGGATCTGCATACTTGTTGGCTTTGGAAAAACAACAACAAGAACAACAAACCACAAGTCCATCCATATCCGATGCAAAGCACAGTCCTGCCGCACTCAAAGCACCTGGCACTACTGGGAATCGCCGCCTGCTCTCATTCTCATAACAACATTGATTTGTGCTGTATCCCGTGCCTGTAGGTGGATCAGGTCGGTACAATAGGCGGCTGGCGAACGCGTTCTACAGTACATATGTACGTATCCCACGAATCAGTCAGGCCTACAGTACTCGGACGGGTACGTCTGGTACAGTAGGCGAATAAACGCCACGTGCATTCCGTACTCCATACGCTCCATCACTAATTACAACTCAACGCCCAGACATTGTTGTGGCCTCGTCATCACAATTCGTACACCGGCCCATTGACCTAGACCTTCACCAAGCACATGCCGACGATAAAAGGTCAAAGATGGTCCGCAAGGCGAGTCTCATTCTTCCAGTTCTAATAAAAGTCCAAAAACAAACGCACGCCAACCTGAAACATCGGAAGCCACTTCAGCCCGCAGGCTAAAACCGTAACGGCTTCGTACAGCGAATAGCAAAGCTTCTGTGAGCGGCTGTTCCCGTGTTGCAGGTGTCAAAATGTGCTTTTGGGCGACGAAAAATTGCAATTCTCCGGATCCGGTCATTAAATGGCCCAACTAGGAAGGTCTTCGTTGAAGGGTCCCGAACAAACGTTTCAACGGCGCACTTGCATGCGAACCGTTTCTCAAGGGATACAATCGCCTTGTCCAGACGAAGATGCCCCTTTTGGAACTGATTGAGATTGTCACCGTTTGACCTGAACATCATATCATGCCAGTACTCGGTTTGAATTGACTTCTACATCTCTAGGCTCAGGCGAGTGAACTTCTCCTACGACTGTTCCCGTTATCATCCAGTCGACTCACTCATGCATAATTAAAGTTGTTTCGACACAGAGGACAGCTTGAACTGTTGGAACTCTTGAACCATCGGAACAGACACGCCCCATGGAAAGTGTTGCGACAAGTCCCGCACCGCTTATTGGGAGTTTGCATGTCCGTACCGATGATGCTGTAGCAAATGGCGCACTCACTCTGCCCCTTCAAAGCCCCCTGAACGTTTCGACGGAGAGCGATGAGGCCTTCGATGATGCTTCCACTGCTGAAAATGATGATCTGGAAGGTTCGGAGCCACGACTGCCAGTTCCTCTCCGACACCCCAACTCGAGTTCGGGATTCCACCGTCGGAGCATCGAGAGGATATGTCGGAGGCAGAGAAATGGCGATGGCAATGGGAGGAGACTCTGGATCAATGGCGATCGATGCCACAATCTCGGACCCGCTCAATGATGTCTTGACGCTGACTGCGGCTTCACTTTCGTCTTGTGATTGGTTTGCCGCCCACTCTGTAACCGTTGATGAGGCAGCTAACACCAGAGATGGCGAGAAGTATTTCTGTGTCCAGCTTTCCAGCGGAGACTTCACTCTGTTCTTCTGCTCCACGAACCAGCTTCGCGTGAGGCTGGGGAGATAGAACAAACAGCAATAGTAAAGGTGTATACTCAGTCGTTGTTCCTCTTGCTCATCAGACTCGGCATGGCCGTACTCGAAGTTGGTCAAATCTATTTTGGAAGCATCCAATGGCCTGCCGCTAGTTATGCGGCAAATCTCACAGATGAGATCAAGCAGATTTATGATGACGCCACTCTCTTTGATATCTGCCATATACATTTCCTGGAGTCTGTAGGAAGCATTGGTGAAGTGATCGAAGGCTAGTCGCCACTGAAGGAGATAGCTCTGTCGAATCATTCCACCGGCATCTTGAGTTCTAGGACCATTCGCTAGTAGCGACAAAAGTTCTTCCGGCAGATGAGCATCTTTCTTTTCCAGGGCTATGTCAATGGAGATTTGCTCTTGAGCTTTCGGGATAGACCGATGGAGAAGATCGTAGGCAGCACGTCGGACTGCGTCCTCTGTCGAGGAGAGGAGCGAGTAAAGACTCGGGTCATGCGGTACAGACACCTGTGCCAGCTGTCTACGAAGGAGTTCGGCGGTGATTCGACGAGGTTGATTCAAATGCGCATCAGAAACGCGAAAATTCTGTAGGCAGCGAAGGAGCCCTCGCTCAAGCGATGCCTCAGCCACCTTGTACGCATCCGAGAGGTCCTCGTTGCTGTCGTCACCTTTTGCCAGAGTTTCGAGTCGCCCGTGAAGTCGGAGTGACGCGTGGATCATCGGGAGATCATCCTCCAGATCACGCTCCTCGTCCCAGACTGCAGCCAGATAGCCAAACATCTGCTCCCAGTGCTCTCCATAAATGTCTCTGGTGATAGCCAACACTGGATCCAGAAGCTTTAAGGCCAGAGTCTGGAGAGGAAGGTCAGCTGAAGAGGGATCCAGCAAACGCACAAGTGACTGCATGAGAAACACCATTCTCTGGTTCGGAATAGCCTCCAGGGGCTCCGGGTCGCTGTTCACCAATAAATCTAACAAGACTAGACTTCGCATCGATGAGACGGAGTCGTTGGAAGCTTTTACGTCGGTGCATGCAGCAACAAGCTCATTGACCAGCCTTCGACCCTGCGTCGAGCCAAGGAGTTGATCACGACAAGAAGATATCAAACTTGCGGAGCGTATCAACTCTGGCGACCTGTATAAGTCCTTGATCTCCCTCTCGAAATCAGCCAGAATCAGGGAGGGGCCATGACTGTCCACGAAGCGTGATGCAACGTCTGCGAATGCCAAACCTTGGAGGTAAGAATAAGGTGTCAGATCAGTGACAGACCGGATACGTTGCATCCATGATTTTATCAGTTTGTCGTCCACAATCCATTGCTGGATCAATGCATTGCCCTGAGAAAGAGTGTCGGCAACTTCATCCACAACCTCCTGGTTGGTATTCAGCCAAATGTCGTTTGCTGATTCCATTGTCATTTTCTCATTGACCAGCTGCAGCGATAGCACGTAGAAGGTGTATAACGTTTGCAAATCCATGTCGGAGAGGCGAGTCAGGATTTCGGACTCCCTGAGTAACCGGGTAGAATATAAGACCAGTCTGAACAAGAGAGAAAAGTCATCGGCATCACGCAAAACATCTGAGGATCGAGCTGCAGGACCATCATCAACCAAATATAGTAAGCCATGGAGTGGACTGGTAATGGTCAGACAACGCGGTCGCCGCATTGACAGATGCGGCGCCAGTGCGCTTTTCCACTGTGATTCGGATGGAAGAAGCTCACTTCCAAACTTGTCTGGTGAACGATCTTTGAGGGTGTCCTTAGCCAGATCGATCAATGCGAAGATCGAAAGGGGAATGCCTTTTCCGGAGAGCTGGTCAGCTACAACTGTCGTCACGGATTCAGCAACGGAATTGGAACTCGAAGGCAACTTTTTAAGCTTCGACATCAGTGTCGTGGCAAGCTCAGCAGTCTCGGTGTTGTCTGAATCAGACAGTACAAGGACCTTGGAAAAGAGAAGGCTACTGTCAAACTGTTCCAAGAAGGTTTGCGGCTTCTGCGTAGTGTTGGTCAACAGGTGAGTGAGCAGGCCAAGAGTAGCATGCTGTAGGGCTGGCGCTGTCTGCGGAGACAGATGCTCAAGTAGCCTGTCCTCGCAGAGTTGTCGAAAGTGGGAAGACCGAAGTTGAGGGTTCTGGAACACGGTCGAGATTATCTCCTGCTCATGACTATCTCCTGTGGGGCGAGAGATCTTTTCCAGGATAAATGTTTGTAAATCTTCGTGCTTCGAGATCTCAAGCGCCGATATCTCTTTTAAGAGAGTTGCGATAGTTTTGGTCGCAAAGGTGTTCCCATCAAGGCTTAGTAGACGTGAGATTGATGGCGCTAGATCTTGATTCAGACGAAACGTAAGAGTCGCCAGGAACTCAGCAGAAGGGCTGCTCAAGAGCTCTAGACCATCAGACTCTAAAAACTTGACCGACAGATTCCTTGTCTCCAACGAATCATCGGACGAGGCGATGTCTCGGAGCGTGAATGCAGCTCCATAGGGCTTGCCGTTACGAGATTTTAATATATCAATGGCAGCAGTGGCTAATTTCTTGTCTTCGGCCTGCAGTACTTCTTTCGCATATGTCTGCACTGTAGGATCAAGAGTGGTGGTCCGGACCACAACCGCTTTGAGCTCAAAAAGTCGTGTTACCTCCGCAATCACATTGTCCTGGGATTTTATGAAATCCTTAGAGGATTCAGGTAACGACATTTTCATGTTATCGACGAATTTCGAGCATAGCTGGCCCCAGGCAGTCGCAAAGAGAGATCTTGAACTCCGCCGCAGAAGTTCCCCAAGGACCGTGCTGGAAATCTTCGCACTGGTGGAGGGGCTGATCGCCCGCGAGATTGTTTGAGAGTCTGGAAATACATGGCGGAGAAGAAGCGGTAACAAATGTTGAGAAAAGAAAGTAGATTGGGCGTCTTCCTGGTCGATCTTTTCCATGAGCCAGAACGATATCTGGATATAGACTGACCATGCTGTGTCCAGGTTCTGTCTAGGCTCATCAGCGTGGGAGATGCCTTCTTTTACTGCTTCTACAAGAGCCTCCGTCGCCTGTAGATCACTTGCGCCCACACTGTTGGCTTCAAATAACAGTTCCGGAGGAACCTTCAAGAGCAGATGGAAAGTGTTGGTCCAGAAATCTGCCGAACCTCTCTGGGATCCCCGTCTGAGATACTGGAGGAGTCGTTTGAAGGCCGAAGTCTTGGAAGTGTAGTCTGCTGTCCAGATCTCTGGTCGTGTGGTCGTGAGGGACAAGATGGCTTCAGAAAATCGACCCGAAGAGCCTAGCTGACTGGAGTGTAGCGCTTTACCCACAAAGCAAGAGCTTATGACTTTCCAGTCCAGACCCGAGGGTAAGACTTGGGAACAGACTAGGGCCAAGCTGCATGCAGCCCGGCGCAGGCTGGGATCTTGATGGTAGGAGTATTCCCAAAGCTGCTTATTCCGTACTGTCGTTTCGATCCGTCCCCGAATGTCTGACTGCTCGGGTCCGGCGTCCGATAGATTTGTTCTGATAACCTGGCTCAACGTATACATAGCATTCCCAGCCACGCGAACAAACTTTGCTTCGGCATCTTCTGGAGTTGTTGACCGCTCGTCGCTCAAGGTTTTGGGCGTTTGAGAGAATATTGCATCTTCAACATAGTCCACCAGCGTCGTGCTGTACACTTTCCATAGTGCCCGCCTCTTCTCATCTGTCGGGAATGACGAAGCGATAGAATCTTGGGCAGCCCTTGCAGCAGCTGTGTCACTGTCATAGACACCGGAAAGCCACGGTCCGATTACTCGCTGCAGAGAGGGCGCGATTCGCCTTCCATAGAGAGATGTGATGGAGCCCTGGATGGTATGGGCGAGCTGACGGACTCGTCGCGAATTGTCGATGGAGGTGCGCGGGTAAAGGCTGAGCTGTGTGCATTATGAGAGACTGACGCAACAAAATATGTAAAGATGGAAGACATACCCATGCCTCTAGCAAACCCGCATCTCCTCCGTTGTTGGATGCCGCGGTTCCAACGTAGTCTTGTATCTCCTCAAGAGCCTTAGCCTTGGTTGTGCTGTCCTTCTTCCCAAGGTTTCTGAAAGCGACGAGCAGATGAGGGTCCGAGATTGCGGTTAGGTCTGGTTGCTCCGCAATGTACGAAAGGGACGAGGGTGCAGTCTGAAAGCCTGCAGAAGGCGCAGCGAAGCCAAACGAGGACGATCCGAAGGCTGCAGAAGCGGCGCGAGCGCTGGAGGCCTGGGACTTGAACTTTCGGCTCATGCCGCTGCGGTCGTCCTCTATGGTCTGGGGTCGTCTAGTGAAAGCGACCAAGGCCCCTCGTTTGCGTGATAAGGTATAACCTGAGCGTGGCTCACTTTGGGAAGACTCGATCTTAGACTCGCGGTGTTGGTGGTCAGAAAAATTGTATAGAGCGAACTCCGATACAGGCAGGCGTTGGAGATGACGTCGTAGTTAGCGCAGTGGTTGAAGCCTATAGCATTTAGGCGCAGGCGTCGGAGTATTTTTCTAGGGGAGCCTAAGAAGGGCTCAGGCAAGGCTCACAAGGCTGGCTTAGGAACCGTAGGTAAACAGCGCCCACTGATTGGTGCTTCGCGCCTGGTGCCTGATTCCCACCGCGCCCATACTATCACTCCGTCATGATGGATTGAATTGTCCCTTGTCTTCTTTTTCCAGTGCGTCTTCTCAACCTCAGATATGCAGTGGCGGCAGGCCTTTCGACAAGGGGCTGACTATCGACACCGCGGCTCTCGCGGAGTTTGTGACGTCTCGTTTGTCTCATGAACTGGCGTCGAATCTACCACCACCAGACCACGCGGGTTCGTTGACACTTGAGGCAATTTCTTGTGCCACCATTAAGTCGCCGCCGCCTTCATCATGAAGTTCTTTATCGAGTGAGTTCAGCATTATGATTTCATGGCAGACGTGAGATGTGGAATGGTCGGCTGACAGCTGGTAGTGACCTGCCGGTTCTCTTTCCCTACCCTCGCATATATCCTGAGCAATATGCCTACATGTGCGACATCAAGCGAACGCTCGACGCGGGCGGGCATTGTGTTCTCGAAATGCCTTCAGGCACGGGGAAAACAGTCTCATTGCTGTCTCTCATCGTGGCATATCAACAACACTACCCCGAACATCGGAAGCTCATATACTGCTCCCGTACCATGTCGGAAATCGAGAAGGCACTTGCAGAATTGAAGGCTCTAATGAAATACCGCTCCGAACAACTTGGCTATGTCGAGGACTTCCGAGGTCTAGGCCTGACCAGTCGTAAGAACTTGTGCCTCCATCCCTCCGTCAAAAGGGAGAAGAGTGGCGCTGTAGTCGATGCTCGATGCCGCAGTCTCACGGCTGGCTTCGTGAAGGAGAAGAAGGAGAGAGGAGAAGATGTCGAACTCTGTATCTATCATGAGAATCTCGATCTCCTCGAGCCTCACAACCTCCTGCCTCCAGGCGTGTTCACACTGGATGATCTCCTTAAATACGGTGAGGACCACAAGCAATGCCCTTATTTCTCCTCCAGAAGAATGATGTCGTTTTGCAATGTCATAATCTACTCCTATCACTACCTGCTCGATCCCAAAATCGCAGAACGTGTCTCGAAAGAGCTCTCAAAAGACTGCATCGTCGTCTTCGACGAAGCTCACAATATTGACAATGTCTGCATCGAGTCTCTGTCCATCGATCTCACGGAGGATTCACTGAGAAAAGCCACACGGGGCGCCAACAACCTGGAGCGGAAGATTGAGGAGATGAAAGCTTCTGACGAGGAGAAACTCCAGAGCGAGTATCAAAAACTTGTGGAAGGTCTTCGAGAAGCCGATGAAGCCAGAGCTGAGGACGCTTTTATGGCCAACCCAACACTACCGGACGATCTCCTGAAAGAAGCCGTCCCGGGTAACATCCGCAGAGCAGAACACTTCGTCGCCTTCCTCAAGCGATTCATCGAGTATTTAAAGACGCGAATGAAAGTTCTCTATGTTATTCAGGAAACACCGCCCTCGTTCCTCTCCCATCTCAAAGAGTTGACATTCATCGAACGCAAACCGTTAAGGTTTTGTGCTGAACGATTGACCTCTCTTGTACGCACCCTGGAGTTGACGAATATCGAGGACTATCAGCCCCTGCAAGAAGTCGCAACGTTCGCCACATTAGTCGCCACATACGAGACTGGCTTTCTTCTGATTCTGGAGCCATTCGAAACAGAGCAAGCGACGGTGCCGAATCCCATACTTCACTTCGCTTGTCTTGACGCCTCCATCGCCATCAAACCGGTCTTTGAGCGATTTTCCTCCGTCATTGTCACGTCTGGAACCATATCACCTCTTGAGATGTATCCGAAAATGTTAAATTTCACAACTGTTACTCAGGAATCCTATCCCATGTCACTGGCACGACGGTCCTTTCTACCTATGATTGTCACGCGTGGGTCGGATCAACAAGCTATCACGTCTGGCTTCCAATCTCGATCGGATCCTGGTGTCGTCCGAAACTATGGCGCGCTCTTGTTTGAGTTCGCCAAAATCACACCGGATGGAATCGTGGTGTTCTTCCCTTCATATCTCTACATGGAGATGATCATCAGCATGTGGCAAGGAATGGGTATCCTCGATCAGATCTGGACCTACAAGCTCCTACTCGTGGAAACTCCCGACGCTCAAGAAACCAGTCTGGCGCTCGAAACGTACCGTACAGCTTGCGAGAACGGTAAGGGAGCGATCCTGCTCTGTGTCGCTCGTGGCAAAGTCTCCGAGGGTATCGACTTTGATCATCACTATGGCCGAACAGTGTTATGCCTGGGGGCGCCTTTCCAATACACTGAATCACGAATCCTCAAGGCCAGATTGGAATTTCTGCGTGAAAACTATAGAATCAAGGAGCAAGACTTTCTGTCCTTCGATGCCATGAGGCACGCTGCACAATGCTTGGGTCGAGTGCTTCGAGGGAAGGATGATTACGGAATCATGGTGCTCGCTGACCGTCGATTCCAAAAAAAACGCAGCCAATTGCCCAGGTGGATCGCTGAGGAAATCCTAGATGGCCAGACCGGTCTAAGTACCGACGCGGCTGTCGGCATGGCCAAAAAATTCCTGAGGAGCATCGCGCAGCCACTACTGCCCGGTCAAAAGGCAGCAGATGGCACCACCAAGGGCAAAGATAGTTGGACGCTGCGTGAATTGGAAGCTTTCCAGAGAGAGCAGGGACTCAAGAGGGGACAAGGAGATGAAGGTCGCGAAGGACCTCATTTTCACGACTATATGCACAGCGAAGTGAATAACCCCACCGCCGCACAGAACGGTACCAATGGCCACGCTTCTGGTCTAGATGAATTCGACGAGGAAATTGCTGACGAAGAATTGCTGATGGCTGAAAGGATGGAAATCGGCTGAGAATTTCTTAGCCTCTTCTCTTCAGATCAGGGATACCACAATTTCATCAATGGACAACGGACGAGGTAGCAGACGATAATGATGCACAAGATTCAATGGCGACGACCTTTTTTTATTTGTTTTGAGGGCACCATCGTCCACCTAGTCACTCTGGCGAACCAAACGAGTGCGAGGAATCGTTGATACCTCCACGGTGTGGGTCTTGTCATCGCGTGTCTTCGTAAAACCACTGAGGTCCGAGGTGCTGTTCGTTATGCCAGCTCTAGGGGTGCACTATGACCAGATCTTCTGGCGATACGATGAGGACACCACGGTGACTGTCTGGGAGTCCCTGGGCGACCTATCCCGGCAAGGCCGTGGCTGGATATATCTCGACAAGGGGCGCCTTCGGGGCGCAGAAATCGAAGCACGGTTTATCGAAAAGGCGAAAGCAAGCGGGCTTACTGACGAAGAAGCCAAGAGTGCTTTCAACCAGAATATGATGTACGGCGAGTCTAGCCGATGGTTCTTCTGAATTTGGAAAGCGATATCATCGTCGGTGGTTGTTGATAGAGTACGAAGCCGAAAACGTTGTCCTTCACGACGCCTATGCGGCACGCATGCTCTTCCTACCGACGTCGACCGTTGCTGAACTGAATGGATAGATCCATGCCTCGACTACCAACCATGATCCAGGTGATAAGATTCGGCTATGCTTCGATTTGAGATTTGTTGATCAGTCGAAGCCGCGGGATACTCTGTGGGGAAAGGACTACGCGTTCGGGGATAGTGGTAGGAAGGAGGAAGTCGTTGCGGCGCTTGCAGTGGACGGCACTGATAGCTTTACATTAGATACCCCGTTTTCTTCAGAAGTCATCCACGATCAGCCCAAGGTCTTTTTCTTTTGCCATTTGAAGAAGCTCTCCACCCATGACAGTATCCATGATTCCCAAGCCAACACACTTGAACACGAGGTTCCCTTGAAGGGCAAACGGCTTGTCGCTGAGAAGTTCACCCAGCTCGATCAACTGGTGCTCTTGCACATTCGCTTTGATCAGCTCTCCTGCTTCGGAAAGGCACCCTTCCTCGGTGTCGACGTAGATGTATTCACCTGATAGCAGCGTCTCGGTATCAACCTCCTGCATCTCTGGCTTGTACGACCCAATAAGTGAGATGTAGCGCGGGTTGTGGTCGAGATATGACGCGGGGAAATGAGGTTCTGTTGAAGGTGTACAGCAAAAGACCACGTTGGAAGCTTTGAGAAGTTCCTCCAGCTTGGCCTCATAATCCGAGTCTGTCTTTAGAAGGACCTCAAAAGACGTTCCTGGATACTTTGACCGCAGGACCTCGAACAATTGCTCTATCACTCGTGGTGTGCTCCGATTGACGACCGTGATACGCTTCACTGCCCCCTCGCCCAACAGCAAGGCCAGCTTGACGTGCCATTCTGCCTGTCGCCCGGCGCCAAAGACAACTATGTGTTCCTTTGAATACGGATATCGTACAAAGGGGATCATGACGGCCAAGGCCGTCCGGAAGGCCGTGACATGATCGGCGTTCAAGAGACCCAGCAGCGTCCCGTCGGGGGAAAACACATTGATTGCTCCCTTCAACCCCGTCGGGCTGATAGTAACGACCTTCATGCCCGTGGTCGTCGTTACGGACGAGGGCATGAACAGAGTGGTGTTGCCGAGCTTGGTGGTGATGACGGCTCGATGGGGTTGGATGATTGTGCGGTTGGACGGCGCTGCATGCTTCGTTCGCGTATATTCTCGGAGAATGCCATGCAAGCTGTCGAGAAGTCGCCGACATTCCTGCACGGTGAGATCTGACAGCAAGCTGTACACGTCGCGTTCCTTGAGGATCAGCATGTTGGCTGGAGATATGGGCGTTGATGGTGCAGTTAGCGACCGCGGACACGAAGCTGCTCGTTTAAATTGTCAGTTGGATCCAAGGAGTTCTGCAGGAATCGCGGTTCTCCCGACACGGTCAAATAGTAGCCGTCGTGTAATTCGTAGAGTTGTCGGTGGTATTGTTGTCTCGATGATAGGTGTGTATATGTCCCAAGATACTTGAAGAATTTTGCCAAGCGGGTTCCGACATCGCTCTACCAACCTTCTCACATACATTACATACATACAGGGAGATAAGAGTCTTGAACCATCAACACCGTTCACTACGTATTGGGCACGGTTAGTCGGAGGAAACCCGATACGTATAGCTTGTATTGTAACTCCATATAATCTACGGAGTTTGTGCCCTTCACTTATGTTGGGTGGGTGAGTGCCCTTTCTCCCTTTCCCATTCGGCCTTAACGTCGCCAGCAGCATTGTTTGCCAACTGCAGTCGCTCTTCCGCTGATACCATGAGAAAAGCCACTCGGCGCGAATAAGCGACCCTTGACACTCATTGCTAGCATCATTTGTGTTAAACAACACGTCGCCCCTCCGTGCGAAGTAATATGCTAAATGACGCGAGCCTCCCGACCTGGGAAGGGAGAAAGGTGGATGATTTCCTCGGCGATGGGATAATCCTCAAAAGACGAGACCCTCGGTAGTTGTATCGAATCGCTTCAGGTTGCTTACCCCGTACGGAGGGAGAGAAATGAACCCGACCTAAAAGTGCCTGTGTATGTATGGAGTAAATCTTCAGCTCCGGGATGAAGTCGGGGAAAAAGTTCTTCCATCCGATCGCGTCATCGCCCAGGCGCTCCACAATCGGCACTGGTCTGCGCTTCGTCTGCTTCATCTAGACCTCTGAGTCTTTTCCCAAGCCGCACTCTGTTACTCCTTGCTCACTTGTACATCGGCTTTGTGACACGCTTCTGGACCTACCAGAGTCTTCCAGCCCGACCTGATAGTCCTCATATGTCCCTGAACATCCTCATATCTACGCTCCAGGTCTTCGAGCTCATCCCTCCACCACCTTTCCCCCGCCGCCACCATGTCTGAGTCAGGTTCCTCCTCTACACCGCCATTGAAAAACCCCAAACTCAGCGCCCTGAACAAAGCATTTGCTCAAGTTGACCTGGACGGCCATGACCTCCCACCGTCCCCCGCCCCTTCGAGCCCGCGAGGGAGCCGGAACTATGCCATTGCCACCCAGCTGGTCTACTCCGAAGGCAGTGACCAGTACAATGCGAGCAGCGTGCCAATTTACCAGGTCAGTATGCGTCCTCACTTGTCCGGGGTGCCCAAACTAAGTTCAGGCAGTCTGCGACATTCAAGCAGACTTCTGCGACAGGCGGCGCCTCCGACTACGACTACACCCGCAGTGGTAATCCGACCCGCACCCACCTTGAGAAACACCTCGCCAAAATCATGCGAGCGAAGCGAGCTCTTGTCGTCTCTTCTGGCATGGGGGCACTGGACGTGATCACCCGCCAGCTTCGGCCAGGCGACGAAGTTGTGACGGGAGATGACTTGTACGGTGGCACTCACAGACTGCTAAAATATTTGTCCACCCATGGCGGCATAATCGTGCATCACGTCGACACCACAACGCCCGAAAAGGTACAGGAAGTCGTCAACGAGAAGACTGCCATGGTCCTTCTCGAAACCCCCACGAACCCGCTCATCAAGATCGTGGACATCCCTTCAATATCAAACATCGCGCATGCCGCCAACCCAGCCTGCATTGTCAGCGTGGACAACACCATGCTCTCTCCATATCTCCAAAACCCCCTAGAGCTGGGCGCGGATATTGTGTACGAGTCTGGGACCAAATACTTGTCTGGCCACCACGATCTCATGGCCGGTGTCATCGCCGTTAGCGACGAAGCATTGGGAGACAAGTTGTACTTCACGATCAATGCATCGGGGTGCGGTCTAGCGCCGTTTGACTGTTGGTTGTTGATGAGAGGAATCAAGACGTTGAAAGTTCGCATGGATGCACAGCAGAGTAACGCCATGCTGATCGCTCGGTTCCTGGAGTCGGCCGGCTTCAAAGTCCGCTACCCCGGGCTTCCGAGCCATCCTCAGTACGATCTGTTTAATTCCATGGCCCGTGGTCCGGGAGCTGTTCTGTCCTTCGAGACCGGAGACATCCAACTATCCGAGAGGATCGTCGAGTCCGCCAAGCTGTGGGCCATTAGTGTGAGCTTTGGCTGTGTTAATTCTCTGATTAGTATGCCTTGCCGCATGAGTCACGCGAGCATTGACGCAAAAACTCGAGCGGATCGTGGCGTCCCCGAAGACCTCATCCGGCTGTGTGTCGGCATTGAGGATGGCGAGGATCTTCTTGACGATTTGCGCAGTGCGTTGGTTCAATCAGGTGCAATGAACGTTTCTTTGGATGGTATTTACGCGAAGAACGCCACCATTGGCGCCGAACACCCTGAAGAGGGAGAACAGCTTGCCGCTGACGCAGCGGCCGAGAACGAGCCATGAGGGAAGATCGGCGTCCTGCATCAAGTGGAAGGGTCGGAAGCTGGCTCTGTCGAAAGAAAACCCCATCGCATTACAGAAAGGCAAGGCCGATGAGTCGTGGGAAATCATTGATTTGCTTTCGAGTCCGGCAATGTATATATACAAATGAACGATGAGAAAAGCATGCTCGACATAAAAAGGTCTGGAAAAGCTTCACGTTTGGTATTTACTCACTCGTACTCGGTACTCTTGCCGGAGAAGAGAAATGTCTAGCTCTAGAAAAATGTAAATTCGTTTTCTGTCTTGTTTGGCCATCTGAAGTCGTTTTCCGTCCACGTCATTCGCAATCCCCATGGCGAGGCCAGCCCAACGGAGATGACGGGGATCGGTGATGATCCCTCGTCGGCTGCATCGTGAGTGTTTGCTCAAAATGCGGTTCCGCAGGCAGTTCAAGAATCCCCGAGGACCATTTGCTAGCAGGAGCCGTCGAGACTTGGCCCAACTGCTCTTGTCACGTCAATTTCTCGACTGCCTCGAAGGTTTCGCCACCTCGCTTAATTGAGTTTCTCGAGGAAAGGATAAAGACTTCCTCAAGGAGAAAGAAGAAGAAGAAGAGGAGGAGGAGGAAAAACAAGGTTTAATCGTACGTTTTTGCAAGTTCTAGAGCCTCGCGTGGGCCGTGTGAGATGATACGAAGTATGGTCTACACCAACGACCACAAGGGTGCCCGCCGTGCCGGTTCACGGTTCGGAAGGTCAAAGAGTGACGGCGAGGGACGTTTTGGGGCTGCTGACGTGCCTTTATTTCCCTAGGTAGGTATCGACAAGCGTTTATCGATATCGATACCAGAGATGGTCAGGCGTGCCTGGTACTGTCCAGAGTCCCGGTTAATTATGTGCGTTAGGTATGCTGATTGCGTCCCAAAGACATTAGCATCGATAGTAGGCTTGAGGGAGTCTACCAGGTATTTCACGGAGGGAGTAGTATTTTCAGTAGATTGACATGAAATCGCTGGCTCTGAATTTCCACTTCCACAAAGATTCGTCCCTCTTATATTTCGTCACCCCAAAAAAGGCCACAATTTTGCACACAAATTTGTCGTCTCCGCCTGTGGCTGTGTTGGGCCCCTGGCACGGGGGATTGGCGCAATGGTAAGTGTACTCGTCACGACTCGCTTTCATTCTTTGCAGGACAAATTTAACACCTTCCAGGTAGCGCGTGGCTCTCCTAAACGCGTATCGTGCGTCGCTGTGCCGGACAAGCCAAGGTTGTGGGTTCGAGTCCCATGTTCCTCGATTGATTTTTTATTATCGGGGGTACAATGTGTTGATTTTTTGGTGCTCGCGTGTACAGTATGGACTCAAATGACGACGAGGAGCTCTATAAAAACTTCGCCTGATGTCTGCTTTCTTCGACTGTGCCATCTATTCATTGTTTTTTTTGGTTGGCGATTTCCGTACTCTCGTTCTCGTGTACAACAGTTAGGCGCTGGTGTTACTCAGTACCCCCGGTATAGCCCGGCTTTACTTCGGGCTCAGAGCGAACGAAAATTGTTCCCTATGCAAAATCACTAACCAACTGTTGTGCAAGACCAGTAACTTGGTCGCCTCAACGAATCGCGAATCCTCCACGGCATACGCAGTGTCGGCTCTATACCACAGTCGTAACAGTCCACCCGTGCTGCGTGGCGCCACGATCTCAAATCGAGATGCCATATTCCCATCATAGCCACTCTGGCCAATTCTGTCCAGGCCATGCGCGTGATCGCCTTGAAGAAGTCGTCAACACCGCCTTATCCAAGCGCATGCAGGTCCTGGCCCTGACGGAGCATATGCCCCGCCACGATGAAGATCGCTACCCGGAAGAACTCGAGGCTGGCGTAACCCTCGCCTCACACTTCGATAACGAACGAGCGTACTTCGCAGAGGCCACCCGGCTTCGAGAGAAATACAAGGGGCGCATCGATCTTCTCGTCGGGTTCGAAGGGGAATGGATCCGACCAGAGTCAGCAGACCTCGTCAGGCAGAGCATCTCGGCCTACCAGTACGACTTCTTCGTTGGCTCCGTCCATCACGCTCATACGATTCCAATCGACTATGACCGGGCAATGTACGAGCAGGCGAGAGAAGCAGCAGGAGGGACGGACGAGCGACTTTTTGAGGACTATTTCGACATGCAGTTGGCCATGTTGCAGAGTCTCCATCCCCCAGTCGTAGGCCACTTTGACCTGATCCGGCTAAAGAGTGACAGTCCAGACGGTAGCTTTCAAGGCATGGCGGGCGTGTGGAAACGTATTTTGCGCAATCTAGACTTCATCGCCTCGTACGGCGGCATCCTCGAGATCAATTCAGCGAGTTTGCGGAAGGGCATGGCTGAACCATACCCGAAAGCGGAGATTTGCCAGGTAAGCTGGCGCCGACGGTACGAGCGACCATAGCGGTGACTGACGAACGGTGCCAGGCTGCTCTGGACCGAGGTGTGCGATTCTGTCTCTCGGATGATAGTCATGGATGCGACCAGGTCGCCCTCAACTATACTCGCGTGCTATCCTTCCTCGACACGGCGGGCGTCTCCCACTTAACCGTCCTCAAGCGAGGAGCGCATGCCTCGCCGACGTTGGACAAGCGCTTTCCAGGTTTGTGCTTTGATAGCGTAGAACTGAAGGATGTTCGCGGCCACCCTTTCTGGGCGGCCTGTACGTCGAGCTCCTCAGACCAACAATGAAGAACGCAGTCTAGATTAGGCAGACGGGCCTGCACCAATCGGGGTATAGAGAACGCTGGCCTGTAACTTTTTCAGACGTCTATTGGGTCGTTACAACCATCAGGTGATGGTTCTGTCGCAACGTTAGCTCTTCCGCACGCTTAGATTTCAACGCGAGGGAATCCTTTTGGCTTGTCTTCAGCTCTGCTCGCAAAGTCACGCTGCTTTCCCCGGTAAAGATTCAGCTGAAGGCGGTTCCGTCTCCCGTGGCATCTGTTGCACTATAGCGCTTTCTATAGGATGCCAAACAGGCATCGCTGATGCAATTGCGAGATTCGGGACATGTCTCTTGGACCTGTGTCTGCGCACGCAACCCGAATGCCCCAAAGGACCGCATGGGTTGGAACTTATTCCGGCATGAACAAGATTTTGATTTGCAGACTTGGAGGCGAAAACGGCCCTGACGGCCCTAGAGGTCCCGCGACCACAGGGGTCTGCAGGGTTTCATCAACCGCCGGTTCGTGCCTGTGAAGGTGCAGGACAAGGGCTGAATGAAGGGATGCGCTGTTCTCTGCGCCTTCAACAACCTAAACCTCGGCGACCGTGTTGCCAATCCATCTGGGTTGGCTCCAGGTTGACACGTCCCGAGATCACAGATTCGATCCTCCAGGACAGAGTCGTGACTCGTTGATAGGACCCGCCGATGGATTGAGAGACTACGCCCCGTGCAATCACACCGTAGCGGTGACAGCACGCAGTCACGAGCAGCATGATTCCCATACAATGCTAGTTACCTCATCTCGCAATCGACTACAGCACGTCACAGATTCTTGTGATAGATTGCGCGTATTGTCAGGGTCTTCAGTGGGTGTTTACCACCCTGAGATCGATCCCGGCTGGGATGAATGCAGTTTCGAGCTAAACGGAGTAATGCTCTTTTGGTCGGCTTGCGTTAGCTCTGCATGCGCCCAAGCGTTGACTTCACCGCCAAGTGGTTGGTTATGATGGCAGTTTGGGATCAGCTGGCCTCGTACGCCCCGGATATCCCGACAAGGTGAATCAAATGCTTTGGTCAAAGAGCAAATGTCGGTCGATCCGAACTTGCCATCCTTGTAGGCCTGACCAGGGTGCGGGGGACGAGGCACGACAAGGGTAGGATGCTGCGATTGACCGAGGTTTCCTGGAGCTATGTACCATATCGTTGACATTGACATAATGTGATGGTACTTGCCTCAATCGCTCGGCTATCTCCGACAGTCTCGTTGATTGCTACGAGTATTGAGAACCCCATACGGAGGACGAGTATGATGGCTGCAATCGCGATCGTTCCAGACCCCTGCGTTGCGGGGGCCACAGACCACTCCGCGGACTCAAGGAAAAAGGCGCTATGGATATAGCGCTTTGGTGCACCTCCCTCCCGGTACTCACGCGGACTTTGACGACCGCCCGTCTCTGCAACTTTCGGTGTAATTGCAATGGGCGGCGTCACAGCTTGCGCTCAAATCCCGCATGCCAGAGTCCGGCTATAACATTGTGGCGTGAACTGAAGGGAGTCATGGACAGGGGGCAAGATGCACCGTCAGCACCAAGTCTATGCGGTTTTGGGTCTAGGGCGACGCAGCTTTCATGTCGTCGGTCGTTTCTGACTGCCAACAGCGCCGGCAATTCTAGCACATGGTTCTGGATCGGCATTGGAACCGGCGGCGGCACTAAAAGTGTCTTGGTTTTCTGCAGTTGTGTAGTTCCCAATTGGCAAAGGGATCCCGTACTCGGGATCGGATTGACGTAGCAAGGGGTCCCATTCTACGCCAGATGCAGCACGATGGATCATCAAGATGTGAATTTGCAGATTCGCATCGTCGTCGAACGACATGGGTAGAATAGAGGGGGATTTGCAGCGGGCTCTCAGAAGTAGTACAGTAGCTCGCTTGTTGCACCACCAATACAGTATGTGCTGAAGGACACTTTGACCATGCCGAGGTAGCTGTAGCCGTACTAGCCTATTGGGCCACCGTGTCGATCCATGTACTCCGGAGCCAAGTAGCAGGCCGGTTTTGACTTTCTCACCCCGATCGCGTGTCAGGCTTTGACCACGACGTCTATCCAACTTTGGATCTACTGCCAAGTGGTATAGTACGAATACAGCCAGGGGGGAGCGCTCTATGTGGTCCCCCTCGGAGGAAATTCACAGCCAAGCAAGGCTTTCCCTGTCGCGGAGGTCGCTTCAACTTAAAGGTTCGAGGTACGCAAACGAAGGGATCAAGGGCGATGACGGGGTGGAGTTGGCAGCAAGCGACCGACCCGGTAGTGGAGGCCATGCAGCAATAGCTCGGGCATATCAGTGGTCACCCATGCTGGTGGTGAAGGACTACTACGATTACCCGCCCCCCGTTTGCACCGATCATGTCAGAGAAAGGCTATTTGGCGGGCGTGCAGGAGTGGGATTGTTTCAGCACTCGTATACGAGTATACCTGCAGGCGTCCGTGCCACCAGGCCTTGCATTTATATAAACCACCGCGCACCAGTTCCTCTGGGAGCAGAGCACCTGAGCCAATGGGGTTTTGTAAAAGAGGAGGAACCAATATCCGCATAAGCCACCGCCCAGGGGGAAAGAAGAGTGGCTCCTACCGAAGCTCCAGCTTTCACAAGTGACAGTTGACACATGGCATTCCAGCAAAGAGTCAGGTTGGGTAATGTGTCTCTTTTGTGCGTCGGGAACTCCAGGGTCTTTTTGACTTCCGATTTCAAATACCCTACGTATGTTAAAAAGTGTCCCTGGACTCTGGATAGTCGGTTCTCGTAGTGGGGCAGTGTCGAATTATACCTGGCCAGAGAACACACACAGCTACGACGCACAGGACACCAGGCAGACAGACAGGCTGATAGACAGGCAGGCCGACGAACAGGACACGTTCACTCCATGGAGAAGTTTTCTCAACTTCTCCTCCTCCTTGCCCCTCGTAACTCGTACCGTGTCCTCCACGGGCCCCTTGCTCTGAGTTGTAACTCGTATTCCTCTCTAGGGAGTCGGTGTGATCGGGGCCAGTTGACGTTCCATCAGTGCCGTCCCCGTTGATCCGGTCTCTTCCTGAGCGTTAGGTCGTTGGTGTCACCAGTAGCATCATCCAACACTTGTCACCCGCGCGTGTGGCTCCCTGGTATCCCGATCTCATTTCCCTGTTCGTCGGTCGCCAGTCCGTTTCCAGACCATCGAGGGGAAAAGCCTTGAACCCTTGCGCTGCTGTCCCCCAGTGGAAACAGGAAAAACGCCATCTTCGACACATACGTCGTTTGCGTCAAGTTTGGAATGGCATTGACTGTGTCCGCCCCACCGGCCACCATCCAACAGCACAGACTTGTTGGTCCGGTTTGCCTCGTCGCCAGATTCCCTTCCCTTCCCAAAAGAAACTCAAAATTTTCTCACCCTTGTGCAGATCAAACCCTGATCCCTGCGGGCTGTCAAACCGTACCCAAACTGAACGGTAGTACTTTTCGGGATGTATGCACCGTCTGCACACTCGAGTATCCTGTCTGGCCAAAGAAATACCACTGCAGCCTTTTGCACTAAGCTAGTCGGGACGTCCGAAGCTCGATAGGCTGGTCAAGTATGCTATGGCTACCAACTTGTTGGCTCTGCGTCGAGTCTTTAGTGTTTTACCTTTAGCCTTTGGATGGAGTTTCTTGTCCCAATCTGCGATGCGCGCCCAATGGGTATTTCCACTCGCTGGCCATCCAGGTCCGAGCCTGTCATATCGATCATGGTGGCCGTCGCCTGTGCCTCGTCTTCCATTTCCCCCCTGATTCCCTTGTCGAAACGTCCGACCGCAGGTATATTCCTTCTTCACCACCGCAACCTGGCCACTATCGTGCGCGACACGACTAAAACTTTGCCAATTGGCGCTCTCACTCACTCTGTACAGTCCTTTACCGGTGCTGGGTTTTTTGCTTCATTCTGGTTTCCCGCTGGTCAACCCCCACGGACGAGATTGTGCTATAAAGGCATATAACCCGCATTGTCTCCGACGTCAGATACTGTTTTCAACTCATTCTGTTGGATGTAGTAAGCGCCGTCGACATTGGTTCCAAGATCCACCGTTCATATCGATCCTGCTACTTCCATGGCGCCTTCTCAACTTCAAAAGATACTCATTAGAGCTGGGAATGGCCGGGACTATCCTCACACCGGCGATGAAGTCACCATCGAATACACAGGCTGGCTCTACGACGACTCCAAAGCACACAACGACTACAAAGGCAGACAGTACGTCAGGCAGGCCCTTGCTTGCTCGAAGCCCAGTTGATTTTTTAGTTTTTCATGGTGCAGGGTACAAGTTTTCTGATCCGTGTGTCATCTCCAGGTTCGACAGTTCTAGAGGCCGGGGAGATTTCAAGACCCCAATCAGAGTCGGACGAGTGATTCCAGGTGAGTTCAATCGGACTGGTCTTGAGCGTGCTTTTGCGGAAGTTGGGGCCTAACAGTCACGGTTGAAGGATGGGATTTGGCTGTACCTCAAATGTCGCTGGGTGAAAGGTGCATATTGATCATTCCAGGGTGAGTAGTTGGTTTTCTTCTTCCAACTTCATGGACACGGGTTGAATGGATATTGGAATATCTGTGGGAGCAGCACCTCACTTACAATGCTCCCAACCCTTCCCTGTCTTCGGCCTTCCACTTGGCAATGCCGCATATCTCCGCTGAGCTGAGCTGTATGGGCTGACTTTTGCTGTTTTAGCCATCTCGCGTATGGTGACCGGTCAGTTTAATCTCTCCCTGCACCAGCGGCCTTTTGCAACTTCAAGAAACCATTCTCGCCTGGCTCAAAGATCTAGTGAGATCATGCAATTCTTGGGGGAAAAGCACTCTCATACCTCATGTGGAAGCACTATTCCGTTTGTCTCCACACGAGCGCTTTTGCCGGTAGACTGCCAGGCCGTGGTGGATACAGAACTCTACCTTCCGACTCTGGTTTCCTCATCCTTTGCCTCGGACTACCTGGACGCAAGAACTGGCAGGCTAACCACTCCCATCTCTTCCTACAGGGGATTTCCGGGCTCGATTCCCCCGAACTCGACCCTTATCTTGTGAGTGGCCGAGAAACCCCTTCCCCTACCCTGCGACTAAGAGGTTCTGGCCTTACTATTTATGGAGAATCATCTGACACTGCCTCGGACCGATACGCCTGTGCTTATGGCTCATGGCTTGGCTTCTGGTCAGTGGCCTGATTCTCAGATGGCTCTGGCTCGGAGGGTTCGACTTGTTATCGTAGTACAACAATCGTCAGGATTACGCGCGCTAACCTCTTTATCCTTTTTTTTAGCGATGTGTATTTGAAAGGGATCAACGGCAAGTCAATATGATGCGACGTCTTAAAATGATACGAGTATTGCATGCAAGCTTCATTCACACCATGACGCAGGGACGAGGAGGAAATGGGTCATGGGACATGTTCATCGATTAGAGAGTGTGGGGGGTGTGTTCACTGTGATTCCTAGAGTCATGTACCGGGATACGGCGTATGGCATCGGTAGGGGCGTTAGGCGGGACTGTGTTTCAAGGCTGATAGCATCCGTGTGCAAGCTTGGGCCAAGGGAATAGCATGGTCTTGTGGGGGATGGGAGGTATTTCGTCGAGAATTGTCTTGGATGTGCAGCGAGACATAGCCGCATTAATGTGCCTATGAGATGGAAGAGACGGCTTCTGCATCTTTGAGACCAATGCAGTTTTAGCATTCTAGACATGCTAAAATCAAGTATTTGGTCAGTAATTCTGTGATGATCACTACATGGGTCCGATGCAGTCGCAGGGTGACAACATCAATGGTCCTGCACCAATGACTGCCCGGTTCACGGTATGAAGGCCCTGCATAGGCGAGTCGACGGCTTCAAACAAAGTTCCATCCCGCGACTGGCTGGACAGCAGATCCGAGCTAGGCAGTCGTCACTGGCAATCATTCTACGCCTGCAAGTCTACGAGTCTGGTAACTCGCCCATGTAGACTATAAATGCTAGCGTATCACTCCTTCGGCACGGCTTCCCGTACCTAAGCCAACTTTGGGCAGGTGGACGACTGAAAACGTTTCGTTGCATCTTGAGACCGGGATAAGCTTGGGTACGTACTCGGAAAATATGACTTGCTCTGAGAGACTTATTTAAGAGTGGGTGTGGTGGGATGGGATGCGTTGTGTTGTGTGATCAGCCGCGATCCATTGATCGACAAAAAGAAAAAGCCATGTCCCGCTGAGCGATCTTCTGAATACGAGTCGACTCTGAGTAGTGAGAAGGCGTATGTATGTCTTAAATTTTTGCAACCAGTTCAGTTCTCGTCCGAGAATCACTCCCTACGAGCTCTCGCATTTTCTCAAAGATCGACATGCCACCGCTCGTCTGGGTCTTGAAAATTGATGGTCACTCGAACCGCAAGATCAGTGGGGTCATCCCCAGAGTCTTGGACCCGACAGACTGAGATCGGAGATCAGAGATCAGAGATCGGTGGTCGGTGGTCCTCGGTTTCACAGGCGTGGCTACCATTACTAGTTTCTAGTCCTTAATAGTGGCCCCTTCACGCGTTCATTTGCAGGGCTTGACACTGGTGTTGCATGAAGACTGTCAATTGACGGCTGGCGCAAAAAGGAAAAGAAAGAAAAAGACCGAAAAGAAAAAGAACAAGCAAAAGCAAAAGGATGGGACCGGGGCTGTTGTCCAAACGAGGTTCTCGTCGGGAAGCGATTCAACACTATGGCGTAGCATGACAGCAATGCGGCTGGCTGATTTTGTCCTGGCGATTGGGGGTCAGCTTAGAATGTTGATCAGTGGTTCTTGACCCATTGGGCTGTGTTCGCACTCGCATTCGCACTCGTATTTATTGCTGCCTCTCTTCATATGGTCATGCAATATTACACACACATGCTCATCACACGCCCGACAACCTTAGCCGACGGGACCCGACTTTTGCATTCATGGATTATTTTTCATTGCTGGTTCTCATTTTGTCGTATGAATAGAGTTCAAGCTAGACTGGGGTGGGCTCGAATCTGTTGCATTTTACATAAAGCTTTTGCTTTGGTTGGTACAAAAAATAGAAAGGGTCTTCGGATGCGATGGAATAAGGATTGGGGGAAGACCTGCGGGCTACACATTGTACAGTGTGCCATCATGCATCATGAACGGCCCTGACCTACGGGTCTACGACGCACTGTCAGGCTTAGGTTGCCACAGAATACGGGACACAACAGGTTCGCTCTTTCGCAGGATCTGCGCCGGCGTCACTCAGGAAGGGAAATCAATCTGGACGATCCCTGTGGCTTAGATTCAATGAGGAGCCAGCTCAACGTTGCGAAGCGAAAGTGGAGTAACGGTCTACGGACCTCGTCGAGACGCGGAACATTGACCATTACAAATGTGAATGTGCTAAATACCTTGATTAGGCTGGGTGAGGCATCCCCTACTCGTCGTACTCGTAGTTGGTTGGCATCGTCAATCATATCCGACCAGCACACTAAAACCTTCTTACATCACACTCAAGCACTGCACAAGTACGATTTACTCCGCAAGACATTTATTGTGCAAGACGGCCGGACTCGGAGTTCGTCTACGACTCCGAGGACGAGTGCTTGTCCTTGTAGATCATCACTACTAACCCATGACACAATCACTTCTAAGCCACCCCATCCAATCCACCCACCCACACACCAACCGTGAGTTCACTACGAGATCGCTTTCCGTTGTCCATTGCAAGGATTTGTCCACGGACGGCGCTTACACACACGGAAGATGCCGGCCGCCCTGCTCGGTGGTGGTGACAGATCCACTTCCCAAAGGGGTAGTCGGGAGGGCCTAGGTATGCGCACCCCAGCGAGAGAAATCAAGTACCTGCCACAGTAGTCGATCGAAAGTGTGGACGCACTCGGACAATCTTGTCGAACGAACCCAAACCCTAGATAGACTGTCTCCCTAGGCGTATATACTCGTTCTCGTATCGCACTCGTAGAAGGTGATTCAATGGACTATGCATCCGAAGTCTGCCCACTACCTACCGACCTACTCTAGGTCCAGGGCATGCATCGTAAGCCATACCGTACCGGCCGACAGACTCGCGCTGTGGCATTCCCCGTTCCGCCACGGTCCCAAAAACATCAACACCCAAGCGATAAAAATTCCCGGTTCTGTGCCAGACTCTGGGAACCCCCAGAGAGCGCCCCAAATGAACTTCGTAGACTGTCGCTACCTACCTAGATGGTGACCACCTGCTGAACTTTCCGGTCGGCGCCAACGATCAGTCGCAGCTGTCTACCTTGCCAGTCCGGCCTGACGCCCTTGAAGACGCCTTCTCGCAGGGTGTCCGTGTACAGCTCGTACGCAGGGTAGTATCCGTCGACAAAGTGCTTGACCTGCTCGTCGGTCATGCCGCTGCCGCGGGTCGCTCGCAGGTTGGCCTCCTGCTCGAGACGCCATTTGTACACGTACGATGGATCGGCGGCGTCGATGTGTACAAACGCGTCCAGCTGTGAGGTGAGTGCGTCGTAGCTCTTGAGCGCGTCGTTGATGGCCGTCACGCTGGACAGCGTGTTGTGGCCCAGTCTCCCTGTGTAGGAGGGATTCGCCGGGCTCGACTGTTCTCGTGCGGCGACGACGGCGGCGGCGTGCTTCGACTCGAGCGTACTGTCGGATAGTGGGCGAAAGCCAACTGACCATCCTTCGAAAAGGACCACGCGCACAGGAGGGCCGTCGCCGGCGTTGACCACTTCCCACTCCTCTTCCGGCACACGGTCGCCCTCGCCTGCAAACGCCGCCTTGTTGTACTGTGGGATCCTGGTCAGTCGATTTGCCTTGAGACTGGCGAAGACGGAGAGCGCGAGCGAAATGTCGTGCGTGGAAGGCTGCCCGCGGTGCTGCAGCAGGGGGTTGTCCGGGTGTGACTGGGCCAGGGCCACCTGGTCCGCGTGGGTGAGATACAGGTCGTCCAGCGAGAACACGACGGTGGACAGGGAATGTGGAGGGGAGGAGAGCGTCTTCTTCAAAATGTCCACCAGCACCGATTTCCCAGCTCCCTGGACGCCATTCAACCCGATGAAAAAGGGCGGCGGGTTGGAGTCGTTGGCGTGCTTAGCTTGGTGTTCCGAGAGAAGAGAGATGATGAAAGGGATCACGTATTGGCCCTTGTCATCCTGAATCTCGGGCATTATCGTTGTTTCTGTGTTGTTTCTCCAGGCGCTCTCGCTCTCTCTAATCCCTGCCACGCTCGGGGTCTCACTCTGGGGAAGAATTATGGATGATGGATGTTGGATATGGGGTATACAGAATATGTGGGTGTATGAATGACTTTTGCAGAGAAAACGAGAAGAAAGTTGTTGTGTACACAATATGGAAATGGAAATCTTCATTGTTGAGACTCCATCCCTCGCGAATCACTCAAAAACGGGCGTCACGATGCGGAGAGCAGGCCGGAGATCTCAGATGGGGCAGAGACGGAAGAGCCCCTTCTACGGACGGAGTACTTTCAACACTCGTACAGTGTGTGTGAGTCCGGATACTGCCATGGTGTTGTAGTTGATTTGCTGTCGAGGTAAGATCAACTCGCTCATATTGTCGTCTGCGGCCATAGGTACAGTAGTAGTCCTCCTCCTCCCCCTCCTCCTCCAAGTTTCGTCCTTCCTGGGGTTGTTGTCAGGTGAACAGCGTGGCCCCTTTCAGCGTTCCACCCGCATTTCACATGCCGATAAAAGTCTCCCAGCCCCGGATGAGGGTCATCGACTTTTTCCGGAGCTTGACGGCCGTAACGGGGGAGCCCGGAACACGTGAGAGCTACGGGTATTTCACAGCATTGAGCCCCACCAACACCTGGGCAGATTCTCGCTGGCCTCGTGCTGATATATACGCACCGCTCATAGTCCCGTGACCTGGCAGTCGCGGCTTGTGGGGCCTCGGCCTCGTTCAACCTCGGCATTGTAGCATTACGGGCCCTGAGCAGGCAAGTGTCTCTCCCAAAACACTCTTGCATCACCTCAAGTACCGAATAACTGACTGACTGTAGATACTGAATTGCTGTTTCCGGCATCAGTCGTCGGCTATACCATCACTCTTCACTGCCTCTGTCGTCGTTTTGCTTTATTATTCTTCTTCCCTCCTCTACTCTACTCTCCATCATCCTCTCCCGCACCCTTTCCACTTCCCCAACCTCCACATCACCCACATGCGCCGCAGTTGAAGATGGTCCAGGAGCTTCGCTTTGACAACCAGACCGTAGTGGTTACTGGTGCAGGAGGCGGTCTAGGGAAGGCATATGCCCTCTTCTTCGCGTCAAGAGGCGCCAATGTCGTCGTCAACGACCTAGGAGGGTCGTTCAAGGGTGAAGGTGCCGGCACAAAGGTTCGTCTCACCGTCAGCTGTCACATGTCTCCTTCGCACAATACTGACGTATTCACATTCTTAGGCTGCAGATGTGGTCGTCGATGAAATCAAAAAGGCCGGCGGCAAGGCCGTGGCCAACTATGATAGCGTCGAGAATGGTGACAGAATCATCCAAACAGCCATCGACGCTTTCGGCCGCGTCGACATCCTCCTGAACAATGCCGGCATCCTGCGAGACATTAGTTTTAAAAACATGAAAGATTCCGATTGGGACTTGATCAACACGGTACACATCAAGGGTGCCTACAAATGTGCAAGAGCCGCGTGGCCACACTTCCGGAAGCAAAAGTACGGCAGGGTCATCAACACCGCCTCGGCCGCGGGTCTGTTTGGTAGTTTTGGTCAGTGCAACTACTCAGCCGCCAAACTGGCACAGGTGGGCTTCACAGAGACATTGGCCAAGGAGGGTCAAAAATACAACATCTTGTGCAACGTCATTGCGCCCATCGCAGCCAGCCGCATGACTGAGACTGTTATGCCGCCGGACGTGCTGGCCAACCTGAAACCAGACTGGGTGGTTCCTCTCGTGGCTGTGCTGGTGCATCCGTCAAACACAACGGAAACGGGATCCATCTTTGAGGTTGGTGGTGGTCACGTCGCCAAGTTAAGATGGGAGCGTGCGAAGGGCCTGCTGCTCAAGGCCGACGACACCTACACCCCAGGCGCGATCCTGAAGAAGTGGGATTCTGTCATCGATTTCTCCGAGCCTGAATATCCTAGTGGTCCGGCAGACTTTGTTGGGAAACTCGAAAACTCTCTGAAGATGGGCAGCAATGATAAGGGTGAAGATATCAGATTTGACGGCAAGGTGGTCCTTGTTACAGGCGGTGGCGCTGGGTAAGTGCTGATACCTTTCGTGATGGACCATTTACTGACGAACGTACAGTCTCGGTCGCGCGTACTGCTTGGCCTTTGCAAAACTTGGTGCTTCCGTGGTGGTCAATGATCTTGTCAATCCCGATACGACTGTCCAAGAAATCCAGAAGCTTGGAGGCAAGGCTGTTGGCAACAAAGCCGATGTGCAGGACGGAGATGCTGTCGTCAAGACCGCCATCGACAACTATGGCAGAATTGACATCCTGATCAACAATGCCGGTATCCTCCGGGACAAGGCCTTCACCAACATGACCGATAAGCAGTGGGACGATGTGATCAACGTTCACCTGCGCGGTACTTATAAGGTTACCAAGGCCGCGTACCCCTACATGGTGAAGCAGAAATATGGTCGCATCGTAAACACCACCAGTACAAGTGGTATTTATGGCAGTTTTGGCCAGGCCAACTATGCCGCTGCAGTAAGTCCATCTTGTACAGCTTCTCGAGACCGTTTGCTGATCGTTCTAGAAACTCGGAATTCTAGGCTTTTCTCGCGCTCTTGCACTCGAAGGCCGCAAGAACAACATCTTTGTCAACACTATTGCCCCTAACGCCGGAACTCAGATGACACGAACCATCCTGCCGGAGGAATTGGTCCAGGCTTTCAAGCCCGATTATGTTGCACCTCTCGTTCTTCTGCTCTCGTCAGATAAGATGCCTGATCCGCCTACGGGTCTTCTGTTTGAAGTCGGTAGTGGCTGGCAGGGCCGGACCAGATGGCAACGCTCCGGTGGCCACGGCTTCCCTGTCGACGTGAAACTGACTCCTGAACATGTTGTGGAGAAGTGGTCCAAGATCCTCGACTTCAACGACGGCCGTGCAGATCATCCAGAAGGCGGTCAAGACGGCCTGAAGTCCATCATGGCCAACATGGAAAACAAGAGCAAGAAGGATTCCAGCTCAGACTCGACCGACTATCTGGCCGCAATTGAGAAAGCGAAGCAGGCCAAGTCTGATGGAACAGAGTTCAGCTACGACGACCGAGATGTGATTCTTTACAACTTGTCCCTAGGAGCAAGACGAACTCAACTGCCGCTCGTGTATGAGAATGACGACAACTTCCAGGTTCTGCCAACCTTCGGTGTCGTTCCTTTCTTCAACGCGCAGGCTCCATTCTCAATGGATGAGGTCCTACCTAATTTCTCCCCCATGATGCTTCTCCATGGCGAGCAGTACTTGGAAATTAGAAAATTCCCTATCCCCACAAAGGCAAAGACACTCTCATATCCTAGACTAGTCGAAGTCATCGACAAGGGCAATGCCGGTATCGTGGTTACCGGAATTACCACCAAGGATGCCAACACTGGTGAAGATTTGTTTTACAACGAATCCACTGTCTTTGTCCGTGGATCAGGCGGCTTTGGCGGGCCCAAGAAGGGCGGTAACCGAGGCAATGCCACCACGGTATATCAAGTGCCCAAGCGTGCGCCTGATGCCGTGGTGGAGGAGAAGACATCCGAGGACCAAGCTGCACTTTACAGATTGAACGGTGATCGCAACCCTCTGCATATCGACCCCGAGTTCAGCAAAGTTGGCGGTTTCAAGGATCCCATCTTGCACGGCTTGTGCTTCTTTGGCTTCAGCGGTAAGCACATCGTTCAAAGCTTTGGTCAATTCAAGAACATCAAGGTTCGTTTCGCAGGAACAGTCATCCCGGGCCAGACGCTGGTGACGGAAATGTGGAAGGAAGGTAACAAGGTCATCTTCCAGACAAAGGTCAAGGAGACTGGGAAGCTGTGCATTGCCGGAGCTGGTGCTGAGCTGGTTGGTTCGCCCAAGTCAAAATTGTAAATCTAGGGAGGGTTGATTGTTTGACTGGTATAGTCATCGGTGTAATGTCATCGCATAGACCTTGTAACAATGGTCTCTTCTTGTTTGTAATTGACTCTAACCGAAGTGACTGTTGTATGCAAGACGGGAAATGAAGAGCTCCTCGACTGTAGAGCTGCTTAGGAACATTTAGAATTGGGTGATTAGAGACACAGCTATAGGGTTAGGGTAGTCGTGGCCACGTACTCTCCTCGTTGGTCGAGGTGAAGGGCATATCTCATCTCCAACTCGCAATGTGGAGTAAAGGTAGGTTGTAACCGGTACTGACGATGGGGTATGGCGGAGGAGTATGAGGAGGAGGAGGTAACCTATATGCCATAGACATTTCCTGGGATGATTATAGTCACTGGTCAGCGTTATTTTCAGGTACATATATACTCTCGTACATGCTTCCCCCTCCCCCCCCTCCTCTCTCGCTCTAGGTCTAGGTGGTTGTGGTGGTTAGGAATAAAAAATACTTTTAGGAAACGCAGAACCATCATGTTTTGTCTTTGACCAGGCTCAAGTATAAGCAAGTTTGATACAGCAACTATAGTTCGGAACAGTATTACGATATTCTCGGAGAGTATATTTGATCAAGACGACGAACACTCAACAATTTAAATACCTAACAATCACCGACGAGATGGCATCTATTGGCATATCCTCGTCGCCATTACCACCACCCTTGGCGTCATCGTCGTCGTCGTCTTCCAACAAGCTACCCTCGCACCTCGGCTTCGTGGGTCTCGGGGTGATGGGGTTCGCCATGTTTTGTAACCTTGCCCGCAAGGTGCCGGCGGGCTCGACGGTGCATTTCTACGACGTCAATCCGGACAGCATGGAACGGGCGGCGAGAGAGCCCGGGCTCGTGGCGCAGTTGGACAGATGTAGTTGCGCAAGAGAGGTCGCGGAGAAAAGTGTACGTATATGATGGATTGATTCTACCATTCTCTTGTGCTAGTCAGGATGGCCGTGTTTTCAGCGTTTATCCTCGCATTACCATTCTCCTCCCTTACAGCAGTCCCGTACAATCTTCCTCTTCTTCTTGTCGTTTATATTGCTTGCTGACGGGCATTTGTTCGTCACAGGAAGTACTCATATCCATGGTCCCCCAGGGCAAACATGTCCGCGCAGTGTATCTGGATCCTGAAAATGGGGTCCTGGCAGCAACCGACCTGTCCGGCAAGATCCTACTGGACAGCAGCACCATCGACACGACGACGTCGCTCTTGGTGGGCGAAGAAACGCGCAAGAGACACGGCGGCGGCGGGGCGGCGGCGGCGGCGGCGGCAACATTCTACGACGCGCCCGTGTCAGGAGGCAGCCTCGGAGCACGCAACGCCACCATCACATTCATGGTCGGGTGCGCCGAGTCGGACCCCAACATGCCCTTGCTGAGGGAGCTGTTCGGGCTCATGGGCCGGAACACGTTCGCGTGCGGCGGGCCGAGCCTGGGCCTCGTGGCGAAGCTGTGCAACAACTACCTCAGCTTCGCGACGACGCTGGCCAACGCCGAGATGTTCAACCTGGCCATCAGGAGCGGCATGGACCCCGGGATCCTGCGCGACATTCTCAAGACGTCGAGCGGCGGCAACAGGAACGCCCAGGTCGAGAACCCCGTGCCCGGCCTCAACCCGGACGCCCCCGCGAGCAACGGCTACAGACCCGGCTTTGCCATCGAGTACGTCAAGAAGGACATTGAGCTGGCCATGGACGCCTGCGACCGTGTCGGTGCGAAAGTGTGCATGGGACGCTCGATCAGGGATGCATATCTCGCTGCCAGTCTGCACGAGGGGAATGCTGGGATGGATTCAAAGATTGTGTATCGCTGGATGGGAGGCGAGGAGGATTGGAAAGGAAAGTTGGGATTGTGACTTGAGGAGAAACGGTGGTTGTGAGATGATGAGTGAGTGAGGTTGCAATAGGGATAAAAGGGAGGGGGAGATAGAGAGAGTGTGTGTGCGCCCCCAAACCGTTACGGGCTTGTTGCTCGGTACAGCTCTTGAGCTCACCGTGTCGTTTCTCGCTTGGCAAGAGCAAGCAAGAGAGCTGCCAACTCACAAACGTTGTCGACAGAAAAACGAGACAGAGACCGGCAACTATGATTTTCATGGTGCTGCGGGTGGGAGAGGAGAGTAGACTTGATCAAAAAGCCCCGGGGCATGGGCCAGAGTCAACCGAAGAAATGTCAGACGCCTCGTCGCCAACCTCAAATTTCCATACGTCGAGGGTCGATGCCGCTGAAGGGTCATTGTCCATCTACGCTCTTCAGTTAAGGGCACTACCAGAGTATTCGACACGGGCGATGGATTGCAATGGATGGTCGGTATGCGATATCTTCTTCCTTCTCACTTGGTACGCAGGATCTGACTTGGTATGACATCTGGTTCTTGTCGCCTAGAAGAAAAAAAATGGCGAGGTCGCCTTCAAGTTTCGACGGTCTCAAAGCTGGAGCAGAAGAAGGATTGGCAGTAGACAGACCACAGCCGTGTGCGAATGATCCGAACAACCCGTTCCGTAAGAAAATGAAGCCGAAGCCAACTGTCATGTTTCAACAAGCACCGCCGGCCGAGCATGCTGAGTCTGCGGGTAGAATGGAAGGCTCTCGCGTGACTGAAGCCCCGTACAATATGCCCTGGTGTCAACAAGATAGCAACGGTGGGTGGTGGGCATAAACATGTTTGAGATCAACAAAACAAAGGATAATCAATCTCACGTGTGTTTTTGTCGTTCGACGTTCAATATCCATATTGCTTCGTGATGTTTAATTGCACAAAGAGCGCAGGGATCCATACGGGCACGGTTGGAGAGTATCAAGGCATACGAGGACGCTGGTCGAAGTGCTCGTGGCCACCAAACGGTTTGCGCACAAGTCCAGGAGGGCTCAATGCACAGCATGTCATGGTCTGAGGTTTGATACGATGAAACGATGATGGCATTTTGCACCGAGTATTTTGTTGGACTCCTCCCAAACAGCATCAATGCGCTGCGGGCGGATACTATTTCTATTGCCCAAAAGACACCCTGATCGACAAGACCTGCTCGCAAGTGACTCTAGGGCACGGCAGGACGTGAAAATCTCCAACGTGTCCAGGCAAGGATCTTGACTTGTGGCTTTTTTTGGTCTGCCCCCTGGATTGGAATCCAAACACGCCGGTATGTGGAGAGTGGGGCCGATGGGAGGATTGCGAAATGCTTGCTTCCTGGCCTGACCAGGGTTGGACCGGTTTTGCTTTGTACAATCACAGCACGTAGTGGCAGATGGTAGAGACAAGGAGCACCAGCTCCGGCTCTCTATGCTGGAATAGAACAAAGACGGGCACCTCAGCCGCACCACTGGAAGACGCTGTACCAAACAAGCTCCCAGACTCAAGAGCTCCGGGCATTGGCCCTGGTCGGCCCGCTAAAAGATGCTGTCCCAAGCGGCAGGGATGAAGGGGTTTTGTCCAATCCAGTGCGTGGGCCTCGATAGGCTGTTTCGCCAAGGGGGCTGGTCAACACGCTGCTGGTCCTTGGAGCTCTGATCCTGAAATTGCCATGCGTTCTTCCTGGACCGCCTTCTGACTGGAGGCTCGGTACCACAGGGCCGCGTGTTCGATGGCACCAGCCATTATTTTCGAGGGACTGACACCCGTGCCGGAAAGTCAAAGGCTCGAGGACAAGGTGTGTACTGCGCACAACGACTGTGCTGGACACATGCTGGTTGCAGTCGGACGCACCCAGTGTTTCGTCGAATGTCTCGTCCCCCAAAAAAGACTCAGTGGTGCTGCCGCTGCCTCTGAGGCGTGGCCACGACGGACATGCCGGCGATGTCAGTGTTCGCACGCGTCTTGGACGACACAACAGCTTCTCGCTTCGACTCTGTAGCTCCAGTAGATGGCCATGGCGACGAGAAACACGGCGAGATTGGGCGTAAGATTGCCTGGGCTTGGAGCTCTGGGGACGGAGTGTTTACAGCCTGGGCGTCCAGGGGCGCGTCAGGTAATTTGAAAGCTTGACGGTAATCTTGGTTAGACTGGTGACAGTTAGTCTGACAAGGGCAGCGCGTTGGGAGGCGGTTGGATGCCCTGGAACGCCCTTAGACGCGCCGATCAGCGCCTCTTGCGGACTAGCGGGGTGTCTAGCGCGGTAATCTACGCGGTAATGGGCGCAGCCGAACCGTAATTTTGCGAAGGCCTTAGAACGGTCGTACCGTGTAGCACCAGCACCAGCGACGGGGCGACTGGGCCAACGCCATTTTCCTCCTTTCGACGGCCTCCGACGCTGCGACTTCATCGACCAGGTTGATGTGATCTGATCTGATGCATCACACACCTCTCGCTCTCACGTCCTCCTCCTCCTACCGACCTACACTCCCCTCGTCGTCCTCGCCATCGCCCTTCGATGATCCAACGTCGCCGTGGTCGCTGTCTCTCGTTTTGCGGCCGATAACCCTTACCTACGACTAGTCGAATCCCCCCTTGGAATTGGACTCGGCGCTTCTGCTTCTGCTTCTCAAGCCATCCTTTGTTCAAGACTTGCCAGCACCGTCTCGGCCGTGCTCGCGTTCGCTCATTCAACTTTCGACAAGTCTGCCTCTGTATCGCCCGGTCGACCACGTTCCTTCGAACTTGCCTTCTTCGATCGCTCATTTCTTCGTGGCCAATCTTGACCATTCATCAAGCGGCTCTTCTGCGCGCGCGCACACACACCGCTGCCCTCCATCAATTCTTGGGTACTGTCTTTGTCCCTTCAAACAATTGGCTGGACCAACTACCTGGAAGAGGGAAGGCAGAAGCCACAGTCTTTGTTGGATAGACTCGGACAAATATAGGTCAAAGAGAGTCGGACACCGATGCTGCGTCTTTGATCGACAGACGCTCTCGACTTTCCACAGACCGATACAAGGGAGGATTTGCAAAAAGCTCCCTCTCTTCTAAGCGCAAATTGTGCCGATTTTTGAACTGGACATCATCAGGACAGGAACCTCAATCGCGAGAAATTGACACCCTCAGAGACTGGTCAGGAAGTAACCGGCTGGACACCTTCCACTGGATCATTTGATCCTATCCGCTCATTTGCATTCCAAGCTCACTGCATACACTCGTTTTATTGAAGCCTGAAGTGAGTCCTGGGCCCCTTGCTGTGGCTGGAGTGGTGCTGACTGAACCATTTGCAGTATTTTCTAAAATCTACACCATGAAGATCTCGTCCATTACAGTTTTCTCTGCCATCCTTGCAGGTGCTCTCGCCCAGGGCGTGCCTGCTTCGGACCCCCGGCGTACCGACCTGAAGCCCAGGTATTACTTTCCTCGGGTCGTGAAGAGAGAAGTTCTGGGTTTGAACTCGACGACTTCGTCGGACTCAACTTCAACTTCGACTTCGTCAGGGGGTGAAGATGCCCTCTCCGACGCGTTCTCTGGATTGAATTCCATCATCTCAAGCGACTCGACGTCAAGCGTTCTGGCAAGTACCACGGCTGACTCTGCCACCACTGCACCGGGCCCTGCGATCACTGGCACGGGACCGGTGTCGTTTCCTGCTTCCACCACGGACTCGTCCGACAGCACAGCCTCTGCGACGAGTTCTGACCCCACGATCACAAGCTCCAGCAGTGCTTCGGGCATAACCCTTGGACTCGGCTCCATCATCACCACGTCCACCGACTCGGCTACTGCAACGAGTACTGATTCGACTCTCGAGTCTGCGTCGTCCATTCTTTCGCTCGCGAGTTCTCTGGAATCGGTGGCATCTACCGCGGCCAGCTCAGACCAAGCATCTATCTCATCGGCCTTGTCCTCTGCAGCATCAGTAGCATCTTCGATTGCCTCTGATATCACATCGACGGCAACCTCTGATTCCTCCGACAGCTCGACAACTCCCACAGGTACACCCACAGACGGAGGAGTCAGCACAACGCCTTCGACTACGGCGACCGATGGCCCAACAATTGGCACTGGATCAACCACCCCGACGACAACGCCGACGACAACTACAGACGGAGGAATTTCAACAACCCCTACCACTCCCCCTCCAGACTCAACGACTCCTCCCCCCGACTCGTCATCAACAACACCACCCCCAGACTCGACAACACCACCACCGACGGACAACAACAACTCCACAACTCCCATCACCTCTACCCCGCCTCCTACGGACGTCTCCACGACACCGCTCCCAACAACTACTCCGTCTTCTGAGCCAGGAAATTCCACCACGACTCCTGACGTGGTACCTACCACCACCCCAAGCGAGACGACTCCCACCGAGACTCCTACTCTCGCTCCGACGTCGACGCCCATTGTCAATACCACCAGTATCCCTCCTTTGACCACGTCGGTACCCCTAACCAATACGCTTAAACCCACAGGGACGGATTCGGCCACCGCTCTGACACCCGAGTCGAGTATCCTCTCGGCTACCTTCGTCACTCCAACCACCAAGTCCTCCTCGTCAAGTGCCGCGGTCATCCCGACGTCCCTACCTGGTTTCATTCAACCTCCAGGAGGAGCAAACACTGCACCGGCAAACACCACTCTGATCCAAATTGGTTTCGATTATGGCCTCAATTACGCTTTTGTGGTGTCGTCGCAGACGGCAATTCAGCAGATATTTTCTTATCTCCCGCCTGGTCTTGGGCACGGCATGGATCAAGATGCGAGCGATGTGGTGATGCAATATCTTCAACCATACAACACGCTGGACAGCCTCGATTATATTACCACATTGGCAATGGCTTATATCCCGTCAGACCATGTGAACACGCTTTCGGTTAACCTCTTGAACCCGAACTCGGAGCTCTACAACAATCCCAACCCGTCCATCGCCACCTTGATGAGCATGATCGATTCGTCAATCCCTCTCTTGCCTGGGTCTGCCATGCAAAGTGGTGGTACGCCCATCAATTCCGCAAACGGTGCTGCTAGCACTACCGACAGCAACGGCTCCAACGGCGCTGCACCCGGGTCTTCTGATAGCGGCGGCAGCGGTTCTGTGCGTCCCTCGTCGGTGGGAATTGCAGTGGGAGCGGTCGCCGGTGCTGCCGTCTATGGTGCGGCCATGTTCCTGGTTGCCCGAAGATACAAGAAGAAGAAGTCGGGACACCAGAGGTCGAGCAGCGTGCAGTCGGGCCAAGGTCGAGGTGGAGAACAATCCAACCTGATGGTTGCTGGCGGGCGTGGCAGCTACGGTACACGATTCGGTGGTCGTACATCTCAAAACAGTGACCGAAGCGGTTCCAACCGAAGTGGACGGACGTACATCAGTCCGCCAGTCATGGCCGAAAACAGTTTGGGTTGGAACTGAAGGGGATGCTGATGATGTCGTCGCAAAAAAGATCTTGTACAGGGATGGAGATCCATCATGCCCGCCTACGATATACCCTCCACCATTATTCACACAGTACTCTATTTTTTCTTCATTTCGTTTCTATTTTGTTGTCGCTGTCTTGTTCTTCTGCGAATAGAGGGAGAGAGGGGGAGAGAAGATTTTGAGTTGGAGAGTGTCTTCACCCTTTCTAGCATTACCGGGGGGCCAGATGTTCCACATCAACAAAAGCATGAGCATTGGCGACAGGGTGGTGGGAGAAGGGAGTGATGGTGTTTAGATGTACTATCTGTAGGTAAGGTAGTATGTTGTTGTGTGGTCGGATGTAGTTGGATGATGACGGTGAAGAAGATATATTTTAACAAGATTCCCTCATATTACTATAGATACCTGAGGTACCTGTAGGTATGTAGGTAGGTATTACGGATAGTTGGTTGCATATGACGAGCAAGCAAGCATTTGGCGACTTGAATCCAGCATTTTCTTAGCTCTTGCGTCTTTGCGTCGGTTACAATCAACGAGTACCCGTCGACGGAGTAGGAGTACAGTGTGTGCTCTCGTAAAAGGAGACATGGGAAACGAGGCTGGCAATCCCGGTATGGCCAGTCAACTAGTTAGTTGACCAAAGGCAGGTCCCTCCTACGAGGACTGTACTGTACCTCGCTGCAGCTTGGGGGAAAAAAGTGGTGTACAGGATGATCCCGCGTATGCCCACCGTGTTACGGAGTACAGCAGTTGGTTACTCGTGTGTATGAACTCCGCACCCACCAACGACTCTGCAAAAGGACTCACTCGTACGGAGTTACTACGGACAGACGAGGAGGCCGCAAAGAGACGGAAGATACGCACAGAAACATTACACCACTCTGTAACATGAATGGTTGCGTTGATTAATCCAACTTGATATTGGTCATGTACACGACCTAGAAACACCACAAACCCCTTCTGATCATCTGTAATAAAGTCTTTAGCCTGACCTCGGGCGCAAATCCCCCATGAACGCGTTCAGAAACTCCCGTGCCCCCTTCTCTATGTCCCTCTCAGTCATCCTTGTCCTTAGTCGGGCCCGAAGTAGAGGCGTATGCATTTGTAACACGATGACCCCGGATCGGAAATCGCTCGTTCAGCAATGCTTCTTCTGTGGCGGTCGTTGCGGTAGTAGTAGTAGAAGTAGTAGTAGTAGCAGTAGTCATGGTCGGTATAGTTGGCGTGGGCATCTCCGCTGTGTCCTCAATGCTAGTTGCTCCCTCTTGCCCGTTGATACCCACTCCAGCGAGCTCAGCATTGGTTTCCAGCTCTATCAAGTCACCCATCTTGCCAATAGCCGCGCCTCTTTCCCTCTTGACCCCAGCCATTTTCCGCACCCAGCCTTCAATCGCACCACCGACTTCGCCGAGACCAGAGCTGTTGGACCGGGAGCTTCGAAGTGAGTCTGTACTTGGGCGAGGTGTGGCTCGTGGCGACGGTCGCAGGCTGAACCCCGTGCGAGGCATATCTTCAGGCTGAAGCAGATCAGGGAGGTACTTTGCTAGGTTGCGGTTGAGAGGGTCTTCTGCCGGACCGGGACGCGACGTTTCTGTCCGAAGACCGCGCAGAGTTCCCACTCCACCAGGCCCGCGGAGAGCATCAGCAAAAGTATTACTGGTCACACTCGACGAGCGTTGCCTCCCCGAAAGCCCTCGATCTTTCACCTGTGGACGGCGTGCTGGTGAGCCCCCCAAGGATCCCGATGTCCGCGCCGCATGTGTTGGAGGATGACGGAGCATGTCAAAAGATGTCTTGGGCGTACAATTCGACGCTGCATCAGTGAGAGTCGCGTTTGATTTCCGTCGAGCGCGGGGAAAGAAGCCGAGCGCGCGTCTAGGGACGCGCAAAACCTCGATAGGTGTTTCGAGGTTCGGCAGTAGCACCCAGGAGTCATGCTTGAAGTCAATCTCTTCGGCGTGAGAAGTGGTAATTGACAGTGCCTCCGAGTCACGCTTGGAGGATATGCCCGAATTTGATAGATTGGGCGACAAAGACTGACCCTCTTGAGGTGTATCAGCCGCAGGGCTCGTTGGATAATCCTGCCTGGAGTCGAACATGTCGTTTGTAAGATAGGGACTGTCGACCTTCCTGCCTCTTGCTGTACAGCCTGCCAACGGCACTAAGACATGTGTTCTTGTCTGGATATTATCGTTCGGCCAAAATCGATTAATCTTGCGGAAGGGTTCGGCCTGGCAATTATACTTGATGATGACTCCAGCGAGAGTATCTCCTTTCTCAACTTTATGCAGGTAAACTAGTGCGTCTTCACTCGCGTCGTTCGATGTAGAATCAGTTGCACCGACATCCGAGTCCCTTCTCTTATACCGTCCCCAGGTGTCTCGGCTTTCAGACACACTTGCAAGAAGTAACGCCTCCCTCTTTTTCGCTTCGACCATGGCCTTCCTCTCTTCAATGGCTGCTCGTGCAGCGCTGGTCGAGGGCTCATGACTGGGACCCCATTTTGGCGTCGAGATCCTGGTTCCGTATGGATTGTCTTGCTTCATCCACAGAGGCTTCTTGATTACTCCATTGGACTTGGAGCCCGATGATCCGGACGGCTCCCCCCCTAACAACGTCGAGGCTAGCCCTTGTATAGACGACCATGACTCCCATATGCCTACCCCCCCTGAGTGTGTCTGCTGCTCTGAGGAAGGCCTCGAGTATGTGTTGCCAGAGCGAGGATTCTTCCCTTTATCTACAGACTTGGAGCGCCTCGGTACGCCATGTGACTCAGGAGATACTCCTCTGCTGACCGGATGCGATGCGTGTGTATTCGCGGAAGTCGAGATGGAGGTTGTGTCCGTGGCGTCATCGTCAAGATAGGATATCAATCGAGGGGCACGGGGTCTCAGCGTGGAGGTGCTGCTGTTGGACGACGGGTAGAGGCCGGTATGAGAGTTGCTGCTCATGGCTACTGGCCGTTATGCCAACACGCAGTGTCGAGGGCTGACGACATGGGAGCGAACAGCCTACTTCTCGTGCGTTGAGGAGGGGCGGCTGAATGTCAGAGGCGTAGAGGTTACCGTGGCTGGCTCGAGCAGGAGACAATCGGTATCAGGGGGTTCAGAGATGGTTGAGGTGACACGGTTATCGACGCAGCCAACGACTTGGCTATAATCAGGTGGTGAGAGATACGACGTGTGGTTGAGGCTCGCCAGGGAGTACGAATAGGCAGTACGGCTCACTAGGCTGTTCGACACGGACGAGAAGCCAACCTACTGTACATCACTTTCGTTAGCGAGCGCGTACTTGGTGTTAGGCATGCGTAGGGAGTTGGCTGGGACCTGGGGCGATGGAGCAGCGCCCCCACTCGCGCTTAACGACCAAAGTACCTCACTAACCTTGGGTGCCGTGACGCCAGATTTTAGGTATTATACCCGCCCACCGCCACCCGTGAGCCCTTGTGGAGGAACCCAAAACCACATGCGTCAACCATCAATGCATCCCGCAGTCTCATTGTGCCCGCCATCTATCCTTCTGTCTCGCCTTGCTTTACAGGTAGACGGGTTCCAGACATTCTACACTACATTTACAAAAGAATCCTTGGTGTCCGAGCATTGAGATGGACTCCGATTATCGACCGTTCACTAACTTTTTGTTCAACGCGGCTCATCAAGTCCCATCCACCTGCATTCCCGCCAGCTCCCCGTTGATACCGAAAAACTGGAACCAGTCCTCGACGTTCAACGTCGTCGGGGCCACTGGAGCGTTTCCAATTGAACTCGTTGACCACCCATCGCTATCGTGCATCTCCATCCCCGCGCCCATCATGCCTTGCATCCCGGGTGGCCAGACTTGAGGCTGGCCCGACATGTCAAGCTGCGGCATTTGCTGACCTCCCAGGGGCTCCTGCATCTGTAGTTGAGGGTCGACCGCGTGGTTCAGTATGGGGCTCGCAAAGTTACTGATATCCCCAATCGTCCCATTGGGGAAGAGCTGGTCGGGTTGAAAGTTCTCCCACAGTTGCTGCGAAATGTTGGGAGAATCTCGGGTCACCAAGAAGAGGTCTGGAGGAGTCGCGGGTATCGAGTAGCCATTGAAGGGTGAGTTGGCCCGGGTGGGAACTCGCGAAGGGATTCGAGATGCTCCGCGGGATCGAGAAGCGGGCAAGTGTTCTGATGGCAATGGAGGGGATCCGAGGAAGTTGTGATGTTGATGCTGGGGGACTTCCCGGGAAGGAGTAACCGCAGGAGTTTGCGGTCGTGAACGCTCGTAAGACATTTGTGGTGCTGGAGGGCCGACGCTGAACCCCAGGTCGATATCGTCGAATTTTCGCTTGGCTGGATTTGCGGCCATCGCTATGTGCGAGGGAGCAGCTGTCGGTCCATTGGCGCTGCCGTTCGGTTGACCTGGGGCTCCAGCGGCTTGATTCATTTTGGCTCGTTGGGCTTTCTTGCCCGTCGCCTTTTGCAGTCTCTCCTCCAAGACTTTGTTCCCGAGTATAGATTCGAACAACGTGTGGACCATCTTTGCTACCAGCCATACCTTGGAAACTTCTTTCAGGGCATTCATACATACGTTGATCCGTTCCTGGCTGGCCGCCACAACTGATGGTACAGAAGAGCGCATCTGATAGACATGCATAATCAGTGCCGAAAACAGGCTATAAACACTTGGAAGTTGTCAGTATCTTGTCGCGTGTCACGGGCAGACCACTTACATGAAAGCAGGGGTATATTTGACTTGATCATGGGCTAAAAGGTTTTCCATGATAGACGTAATCATTCCAGCCGCCTGAAATGCAATCGTCCTCGATGGGTAAGCCATGTCCACGTTCTCATAATCTTTGGGTTTTGCGGTGGCGGGCGGCATGTGGGCTCGATGTAGTAGACAGAGTGTTGTGCTATCAAGAACGTTAGCCATAAGTTTCCTGGGATGAATCGAGACGTACTAGTAGTTTGAATGCAGTAAGGCGGACCAAAAATGGTGGCGAGAACGCTCCCAGTACACTTCTCGTGGACAGTTCTGCAGCCAGTCGGCCAGTGCCATATCGCTGTGGGTGAGGTCGATGGCATTCGTTCTCCGAGCCTTAGATGCCACCGAGTACTGTTGTGAGAGCACGAGACCCATGATTTCGCATAGCTTCACGTATTGCAGAAAAAACTGAACGTGAACCGGATCCGGCTGGTATTCACTATTCGGATCGCCTTCGTCTTCAATGAAATCATCCTCGGTGATCATTTCGACGTCGGAGTCGTCAGTGTTGATGGAGACGGGGCGCCCCAAGGCTACAGCCACGGACCGGTCCCTTGTGAACAACGACCACCACACTCTTTTCCACAAGCGCTTATCCTGTCGACTCAGCTGGGAGCTTTCAACACTACGTGATCGATTAGCATCGCCATGATATCCAATGGCCATGGCACGCACCTTCGATGCATACCGGCTCCTTGCGCAACAACAATCGCCACCCGGGTCCAGTAAAAGACATTCTTCGTCACATCTGCGGCAATGTTAGACCGCGCAGAGTCGGCGAAGTCGATTGAGCCCTGCTCCTTACCTTCAGGGCCTTCCCAGTACCAGCCCATCAGCACCAAGGCTTGTACTATTGTGATACGGTCGTCCTCGTAGTTGGCGTCGTATAGTGCTTTTGCACGCTTGTAGAAGGTCATGGCTGCAGGGGTCGTCGAGCCCGTGGCGTCCATCAGCTGTGGGTTTGTGCAGACCCGAGAGCCGGCAAGGAGCATTGCTTGGAGGAGTAACAATGATGGAGGATTCTTGGTGTCCTTATACCTCTTCATGAACCGTGTCCTATTGATGACTGGCACAATGGGATGCACCCAGCGAAAATAGGCATCGACAAGCTCATCGCATAGGGTTCGCGGAGGAAGCAGAAACGCTCCTCTCTGTTGCAAGATTTCAATCTCCATCTGATCTGGCTCAGTCAAGCGTGCGCGGGCCCCCCTGATGTTCTCTGGTAATGGGTAGTGAACCACATCTGAATTACCATGCCGATCATGGACTAGCAAAGACAAATTCGAAGACTCTCCAAGATAGGCGACTCGTCCAGCTTCCTTGATCGGCGCACGAGCAAACTTGGGTTTCATAAATTGAGCCATGGTACCGTTATTGGCGGCTTGCTGGGCCGCCTGCGCCTCTGACATCTGTGTAGACGGGATGCCATCTGGAGAGTTGAATCCTGCAGTCGGTCTGGGTTGAGCAGGACGTGTTAGGCGAGAATCTGTAGGTGTCGGCGGTGGCTGGGTATCGGCGGTCTCACTATGATACTTCCGTTACCTCGATGGTCTCCTAAGAATGAAGAGAGTCGAGGGCACGTACCTCTCGTCATCTTTGGCCCGCGAGGTTCCTGCCCTCTTCCGCTTGGGCACAGGGATCCGGCATTCAATGGAAAACGCAACGCAGTTGGTACAAGGAACTCTGGATAGGTCAGAAAAGTGAGCCAGAGATAGTCTTTGTATGCACTCACCCAAGGGAGGCTGCATCGCACCGCACCTGTGGTAGAGGGGTTAGTACCACCGCCAGGCATAGTAGCCGGTGCCACTGCACAACATACCTTGCGTGCGTGGCATGTTTCTGTCAATGTAATCGTTAGCGACTATTCAACAGCAGTGATCCCATTCGTATTGGTGACGCATGTTGCATGCATATTGTGTGGGCAATGAAGGCCGCAGTGTTCTTCCGTCCCACGGTGCCATCTCTGAACCGAGGTTCTCGGTCGGTCGCGTCCTCCAAACGCTGAGAAATTATAAAGTGAGATTGTCCAAAGTCGCATCTCTCATGTTTGCCGGAGCCGATGAGACAGTATGCAGTCTCTCCAGAAGAGGCCTCCTTTCTTGCATATATCTTCCGTATGTCCCGCCTTCGCGACGAGGTAGGGCCGAGAGGGAGAAGGAAAAGCTTACCACAAGCCCGAGAAGCGCGCTGCCTATTGTTCAGTCAGTTAGGAACCCAAATTGACAAGGTTTTCGAAGGACGACATACCGTCTAAAGCTAGGATGTCCAGGAGTCTGGTTCGGGGGAGCTTTCGTTGTGCCTGGCTGTTCGCCTGCTGATTGCGATTGGGATTGCGCAGACTCCGACTCTGCTGGCGGACTGGGTTCGGCCATGGCTGTGAACAAAATTGCGTCCGTGTCAAAGAATTCGGAAGTCAGGCTGGAGCGGGTCCGTTGAAAAGCAAGACTGCGTGTCGCGACAAGCACATGGAGTGTGAAAGGCGACGTGAGGGTGATTGAAAGGAATGGGAAAAGAAACCACAGTCCCGTGAGCTTGTGCAGGCAGGCGGTGTTCCAGCACAAGAGATGTGTGTGTCAAGACACTCCGGATACTGAGAGCACCTACTCCGTTCTTCGTACTGGCCTGCAGACTAAGCATTGCTCGGGGCTCCTCAGGCCCCTAATGCGCCTGAAGTGGTTGGCTTGTGCTCCTCCAATTGGCGTCAATCCGCCCGAGCAGCGCCTAAAGTTGTGGGGGGGCTGGGAAAGTCTGGGGGAAGGACAATCATTCAGCGCCTTGTCTCTCAAGCCCACTAACTAGTGATGCCCCAATTCTGCACAAGACTCCGTGAACCTAGGCTATTCCACTGCCACCCTATGTTCAGCATGTGCTGTGTTATTTGTCTCTGTTCCGTCGTACGTAGTAGTGTACACTCTGCTGTTTCATGGCTCATAGAACTGAAAACCATGGTCTCTTTCGTAACAGCCGCCTGATTACGAAGCAATAGCTTCACGTTTCAAAAGTAGTCCTCTTGTATCTACCCAGGTATAGATTCCGTTCTATCGCTCAGCTTCTTCCACTGCTTCTTCCATATCTGAATCGGGGTGCGGAGATGACGATGCTGTGCCCCAATCTCCATCCCTATTGCCGTTCGTTATCTTCTTAGACGATTTAATCGTAGCAGTCCGCGAGAAGAAATCGGACGTTCGCAGGCCCCGGATTTCTCCAGCCTTCATGTTCTCAATCCGAGTGCCATTTTGCCTCTGGCGTTTTATCATCTCACGGACGGGCACCATCGCGGCCTCCCGGCATGCTTCTTTGATGTCACTTCCAGACATGCCGGCCATCACTCTTGATAGATATTCCAGATCGAGATTCGCACTGTCTGTCTTGGTATCTCGCAAGACAATCTTGAGTATTTTCAACCGCTGAGAAGTATTTGGGAGTGAAATCGGGAACTTTTTTGGCATTCTTCTCAGAATCGCATCGTCGATGTCGCCCATCCTGTTCGTGGCACCCAGAACCAGTATGCGCTGAGGTCGTCCAGACGAACTGGCGGAACTCAGCCCGTCCCAATGTGTCATGAACTCTGCCTTGACCATGCCGCTGGCTTCGTGTTCGCCACTGTGCCGAGTTCCCAAGACGGCGTCGATCTCGTCAATGAAAACAATTGCTGGTTCCAACTTGCGAGCGAGAGAAAAGACGGCATTGACAAGTTTGTTGGAATCGCCGAACCATTTTTCGGTCAAGGTGGAGATATGCAGATTGATAAAGCACGCGCCGCTCTCGTGAGCCAGTGCCTTTGCCAGCATAGTTTTCCCGCATCCAGGTTGTCCATACAATAGCACTCCAGAGGGGGCAGATAGTAACGATGACGACGTTGCGTAGAGATCCGGCATGGTCAAGGGATATATAACCGATTCTTTCAACTCCTCGATGATGTCGGACATGCCTCCAATGTCCTCGAAAGATACTGGGATGTCCTCGGGGAATACAAGATCTTGTAATATAGCCTGCTCATACCGCGATAGATCTAACTGCTCTCGTAAAGACTTTGGACGACGAGCGTCGGCACCGGATTGCGAGCCCTTCGGCCCATCGAGCCTTCGCAAGATAGCCTCTGATTGCAGCCGTGTTTTCTCCTTAACTTCCGCTTCGGGATCAAGATTCATCTGCTTCAATACATATTGAACTAGATAAAACCCTCCGATGGCCTGTTCGAAAGTCAGTGGTTAGAGATATAGCGGGAATGCTGGCTGACCATAGGAGCTGCGATGAGAAACTCCTGCAGCACACGGTGCCACCAAACATTTGCGCCTCTGTCAGGGGCCATGCCGAGTATGTCAATGGCGGAACGCATAGAGTTAAGCCCATGAATGGTTGAATAGTTGAACAGTTGCAATGATCAACAGGTTGCCCTCAAACTTGTGCAGCGCAGGCTGGTGAGGCGCAGGCTCGAGTGGTCATTCTGCGCCACCGTGGGACCATCCAAGCTAGACTACTTTCGGACATATGTTGTTTGTTTTGTGTCGAGAGTCCCGGGACCGTATGCAAGGCGCGCATACTTCGTAGTACTCGTACATCATCGAACTCCAATAATCTGGCTTCACCACATAACAGGGCACGCTCTCTGCACGTCAAAATGAAGGGCATTGCCCAGCTTCTGGATTCAGATATCGAGGAAACCGCCGCCCTTGCTGATGATCGTTCAGATGTCTCCTCCGAAGGCGAGGAGAACGCGACCAACTCGACACAGGCAAAGAAACGTCGCAAACGACAGAGAGTGACAATGCCTGCCAAAAAGATCAAAACAAGTGACCAGCCTTCCGCGACCACGCATAGCAAAAAGGCGCCATCAAAGCGGAAAGTACCAGCGCAGCGCAAGCCGATCGAGGACGAGCTCGACCAGCCCTCAGACGGCGACACCCAGAACTCTGATGCAAAACAGCGCGCGCCTGAGCCGAAGCAAAAGAAGTCAACAGGTGCTACTCAGACCAAACCTAAGACAAAAAAGCTTCCAAGGACAACTGAAGACCAGTTGGGGACTCGCAAGGAGAACGCGAAGTCAGAGCCCTCCGCGAAAGATAGCGACCCTAAGGACGAAGTCGAACCTCCTCGACCCTCAAAGAAAACCACCGGCGCCCGAAAGCCGAGTGCCTTGAAGGAGAACGTGGCTCCTATTATTGAGTCGCTGCAGGAGACGTTCGATGAGTCAGAGGAATCAGAACTAATGCCGGCTGAGCATAGGACAAGACCTCAGCAAGTGTCACGCAATCCGTCTCGAACAAGACAGGAGTCAGTTTATCAAAGACGACCAGTTAGTACGGCAGGCACAGATAATCTGCGTCGCGAATTGGGAGACATAACGAGGCAGTTGGAGAACTCTGAACTGAGGTACCGCAGTTTAAAGGAAGTCGGCATCGATGAAGCCATGGGGAAAATGGAGGCTCTGCGCCGCGAGCATAATGTTACGGTGCAGGCCTCGAACGATGTTATCGCATCTCTCAAGAGGTCGCTCGCAGCTCAACCCCGTCTAGATCAAGAAGTCCAAAGGCTGAGGACAGATTTGCAGAGCCGGGTGGACGAAATAAGTGGCATGCAGCGCGAAATAACCGCCTTGAACGGCTCGCTCTCCGCAGCCACGAATGAAGTTAAAGCTCTCCAGGCCAAATTAGCCGCTACAAGAGCACCTTCAGTCGAGACCATGTCATCAAAGGCATCCGGAAGCGCGGTGAAGGGCAAATCACACGGCTCGGTCGCCATGGGCAATTCGGATGCCGCGCAAGCCGTTCAATATGCACAGATGAAGGAGGATCTTTATAGCGATTTGACTGGACTCATTGTCCGCAGTGTCAAGAAAGCAGATTCAGGCGATACTTTTGACTGCATTCAAACCGGGCAGAATGGCAGTAAGTGCGACTGAACCGGATGCGAGTGTTTACTAACTTGTGCTCAGCTCTTCATTTCAAGCTTTTTGTTCCTCAAGAGGGTCCAAGGGGAGCCCATTTCGAGGAGCCTGACATTCTCTACACGCCTTTGCTAGATGGGAATAGAGACCGTGACATGATTGAGATCATGCCCAGCTACCTGACCGAGGTCATTACGTTTTCAAGGCAGAACGCAGCCAAGTTCTATGGACGGGTAGTTGATACCCTGACGAAGAGACGACCAGATGATTGAAAAGGGTTATTCGACGAGCTGAACCGCAATGGTATCTATCTTGCCACCGGCATTGATTAGGAGAACCCTGGATTGTGACAGTATCGACTTTGAGCGACAAAGATCAACAACTCTCTATCCAAAAGAATCGTCTCATATGTAGTGTCGCATCGACTCAAATACCTCCTTGTCGCCAACTTTCGTCCTTCTCGAGGCGGACTTCCAGCCCCTGTTACGCTGGTCACAAATCTCTCGCGGCTTTCATTGTCCATGATCAACGCCCCAACAGTTCAGCAGCTCAGCAGCACAAAGTCAGCTGTCAGCTACCTTCCGGCTTCACCTCGTATCCTTCCTGTTTGGTGACAGCGAGCCTGATGAATTAACAATTTGCAGCCCTCTGCTAAGGCGCTTATGGAGCCGACGCAGTCCAGGGTTTCATTGCACGCCGTATAGAGCATGCGGTCCTTCCGTGAATCAGGTACTGCTGTACTGGTATGTAGCATGTCATAGTGTGGCCTGGCCAAGGTGATGGAATGTATGGGTGGATGGTGTCCATGAAGAAGACAGAACGAAACATTGCTTCATCTTCGCAGTCCCGTGTCTCCTTATCGTTATCGTTATCGCGTTCATCCTTATCGAAGCCCCTCCTCTCCGCTCGCTCCTCGCTCCAACACATCAGCACGGAGTTAACGACGACCACCATCTAGAGTTACTAAACACAACGCGCACCTCAACCTTTTGAATCTGTTTCACCTTCCATCCCCGTTGTCACTTTGAATCTCCTCCGCGGCTGATCACGCGCCTCAGCGTCTTAATCAACGGACGCTGCACAATGATGATGTGATTGACCCTTCGGCCGCGAAACATATACTCGTACAAATGCTCCTCATCCCTCTCGATAAGCACTCGGCTGCCTGTATCAGTCAATGATTCGTCCGTCCTGAATCAGACTCTTGAGAACGCCTTCTTGTCTCTGGGGATACCAAAAACCGTCAGGGTTCATCCTATCAAAGCCTCGGCCTCCTGTTATCCTCCTGCGGCTTACCGACCTCGAACCTTCCCTGACGCTCTTCCAGACCCACGGTGGCTGTTCAGACTCTGAAATAACATACTGCGCAGGACCCCTAGAAACATGTCCCTGCACGCACGGACAGCCCTTACACGAGCAAGGCGACCTTCGCCAATCCAGGTAAGGACGCTCTGGTGGTGGAGCCGTCACTCTAGTGAACCTCAGTTGCCCTTTGATGAGAACTTCGAAGAGCGTATGGCAAGACATCACAAGATGTTAAGGTCTAGATACTCAAGAGCTTTTGCACGAAGAGCCTTGCGAGACAAAAAGGTCATCGCTCACTGGTTTCAACATGGTAACGATCGACTTTCGGATAGCAGCTATTGTACTTACCAACCCCGAACCTCGGATTCTGCTCCGTCTAACAAAAGCGACAAGCAATCTCATAATGTGGGAAAGGGCAAATCTGATATCCCAGAGGACCTCAGCTTCGAGTCTTTTCGAGCTAGGATAGACCGCGCCATAGCAGAGGACCCTCACGGATGTCTCTTCGGGAGACCATCTAATGCTCGCCAATCTCCCAGATACTCGTCCTTTGATCCGTTCTCCTGGAATCCTAGAAATGATTCCGACAAAATGGGCATGGACACTCCACCCGAATTCACAAGAACACGGATGGCGAAGGGCAAGTCTGCCCTCGATTCAGCATCATGTCCACCTACTGTAGAAGCAGCCACGGCTTTTCCGGCCAGAAAGGACGATTCCCATTCTCCGTCACAAACGGATGCCACAGCCGCGGAAACTGAAAAAGAAATGAGTTATGTTTACGATCCCATATCAATGAGGAAGGTCCTCAGCAGAACAAACTCCTTGGATCGTGTCAAGAAGTCCTCAGAGGACAAGTTATCTTCGGACCACGGAGTCGAGATCCCCGTCAAGACATACCAGTCGCACAAGGTCTATGGATATGATCCATCGGATCCAGCATTAGACGGCGTAAAGTCTGTTGAGACTACGGTTTCTAGGGCAGAAATCACAGAGAGTTCGAAGGAGCAGAATTTATGCGAACTGATGTATAGAGCGAAAGGAAACAAGCTGGATACCTCTGCTCAATTTACCGAGATGACCAGGACCCAAAGTTCAAAGGAAACAGAAGAACCATCGGAACCACATGGCAGAAAACGTGAATCACCAGCCCCAGACGACAGTACCCCGTTGTTTACAGGCACAACCTATGAGACCAGGGATGAGCTTGATACCAATCCTATCCCAATGAAGGAGGATTGGCTGGCAAAGGAAGGCTTTCGAACCTACGATCCACACAGGCACGAGACAAACGCAAGTGCGGATTCTCTGGACACTACTATCAAGGAATACGTCGGCTTCAAAAAGCAGAACGAAGAGGATCATGTTGCAGCCGAAGAGGGCTTGTCCCAAGCACCAGTTGAGATTCATAGGCCCATCCTTGAACCCGCATTGAATAGAATTCAAGCTACGCCGGCTCTCGAACCGGAAAATGATGCACAATTGCTTGAAACCTCACTGGATCGTCATCTGAAGCAGGACGGTGCCGTCAAGAGCTCGACTACGGACAAGACTTTCAGAGAGTCCATCCCAAGCACACAGGAAGACATGGACCTCTTGCGAGCCAGCGATGTGCGTGCTGCGACTCGGGCAACCCGATACACAAAACAAGAAGCCGAGAACAGGAAAAATGCGGCAAGACAAAGTATGGAAGGCGCTTGGCGAGCACTCCAGGATGGCTCTAAAAACGAAGAAAATCACAAGTCTTCACCACCCCCCAAGAATGCAGGGGCACCAGCAAGCAAGAGTCTCGATGATTTTCAGGGCCAATTGCGTGAGCATCTCAATGGCATTATGTCAAAGACAAAGCAATCCCTGGCAGCATCATCAAACAGCACTTATGCAAGCTATGTCCGAGATATTGGAGGAAAGAAATGGGCAGATTTGACCACAAAGCTCGTTTTCGAAGATCAGTCTCTGAGCAAGGCGCCGTCGATTTTTACAGGCAAGCCACCAAAACCGTCCAAGTCTTCTACACCAAATCCTGAAGTCGAGCAGGCCTTAGAAGAGAGCAAAGAACGTACGTCATCTTTGAGAGAAGCTACCGCTAGGACCAGGAGCGAGCGGGAGAAGACTGAAGCTCAACTCTCACAGCTATCCAACGACGTCCGGGCAGTCTACGAGAACGAATACGGGCCGATCAACATTGCCCACCGACAACCTTGCCCATCAGGAGTTACAGGGCAAGCCTTTGCACCAGAGACATCAGATTCTGCTTGCGCAAGGACTGTACCACCTCTTCTCAACGCCACTGTGAAACCGGGAGTGGTGACGGATCCTGTCATTGATGCCCATGTCAGCACTTTCGAGCCAAAGTTCGCAGAGCTTGTCGATGGGGCCAAGACAATACGTAGAGAGCTCCACGAGGCTAAGATGGCAATTCGTGCGATCGAATCGGGAAGGCCATCGAATGTATGGGCTGTGCCTTCTCTGGCAGACTCGAATTTTGGCCAGAAAAGAATAACCTTCAATACACAACTTGCTGGCGGCTCCGAACCAGAATCCTTTGTCGCTGTTGAAGAAGCGATGGCAAAGCCAGTCGGCGGAGTGGGTGGTGTTGATCCTGGTAGAGAGCAAAGCAAGGATGAAACAGTACCGGATCCTGTATTCTCAGAATCGGGCTCGCCGGAGTGGAACGATGAACAGATCCCACCCATTGAATCTCTGAGGACGAAAGGAAGCGATGCTCCGTACCTCAATCTGGTGTATGATGACTCGACAGGAAAGGTTACGCTCTCGCCAATGAACGAACCGACGCATTTGTCGACTAAAAGAGCCGATTTAATCGAGGTCCTCGGGCGACTGAAACATGCACCGGAGTTCTTGAAGCATTTTACGCCATTGAGGAAGGCCGGGTATTCGCTTGTCGATGGCGGCGAGGATATGCTCGTCTTCACAAAGAGGTTGTCAGAGCACCTGACGCCGAGACCATCGAGTGACACGGACGCTGGTCCCAACAAGGCCGAACCCACGAAAGCAAACCAGCAAGCCGCGACAGTCCTCGACGAGATGCCGACAGAGATTGACGCCCCAGGCCCAGCAGCGCCCACCGCACCGCCCTTCAATCCGGCAGCTGTGAATTCTCAGGTCAAGGTCAAGCGTCAAGAAGACGTCTTCTCCGGCACCCTTCGTCCGAGCGAGGCAGCATACGAGGAGGACAGCTTTGGCCGTCGCTTCACTCGCCGCCTCCGAATCATTCTCCTGACGATAGCAACCCTGGGTGCTGGGGCTTACATGATTGGCTTTGTGGCCGAGGCCCTTGGGGCACAGGCGCAACGACAGAATGGCGCTGAAGACAGTCGGGTTTCGGGGCCCAGAAAGAGGATTGTCATGACGGGTCAGCGACCGGGGATTTTCAGTACCGAGAGCTCGAGATGAGTAGATTGAAACTCGGAATTGATTTTGAAGAAGAAGAAGAAGAAGAATGATAACAATGATGAAGACGACAACGATGACGACAATGAAGTTGACGAGAAGGCAATTGCGCACAGAGGGAGTATTGTATCATTAATGGAATGTAAGAAGGAGGGAAGGACGGAAAGGAAAGGGGGAAGAGAGGGCCTTGTTGCCCATGCGTACATACGTACATCTCTGAGCCTGAGACGAGTCCTGATCAGGTAGACAGACACACACACGCCCGCTCCCCTCTCGTTGTTCTACTGGAGGTACTGATGTTTGTTATTTTGTTGGGCGTTTTACGGTATGGGATAGCATCAAGTCCTCTCCTGAAATTGAAATCCGCCACTGGCGCATACCAACTAGTTGGGTATCCTTACTCTCGTCCTCTTCAAACATGTCTTACGAGACCCACCCACATCGTTATGTTCGTAACGTATAATCGCTGCAGGACACGCATGTGAACTATTGCAATTTGTAACTTGGAAACAAGTGTCAACTCCGTCTATCATTTCAAGAGCATTCCTAACCCGCGAAGCCAGTAAGCATGGGGTGTCTCAACTGCTCAAAATTCATACTCGTTTGTCTACGATACAAAAACCCAATTCCAGAGTCATCGCGCCTCTCGCAAAGCCTAAACTGGAAGAACCGTTCAAGAACCGTCCAAGAATCCGCGTCCCATCCCGGTGCACCGTCCTCAATAAACTGGGAGCTTCCACGACTTCCCCCCGAGCGAGCGCCGTCTGCGCCTCGCTCTGTGCAGGTCTCCCAGCTGCCAATCTCACCTACAAACACAGTGGCATCATTCTTTCCTAATCGAAATTCAAGTGCTTTTCGTTCAAATGTCAGAGGTTGTGTCTCACTGCCGTGACCAAAATCATGCTTCATCCACAGCTGACATCTAACAGCCGATGATTATACGACCTTGCTCAAGCGTAGTTGGTCTCTGCACTGAGCAGATTCTCGGTCTCGGGCTTGGAATCGACTGAAGTCGAGGAGAGCTCGGTCTTGGGGGCCGAGGGGAAGTCGCCTTCCTTGATTGAGGATTTGGCAGTGGTGGGGGATGGGATCCTCTGTCTCGCACTGCCAATGGCCTCCTGAGCTTTCGCAGTGGCAGTGCCAGTGTACTGCTTCACTGTCTCGAAACCCTTGCTCGTATGTTGAGCGGTCAAATCCTTGATCTGGCTGGTCTGTTGGCCAATGACCTCTCCTGCATACTGAAGCTGGGCGTCGATGGCTTCCTTGTTTTCGATATAGATCAATGGGCCAAGGAAGATGACGCAGGTGAAGAAGAGAGACAGGCCCCAGAAAGGGAGAAGTTTGATCAGGTAGTAGGTTACGAAGGCGGAGAAAAAGGCCTAGTAGTAAGAGTTAGAGGTAATTTGGATAGCACAGAATGGATAGGCCACTCACAGTTGCTGTGACGGGAATGTTCTCGGCAAAGACGATACGCTGGCCCTCGATGACGAAAAAGTTGATAAGATTTTCGAGATCATCAAGGGACGATTCGAGAGTCTCCTTGGGAATTTTGTAGTATCGGCGAGGTCGAACTGCACCTGCAACACTTGAACCCATGAGAGCTTTACCCGATGCCTCGGCCAGGGTGACAACTGTTGAGAGAGTCAATATCTTTCAGGCCCATCGGCAATTATTTTTCCACGTACCTCCAAGGGTCATCCAAGTGATCTTCAAGAAGTAGCGCAGGATGGGGAGGTATCGGCAGGCGAAGATGAAGAGGACGGTAGACAGAAAGGTCACACCAGTGGCTCGCTTGTTCTTCCACTGGAAGCTGTCAGTGGGATTCCGAGGGAATCAAGGATTCTGCTATCACTTACGCTCAACAAGGTGTAGAAGAAGGAATGATAGTCTGTAGCGCATGTCAGAAACGGTCACGGTAGGCTCGGATGGCGTGTCCCCTACGTGTCAATGGAGTATTGTTGGCAGCAGTATAGGATGGTGGTTGGCGAGAGTTCGCAAGATCACTGAACTCGGAAGCTGTGGCACCAGCCTCGTTCTTGACCGACGTTGCAACTGGACCTGATGGCATCTTTCAGTATTTGTTTGTTTTTTTCCCTTCTCAAGCCAAGTGCCCTACCATTGACGATGTTCTGTGTGATTGGGTGATTTTGCACAGTATTGACGGCAGCTGCAGCATCTAGAAGGAATTAGAAGGGTGGATGGAGAGGTTGAGGTATTCATCCTGTGGTATTGTTAGCTGGTCGACGTCCGTGTCCGCAGTTTGACGCCGAGTGATGACGACGGGAGCTTCAGATGGCGTACGTACCTTACTGTTGATGACAGTGTCTTTGAGCGGCGCGCCATTGGTAGCAGGAGCAGCTGCTGGGGTCTCGTCGACAGCCGACATGTCGGTATGTGTGGGAAGATCACCTTGAGACATGGTGTGGTTGTAGGATAGGGGAGACTGGCGAAACAGCTACCTGTGGCTGGAGGAGGGACGATGGATGAATACGAGAATCAACGGGCAGAGACTGAGGGCTACGAGGATCGAAATGCTTGAGGAAGAATTGAGCGTAGGGGTGGGAAGATGGTGAAAGGAGATGAGAGAAGGATGATGAGGACAAACAAGGACACCAAACTTGTTGGTGGCCAGTTTTGGATTTGTGCAAGCCACAAGTTTGGGGGGGATTGGGGAGTTGCGTCAGAGGCAGCAGGAGCAGGAGCAGGAGCAGTCACCACACGTAATTGCAGGCTCACCACAGTCTACAGCCAAGGTAGCTCTAGTTAAGTTGGCCTCTAGGTGCTCGCACTGTAGCCTGTAGGTACTCGTACTGTAATTCACTGCTCAGGCTTGCGGGCCTCAGCCCTCTACATCATCTCTTTAGGGGCCTCCGAACACTCGCAAGCAACTGGTCGCGTGCACAACTTGGCCATTGGCAAATGTCCCGTCACACCATTTACTGCCTGTTCTGCACAACACCGGAAGAGCTGCCTGCTGCATAGCACCATCAGTAACCCGGTGTGAGTGGCTTCGGCACAGCCTAGAGGATTCCCCGGGCTGGTGAGGCCATACAACATCCTCTGACGCAGTTCGGGGCTCTTGAGATACGAAATGCCCCGTAGAATGTTCCCGACACCTTGGGATGCACAGAAGCAGGATGACACTGCCGTCCGTGGTGACAGGAGGCATTTCATCATTACTCGCCCACTTCGCACCCTCTCCGGACTCTGTTCAATCCTCGTACTCGTACAGCGCGCATTGGGATAGATGCTGAAAAGTAAATCCTCGCTCTGTGTCTGACATGTGAAGATTCTTGGCAGTCGGACACCTTCCTCGAATACGAATACGAGGACGGAGGACGGAGTACGGAGTATGAGCATCTTGGTGCCAGCATTGGCGACACAGTGAACCCGAGTTTCTACATCCCCTAGGTACAATAGCTCCTATGACTACAGCAATAAGAGGAACCTATCCAGGTCGAATATGGAAAAGTTCACCTCGACACTCCAGAAAGGATTCACATGATTGTTTACATTTGCCTCGATTAGACCTGTCTGTGCACGGCTACCGCCATCACCAAGGTCCACCATTCCACCATAGAGAGGACTCAATGAATGCAGGTACAGTAAAAAGCCAGCTCGTCAATTTCAAGTCATGAATAAATGCATCTCAGAGCCTTTTGCAGAGATGTCCCTGAAACCTGGTCGTGCAGACAATAGTTATTTCACCTGGAGACTGCCCTTGGACTTGTTTGCAACGTGGCTGACTCTATGACTCGCCAAAGTATATTAGTCAAAAGTAGAAGAGAGATATTGATGTCTGAGACAAAGTCACCAACTTTGAGAGGAGGAAATGGACCCTCACGAGTGGTCGCTGTAGAAGTCTATACGAACAGAGTGAGTGCTGCATTCCCCGTGACTAAAAGCGGCATCACTTAACACAACAATATCCCCATTCATACCTAAAAAGTCATGTCCTTAAGGATCCCATGGTCACCTCGACGATCCTCTGACCCAACCAATCACCCGGCTACATGTCTGCACCATCAATACCAAATCTCAACTCTCTACGTCGAGGGGGCTTGCGAGGGAGGCTTCGAGGTCGGGGTGCTTCTGGAGCAATGGCTGGGGCTACGCCTACGACTGCAAAAGAGATCCAGCACGATGCTATCGTGCAAAACACCGACCATGATGCGGCCACGTCTCGGCTCAGTGCAGTTGATGCCGGCTACCTAGAGGACCCCTTTGCACACCTGATTGGTCCCTCCGAGGGCGTGTCGAGACGACTGCCACTGATGAATCGAGGTAGGAACAGGAGTCGTCGTCATCCCAGCGAACTTGACAATTAACTTACACAAGGTACTTACGTGAGAACAACGGGCATTGACAGGATCGTGGATGCCTTTCTGTCCGCGCCAGAGAATCCTCACAAGCAGATCATTTCGTTGGGCGCAGGAAGTGACACGAGATATTTCCGGCTTAAGCAGGCCCGGCGAAACGTGGCCATCACCTACCATGAAATTGACTTTGCGGCCAACACGCGACGCAAGATCAGTCATCTACGGAGTCCTACATTTTCGGTGGCTGCAAAAACCCTTGCGGGTATCGACATGCGTGCCCAAGAGGTCGACATCTCCGAGGACGGCACGACGTTGACTTCTCCCGAGTACATCATCCACCCACGAGATCTACGTCAACTTCCTCATCAACAGCCCGGACTGACAGGTCTGGACACGAGCTTGCCAACGCTCATCATCTCTGAGTGCTGCCTCATCTACTTACCCCCCGACGATGCGGATGCAGTGCTACAGTACTTCTCGAATTTGTTTCCCTCAGGTACCCCCTTGGCCATCGTAATATACGAACCCATTCGGCCCCACGACTCCTTTGGTAGGACGATGGTCAACAACCTCATGAACAGAGGCATTCAGTTACAGACACTGGTAAAATATGCGGACTTGGCTGAACAGAGGATAAGACTGGAACGTCACGGCTTTCAGAATAGTACAGCTGGGACTCTCGGGGGCTCACGGTCTGTCGATATCGACTTCATCTGGCGAGAATGGGTGGAGGCTAGTGAGAAGGAACGGATAGAGGGCCTAGAGTGGATGGATGAGGTTGAAGAATTCGTTCTGTTGGCGAAACACTACTGCATCTCATGGGGTTGGCGAGGATACAACGAAGATGGCCACTGGCGTAGCCTTCCATCTGCCATTCCTCCTTAGATCTGATGAACTGCTGCGGCTCACTGTACAGCACGTATGACGAAATGATTACGGACAGATTCAATATGCTTGGTGCCTTGTCGTCCGATGCGACTATCGATAATGATACGGACGGAAGGCATCAGTGATATTGTAAGGCACTTATGGAGCAACCGGAAGATGGAAGCGCATCGACGTCACTGCCATCCACCGTAGAATCCACCGTAGAACCCACCTCAGCCGCACAAACACCCAACACCAAACACGAAGAAAATGGTGATGATCACATTCCCGCCATCAACCTTTCACTCCGGCCCGTGCGAGCTTGTCATCTTCTGCCAGCTCATGCCATCAATTCTACGCGATCCCAGCACGTCAACAATCATGAACCATCCACGGTGTTGCGGCAATCCAAGTGGTCCGCTAAAAATCCTCAACTCGATTGACGGAATCTCCATCTACCATACTCCGTACCATGATGCATCTTATCACAAGCACTGAGTTCTCTGCTCAGCAGTGTTCACCCCCCATCACAAAAATGTGGTACATACCCGTTGCCAGGTTGGCGTGATCTGCTTTGTGGAATTTCTTCCCCAAGGACTGCTGTATAGTCTCAATCACCCCCCTTGTTGGCGCGCCACTTGTTGATCGGCCGCTCATTCTACGTTCAAAGTAGCCATGGCGCCGAGCAACTACACAATGCCCCGGACGAGACCCCAGCAAGGGGGCAAATATTGATTTCATGAAACCTCGGTTCACCTCAAGTCTACAGACTAGCAGACTGTCGGCTTAATCCGTGTCACCTTGGGGACCAGACCTGAGGCTCTGGTGGAGTCGATTCCATCTAGAAGAACATTCCAACCGCCGCAGTGACCGTCGGAGCGGTCTGGTTCTCAAGCAAGGACCATGGCGTTGAATTCTTGGAACGACTCGAACTCTTCAACAAGTGCCACCGAGATTACGGTTCAGAGTAACCAGTTTTCATGCAGTTTTGAAGTTGGCACTCCACAGCAATCGGCGGCTGAAGATAACTTGGCCCAGAGTTTGAGATGAGGTACACATTGTCATTTGCTTGGGTCGGGCAGTTACTGGTCCAAGCAAGATTTAAGCGGTTGCAGGGATCATTTCTGATTTGTTGCATGAAATTTGACGGTGCTTAGGCGGGCCGCCGGCTTTGGCGCGGCCTCTAGTGGCATCCCTGACTCTACAATACCCCGTCGGTGTGATCAACAGTGGACCTGGCCGTGCACCAGCCTTGCATGGCTCGAGAGCCGTTCGCTATGGTCTGCCCTTCGTCAACAGGGCCAATTTGCTCTTGAGCATGGTTTGGGCTTCGATCTACGCTCTCCTTTACCCTCTTTCACCTGTTTGAGTTGAGTGAAAACTCGTCCACTCCTTTCCTGGCGTCTCTGTTTCTCTCGTCGTCGCTGGACTTGTCGTCGTCGATCTGGTGCTTTTGCTATTGCGCGCATCTGCTCTGCGAGCACCCACGTTCCTTACAACAAACCACTCACCCTAGTCGCTCATTTGGAGTCCACCACGGCCGATAGCCAAAACCCCGATGCTCGCCAGCTCTTACATTGTAAAACGCTTTTGTCGATATACTTGGTAACGTCCAATGCGCAAACGAACCGTCACCTCGAGCGCGACCGCGCTGCTGCTCCTCACAGCCTCCGTGGTAAGCGCAAAGCATGGAGTTCACGAGCATCTCGAGTCACTCCACAAACGACACCGCGCGCATCGCCACTTGGATATGCGATCAACGGCCGAGAACGGCGCGCAAGGCATTGAATTGAGGTCTGTCGAGGAGACAACATCAAAGGCACCGGTCGAGAAGCGAGGTGGACAATGCGCCTTTCCCACAGATGCTGGTTTGGTTGCAGTGACTCCAGGGGAACAGAATGCGGGATGGGCCATGAGTCCTGACCAGCCATGTTTACCTGGAAACTACTGTCCATATGCTTGTCCACCCGGTCAAGTATCGGTGCAGTGGGATCCTAGCGCGACATCATATTCGTATCCCAAGTCAATGGTCAGTATTCGAGTCAAGGGTGTGGGGGGTTTTTTTTGGCTAATCTTTACAGAACGGTGGCTTGTATTGCGACAACAACGGCAACATCCAGAAACCCTTCCCAGACAAGCCATACTGCCAATCCACAGCCACCAACATCGGTGTACAGAACAACGCGGGTGGTGTGGTATCCTTCTGTCAGACCGTGCTTCCTGGCAATGAAGCCATGCTCATCCCGACTTCTGTTTCGGATTACGCCACTCTCGCTGTCCCAGACACCAGCTACTGGTGCGGGACTGCTGCACACTACTACATCAACCCTCCTGGCATCGACACTGAGACGGCCTGTGTTTGGGGAACGCACGCCAACCCCTATGGCAACTGGTCGCCGTACGTGGCCGGTGCCAATGTCGACAAGTCCGGAAACACTTTCATCAAGTTGGGATGGAACCCGATCTACCTCGAGCCGACCACGCCTTTCCGCAACGACATGCCAAACTGGGGTGTCAAGGTGGACTGTCCCAACGGTGGATGCCACGGCCTTCCCTGCTCGATCGACCCTAGCCAGAACCAGGTCAACCAGATGGTTGGTAGTGCGAGCGATGGTGCCGGTGGTGGCGCATTCTGCGTCGTCACTGTAGACCAGGGCGCAACCGCGAACTTCGTCGTCTTCAGCTCGGGAGGTGACCAGAGTGACAACAACAGCAATGGCAACAGCAATAGCGGCAGTAGCAGTGGTAGTGGTAGCTCGGCAACTGGCTGGAACAAGGGTGGCCAGTTCTACCAGACGACCACCAGCCCGGTAGCTTCGACCAGCCCCTCGACGACGTCAAGCACGACGACCTCAGAATCCACGACTTCGACCGCTTGGGCATGGTCCTCCAGCACCACCACGAGCTCAACGCAGGTTCAGACTTGGACATCAGCTTCCTCTAGCACCTGGCACTCGCGAGCGCCTACACACTCGCCTTACTACTCCATCTTCAACTCGACGACGATATCTACAGGGAGAGTCGACTACAGCTCAGTCGAAGCAACCGCGACTCCGTCCGGTCCTACCGCGTCGGCTCAACCTTCGATAGTATCTGCTACCGGAGCGGCCTCGTCAGTCCAGGTGTCCGTTGTGGGATTGTTATCCGCTCTGGCCTTTTACGCGGTGGCAGCACTGTGAAGAAAGAAATGACTTTACTGGTTTGAGCCCACCGTGTTGCAGAAGAGGCCCCGGGCCGACTTTTTTGTTCTCCCTCGAGCAGTAACGTGGTTCTCGGGACTGACGCAGCTGGACTTGCAAAAAAAGACCCTGCTTCTTGTTCGTCTCTGTACGAGAGGTATGTACGGAGTGGAGTTTGAATATCGATATACATATCGGCTGGCCATCTTGAGAAGAAACCGATGTGATATTTGCACTTTGCATTTCATTTGTCGATACCCATACCCCTTTTTGTTGGTGGAGATGTGTACCCGTCGCTTCGTTTCTGCTTGAATTATACCACACCAGCCGACCTTTTTTTGTTCTGAAAGAAGTCATTCTGGTAATGCCGGCTTTGCAGAGTTATCCTTATTCTGTTCTTTTCCTGTCATGATGATGACACACACACCTTGTTGGACTGTGTTCTTGTGGATAAAAGTCGAGTCGAAGGAGGAGGAGGAGGAGGAGGAGGAGGAGGAGTTACACAAGCACAGGGAAATCCTAAGCAGAAGAAAGAGACGGCAACTTTTTGCTGATGATTGTATTTTCCCTGGGCCAGGCAAGGAGAGTTCAGATGTATGTGGTTGAAGGGCGTGTTGGACTTTTTGTTGTTACGATATCCACGCTCACGCCCTGGTATTTTGTTTTGGACTTGGTGAGAAGCGAGTGTCCTACTTTACTTGGAATATGGGATCAGGGGAGAAGACGATTTGCGATGGCAGAAGTTCGTAAGGTATACATATCCTGACAACCATAGTATGTAGGTAGCTGAATTGTAATGTTGAATATTGCAACCATTCTACAACCCGGTAACTGGGGGAGGAGACTCCATCAGCATGTCAATGTATATACCTTGCATGTAGTTGCACTTTGACCAGCCGGGCTCAAACTGTACTGTGCAATAGATGTATTAACGTCAGTAGTACATTGGTAGCACAACATGGTGGTGATTGATGGCGTCCGAGGCTTTGGCTGCGATCGACTTATTATTCTCCCCCACTTCGTTCTGACCTTCTGTCTATCTCTCTCTCTTCCCCCCTCATGAACATCTCAGCCTCGACAGACATTCTGCATACCTCACCACCGCCCTTGTACTTCTCTTAACGGTCTACAATCCATCCCTGTCCTGTCCTGGCTTGGATTGCCATCTCTCCGTGGTCTAGGTACAGACGGAACCCTCCGCAGGAAAAGCATCTCATCCCCCACCAACCTCGTTTCAACACGCGCATTTCCAGTTCAAGATGCCGGCGGCATCACCTCAAACAGTATGTCCTACCTCGTGTGTCTCTTTCATGTCTCGTACCTTTGGGCATCTCAATTTCACACCATTACCCCCAATCAACCAAGTGCATCAATACTCATTTTCACCGTGACGACAACTCAGGTCAAACTCAAATCCACACTTCGCCTCCTCATCCCCCGTCTACGGAATGCGCAGAAAAAGGACACGGCGCTCTCGATCGCGGCGCGGCGCGAGATGGCCGAGTTGCTGTCACAATCCCGCGAGGCCTCCGCGCGCATCCGCGTCGAGAACATCATCCACACCGACATCACCGTCGAACTGATGGAGATCCTCGAGTTGTACGCCGAACTCCTCCTGGCGCGCGCGGGGCTCCTGGACGTACGGGACAAGAACGCGAAGGAGGGGCTGCTGAAATCCACCGGTGATGACGACGAGACCGCCGGCACCGGTCACAGCAACACGGGTCTGGAAGAGGCGGCCGCGAGCATCATTTATGCCGCGCCGCGGCTGCCGCGCGACGTGAGGGAACTGGGCATCGTGCGCAACATGCTCATCGAGCGGTTCGGAAAGGACTTCGCCGTGCGCGCCAACGACAACGTCGACGGCCTCGTCCCCGCGCGCGTCAGCGACAAGCTCAAAGTCGACCCGCCGAGCCCCAGACTGGTGCAGGCCTACCTCGAGGAAATCGCCCGGGCGTACGGCGTCGATTGGCCGCCGAACCGAGACGACGTCGATGAACTAGGCAGGGAGGTTGATCGGGAAGACCAACAACAACAACGACGACGCGGAGCGGATCCCGACGCTGATGGCGAAGACGACGGCGACGGTGTAGGCGGTGGAGGAGGAGGAGGAGGTATGAAAGAGACGCCGATATTGGCGGACGGCGACCCCTTGCCCCTGACACCCCAGAGACCAAACAAGATAGACATTGGGAGGTCGCTGGAGAGCGCCACGCCCCCTTCCAGCCTGGCCCCTGGAGGCGCAAAGAGTCCCGTGTCCGTGGCCCCGCCGGCGCCGAGGTCGGACAACCCGAGTCCCAAAGTGAGGTTGCCCGGTGGTGGAACGATAGGTAAAGACGGCAGCGGTGGGAGGTTCACGACGACATCATTATCATCATCATCGACGACGGCAAAGGGAAAGACGACGGCAACGTCAACAACAACAAATAAAGGTGGCGGTCCCACCGGGCCTGTACCGGGTAAAGTTCCTACGGTGGATGATCTGGCCAAGAGATTCCAGGCGTTGAAACGGTGACGACGGTGGTGAGTGACGGGATATCCGGATTAGTGAGTGAGTGACGATTGATGAGTGATGAAGATGACAGTTTCCATACTACACGTACGTTGCTATGTTCCTGGTACAACCTCACCTTGGTACCTGTGTAGGTAGGTAGGTGGGTAGTTATAGTTTTGGTTATATCGTAGGGTGTTACCGACGTTGACCTTGACGTTTTGATATATTGGTGGTAGTAGGTATGCCATGGCTGTGCCATTACCACGTATGTGTGATCTTCACATCACGTCTTTTCATTGCCTGTCTGGTACAAAATCTGGCCCTGGCACTGGGCCCTGGTGCTGGTACTGGTACTTAATTTCTAAGGTACCTACTTCGTCAATGTCAATCTCGTAGTCCTTCATCTTTCCTCTGAACCACACAGCCAATGGGAAGGACATGGTATTCCATCTATCTAGTCCATCTCAATGTCTGGTGCCTCGTCCCCAGAATCCCCGTTGCCTTCTTCGTCCATTCCTTCGGCGGTCAAAGGCGCCCCGTCATCTTTGGCTCCCGCTTCCTTGTGCGAGACAATCTTCCACCCACTCGGTGCACTGGAATCTTTTACATATTCAGACATAGGGAACTGTATCAATCAGTCAGCATAACTGGCTCAACCATCGACCTCGGACGATCCAACTTACGTAGTGCTCGTTCTTCTTCATCGTCACCACCCACGGCACATTATCAAATGTCATAGCCCTAAGTCTGAAATACGTATTGTCTTCAATCTTGCTCACCTCCCGGACGAATGCATCCAGGTCTGGAGTCTTGACGCCATTGACATGAGTTATGAAGTTAGTGGGAGCCAATCCGTACTGGTACGCCGGTGAGCCCCGGCTTCTCGCACTGACGTAGATCTCAGAGTGTAGTTTGCTGATCTGTTGGCGTACGGCATGATGTGGTTTCTGCAACACCGCTCCGCAAAAGACCACGGCTCGGGACGTTTCCAAGTCCTCTGTCGGCACCGTGGGTACACGCAGACGCACCTCTTCGCCTTTGCGTACAACCAAGGCATCCAGCCATTCCTTGTCATACATGATGTCGAAATCAGACACCCGCGTGATGAGCTGGTCGTTGAGGGTGAGAATGATGTCCCCTTCTTGAAGTAACTGGCCATCCGTTGGACCGTTTGCTGGACCGCAGTCCACCTTCCTGACAATGAACAACTGGTGCCGCGACGGATTGGCTTTGGCGACCTTCTTGATCCATTCATCCGAAACTCCCATGATACTACATTGCGCCATCTGGACCACGTATGACTCTATGTTCAGTATTCGTAGTTTGGGGATGACGCCGGCACGGATTTGGTCGAGAACAGGGTTTATCATGCTCGTAGCCAGGCCGAGGTGATACTCTGTATCTCGGTGGCTACCCTGGGCTCTCTCGCCCATATAGGTGAGCCACAGGGCTTGCACCACGCCGTCCGACCCGATCAGCACTCCGGAAGAGCACTGCGATGATAGTCCTGTATCCACTGTGATTGCATCCAAATTGACAGCGCGGTATCGAGGAGCAGCAGCATTTGCAGGTATGCCGACTGCTGTAATGTCTGTGACAGTGGTCTTTGCAACAACTATCCTATGGTTCTGGTTGAAGCCCACGAATATAGTGTCCGCACCTTGCTTGACCATCTCGGTCGCCAGGCGAGCGCTCTGAACAGGGGCTTGGACCAGCTTTGGGTCATACTGAATCACGGTATAGTTGGTGAGTGGATGGAGAAATATGACTTTTCCTTCAATTTGTATCGAGTCCGCAATCGTAACGGTGATATCGCAGAGGTCGTATGGGACGATTGCTCTCGACACTACAACCAGACCCTTCTCTGCGTCAATAACGAGACCAAACCCAGTTCTCCTCGCTTGGGGATAGCCGTCGATCTTGACAGGCATATAACAAGTTACTTTGACGAAGGACCGAACGATGTCCGCAGCTGCGGGCAGATCGTCCAGCTGGACAAAATCGGCCGATCGGACTTTGGGAGGGATAGCGGGAAGTGCTTTACCCAGGTCGCTGAAATCCCACAGGCCTGTTTCGTCATTTCGTACAGCCAGTCTCATTCGCTGGTGCCAGTGTCGGTCGATAAGTATGATGCTCGTTGCCCTCGTGTGCAGATCCCTGATATGCCGATACGATATAACAATACGAGACTTGTCTGGCACATTCCGCATGACCTCGATAAATGCATCCAGGTCGGGAGTAGGCTTCTGATCGACCGTGTCAATGATCCAACCAGACAGAGCGTTATCCAGCTTGAACGATCCGGCAGCCTCGGCCACGTATAGGCCTTTACATGCAATTGCATATAACCGCGCCTGTTGATACGACAAGTTGTGGAAACTGCCACCTGCCACGGCAACAAATCGATCGGGAGTGATTGCGTGCAAGTCCCCGACATCCAGCGTAGCCTCGTGATCCTCTCCCCCACGTTGGAACAGGAGATTGACCTTTCCACCTACGCTAGAATCCAAGATCGCATCTAGTTTGACAAAAGAATTTAGTAGCTCTCCATTGACTTTGATCAGAACATCTCCTTCTTGGATCTTGCCATCGGCAGGTCCCTCAGGCAAAACGATCTCCGCAACAAGCATACTGTTCTCAGTAGGAAACTGCTTCCGCATTGCTGATTCCCAGTTGGGGGTGAGGCCAAGTCTTCGGCAATCGTCAAAGGGTTTCAGCATCCATTGTGTCTGGATGGTGCCTCGAGATATAGGCAGGCCTTGCTGGAGACACTGCAACGCGCGCAATGGTCGGTCGAGGGGCAAGAAATAGTCCGTGGCGGCACCATCCACGCGCCCCCCTGCCTGAAGCGCGACCGCATTTCCATTGAGATTCACGACAGGGCTGCCCGAACTTCCGCCAGTCGCAGCCGCAGCCGCCTGAATGTAGTTTGTGTTGAAGTCGGAGTATCCTTCGCCGTATTCTGGAGCATTCCGGTCTAATCGACTGATGACGCCGGACAGAATGCTGAGCTTTTCACCGGCATCGTTTCCAACCACCCTGATTTCAACCCCTACTTTCGCAGATTCTGGCTGGAGCTTGAGCGCCTGCAAATGCATGTACTTGATTGCCTTGGGGTCGAACTTCAGAATTCCGAAATCGTGGACTGGGTCACGGTAGACCGGCCGGACGTCGCATTCTTCATGGTTGTCAAAGACACAATAACCCCAAAATGGCCCAGAACACACCACATGACGGTTGGTCAGGATGTACCCGTTCTCTGCGTCCACGACAAATCCAGTGGCCTGGCTGGAAGTGGACAGGTCGGTGTCAAATGAACAAGTCTGACAGAAATGTATAGACACTACACTCTTGATGACCTTTTCTATTGTCGCCTGCCATTCTGGTGAATCGCCCGCGGCTGACACAGCGTTGATTATGGGAACCGAACTGGCTTCTGCCTCAATATCGTAGACCGAGCCGTTCTGCGGCGTTGCATCTCCAGGTGTTGGGACACCGTTCTCCTGCTTCAGCTGTTTCTTGGGCCTCTCAAGTGCGGATATTGGACTGTTTCTTCGTTTGGGCCGAGCTTCGCCATTGGTAGCCATCGTGGTAGCAGACCTGGGCCGAGTCGCAGCGGGAAAGGCCGGGCGTTTGCGGTAGGCAGGGACGGAGGAAAAGACGTGAAAAGGTGCAGGGTTGCACGATGCAAAGTCGGTCGAATTGCTCGCCTGAAGATGCGCGGAGAATGGTCGAGGGTTCACGGAGCACACAAAGCGTCGTTGCGTCGGCAGAGAGTTTGGTCGGGGATGGATACAACGGTAATGGAGACAAGATACCCTGATGAGTCTTGGATGGATGGAGGGTATCATTCAGAATGCGATATGCAGGGGAATATGGCAACGAGGAAAAGAAACAAGAGCAATCAAAGAAGTACTGGCAACTTTCACGGCGACAAAAATCACAAGGCTGCGCGCGGCTACAGAGCCTGGACGCAGCGACGCTTCGGTCAAACTTCCTACTCCGATTGGTCTTGGCAGCCTCGTCGCCAGAGCTGGCCAACCACCATCCACACATTCCATACGGTACTACACACCAGGGACTGCTAGGTGCCCAGCTAGGTACTGAGCTAGGTACTGCTATGGACGCAGCACAAGGAGGCCAACGACGTGTACAAGTAGTGGCGCCATACAATAAGTACGTGGGTATGTACAAGTATGCGAACCGAGAATCGTTGCGATCATCTTGTCCCTCTCCTCTCATTCATTCTTGAACCTCGAGCATACAGAACCCTCGTGAATCTTTTCATGCCTCAAGAAAAAATTAGCACCTGACAGACCCGGTCCCTGGGAATTCTGCTCTCATCATACATTCTCTTAGTGTCACACTTGACGGTGTGGAGATGTAGCGAGCTCGAGGCGATGGCTCTTGCCCAAACATCGTCGCCATAACTCTGACAAAACCAAAGAGCTCGCTAGCTGTCTAGAGTGTTAGCATGGAAACCTTGTCTACCTGCCGGTACAACCAAGGCACGGTTATCGTGACTTTCTGTCGTCAAAATCGCCGGTGGGCAGCTGTATCGTATATCAGATCATCGGCTCACTCCGCAGGATGGCGATTCGGTGCGCCTGCCCCGTCCGCGACGAGGGTAACTTGTTTGCTTGCTTCAACTGATGCCCAATTGGCCAAGGTATTCTTTAGGCCCTGTATTGAATCATGAGCTCACACATCTGCCAAAACCGAATCCGACTGCCGCAACTCGGCTGTTGCGTTCTGACCATGATGCTGTTGCGTCGCGAGGCCTTTGTTCGTCGCAGACTGTCCAGCATCGGGAAAGAGAGAGTTTAGTTGTTTGTAGAGATCGTGAACTTTGGATAGGTGTGCTGGCGGCGCCATGATTGTCGGACCATAAGGCAGAGCGCCATTCGCCTTCTTTTTCGCGTCTGCGATGGCAGCCAAATATGACAAATTTGCCTGTAGCCGACGCATACAATCTGCGTATTCCTGTGAAGGTTGCTTGGCTCCGCCGGCCGACTTCGGTGGCTCATCAGCGGAACTGTTCAGCGCGTTTGTCGGGTCGGTTGCTGAGGATGGCGAATCCGGTGATTGTTGTCCTGAGACCGCCGAATTGCCTGTCTTCTCCTGTTCTTGTAGCGATATCACCTCTTGCAATAGATGTGTGTTGATGTCCAATAAGACGGACACCCTTGCGCGCTCTCGAGCAGCAGACTGCGGTGACATGGACACCGCTCCTCCATCTAGTTGATGCTCTGACTGCGCCTGCTGTTGCTGTGGGATGTTGTGCGCCATTTGCGCCGCATTCTGCATCTGCGCTTGCTGGGCTAGACTGGAATTGGAATGGACAGGAAGTCCCATGACGGCCGCTGTGTGCGTGTCGCTTGATGCAGATGATGCTGCTTGCAGTGGAGGGGTCGGCGTCGACATTTGGGGCAGCGTGGAAGCGTAGGGAGGAGGTTGACTCGCTGCTTGGGTCAATGACATGGGCGACGGCCCATTCGTCGGATATCCTGGCACAAGATCAGCATGGTGCAGCGCAAGCGACGAAGCCCACCGACCTTGTTGAGATGGGCTATGATTAGACGGTGGAAAGGCGCCAATATGCCCCGGATTCTGATGATAGATGGGCTGCGATATGGGCTGCGGTGCAACTTGAGGGTGGGTTAGCTGTTGCAAGTGGTTCGCTACCAGGCCCGGTTGAAATGCAGCCTGGGCAGGGGATGGCGGAAAAGCCCTTCCAGCCGCACCGTACGGTGGCAGGGCGGGGTTGTTCATGACGGGCTTGATTGGCGTGCTGGGCTAAGGATTCGTTGTGAAGCTGAAGTGATCGGTAGGCCTCAAAGGAGCCTGCAGAAAGAAAGATCTGGTGCAGAAAGCGTGTGTCTGTGCGATCAATGGCGTTTAGACTGGAGTCGAAGTCGGCACGTCTGCAGCTAGCCCGAAACCAAAACAACGCCTCATGAGCCCAAAGCACATCGGCCCGGGAGAATAAACGGGGCAGACAGGGACAGAAAGCACTAGTCAAGTACTGGACGTGTTCGCTATCGTATCCTGAAGCGAGGGCGAGCTGACGGCAGAGTGGTTGGTCAATTGATCGAGGATGAGTGGATTGGGTTGCGTGACACAACGGCAAAGAGAAGAACTTGATGCAAATTCCGTGGAATCATCAGGTATCCGTACATGAGGTACAGATCCTCTGTCGATGAGCACGGCATGAGGGTTTACAAGGGCAGTAGACTATCGTAGATTTGTAGCTTTGTATGTGTATCTGTTCGTTGCACGCACTCCATACTCCTTCCTCCATGCCCATACTACTTGTTCTTTTTCCGCTTCACCTCGTCTATCCACTGGGCTGCCAGTGATACTGGGACCACGTATATCCTGACAAGTCCATCTACAATCTCGGTCTTGCCATTAGACAACGCCTCCAGCAGCGTTAGCCTTTTCCCGATCTTCATCAATCCGCCGCTGACCGTGTCCATGTAGCAGTCGACCGTCGACGGTTTGTACTCGTTCTTGCTGTCCCAGGGCAGGGGTAAAATGTAACTTAGGTGATGCTCAATAGCGTGCTTCTCTGCCCACGCTTTGATGAAATCGGACTGGTTGTGCATAGGATACAAAAACATCACCGGGAACTCCAGCATGCTCTTGGGGGACAGAGGATCCGGCGACAATCGGATGGAGGCGTCTTCAAGATTCGGGGGATCCTTGGAGCCTCGAAGTTGGATATTTCTTGCTTTTAATGCCGTCGCAAGCACGAGTTGTTCTTGTTGTTTCCTCTTTTGCTCGGCCAGTCGCCGTCGGTCCTGTTGCTCCTTGACCGTTGCGCGAGCTCTGATCTGGTCTAACAGCTTCTTGAGGACGACATTGTCCGGGTCGATTTTAAGGCCGCGAGACGCGACATCGAGTGCTTCGAGCACTTTGTCAAGCGCAAAGAGCGCGGATGCCGAACGATAGTGAGCCTTGACATTCGTCGGGTTGATCCGCAAAGCTGCTGCGCAGTCTAGTGTCGTCGAACGATAGTTTTCTGGACAGTGAGCGACAGCATTCTCAGTCGAAGCGAGGCCACTTACTGAGCTCGAGATTACACAGGGCTCGATTGACATGGAGCTGTTCTTCCACCAGACTTTGTTGTTTTTGCTCCGCCTCCATGTCTTGCGGTTTGTCCCATTTGTCCTCGCCGCGGTCGACCAAGACTGCTATCCCCTTAGAATAGAACTCTTTGGCATCGGCCCATTTCTTCTCGGCTACCATTTCATTTCCACGCTCTTTGAATCCTTGGGCAACTTCGGCCTTTGTACCTTCGTACTGTAGGGCTTTGATGGCCTCGATCATAATGTTTTCCCCATCTGCACATTTTGCTCAGCCATGCGCATGAGCAGGAGTGGAATCGAGCGTACCGTCGGCAGTCGCATCATCAAGGCTGTTCATGAAAAGGGGCGTCTTGCTCATGTCCTGCACAATCTCTTCAAAACTTTTGGAGGAGACATGTTTCTGGCCGGGCCCGGAAAGATGTTGTTCGTATAGTTCCTCGATCGAGGGCGCAGCGGGCGCTTCATTGAGACTGAGACTCTCGTCGAAGTCATCAGGGAGCTCTTCTATTCGGGACATTATTATCGTGCGGGTTGTGCTGTTGAAAAGAAGAAATACAACAGCACGAAAGCACAAAAAGCAGTTGTTGAGTGGAAAACTGAGAATGCGGAGTACGTGAGGCCGAATATTTAAATTTAGTTCTCCGAGTCTTCATTCAACTGATTGCACGAGTTACATAAAACATGCGCTCGAATGATGAAATGAACTATGCTATTTAACAAGTTGATTAGCTACTCTTTGACCGAGATGTTCCTACACAATACGCTCAGTGCCAGTATTTATCAATAGCTTCGTGGTAACTCCAGCACCTTCTCGCTAACAAAGTTCAGAATCATCTCACGACTAACAGGCGCAATTCTAGGGACCAAACACTCCCTCAGATATCTCTCCACATCGTATTCCATGGCATAGCCCATTCCTCCATGAGTCATCACAGCTCGCTCACAAGCCTTGAACGCTGCTTCCGCAGCCATGTATTTGGCACTGTTGCATGCCACCCCAACGGCGTGAGGCGTGATGGACTTGTCGGTCTTGCTCTGATCGTAGAGTCTTGCAGCATGGTATGTCGCCAGTTTCGCTGCTTCGAGATTCATGTATGCATCAGCAAGTGGATGTGCGATGGCCTGATTCTTTCCGATAGGCCGTCCGAACACCACTCTTTCTCTGGCATATCGTGACGCCTTTTCCACCGCAGCGTAACCGAGGCCAAGTGCCTCTCCGGCCAGTAGACATCTTTCGGCATTCATGCCATGGAGAATAATCTTGAAACCTTGACCTTCTTCTCCTATGAGGGTATTTGCCGGCACTTCGTAATGATCGAAAAAGACCTCGTTAGCATCGACGGCCCGACCACCCATCTTCTTGATTTTCTTGAGCTCGAGAGCCGGGTTGGAGCGATCAATGTCAATGCAGAACATTGATAGACCTTCACTTGGCTTCTTGACCTCCTCCAACGGTGTCGTTCTCGCAAGGAGTATCATTTTGGAAGCTACCTGGGCGCAAGTGATCCAAATCTTCTGGCCTAGCTCTCTTGATTAGCTGCTGTATTCTCTGAATACCTCCGTCGAGGTTTGAGAACCGTGGAGCTCGCGATCACTTACCGCTGATGATATATTTATCACCCTGCCTCGTGGCGGTCGTTTTCAGCCTAAGGGTGTCCAGCCCCGTGTTTGGCTCAGTGACGCCAAAGCAGACTCTCCATTTTCCGTTTATGATGTTGGGAATCGTCGATTCAAGTTGATCCTTGTTGCCAAACCTTGCCAGTGGCTGTGTGGCATAGACGTTTGCATGTATCGATTGAGCTCCTGCCATTCCAGCGCCGGACTGTGATATCGTTTGCAACATCATCGTCGCTTCTGAAATTCCTAATCCAGCGCCACCAAACTGCTCGGGTAGGGCAATTCCAAGCCATCCATCCGCTGCCAAAGCAGCATGCAACTCCTTGGGGTCGGTCTCTGACTGATCATGTTGCTGCCAATACTCATTGGGGAATTGGGCGCATATTTTCTGTACGGCATCTCGGACCGAGAGCTGTTCTTCGGTGAACCCGCTCATCTCCATCATTCTGTAAGTTCTCCCATGTGAAAAGTGCCTCTGCTGTCCATGTTCCTTGACCGTCCAGGGACACAACCGAGGTTTACAAGGCAGGCCGGAAATATATCTGGAGAGCAGCCGAGTGCTGCTGCACACAGCAGAGCGTTTGGCCGACATGCTGTAGGATTGCAAAAACAAATTCAATAGCAGTCAGTCAGATCAAGATCTGGAGGGGACAGGAAGCATAAGGTCCTCGCCAGGACGGAGCGCGGCCATAAGTAATCGCGTGTGATACCTGTTTACTGCCTTGGAGAACTCCGAGATCGCAGCATTTCTCCAAAGCACGTTTTAGCGTCTCGAAAATCCAACAAGAGATTCCGAGATCGTGTAAGAAGGCGCTGCGGGGATTCTCGGGATGGACAACCCATTTTCTCGAATCTCTCGGGCCGAATCCGATGGAAATCGGCGCTCCGACAGCGATGTGCCGTCTCCGACTCGTACTTCTTGAGCGCAGCGACTATGGTGTCAGGAAGTGAACAATGCTCATGGAACAGGTACGTCAGGGATCATACTGTCGTGGCCCATATGTGCAGTGCCCTGTCCGTAGATCGGGAGGTCCAACCTTTGGCAAGTATTGTACCAGACGCAGTCACGTGCCGACGCTCTCGGCCGGATTCGCGCTAAGGCCCAATATGGAAAGCACATCAAAACAAGAGTGCCAGCAGGTGCTTTGTCGACACTCCATCTGCATCGCATTCTGAAAACACACATCTTCTCAGTCGCCCAGCGATGCAAATGCTCTACGACACCGCCGCCAGTTCTTTCGAGCTGCGATAGCCTAGTTCTCTACCTTGACGACCCTGTGTCTACGCGTCATCGCCGCCCACCATCATGGCTTCTAAAACCACCACCATTGGCTCCTCGGCTTGGGTCTCTGCGGAAAAGGAAAATGCATTACAACTGCTACAGACCGAGAAGGAAGAGCTCGTGTTTCCGGCGCAGCATCAATTAGAATGGCTGAACGAACACGTCTCCGAGATCTTCAAAGGCCGTCAAGTGTATGGCTTATTGCGCTGCGTTTGTTGTGCTTGGACTAACCGTAGATAGTGATGTCGTCAACGTCTTCAAAACGCCAGGCAAGCTGAAAGGCAAGACTCCTCATACTACAAGGAAGAGGAACGTTCCAGACGCGCGTATTGTAGGTTTGCTGTCCTGTGATGGAGCCAACCACTGATCAATTTATCAGCCACTGAGTGACGTCTTCTCCTCGAAGCCTATCCCCCGACCGAGTCCGCCCAAGAACCCGTCGCATGATAGACCACATTTCGAAATCGCGACAGACCCTGCTCAGGCTGCTGCGGGAAGGTCACAGACAGACTCTGGCTATCATGGCTCTAGCCAGGAAAATACAGAATTGGATACAAAACGACATACACCTCCGCTGGTAGGAGAATACGATGTCGAGCACCTTGAAGGCCCAGATAGGCTCATGGAAGTCCAGCCGGAAGATGCCTCAAATGCAGAGCACAGGACGACTGAAGGTTCTTTCCACTCCGCGAAAGAAGACCAAACCGTTAAAATGACGGCCCCCGTGGCCGCGAAGCCAGGTGACAGCTTGAAAGATCCTGGCATGCAGGTAGACGGCAGTGGCCTTGAGATGCCTCACCAGCAGCAACAGGCGGATACTGACCACGACTTTGATGAATTGGGATCGCCATCGGACGAATCAACACCTGATAGGCCTTTAGTAAGGAAAAGCAGCTTGACCTTCGCTGCACTGCCCGCTCGAGAGCCTATGAAGACCAGTATTGGTGCTAGAGTATCACGGACAAGTCACGTCGATACAACCCGCCAGATTCAACCTAATGCTTCGCGGCCACTTGCACCATCACATCGTACACAGCATGGAAATCCCGACCATCACATTAACGATGTGGAAATGAGAGATGCTGATGATCATGACGAGAATTTCGAGGTCCTGGGTCAGGACGACTCAGAGGAGGACACTCAAACGGCCAAAAACTATTCAAAATCGTCAACACAAAGACTGCATGAAAAGATCGATATGCTAGGCAAGGCTCCTGCTCCTCGACCGTCAAAGTCAATTCCCTCCGCCTCATCTCTGGCCGCCATGAGACAGCATGACGCTGTCGTACCTGAAGAAGAACCAACCACTGACGATCGCCGCCCCAATGACGACGACGACGACGACGATTGGATCAAACCATTGACTTCGCCTGATGCTGCCGGCTCGTCTGCCGCCATAAGCAGAAGAAACGATCATGTGTATGGATCTGATGAGGAGGAGGATGAGGATGATGATGATGATGATGGAGAGGAAGAGGAGTTTTACATGCGTGCTCCAGAATTAGTCGCACACGAAGAGAGAATGAAAACACCTGTGCGGGCGTCTCCTGGGCCGGGTAGGATTATGCCGGGTTATGGTCATACAAAATCTGCGTCGACAGCAACCCTCGCTTCACCAGCTAAGGCAGCCATGGCTCCCCCAGTAAGTCCAGCCAAGTCGATATCTGTGTCCAATCCAGCACGGGCTACGACCACACCACTCGGCTCACCTAAACGGTACCTTGACCTGAGTGCGTCAAAATCCAAGCTACAGTCTATCATGAAAACCGCGAAAGGTCTCTTCACCACCAGTGCAAGCATCTCTGCGGCTGCGAAACTCGAAACTCTGTCTCCCGACGCGCTGAAGGTGGCAGCGAATGCGATGCCTGGAATGTACCCAAATCTCAATGGCTTAGTGGAGGAGAAGCCATTACCACCAAGTCCAGCAAAACAGGGCAGAAGAACTCGTAGCTCGATGGAAAGGGAGAAAGAAGAGAGACGCAAAGATAAGGAAACACAAATGAAACAGCGAATGGATGACCAACTTGAACAAGCTCGGGAGCAGGAGAGACGGAAGGTCGCTGAACAAAAAGTCCAACAGCAAACACTTCACCCGACTCGACATGAGCAACCAAACTGTCCGAGTCCAAAGCGTCACTTTGATGAACATGCGTTTCAAGAGCCCGGAGAGCCTCAGCCCACAGGCGGCAGACCTGCCAGACCAATTCGCCCGGGACGAGAGCCTCCTAAAACAAAGCCAGCACCAGTGTCTATTCGTGTGGGGACCTTGTCCCAGCGGATGCCGAATGGCTCGTCTCAAGTTCCACAAGACTCATTGACTGCCGAGCCCAAGAGACCTGGGTTAACGAAGAAGGCAAGTACCGCATCTCTACAATCATCCACATCTACAACTTTAAAGTCATCCATACACGGCCAACCGCCAAAGCCACGAGCTCTCCTCGCTGCTGAGCGCAAGAAGGAGCAGGATGAACGCGAAGCCCAGAGAAAACTCGAGCAGAAGCGAGAGATAGAACGGAAACGAGCGGCTCAGCAAGAAGAGGCCCGTAAACAAGAACAGAAGCAACGTGCCGAGGCAGAGAAACGGGAGCGAGAGCGCGTTATGGCCGAGCAAGCCAAGAGACAGGCGCAACAGCAAGCCATCGAGCGTAAACGTCAAGAGGCTGCCCGGAAGGCAGAGCAACAGCGCTTGGAACGCGCCGCGAACGAGGCTGTAAGTTAATCAACCCACTTGGTTGTCGGTCACTAACCACGATAGGCTCAGTCGAGACCTCCTTCGCGACTGGCTGGTCAAAATCCCACGCGTTCCCTGATCAACCACCCTCTCCCTACCAACCCCGCTAAGCCAGCAAAGCGACCGCTGGAAGAAGAGGCTAGTCGGCCTCAGACGTCGAAGTATGGCCCATCTGGACTGACCCAGGGCGATTCGAAGCGAAGAAAGACCGAGGAAGAAGATGCGATAGAGCCAATGTCACGGCCTGTCGTGTCTGGTGCTCCAATTCGACAGTCCCAGCTCGGCAAGAAGCCGTCCATTTTCAATCACAGTGCTTATACGCAAGCACAACCATCGGGCCATCTGAACCAGTTTCCTCAGCCTCCGTCTCGAGCAGCTCCGCCCCAGATGCAGCAATATGCGACAGGTGGTAGGATTCCATTTGCAGATGCTGCCCCCCCAGCCCCTGCGAAGACACCGATCTCGATGATGCAGCAGAAGACGATCCAAACAGTCAAGTCCTCGCCTCAGTATCCTAACGGAGAGGCTATCCACCTGCCTGAGATCCCAACTGATTCAGAGGACGAGGATTCAGAGGACGAAGGAAACGCCTTCCCAATACCCGACTGGGCCACACCTGGACATCTCACGGAGCAGCTGATGCGCCAAGAAGGCATGGACGGTGATGCCGTATTTGGACCTATAGCGCCGCTGAAGATGGAAGAGATTTTCGCCAAGGGCAACAAAGATCGGCTGAAGAGACTACGAGACCGCACAAGCAGCGCCAACTGGACACTGAGCGGTGATGGTTTGACGCTGGAGGAGGTGAGAGCAGATCGAGAACAGCGAGAACGCATGAGGCTCGAGGGCGGATGGAAATTCGGCCGTTAAAGCTTGAAGATATTATGATTGATGAGCTGTGGCATCCAGGATAGAGGAACATTACCGACAAGATGGACGAGGTTAGAACGACGCCTATGGACAGATGGTGTTCACGGCGAGAGCAGAGAGCAGTTGGTGCTTTGTCAATATGACACGAGCACGAGTGCCTCAGCTGTATGGACGTACATACTGTACCTGTTGTAGATGACGCAATGTTGGAGAAGGGAAAACGAAGGTTGTTTTCATTCCCTTCTGTGAAGCTTGCAACCTGCATCGTGTGTCTTCTTGCTATCTTCCAGCTACACCTAATTGTCCGCGCACGATGGCTTCTACCTACTCCCGGTCACTCTTTCGAGCGTTCGCTCCCGCCTTGCGAGCCCAGCGTGCCCACGGTTCAAGACCGAGATGCGCTCCATTCGCAAATTCATTCCGTGGCTATGCAGCGGCCGCAGGAGAGCAACCTCGCCTGCGCCTGGGTGTCACTGCGCCTAATTTCCAGGCAAAGACCACGCAGGGCGAGATTGACTTTCACAAATATATTGACGGGTCATGGGCCATACTCTTCAGCCATCCGGCGGACTTCACACCCGTATGCACGACCGAACTGGGCGCATTCGCGAAAATGCGCAACGAGTTTGAGAAGAGAGGGGTCAAGATGATAGGCTTGAGCGCAAATGATCTCAACAGTCATGATGCCTGGATCAAGGACATCAATGACATCTCCAACACGAACCTGCAATTTCCCATTATTGCCGATGCCGACAGGAAGGTGGCCTTTTTGTATGACATGGTCGACCAGCAAGACCTGACCAACATCGATGAAAAGGGCATTGCCTTCACCATCCGGAGCGTCTTTATCATCGACCCACAGAAGAAGATCCGCCTGGTCATGCTGTACCCTGCTTCAGTGGGCAGAAACTCAGCCGAAGTGCTCCGCGTCATTGATAGCCTGCAGACTGGGGACAAGAAAGGCGTGGCCACCCCGATTGACTGGCAAGTCGGTCAAGACGTTATTGTGCCGCCCACCGTGTCGACGGAGGATGCCAAAAAGAAGTTTGCCGATGTGAGAGAGGTTCGGCCATACCTCAGATTCACGAGTGGACAGACAAAATAGAAGGAATGATTTGAGGACGCCGAAGGTGTCATGTAGTCAGGCAGAATCCCCAACAATACAGAGTGTACAGTATAGATAGAAGACTAGAGATTACGAATATATGGATGCAACCTTGTGTTCCAGATCTCGGCCTTTACTAACGTCGACCAGGTTTGCCGTCGTCGCCGCGGTGGCGATGGGTGACTCGGACGTATATCGGGCACGCTGACGGCGTCCGCAAATCGGAAAGAGGCACTCGATGATCATCCATCTTCAATCTCGCAACTCGCACCAGTTTGATATTCACATAATTCTCGCCAATTACGCATCTTCAGTGTTCGATAGTCAAGAGACATCTCTACGAGTGCACGACCTCATCGATCTACCCTCCCCGTCACGCCGACAACCTCGAATTCGCCGCGCCCTCGTGCCCTCGTGCCCTGAACGCCCAGGATGTCCCCCTCTTCGGCGGCCGCGACGCTGCTTCAACGGCAACTGAAACAGATGAAGTCTGACAAAGACATACCTGGGATCAGCTGCGGCCTTGCTGACGACAATATCTTCGAGTGGGAAGTAATGCTCATGATCAACGACGATTGCAAGTATTATGGAGGTACGACCCTCGTTCCATATGGGCTCCTTGACGGGGTATCTCGATGCTGATGTCAAAACAGGTGGTTTCTTTCGCGCCCGAATGTCCTTCCCTCAGGAGTATCCTTTGATGCCTCCCAAACTGAAATTCGAGACACCCATCTTCCACCCCAACGTTTACCCCTCTGGCGAAGTGTGTATTTCCATCCTACATCCTCCCGAAGAAGACAAATATGGATACGAGTCTGTTGCCGAGAGGTGGTCGCCGGTACAATCGCCGGAAACCATCTTAATATCGGTCATCAGCATGCTGAGTAGTCCCAACGACGAGAGTCCGGCCAATGTGGACGCAGCCAAGTTATGGCGCGAAGATCCGAAAGCTTTCAGAAGGAAATGCCAAAGAATCGTCCGGGAATCGCTGGGTGAAGAGTGATGAAGCATCTGGAAAAGGCGAGTGTTCTTGATTGACGAAGTCACTGTGACCTTGGGTCTCGATTGGCATGGCGAGAGGGGACCGGGTTTCTTGTTTGAGCCTGCCTGCATGAACGGAATGGAGTTACATGGGCTATCACATGGAATATTCAGCCTGGAGTTGGTGGAATCGAACAATACGGGAATTGGGAAGATGTGACGAATGCGAGCGTTAAGGTCAAGGTCTCAACGCATCTGCACGAGTCCAGAACAGCAATAACAACCATCTGCTTTGGATATACGGCCTCGATGATTCACTCTCTGCAGGTGCCATGTTGTATGAAGAACTGTAACCCTTGTCTTTCTCATATGGTAGCTGATCTCAGACATGAAGGTCTGATAACGCCTGGGACAGGGGAATTCGCCCGCAGTCTGCCATGTTTACCCTCTGCTGTATTTTAGGACAGTCAGTACAGCTCGAGATGCTCGAAGCTTTCTATGATATCCAAATCCTGCCTGTCGTCTTCCGACAGAGGCGCATTCCCAGGTCTGTCCACCACTACGGCTTTCATATTTGCGCCGAGTGCAGCACGTACTTCCTTGACGTTGTCACTCAGGAACAAGATTTCCAATGGATCCTTTCCCAACGCCTGGGCAATTTTCTCGTAGCTGCTCGTCTCGTGTTTAAGCCCAGCATTCGTCGTGTCAAACCAGTCTTGTATGATGTTACGCCGATCCAGAATGGCTTTGGGATCGTCGGGTAATGCTGGATCCTTGATGTGTTGGAACAAGAGTTTCTGCGCAAAGATCGATCCGCTGCTGTAGATGGCAATTTCCTTGCTGGCTGAGGTGGCCGACGCAGATGACCATGAATCAAAGGCTGCCAGAACGTCTGGGTATATCGGTGTCGAATAGACATGGTTCTTGTAGCCGTCTTCCCACAGATAGCCTTGACCACTTAGTAGATTCCCTTCGTTCTAGATGTAGCCTTACCTTGCAGATTTTTCAAGTAGGCAATCTTGACGTCCCGCTCGCTCAGGTCCTGGACGTGCGCCTGGAACGCTTCCGGCGACGACCGAGCTGTTTCAGGGAATGCGTCGCGATACTCGGTGAAGCCCGGATCGTCCCATTTCGTCTTGAGGATGTGCGGGAGCGTCTTCAGGGCGTATGGAAACTATGCTTCCCGAGTCAGACCTCTGCCGGTCTGCACGCCATGTGCCAGAACAGGATTGCATCCTGCATAGAGGGAAAGATCTCTTACTAAGGTATCTTTGACAAAGGTGATCGGGCATATGGTGCCCTCTGAGAGTTGGCTCAATGTTAGCTGACTCGCGCATAAAACAATCTGGATGCTCGTGGGCCACACGAGGCTGACCTATATCAAGAAGCACAAGCTTGACACCTTTCAGTATTTGCTTGGCTTTCCGATCGGTGACCTGGTCTTTTTCAGGCTTTGGTGGTGTCGATGCGTCCTCCGCCTTTTCCACGACATCCCGGCGATGCTTGACTGATCGTTCTCCAAGTACTGGAGCGACAGGACTGAGCGAGCGCTTGCCTGATCTTGTTGATACCATCGATGTTGCTGACCGGAGTCTGGGCTACGACGCTATGCTGCCAGTCTTTGAGTTCTGTGTGCTTTCAGTAGTGTGGTCAAGCATCTTCTACGAGATGTTGGACGTTGCGAGCGCTCGCTTAGTTAGAAATCGACTACAAGTTCTATCTGGAGTGGGTTCGGTGTTCGGAGAAACATTTCGCCAGTCGCAGAAAACCAAAAACCCCCAGCTCCAGATTCCCACCGAACAAACTCCCGTTCCTCACTGTGAAGACGTCCATCACTCTGTCTCGCTAGTCTGGTCAGGCAAACTGTTGTCACACCACATTACCTGCACACTGCCAGGAGCGCCCTGAGATGCTCTACCCGAGATGCCTCTCCTGCCACCTCCAACGTCCTGCATCGATGCCAAAGATACCTAGATATAGCTGAGGGTTATCCCAAGCCTCAGCCTCATTCCTTCGCCGCTGCTGCTTCATTTCTTGGTCAAGTCAAGCATCTGGTATGCATCTCTATCAAACTTCCGTGTTCTTTTCAGACCAGGCCAGCGCCAGACATTTGATGGATGAAAGTATATCCATACTGTCAGGACCGCAACCGTCAAAGGAACGCTGATGACCCAAAAGACCCAGAAATGCCTCGACAGGCTCATGTCCTCTGTGTTGCCACCATTGAAATCGAAGAATGCGCTGCCGAATATACTAGCGACGGTAGAAATGGGAAGAAAAATCAATGTTGTGAGAGCGATGGTGTGCATCGAGCTGCTTTCGGTTTTGATCCTGCTACTGTCTTTCTGTGCCACGAGGTTAAAGCTCTACCTGCCATCAGTCCCATCCTGACGAGTGACTTCTACCAGAAGACAACTGACCAGGTTGATCACATTCTGCATCCTTTTCTCCATGCTAATGGCTCTCAGGTCGACTGACTCAAAGAGACTCTCCGAATAATGAAGCGCTAAATTTGTCTTTCGGGTTTCAGCCGTACCAGCTACTCCGCCCTCAGACTGTGCTCTCACGATGTGTGAGATAGTCCGCAAGACGGCGTCGACGGCTTCCTTGATGTGTATGATGTTCTTTGCGATGTAATGAAGCTCCACCCAGTTTTGATCAAAGTCGCTAGTGGCCACCGTAGAATCGATGGCGTGCTGGTTTTTCGAGTAAGTAATGAACCAGTCCAAAGTTCGACAATATCTTACTCTCTCGTAGTCTCCAACGTATCGATTCAACGTCCACAGTTGCTCATCGACCTGGCGATGCAAATCTGCTAGTATAGTGTTGAACAAATTGAAAGGATTTGTCAACACAATATCCCAGACACTCTTTGGCAAGCTCTCGAGCCTCTGAACCAAAGGATTGGATGCACCGAAACAGATCAAGGTCAGCAGGCCATGTTCATCGCGACGCAAAAAGTATGCACTTCTTAGCCACAGAATGTTGTCATGCTTGGGCTCAATAGCTTTGCAAAGGAAGTGAAACCATGATCCTGCCATGAATTAGTGATCTGACCAAGTGTCATAGGTTTTGATTACGGAAGGCGCCGTTGTCAAGCTCTTCATGTCCGAAAGAATGGGTCACGCTCTGTACCCTTTCATACAAGAAAGTCGTTGGGATGGAGAAATGTTCGAAGAGTGTCAGAAGAGTACTTGCTGTGCCGGAATCTGGATAGTCAAGAGGTGCAAATCTGACATTTCGTAAGCATTGTTACTGAGGTTGGACTCCCAAAGATTCTCAGTGGCACACATTACTCTCAATGCTGGGGCTTGACCCTTGACTAGCGTTGATGTCGTGGTGAAGCCAAGAGAAGACCGGCTGAATTCTCCTAGCAATTGTCAGGATGCCGACTTTATCATATGAATGCCCTCCGCGAACCTGTGCTTGACAGGGCTACATCCAGCACTGCAATCTTGTACTCGTCTGTCGACATTGTAGGGGCTCCTGAGTGGTCGAGAAGGTCTTTGAAAGCTCCATGATGGGTGCCATCGTGGTACACAGACATTCTCAACTTCGATGAACGTGTTGACGGCTGCGTATCCTCATCCCAGGAATTTCTGTGGAAACTGGTTGTGAAGGACAGAATCTCTGCTGAATCAGGAGGGACTTCCCAGCAGGCGACCGAAATCACGCACAGGCTCACAAAATAAGCAACTTTGCATTGTCAGGGGCACTTGTAAAAAATCCAGATATAACCGGCAGTGACAAGCCAAGCGCCGCAAAACACGAGGCCGAATTGCACTGTTACTCAACAAGAACCCTGGGGACTGGGGTCTGGCCTGGCTATCACAGTCCGTACGCGAGATCTTTCATGTCGCGGCCGAGGAATCGATCTTTGATTGGTCTCCCCTTACAAGGGGTAACTCAGCCTGATGGGAACTCCTCGTTGCGGTAAGTGCCACAGAGGGATTTTTGAAAACCATAAGTCTAGAACTTTTTACAGGTCCAGCCTTGATAGCTGGACGCCAAGGGCTTTCATTCATGCGAGGCGTCGCTGTCCTGGTCATGTCCAATCATTTTGCAAACGAGGCACTGCCGATGGCCCTATCAAGCATCTCAGCCTGATGAGTGAAACTTTATAGAAGGAAGCTATTGATTTGAGCTGAAAACCGTCAGAGACACACCTCCCCTGAATACGAACCGAGTGAAACAGGGGATGGCCAGCCTTATTGTGCATCTACCGATGAGTAGATATCTAGGATGAGGTCCCCAGGTTACCAGTCTTTCGATCCACATTTCTATTCAATCAAAACTACACAGTACGACAGAATCATCGACATGGTGTGTCCTGGACCCTAGCCTTACTCACTCATGCCAGATGGTAGACTGACACCTCTCTCAGACTCAGCCCGGAAGGCATGGTGGTGCTCGTTTGCCCGCCGGATCGTCTGCTACGACTTTCGACCAACGGCTTCAAACTCAGGTTCGGCAAAGAAGAAGAGTTTTCGGCGAGATGCTGTGGCACTGACAGATTGTAGCCTCAATATCAGACGAACACGATGACCGTGCAATCCGCCCCTGCTTCATCAAATCAGCGACATGGTGGGAACAGGCTTCCAGCAGGTTCCATCATGTCTACTGGATCAAGTTCGAATAACCAGGTACGAATCATTCCCAATTGCTAGTATCTGATATTGATTGTTGCCAGACGATGGGCGGCAGAGTGGTCCCGCAACGAGACATCCCATTCACCCATCCTCCACCTTCTGCAGCCTATCAGACTGGTAGAGTACATGGAAAATCAGCCTGGCAAGACGATGGTGATTCTATTCTGCCAGCACCGGGGTACCAGCCTCCAGCTGGAGCAGGGGTAGGCACCTTTGTCACTGAAACCACCCAAGCTCAACGCCCTAGGGGTCTCCTCACGATGCTGCTACGCTGTCTCCGTCTATTCTTAGGACGGACAAGAAAGGAACAGGACCTGAATCCTCCGACAAGGTAAGTAACATGCTCCGCAGCAGCCAACAGCACTGACCCTTGCAGGCACCTGTGAACACTGTTTCCATCACAGAATTCAATCACAGTGAAGACCATACAAGACTGCCAGCCTCGTCACAGTCTCAAGTGCATTTGAAGGAGTTGTATAACTCGAGCTACCATGCTCCGGTACCGGTAGGTGTTATTTTGCAGGGTTGGAGCCTCAACTAAATGTCACTAGGCACGTCGCCGTATGCACCAGAAAGGATACCGTAACCTCTTCTCCCAGCGAACCACCTTTCGATGGAAGTCATTCCACAGCCATCAGAAGCCTGGCCTGACCAAGGGCGCTGGCCGAGATCATCGCCATCGAGATGCAGTCAGTCGGATTCATACTGGCCAAGATGATGACAGGTTTCTCGCCTTGGACTCACACCTTGAAAGAATGATGGTTCAGTGCACGGACGAAATCTATGAAGGCCCACGAAATTCGACCTGGAGGAGGACATTCTTGCGCAACATGGCTCCTTGGACTATTCGTATTGCCAACTGGCCCATGAACACTGCCCCCATCGATTCCAAGCACTGGACCCAGAACGATTGGTTGTGGATTATCGCAAAATGGCCCGTTTCATGCATCTGCCTGTCTTTCACAGTAAGTCAGCCGTATGTATTCGGAAGGAATCATTCTTAATGACCTGCATCGCAGCTATTGACCGTAGGCAAGCTCTACAACGGAACATCCCGACTCGACCATTATAAACCGTTTCCTTACAAGTTTTGGGGCTATCCGAAAGTGGCGCGAAATATGCTCGAAAATGTTCCTGAGAAGATCGAGGCAAATGAAGAGGTGGATGGGGCGCACCCAGTCTCTGAGCGTCCCCTGTATCCGAGCCGGCTATGCTTCGTCCATGGTGGAAAAGACAAGAATGGTCGTACCCACCTCTACGATGTCAAAGTCTGGCTCAATCAGCACAACATGGTCGACCATGATATGAGGTATATCTTCGTCGCTTACACCTCAACCCAGTTCACCGACAGCGATCAAGATGTCGAAGCCCTGCACGCTATCGCACGGGAGGCGGCTACCGACCTCAAGTGTCCTGCTTATTGGGTTGGGTCAGCTTGTATGTCTGAAAACGAGCGAGAGCTCGAAGACGATGTTTACCGCATCAGCGACGTTATCCGAGCCGCCCACTCTGTTGTCATTGCCATCAAGCCACCTCCGGGTAAACAGACCTATTATCACACTGAAGAGCTGCTCAAGGACTGGGGCACGCGGATGTGGACGCTGCCGGAGGCTCTTCTTGCACCCAAAGACAATCCGATACGTATATACAATACGTCCACTGGTGTTGTAAATCTCGTCAAAGAACTTCCGAAGAAGGATCTTGCTGCGATCGTGTGGGAAGACACCGCTCTGACCCGACAGTTGGTCGACCATTATGAAGGAAATCTCACCCTCAGCCGCCTCGAGCTAGTTATCCTGGCCTTAAAATGCCTCAGCCAGCGCCGAACATCGAAGTATCTGGACGGAGACCTCGCATACGTGCTCATGGGTCTTTTGCGCCGCCGACCGTTTGTGGACCACACAGACTCCGAATTCCAAGCCTTTGCCCGACTCTCTCTAGCCAATGACAGTGACAGCTTACTTGAACGCTTGCTGTGCGTGCTGCCCAGGTCAGAGGATCAGCCATGGTATCATACTGCCGACATGTTCGGTGTCAATTTGTGGGATATCCAGCCTACGTGTCAAGTCGCCGGCGTTTGCGAGGACGATACCGTCGTTGTCGACGGTTGCCTGGCAGCTTCAATCCGATGGGAGTCATTCGTGGCCGTGGCGCACGACACAAGTGTCTCATGGAAGCGGCTCCTTGTCAAGGTCTGGTTGCGTGTCGCACCGATCCTCTTGATCCTTGGAGCAGCGCCTCTCTTCAACGGCGGGACACGAGCAATTTTGTTACTCTTGAGCCTGCCAATATTTCTGATATCCCCTTGGCTGGTCCGTGTTCTGTACGGAGGTAAGCCATGGAACATTGCACCTCATCTTCTTGGGTTCGAAGGGTATTTGGACATTGTCACCATCGAGACCAACATCTATGGTCATTACACTGGCCGTCTGGCTTGGAGTTCTGCTGGTAGTAACCTCAGTCGGCATCGACAGAACGAATATGGAGAGTGCATAGGGGAAGATCCAACAAGTGACGGTCTGGTTGCCGACATGGTTAAGCAAGCCAAGTACAGCACTTATGGCGAGCTCAAGGTCTTCACTCTGGTCGACACGCTCAATGGTTCTGTCACCCTCTTCACAGCTACCCGTCCTCCCGTAGCTGCTTTGCTTTGCGGCCAAGAAGGAGGGATGCAGCGGGCGGTGATGGTGTCCCTTGATTGGAAGACATCCACATTGTATCGAGAGACAGTTCTACGAATGCCAACTATAGTTTTGGAGAGGACCTGGCGCATGGACAGGGCGAGAATCGGACTCAAGAGGCCGTTGGAACGCACGAGTGTCAGCTACAGTGCGTGATGAGTGTCACGAAGAGGTATGTCGAATGATGAGGATGGTACTGGCGTTGAGATTCTAGGAGGGAGTCCTTCGGGGGCTTGTAGCTGGCCTACATGCCTGGGGCGGTGTGGCGTGGGGTGGACATGGACTGCCAAAGATGTACTCCTTGGAATGCTGTTCGCTTTCTTTTGTCATTTCATGATGATCTCCTTTTGGTTACACTGAGCTCAGTGGACACTTGTGATTCCTCCAATGTGGCCAAGACCATAGCCACCAAGTTCCAACATGGCTGTAAACCATTGTAGTTCCTTTGTCGACTCCTCCATTGACAGACTGAATATGCTGTGATGTGATGGATGCCACGCCTCTTTCGTCCTGTGTGTTTGTGGAGCATCATCCCAGAAAGCCAAGATTACGCGACGGATAATCACGATCAATGCTGCGACTGTTATCTGCCCCATGTGCACTGCCTACGAGTATCTTTCGATGGCGGCATAGGACATTCTGAATGCTGCTCCTCTGATGTCCAGTTGAGGCGGCTTGTTATCGTCGATAGACTGATTTCTAGCGCAGTGCCTCTTCCGCAGTGCCTCTTCCGCAGTGGGCCGTCTCAACAGGAAAGGATCTCAGGGTTACCCCAAAAGGGAGTGTTTAAGCCAACGACTTACGAGTATTACTTGGCTAATTGTTGGGGTGTAGCAGATGGAGCGCAAGACAATTGAACGGCGCACATTCGATAAGGCAGCTTTATACTTACTTTTTCTGGTCAAGTATACCGGTGGATCCTGATGCTCGTACTTTGGCTCTTCTGGGTGATATCTCTCTCGAGTTGAGTCAGCTTCTGTCCTCCCAACCATATGACAGTCTGCCTGCCTTCAGGAGCCGAACTGGATCAAGGCTGGCGGCAGGCATTTGCACGAGTCCTGCTACCCAAGTCAACGCCATGCAACAAAACACCGATTTATGCATCAGCCCATGTGGAGTGCAACGATGACTTATGCTTGGGTGGTTGGGCGAGCGACTTTGTCTCTCCTCAACGATATTTGTCAAGTACATTTCAATCTTGTAGTTCTCATGCTCCTTGCAGAGATACCAGTAGAGAACAAGGGCAACGCAGTCTCGGCAAGAAGCCCGGGAGCAAGGACTGTGGTCTCGAAAGTCAACGAAGGGTTCTCTTGCCGTTGTGGTCAAGATGCATCGCTTCGATTGCGATAGCCTGATAAGGTAGTTTATCTTGTCCGGTGTACAGACGGTGGCCATGCGATTTTCTTCCTCTTGCATCCAAGGTACGCGAACCTCGATGGCTACGAGTTCTGTGCGTACCAGTACGATTGCCAGCTGCGACCTAGCTCGGGGAGATAAACTAAATATGTCGGGCCGTGAAAATTGTGCACGGAAATGCATACTGACGGGGGAATTTGGCCTCGATCACACGTGGTGTCTCTAACACGAAGTACTTCGAGTAGTTGCTCAAGTGCACGGATAAAGAGGAGCTACAGGGGACACTAGTTAGAGATTAAGAACATGTTTAGGCCATTAACAGCGGCACTAGAGGCGACAATGCGCTTCATGGGCCTGTAGCCGTGCTACCCGAGCATATGGTCCCGCAGATCAACGTCAGCCAAGGGACTTTGACAGTCAAACGTTGCATCATCACGGTGATCGTCTATTGAAAGGGCCGAAGACGCCTCTTAGCTGAGCGGGAACAACTCTAGCTGCTGCATCCTTCATACGAAGAAATGGGGGTAAGAGGAGAAGGGACCCACCGGGCGGAGCCTGGAAGAGTCCTTCTGATTGCTGAGTCCGGGCTCCTCCTGGGGCCCGGACTTGGGCCTGCAGGTAACTTCGGGGGGCTTTAGAGGCACCTGGAGCTGTGTCGGGTGGCGTGCAGGTGGCACATCGTGAAAAAAGCAAACTGACAGCACGAGTAGACTCGATGGATGAAAAGCAAACTTGGCCAGGTGTGGAGAGAGCGCAGTCCAAGGTCTCTTCTTCAACGAGTCAGTTGTAGGGATTGGCAATTGGCAGAGCTGGTCTTTGAAGATGCCCAGAGACTCCAGGGCCCATCCATTTAGCCTTCGTCGCTCTTCACCTACTTCTTCTTAAATGTGCCCTCTCCTCTCTTCTGTCATTTCTGGCACTATCCACAAAGCAGCAAGACATTATCTGTGACTGGCAAGATGCTCTCCTTCGGCCGCGACAAAGAGAAGGCGGGCAGTGACCCCTCCGACATCACAGCTGGAAACCGCCATGATATCGAGGAGGCGTATGTCGCGGACAATGCTGACCAGCTGCAACGACACTTGGGAAACCGACAAATTCAGCTCATTGCCATTGGAGGCTCCATCGGTACTGCTCTCTTCGTGAGCATCGGCGGCGGTCTGTACCGGGGAGGTGCTGGGAATCTGCTGATTGCCTACACGATCCAGAGCCTGATTCTTGCCATGGTCAACAACGGCGTGGCGGAAATGAGTACTGCTTATCCAGTCAGTGGTGGCTTTATTCGCCTGGCTGGCAAGTGGGTAGACGATGCTCTTGGTTTCATGGTCGGCTGGAACTTCTTGTTCGCATAACCATTATCCATGCCCTGAGCACTGCTGTGACTAACTTGCCCGTAGTTTCTACGAAGCCCTGCTCATACCGTTCGAGATTTCTGCTTTTACTCTGGTTTGTTCTTTTTGGAGTGAGGAAATCACGAAGCCTGGCCCTACTGCTGGAATTGTGCTCGGTGTAATCATCTGCTACGGGTGAGGTCACACCCCTATCTATTCGTGAGAAACTGACACTAAGATTTCCAAAGCACGATCAACATGTTTGCCGTCGGAGCGTATGGTGAGGCCGAGTTCTGGCTTTCTGGGGGCAAGGTGATTCTCATATTTTCGTTGTTCTTCTTCACCTTTGTTACCATGGTCGGCGGCAACCCACAGCATGATGTGTACGGCTTTCGGAATTGGGAACACGGAGGAGCGTTCCGTGAATACATCGGCACCGGTGACCTTGGTCGCTTCCAGGGATTCTTGGCCGCGCTTTCGTCAGCTGCCTTCACCGTGGTTGGGCCCGAGTACATCTCCATGGTCGCTGCCGAAGCCAAACGTCCTCGAACCTACATCAAAGCGGCTTTCAAGATGGTCTACATCCGATTTGGCATTTTTTTCATTGGAGGAGCTCTGGCTGTCGGAATTGTATGCGGTTCACGGGACCCCAAGTTGGCGGATGTTATCTTGAACGGAAGTTCAGGATCAGCTGCCGCATCACCGTATGTGATTGCCATGCAGAACATGGGTATTGAAGGGTTCCCACATGTCGTCAATGCGTGAGTCTATAGCTAAACTTAGCCCTATCTATCAACGAGCTCACTAACAAACGTGCTAGGCTAATGTTGACATCCATCTTCTCCGCCGGAAACACCTACACCTTTTGCGCCATCCGGAACTTGTACGGTTTGTCACTGGAAGGTAGAGCTCCAAAGTTCCTGAGGAAATGCACCAAGAAGGGAGTTCCGATCTACTGTTTCTGCGTGGTCATGATCTTCCCTATGCTGTCTTTTCTGTGAGTAGTCCCACTTCTATCTTTTGGAGCAAACCTTGGTCAAGAAGGGTGTTAATACCGTTGGATTCTCCAGGGCGTGTTCAAACAGCTCATCTGTCGTGATTACGTGGTTTGCAAATCTTGTAACGGGTGGAGGTAAGACGGCACACATTCATCCGCTCTGTTTGTCCCGTATTCTGATTCACACACAGGTCTCATCGATTTCCTTGTCATGAGTATAACATACATCTTCTTCCATCGAGCTTGTAAAAAGCAGGGACTCGACCGCAACAAGCTTCCTTACAAAGGGTGGTTCCAACCTTACTGTGCATATTTCTCGGCCATCTGGCTGTTTTTGCTTACCTGCATCTACGGGTACACTTGTTACATGCCATGGTCGGTGTCGGACTTCTTTTCACTCTACGCGATGCAGATCTTCATCCCCCCCCTCTTCATCATTTGGAAGCTGGTCAAGCGAACGAGGATGGTGAGGCCAGAAGAAGCTGACCTCGTTTGGGAACGGCCGACTGTCGACGCATACGAGGAGACCATCATCGACCCACCTGTTGGGTTCTGGACGGAAATGCTGCAACTCATTGGGCTCAAGAGGCACAAGGGGGGAAACGACCAGCGACGACGGAGCAGCGTAATGATGCCGGCACAGGCAGCGTCAACCGGCTATGACTCTCGGGGAGAAGTGTTGGATCAGGGCAAGGCTTAGATTGGCCTAAATGGTCTTGTGGCAGTTTATCTTGTACGAGCAACCAGGCTGTCTTCCATCATGGTCACGAGAGTGATGGTGTACATACCGAAAGAGTCTGACTCGTTCTCTCAACGAGCCTAAACGTTGTCTATCTTTGAAACAACTGCACCATTGCTGTAACCCCAAACTACTTGGAATTGCTTAAAACTACGAGGTCGGTCCATCTCGCTCTGAGTTAGCTGAGTGAGTGTGTCTGTGTATCTTCACAGCGACAGCCTTGGATTCTTACTCAACCAGTCTAACATATTCGTACCTTCAGCGTTGCAATTGTTGCACAAAGAAAAAAGGAGTAGTACAAGGAAGAGTTTAAAAGGGGACTCGAGACGATGACTGCTTCGGGTGCACCAGTTAGTTAGGCTTGGTAGTTAGGAAGTGCAATGATTGGCCTTTTCAGGTAACGTTATCCCCCGGATTTCCCAAGGAGCGAGTCATGATAAAACTCTTGAAGGTGATAAGTACCGACTAAACTAACTTAGTTAGACTCGACCTAGTGACCTAGGGAGATTTATACGGCAAACGGGATACGACTGCGCGGGGATTGTTCCAGTACTGTACCTAGTAATGTTTGCCCGATCTGCAAGCCTCGCCAAGTCGTCTAGCTACTTTGCAGTCGGCGTTCCAGTGCAGAAGTAGTCATAGGATCTCGTTGGATGAATCGGGAGAAAGTTAAACGGTTGGTTCAAGGGTTATTACAGATTTACAAGAGAGAGAGAGAGAGAGAGAGAGAGAGAGAGAGAGAGAGAGAGAGAGAGAGAGCTACCAGGAGAGCATGGACAAGACAGGTAGAGAAGTCCGACCTTTAACCCCTCTGGATCGCCCGCTCCTGTGTGCAAACCCTATTTTGCTAGCAGCCTCGGGGGACAGGTGGTAAGTAGCTGGTAGTTAGCAGGGAGGTAGGTAGGACGGGGCCAATATGGGGTCGCGAGACCAGAACTTGTGTGGTCCGTCCATATTAGTTAGAACCATCCCACGTTGCTTGGACCTTGGCGGCAGAGTCTTCAGCACCCTGGTCGCCGGTTAGTGGGCCTCTCGGCTTCTGATACTTGTACTCTGTTCACAGAAGACCCGTCACCTCACCCCATGTCGCCGCGGGAATTCTAGTAATGAACGGTTCCTTCAACGACGGTTCCATCCCAGAAGCCGCCTGAGGGAGCGTGCACGTACACCACGTCTATCGCATTGATGAAGAAGTCGTTATGTGGTGCTACCGTCCTGAGACTTTCAATATGTAGAAGAAGCTGATACCAATGCACTCGCACTCTTGTAACCCCGGCAAATAATGCTGAAGGCGCCGTTCGAGCGACAGCAGATTTACTGCCGGGCCCAACATTATGCCCACGCGTCTATTCCAAAACCGAGGTTCTCCCATCAACCTAGAGAGCTGCAGATAGTGCAAATGCAACCTCAGTATTGGAGAACGAAGAATTCGAGCTTGAAATCAATGGGATCCAACGTGAAGGAGTAGTCGGTTGTGAGGGAATCGTTGGAACCCGGGAATAAGACAACTGACGTATTGAGAACACGATGAACAGTACATCGCTCTCGAAGACGCCAGAAATACCGCGTAGCTCATGTCTAGAGGCTAGAATTTGGTCAGGTGTCCAGAAGAGTAACAGCATATGCAATACCCCGACGTAGAGCGGGATTCATGCATATATATATTATACGGTCGAGGGCTGACTTGTGCTGGAGGGCTGGCGAGTTCAAGGGGAGGAATAAGGATCGACTTTATCCCTCAAGGAGAGTGCTCGTTATAGCTCTGGTCGTGTCTAGGGTGAGCAGGACAGCATCGGTATGTCAACAAACGGCACAAGTCTGACTACAACTTTCTTTCGTGCGGATCCTGAACTTGTGAGTAGTCTGATCACGGGTGTAGTTTACGTCTTGTTTGGCAGGGTTGGTAACGTCCAGGAAATCTGGCTCAGTCATACGAGGAGCTTGAACTGACGGCTGATACAAACTGGAAACTCTTCACGATTTGGTTCGATGGGGAAGAAATAACGAACAACACAAGTCCAGGGCAACCCATCGACCAACCAAACCGACCGGGTAGAGCAGGGTCAGTTCAATTGTAAACGCATGCGACTCGCCTAGAAACCGTTGTTGTGACTAATGACAAAACCCCTGAGACCATTCGATGGTGGGTCTCTACGTGGCGTGATTGGCAGAGATCGGTGGAAGATCTCCGCGGGAAAAGGGCCCGAGGTTTGATAGAGTCGTAGTTTACTATGCATTTCTTGCTCTCCCGAAGGAAAATCTTCGAGTAAATAAAGCTGAAATACCTCGAGAATCTTCAAACTGCTCAGGAAGGTCTTTCGAGCCCAAAGCGACGAGAATCATTGCACTGAAACCAGTCCCCGCGGAGATGCGACCTCCCGGGGCGTGGGACTGTGGGAAATCCCTCAACTTGGGGGCAACAATGCCTAAGCCTCTCCCTGCTTTCTCCGGTACATTCCAGGCTCGCCAGGCGCGATATATGGAATCATGCTTACACTCTTTGGCGACGAGAGTGGCATGATATTGGTTACGAATTGGTTACGAATTGGCGGAAGGATTTGACGCTCCGAGGACGCCTGGGGCAATCACTACGTATAATAAGCCCTACCAGACCGTCCAAGCATCGACACAGCAAACAGTTCAACAACAGAGCCGATATGTTGGCTAGACCGCAATTGTCCAAATTTGTTACAAAAGCTACCAGAAGAACAATACCTCGCGCGATCATGTCAGCTTGCGTAGCAACGGGCAACCCTCGCGCAGACTTCCACTCATCACCGGTTCAGCGGGGACTAAGTGAAGAACACCGGGCCATCGTGAAGTCTACTGCCCCAGTTTTGGCTGAGCATGGTGTCGCGATCACGTCTCACTTTTACAAGCGCATGCTTAACAATCACCCTGAGCTCCGTAACATCTTCAACGCCGCACATCAAGCCTCCGGAACCCAGCCCGCAGCACTTGCTCATGCGGTATGGGCGTACGCTGCTAACATCGACAACCTCGGAGCCCTGACCAGTGCTGTGTCCCGCATCGGTCACAAACATGCCAGTTTAGGGATCACTCCAGACCAATACCCCATCGTTGGCGAGAACCTGCTCGCCGCGATCAAGGAAGTCCTCGGTGACGCCGTAAAGCAACCCGTCATTGATGCCTGGGCCGCGGCATATCAACAACTGGCCAACATCTTTATCGACTTCGAGGCAACTCTGTACAAGAAAGCTGAAGAGTCTTCCGGCGGGTGGAATGGGTGGCGGAAATTCAGAGTCGCCCGCAAGGTCGAGGAGAGCGATGAGATCATATCGTTCTATCTCGAGCCGGTCGATGGAGGGAAGCTCCCCAGCTTTACGTCAGGTCAGTACATCTCGGTCCGGGTCTTTGTACCGGAGCTCGGGGTATATCAACCTCGACAGTATAGTCTGTCCGACACTCCTGAGAGAAACCACTTTCGGATATCCGTCAAGAAAGAAGTCGCGAAGAACCTCGCGCCCGCAGGCCGGATCTCCAACCTGCTGCACGAGAAGGTCCCCGAAGGCACCGAAATCGACGTCAGCAACCCGTACGGAGACTTTACTTTGGACGTTGAATCGAACAATCCCGTTGTCTTGATTAGTGGCGGCGTAGGGATCACCCCAATGCTATCAATGCTCGGCACCCTAACCGAACATGCGCCAACAAGAAAGGTCGTCTTTGTCCATGCCACCCGCAGCGGAAAGGTTCACGCAATGAGACTATACCTCTCCCAACTTACCAAGGAGAACCCACAAGTATCGAAGGCGGTATTCTACGAAGAAGTTGGTGATTCAGACGAACAGGGAAGAGACTACGATTACGCAGGTCGTATTGACGTGGATAAGATCAAGGACAAGATTCTCTTGCCCGACGCCGACTATTATCTCTGTGGGCCTGTGCCTTTCATGCAGACACAACAAAAGTCCCTTGAGGCTCTGGGCGTCCCATCGGAACGAATCCATTCCGAGGTCTTTGGCTCCGGCATCGCATAGAGTGACGGGGATATGCTGGAAGTGACATACCTAGGAACAACTCACCGTGGCATTCCCGATTTTTTGAGGTTAAGGCATGGCTTGGTAGAATCGGTGTTCGTATTTCATACCATCATTTAATTCAACTCTGTATTTCTGAAACCGATTGCCGCACTTGTCAAGGGCGAAATCCATGATATCTTCATCATTTTGGAACAAAATGACAGGACCTTCACTGAGAAGTGCCGTGTAATGAAATAGTTCATGTAATGTGGTCTATTGAAGAGTTCTCCGTAACAACGACTCATCGCCTGAGGAGCGAAGAAGTCGTTCTTATGTAAATCAGGGGGGGGGGGAGAGCCTCTTGTACCGTCCCCCTCTCTCGGAAGTGTGCTTCCAGCTATGCTAGGTGGCACGCCTCCTTATCTCGTCCTTTGCTCACTGAGTCGCTAGAGATATCGCTTGTCTGGGCGAGGTTAGGCGTCTCGTGACACAAAACCTACCTTCAGTCCATCTCGAAGCCAATTTCACGAACACTTCAATAACTGGTTCAACATCTTGTGCCGTGATTGCACTTAAACAGTTCTCCATGGCACTCTGAAGGGTACGACTCTCGAAGTCGAACGGACCTGTCAGGCTCTTGGCCAAGCAGAGGTTAATGCGATTACCGTCAGAAGCGAAGACGCCTTTTGACCACACTACCACATGAAAAGTAACCGGGGAGCAGAGATTTTTGAGTCTGTTCAGAGATATCCAACCATCCTTTGCGTTCCTCTCTAGGTCTTTGGTCTAGACCTCTTCGTATGCTGATTCGGGCTTTTCTTCTCCTTGCGCTCCTCTCCTTTGTGTGGAGTGAAGACCCATTTACTATAATCAAAACCTTATTCGCGAATTGAAGAGTGTTCATCGAGAACAGAGTATGCGAGCATTTTCTCTGGTATGTTTACCAGGTACGTCTGACGGGATCTTTATGGAGCAACAAGGATATCCAAAGTTGAGGAATTTGTGGAAAGGTCACAGAATCAAGCCGACCTGTGACGCTCAGCACAGTAAATCAATCGTGCACGTCTGACTACCTGCAGGGCATGGACTATTCCAAGTGGATCTCGAATTAAGTTGATCAGACACCTTGACGTCGATGGCTGGACACGTAATGCCCACAGGATATAAGACTGCGTCCATCATGGTCGATTAATAACCATCATCCAGCCTTTGACGATCTGGAATCAGAGAGACTTACCCTGACTAAGATACGATGAGCTTTTCTTTCATGGGAGTCAAGTCCCACAGACCAATCCGGTCTGCGAAAGTCTCTGACGCAATAGTTCATCTCTCTTGGAACTCCATTATTGGCCCAGGGTTCTGCATGTGTGCGTCCCAAAGGTCCTGTATGCACTCATAGAAAATGGTTAACTCTGGTTCATCATTGAGTGAGGTGGAACGAACGCGAACGTGGTCAGACAAAGTACGTACCCAATCGACAAAACTTGGGCTGTTAAGCATCTGTCCGATCTCATTCAGATCCGTACCTGCCGAGGTCAACTCTGGTGGCGCTGCAGGAACATGTACGCGCTGCATGTCCGAGCTCGATGACACCTTGTCCAACATGACTGCGAGCACAGTCGAAGCTTGCTGAGCTTCAGCAGAACTCGTTCCGAACTCTTCCCAGAAATTTCGTGACTTCTGCAGAGCACCAGCCATCTCGTCACGGGTATAATTCATTGTTCCAGCACTCCCACTCACCATTTGCACATCGGCCGGAGAGTGCTGACGATGAGAAATAAGCTCGAGACAGACAATCATTGCGGCGAGCAGGAAGTCGTTGTTCTCGAGGGACGATAGGAACCATTTCTCCTTGTACAGGCGACCGCCCACCTGAACCTCCTTGTAAATTTGAGACTGGTGCCTGAGCAGATTCATGGCAGCGTCGACGCAAGAGGACCTCGAGTACTCGTACTCACAATGTTGATAGGATTCTGTCATGTGACGACGGTGCAAGATACAGCGTGCCCGTTGATACACGAGTTCGAGATTGTACCGCCGAATTAGGATATTCGAAGATACGGTGATCGAGTCCTCGAGTTTGGCAAGGCGTAAGCGCGGAGGGACGAGGTCGTGCGCGGCATTCAAGCTCTGATCGAGAGCCATGACATCTTGATATGTTGTCAGTCCAACGGTGGAAACGCGATTGAAAAACGATCTGAACACAGAAAGGAGACGCCCTTTCGCTATGGTGTACAGCACTGGCGTCAGCTCTCTCTCCGACCGCGGCCGTGGAAGTGAAGCGGCGTCGGGATCCAGGTCTTCATCGACGTAGTTGCCCGGTAGCTTCGTGTCGCACTGCGACTCCTGTATTATTGAAGGCAAACCCAGCTGATAGGAAGTGAGCGTATCAAGCTGCGAAATGGTTGCCCACACCCGGCGTCGCATCTCACCGTGGAAAGGGGAGATTTGCGGATACCGTTCAGGATCTCTGTGGTATCCCATTCTCATGGCCAGACGAGTAGCAATGCTTGACAGGATCCATACCCCAACCTGAACCTTTGGGCGCAGCACATACTCTCCCTGGATATTGAAGAGGAGTGCCTCCATGGTAAAGTTGCCCGGTGTGGTGGAGTAGTCTGACATTATGAGGCAGTCCGTCGAACGTCGGTGAAAAGCCTGCATTGCGGCTACTGCATGTCCTAATCCCGGAGGCAGTTCATCTTCGGACCTCGCATAAAGAAAGGTTCCAGCAGATAGAATCCCAAAAAGCATTCCTATCCAAGTCAAAGGAGTTTCTGAAGGGTCAAGCCAGAACCGAGTATACTAAAAGGAGTTACCAAGTCAGCGGTAGATCGGGAAGGAAGGGAGTGTGCCTGCCTGTCTTTGAAAAGTTGGCGTATGGACAAACGCTGCGTAGATGATGGGACACGATCAGTATGGGGGATCTCGGAATAGACATAGGTCGGGACACAATTACCAATCCAATGTTCTGCGGAAGCGAAACAACGCGACACCAATCGGTCACAGATGTCTCGAGGTGGAATGTCAGACAATATGTCCTCGACCTCACATGGCAGCCCGGTATCTTGTAGCAGTAATGGGCCATCCCCTCGGCCTGGTTTGGATGGGCCAAGATGTACCGTTGAAGGGTCATGTTCAATTGACTCGCGGACTTTCACAATCTGTAATGCGCATTAGCGGTTGAAGGTCCAGCTATGACTGTGCGGGTGATGAATGGCGTATTGAAGACCAGAGCGGTTCAGCTCAGAGACGAACCTCATCGCAGATGGTTGCCCAGTGAACAGCCGAGACGTAGACTGTTTGACTGTTATTGCCCATCATCCGTCCAGGCATAAGCGCGGGCTCGACCTTCAGTGGTTCCTGTACCGCAGGGCTCGTAGAACTGCCATCGGTATTTGATTCGTCTTTCGTCGACCTCGTTTCTAGAGCCTGTCGCTGTGCCGCGATGTTGCCAACGAGCTGCTCTAGGCGTAGTAGCCGCGCATCCAGATTGCTTCTGCCGCCTTCCCTAACGGAGCTACTCTGATCTCGAGGCCGGGAAGGATACACGCAAGGGACATTCCTTGTGACACAGTTGCCGCATGGCTGGCTCCGATCACACTTTAGTCTGACAGGGCGCTGAGATAAGAACAGAATGCTATCAGCCTCGAGGACAGACTTACTTTCTCTGACGACAAGAGGAGCACGATAAGATGCTGCGAATGCCTTGCATCCTGCTGCCATATGTAATGGAAAGGTAGCTGGCTTTTCGATGGCTACTATGTTAACAGTTGGATTATGATAAGGCCCACGCGATTTTACTAAGCCACACACGTTCCACGAAGTTAGGTTGGCAAAAGTGTCAGCCAAGCCATTGGCGAAACAATAATAAAGAGCTGCCTGCTCGGGACGCCTGATCAGCGACATTAGTAGATGACATCTACGCCCTTATTATCGAATGTGTGGATGCTAACTTCTATCACTACCGTCTCACCACAAGCTCGATGATTTTCCCCCTCTTGCTGGATATATATGCAATCCTACGAGAAATGCCCAGAATCTACATATCTTGGGCCTTTGGTCAAGACTCAGGAAACATAAATTCCACTGGCCTTCAACTGAGAATCTGCCAGGTCCCACACCTTGGTCACTTCTTTAGCATCATCAACCCATTTCGAACGATCGACATCCAATTTTCCATATGGGACGAAATAGCGTCCTGCATGACTCGGAGCGTGGGAACTCGTAGCGCAATAAAGAGAAGTCCGGGAGCCATCCTGGGGTGAAATGGTCGGGGTAATTTTCATGCTGAATCGTGCAAGTGCCCCTATCATACCTGGGTAACTGGACTGAAGATTCGACCTTATCAGCCCGGGATGCAGAGAGTATGCTGTGACTCCAGACCCACTAAGTCGGTCATTCAAGGCCCTTGTAGCGAGGATAAACGCCAACTTGCAGTGACCGTAACGTTTCCTGGGGGTTGATCGCATGAGTCCATCATGTTCCATAGAGCGCTAAGGAATTTGATCCTGCTTACCATGGTGAAAGGGACCCTGTCACTCCGGACATGTTGGGATCATCGTATATGATATGCCGTGGACCCATCAGAAAAGCTGCATCGCTGGCCACGTTCACCACTCGTACACGGCCCTTGTTGTTGGGATATTGCAGTGCAGTTGACTTGAGGAGAGGCAGGAGGCTCAAAGTGAAGGCGTGAGGGGCCAAGAAGCATGTTTGCCATTGCAATTCGTAACCGTCCTTTGTCAATCCGTAGGGACATGCCATGATCTGCCCGCAGTCCCATCATCAGTACCACTTCATACTCGCCGCTGAACCATGGTCATACCCCAGCATTATTGATTAGAATATCTAGGCGCGACTCTCGCTGCATGAACTCTGACGTAGCGGCCTTGACGCTCTGCAGGTCTTGAAGATCTAGCTTCAAGAAGCGTACGTCCAAGCCGGGGTTTGTCTGCTTCATCTTGGTTATGGCCTCGTCGACTCGAGCTGGTGAGCGGCCTGCAATGTAGACTCGAGCGCCATGCTGGGCCAACTGAAGCGTCGTCTCGTAGCCAATTCCCGAGTTTCCTGTCACGTGTCATGAGCATCGCTGATAAGGCCCGAGGGAGACCGAACATACCTCCTGTGACAATGACAACGTAGCCGTTGAGGTCAGGGATTTCGGATATCTGAAAGCCTTGGGATCTTGTCATGATGAAGTAGTCGGAGCAGTTTGGAAAGGGTCAGAGTCGCCTACCGTGGCTGCAGAAGCAGATACGATCAGTGACAGAGAGGTATATGCAGACGGACAGAAGATGGGAGACGCCATCTTGATGATTTAAGTAGTGACTTGGGTGTAAGGTATCAGAGAAGGATGAGGCTCTCTAGGCCTTTCGTGGTGACCTCTACGATCCCGTGGTGAGTTCTTTTGCTGACTGGGATAAGCGAGCAAATCAAGTCTGGCCCGCGGACGAGTCCACGGACCTCGGCATTGAGTCCCCGGCGATGGTGGAGTGGGACCTGTTCAGCCTGTGCATACGGAGAACATGGAACAAGCCATCAGCAGCAGATCGTCACAAGCACTGTGGATGAAGGAGACAACCTGTTGCCACTTTCGCCCTTGGGACAATAGTAAACTGTCCATTGCCTCTGCGATGTCTTCGCGAACAATCGGCCTCCACACCACAACCTGCCGTCACTTTGTGCTAGGAGCCGCAGTGCAAAGGATTTCTCCAACCTGCAAAGTCCGAAATCCTTGCATCGGCCTTTTTAGATCCGCGGGAGCTACACACCGATGACAGGATAATCAATATTGAATTCTTGTTGCCTAACTATGTAATGTGACTCTTTAGGCCCAACTATCGCACTTTCGAGACGCAAAGTCACAAGGTTTACTGAGCGACTTTTTCAGGCACGCTATCTGGCAGAGACACGCCAGACATGTTTTACCCTTGGATGGTTGGATGTGCAACGATTCTCCCAGAAATCCCGATCTACGACCTATCTGACGTTCTTTGTGCGGAGATCCTTGAATCCAGCTTCTTCAAGATCCGTCTGCAAGCGACCTGGCAGCCCGATATGATGCAAAACCACCTCTCTGCAATTTTTCTCCATCTCCTTGGCCGACGGTGGCGTCCAAGTTCCCCTCAAGATCTGGTTGACGGCCTGAGCCAAGAAAGACGCGTTCTCTGTGTACGCCATGAAGCCATTCGCCATAGAAATGTAGAAGATACCCGGATGCTCCTGGTCATAAAAGCGTAGATAGAACGGTTTCGGGATGTCTGCAGCCGCAAGGGAGTCATATTCGCCGGCTTTGGTGCCGCCCGGGAGGAACGACGAGTCGGTCGACCAGCCAGTGGCCGCGACAATCATCTTAGGGTAGATCACGGTGCCGTCGGTCAGGGTGACTTTGTCGCCATCGATGAGTTTGATGCGGCAGTCGTTGTGGATTTTGAATTGACCGTTCCTGTAGGGCGGGAGCAGGTGAGTGCGGAGGATGTAAGCGACTTTGCTGGAGACTGGATCACCTGCTCAGAGTTAGCGGACAGCAAGGACAGAAGCAGAGAGATAACCACGTACGGACGGGAGGACGCCATTCGGGAATGCCGTGTACAATGGCCCAGATCAGGTTAAGGTAGTAGAGCAGGGCATCGACGACGTAAATTGGCAGGATTCGATATAGGACGCGGAGGAGATGTAGCTCGGACCATCCGAATTGCCACATCCATGGCCACCACATGTCCGGCGCACCCCTGGAATGAGCATTAGCTGACTGCCTACTGGTGATGCGGTAGTTGCGGAACGTACCAGTGGGCAATACGAGCCACCACATGGACATTGGTTGCCTTCTGCGTTATGCATGCCTCCTGAACCATGTCCATAGCCGATGGGCCAGCTCCAATAACAATGATATCCGAGGTTGGAAGCTCCGAAGGTTCTCGAATCTCGTTGTTGTGCTTTATTGGGAATGTCGCCGTTTCTTGACCGGGTAGCTGTGGAACGTATTTATGGATGTTGTGGCCTCTAAGGTTCGTTATAAGCGTTGCCGCGCCGGAGGGATACAGGAGAACAAGACTTACGTGCAGACCAGAACACTCCTGGTGTAGATGGTCGTTGTGACAGCCTCAGCAAGCCCCTCTACGAATGGCTCAACTTTGACCTGGTGAAGCATGGGCTTCACCATCTCGACCGAAGTCACGTCATGCTGCCACAGGACATGTTCCTTCAAGCCAAACTCATTGTGATAAGCTTCACAGAATTCAGCCACTTGGTCTCGCGGTGCCCGTCTTTGTGGTTCTTGTTGAGGGAACTTCACGCCGTGGACTTCATACTCGCACTTCAGGTCCTGCAGCGTCGAGTAGGCCGGGATATGGCCCGTCCAGATCCCTCCCGGGCCCTTCTGGCGATCGATGGCCATGACGGACAGGGGAGGATCATCCCGGAGGAGCTGTCGCAAAGCGACCATCCCTAGCGAGCATTATCAGCTTTGCATGTTATACCTAGAAGAGAGCAGTTCACTGACCGGAGGGTCCGGCGCCGATGATAACAGCATCGATTGGGTTCTCCTCCGTCGAGCCAGAAGTGCCGGAGCAGACTTGCTCGACGATGGGAGACTTTTTGTCTTTGAGTCGGAGATTCATCTTTGCAGAAAATAAGATACAGCTATGCAGAGAGATGTTATGGCAAGCAGAGCCACAGAGGTCACCATCCTCACTTTATAGATTGGCATTCTGCGGCGAACTCTTACCTCTTGCTCCTGTTTTGCTTTCGCGTCGGCTTCCATTTCGGTCGTCTCACAATGCGACATGATCCCAATCCTCAACGTAATTGCGCTCCTCCCGACTCTCTTATCGAGTGGGGGTTCGAGACAATAATCTGCACGGGCTGTTCTCAATAATTCGGACGAACATCTGTGCGAGCTGCCTTGACGAAGTCGACAACGGCAAAGGAAGCGAAGATCCACAAAGGCTGCGCAGATACGGGCGGCTCAGCCCATCCACCAACTCTATCAAACACCATTCCCAATCCGCTAAGTCGGACCGACCGCAACTATGGGACCCCTTCAACTGTTCTGACCCGATCCGATATCTCACAAACTGAGACGCCATCGTTTAGCACCCTTCAGGTCACCGTCGGTCCGATGGACTTAGAAGTCGCCGTGAGCTCAAGCGAGATCCCTGGGATGCTAGCAGTATCATAGCTGATCGTAAGCTGTCCTCAGTGTACCCGTGGCGGGTTCTCGAGGCCCAACACCATGCCTCCTGTCGCCGTCGCTTATCGTTGGCGCGCTCTGTAGAGGGCGTTGCTCAATGGTGAAGATAAAAGAATGTGTAAATATGTGAGCCGGGACGACATCTCCCCTGAAATCGCGAGTCCTCGTTGTTCACACTCGAAAAGATGTCTCCCGCAGAGGTTCATACCAACGCCCACATTGACCGTATTGACGATGATGCCGCTGTATTGGCGGCATTGGGTCATGAAGAAGAGTTGAACCGCCAATTTTCCTTTTTCTCCCTGGCAGCATATGCTACCATTACTGCCAATGCATGGGTAAGCACGGCTGTGGAAGATGTAGCAAATCCGTGGCTAATTCAGCAAAGACATCCATCGCGGGATCACTCATCACTGCTATCTACAACGGAGGAGCGCCAGGTCTGCTCTATGGCTGGTGAGATATCTACGCTTGCTTGCTCGATACCTTGCTGATTTGATGCTGAAACAGGGTCGTGGACAATTTCTTCTACTTCTTCATCGCCTTGTCTCTGGCGGAGTTGACATCTTCGATGCCCACGTCGGCGGGAGTTTACCACTGGTCCGCAGCATTGGCCGGTCCCAAGTACTCGAAGATCATTGGCTTTATGACTGGATATATGAATGTTCTCGGCTGGGCATTGGGACTCGCCTCGCTGTTCGCGGTGACAGGTCTTGAGGTTACTGGTCTGTACGCGCTGTGGCATCCGGAGTATGAGAGCAAGACCTGGCATGTATTCGTGGTCTTTGTGGCTCTGAACTGGACATTTGCCGCTTTCATTCAATTTGGAAACAGGTTTTTGCCACTGTACAACAAGATTGGGCGTAAGGGCTGTCCTCACCACGACTCTGGACCGGTGGGCTAACGTGAGCAGTCTTTTTCAACATCTGTGCATGGCTCGTGGTCATCATCTGCCTTGCCTCGATCCCTCCGACGCATTCCACCAGTTCCTTCGTATGGACAGACTACAGCAATCTGACGGGATGGCCAAACGGAATGAGCTTTATCCTTGGTCTTGTGGCTCCAGCCTTTGCTATAGGTACTATTGACAGCACCACACACATGGCAGAAGAAATCCCACACCCATCGCGAAATGTGCCCCGAGCCATGTTTGTGCAGTGGCTCGGAAGCTTTCTTCTGTAAGTGCGACCACTTGTTTGTTCGAGAAGTGAGAGGCTCTAACCGCATGATAGAGGCTTCCTTTTCCTGATTGCGCTGTTCTACGTCGCCGGCTCGCTCGACACTATTCTGGCTGCGAATCCCACATTTCCAGTCGCCAGCATTATGGACTCAGCATTTGAGAACAAGAACGCTGCGTTTGCTTGCGGTCTCATCATTTTCCTTGCCTCGCTGCCATGCTCGATCGGCGCTCAGATCACAACTGTCCGTTGCACTTGGTCGTTTGCTCGTGACGGTGCTTTGCCCTTCTCGAGCTACTTTGCTAAAATTGATGAGAAGAACGTTATGCCGGCGAGGGCCAACATCTTGATTGGTATGTTATAGGTCCACGCATTTCGCCTGGCTGATGAAGTCTGCTAAACACTGTCACAGCCTCCATCTCAACGGCGTTGGGAGCCATCTACGTTGGTTCAACCATTGCATTCAATGCATTAGTTGCCTCGTATGCAGTCATGTCAACCACATCTTACGGCATCGCTATTGGTGTGAATCTGCTCACTGGCCGCAAGCGGACTATTCCAGGCTGGTTCCATATGGGTCATGGTCCTTTGGGTTTCATCGTGAATTCGATCGCTATGATCTACATTGTGGTGTCCAACGTCTTCTTCTGTCTGCCTTACTTCAGGCCACCAGTCACTGCTGCGACGATGAACTACACTTCACTCGTGTCCTACGGCCTTGCTTTGTTGGTCGTTCTCTGGTGGTTTGTTGGAGGTAAGAAGTCGTACAGAGGGCCGAAACTGTCATCACAGACCTTGGAGGCGTTGGAAGGAGTTCGGCTGGACACTGCATCTGCGGTAGAACCCAAGAACGGTGACAGTGCAAAGCACTGAGTCAGCCAGACAGCTGCAGATTCGTCCAAGTAGACTTAGATGGCCCCCAGAGGAGATGTTGTAAGAGGGGTGTAGATCTAGATTAGATGAAACTCAAGAGAGTATTCTGTCTCATCTACATGTATGAATGTTACATCTACATTACTATTATTCCAACCTCTACAGTATAGCTTTGGATTCAGAATCAAAGCTCAGCCTCTAACCACGTTAACCATATCACATTCTGCCACTTCTCCAGGAATGTGTCTCTGGATTCCACCCTACCAATCGCCCGCTTAAAACACAATCGCATCAATATGATTCCCACACTGGATAATAGCGTCCCTGATATCACAGTATTCACGTGGGACTGAGCCATCTCCCCCCAAGTGGCCCACTTCCCTCGACCGACAGCAAGACTACCCCTAAATAGGTCAAAAAAGCGATCTGAAATCCAGACCTAGTCTACCGTGATAAGATGTGAGACAGATACGCTATGCGATATGGTCTGCACGAAGCTTTCTCGCATTCAGGATATCTCTTGCAAGTCGACCGATCCGGAGCAAACTATGTCTTGTGTACTAAGCTGCGTCGAGGCCGTTTGTGTGCCTGAGTGCTCGGACATGACCGTCAATCCGTCGCTGGGATTACACGACCATCGGTCAATCACTTGGTCAGTTTAGTGTGAGATACGAACGTTGAGAGACTAGAGCGATAGAGCCTGTTACAGCACTAATGCCGGCACAACCAGTCTGATGCGGTCAACCACCCAACATCTACGCAACCAACCGCATATCAGTCCGATATGGGTCTTGATTGTTGTACGATGGTCGACCCAAGAGTGTCTCTTCCTACGCATGGCATCTACATCATACAAAACTAGGCCATATCTCAGTCTTTCGCTTCGCTCTCACCGGAAATCGCAGATTCGGAGCGGCGGTCAGAACATTGTCTAGAGTCCGCTGTTGCTTTGCTATCGCATCCTTGACAAGGTCTTCAACCCTGCAGTGTCTTGTCCGATAATGGCGCCCTCCAAGCTCGTTTGGGCAGTGTCTTTGCTCGCAACGACGCAAGTGAGTCAAGTTTGGGGAAAGATTAATGTTGGGCCAAATTTCAAGTATCCTATCGAAGGTGCGTGTGCTTCCAACTGGAATTCAGTTTATCATTGCTATGAGCTTTTCAGAGTCCAGTAACCAAGAGAAAATGAAGAAGTACCAGGGCACACTGACGTTGTTATTTCCTTCCAGACCTGGACTATGACTTGCCCTTCTCTAACATAGTTACTTTCGCACATCTACCATGGGAGCGATGCTTCAATCTCAAGCATGACAGTGCCTTTGACATCGCCGTTGTTGGCTTCCCCTTCGATACCACTGTCAGCGTCAAGCCCGGGGCAAGATATGGACCCCGAGGTATCCGATCAGGAAGCACAAAAGAAAAGCCTGGCCGAACATATAACGTCAACTATAATCTTGATTGGCATCAAAACTGGGCAAGGATAATTGATTGTGGCGATGTCCCTGTCACACCTTATGACAATGCACGTAAGTGACGAACTCCAGCAGCACGAGCATGAAGCCGTCCAGAGAGATCGCACGAGGACATATTGAGATTCAAAGATCATTGTCGACTAACCCGCCGAACCAGACGCATACAAACAAATGGAGCAAGGCTACCGCATGCTCCTGCATAAACCCGTCACCCTGACCTCCTCCAGCCCGCCATCCCTGGACAAAGTCACCCACCCACGCCTCATATCTATGGGAGGCGACCATTCCATCATGCTCCCGATCCTACGCTCCCTGAAATCCGTCTACGGTCCCATCTCCGTCATCCACTTTGACTCGCACCTCGACTCTCTTAACCCGACAAAAGGCTACAGCGGCGTGGTATCGGAACAATCACAGTTCACTCACGGCACCTTCTTCTGGCACGCAGCCCAAGAAGGCTGCATCGCCAACTCCTCCGTGCACGGCGGCTTGCGCACTAAACTCTTCTCGCCAGCCGACTATGCCAATGACGCCGAGGTGGGCTTCTCCCTGATCCACGCACGCGATATCGACGACATTGGCATACAGGGCATCATTGAAAAGATCCGCGCCGCGGTGGGAGAGAGCATGGCGTATATTTCTGTGGACATTGATGTTTTAGATCCGAGCGCGGCCCCGGCAACGGGCGCTCCTGAGGCTGGAGGGTGGACGACGAGGGAATTCAAGCGGATTCTGGAGGGTATCAAAGATTTGAATCTGGTGGGGGCTGATGTTGTGGAGGTGGCGCCCGATTACGATACCAATGCAGAGATCACGTCGATTGCGGCGGCTGATATCATGATAGACATCATCTCGGCCATGGTGGAGAAAGGCCCCTTGGGGTCTGAGAAGTTCGACCTTAAGGGAAACGGTGGTAAGGACGAGTTGTGAGAGTGGACGGGTGAGCCCTATAGATGTATGATCGGAAATAAGGCCCATAGACCATCTATCGCTGGTACACAGGCGAAGTATGCCGCTACGACTCAGACAACTACCCTTAAATCGCACAGGAGAAGTGCGTAGATATTTGGCACATTGCCAGCTTTCATTCGAAAAAAGGGGAAGAGTGTTAGAAGAGCACAATATCCCAGCCCTTCTCCTCCATGAACAGATCCCACCTCCGTCCGTCCTCGGCATCCCAGTAAGCCCTCATTGCCTTCCTCGCTCTCTCCACGTTTCCCATCCCAAACCGTCCCATCTTCTTCATCCTGTTGTCGATTTTCCGTCTCTGCTCACCATCATCCGTCTCACATCCTGCGCTGAAGACAGGCCACAAGATCAAAATACTCGCCGCTGAGTCAGCGTGGAGCTTTTCGAGGTTTTCAAGGATCATATAGACGGCGTGGGCGGGCTTGATATGAGATTTGGGAAGATTTTGTACGCGGCGGTACAGATGCAGAAGAGCCGCGTAGACAAAGATGCGGTGCGTCAGGCGCATTTCTTCGGCCACGTCTATTCTTGTCGTGGGGCTGGAGGTGGATGGTTGGGTGCTGGTGCCGACGGGAGGGAGAGAGAAGGAGGAGAAAGAGGGCGACTGTCGGCCGTGATGCGTAGTGAGCGAAGGAGGCGCTGAGCGTTCGAAGAGCGCGTGTAGCTGGCTTTCAATCAAATCAATCTCCTCTAGCGTCTCACGACGGAGCTTGCATCGAATGTGCATGTCAGCTATAGCCTCTTGGTCTTCAGAGTCTGAGGGATCACTGTCATTCTTCATCGCTCTTGATGCGGCAGAGGCTGCAAGGGCAATTTTGGCCCGTTTCTGCTGCACGCGTGCCATCCGCCCGATTTTTGCCAGCAGGGGCATCAGCTCTAACGAACAGCCCATGAACTCGTCGACGTAGCCCCTGCAGTGGTCAGGGGTGGTGCTCGACCAATAGTGGCCGTCCGGGATGGTGCTCTTGCCTAAGCCTGAGACGCCGGCGAAGATGTCGAGCGTCGCGAACCATTTCATTAGGAATAGTTGTGTAGGATCTGTGATTGTGAGAGTGCTCGCTAGCGAGCGGGGGTGGAAGAGTTCGAGGTCAGAGCTGGAGCCGTCGCCAGTGCTGTGCTCGCTATTGGTTTCCCGCTGGATGGCGGAAAATAACAAGTTCTTTACGCCTTGTAAGTGCATGCGCCACATACTAAGATCCCCCGAGATAACGTCGCTGGTGCATAAGGCTAGAGCGGTGGAGATGGTCTCCATCTTGTGCACAGAGCTTTGGTCGCTGACGGCTTCACGTAAACCTGCAAGTGCAGGGCCCGTAAACTTGATGATTGTTTTGGACATGTCGGGGGACAAGTCACCTCGCAGACGAGTGTAGTGGCTACAAGCTGACGCAAGCAGTGCGGATAGTAAGTGTGGCGTGGTGACGGCAGCCTGGAGGAGGGTCTCTCGGAGAGGATTGCCTCGCGGCGACAGAGGGAAGATGACGGACGACGTGTACGTATGATAATGGTGTAGAAAGAAGCGTGATTCTGTTGAGGAGAGAAGATCCGACGGCATGAAGATGAGAGGATGGTTTAAAGCGACAGGGTTGTGATCGAGGATCTGCGAGGGGTGATTGGCGTCAGAAAGAGCCTGGATCATGGCCTCATCATCACCGTCCACATATTCATGGCCGCTAGCATTCAGTAACTGATGGACAAGTTCAAAAGATTCAGCTGGCGACATCAATTCAGCACCGCCGACAGGTGTAGTGAAACTGGCCGAGTCTGTCCCAAAATCGCCTCCAACATCACCAGCGGCAGCACTGATGTCGTCGCCCTCTTGTTCTCTGGATACAAGGATTGGTTGTGATTGCGAAGTCTCACACATGTCCCAGTTGTCTGCGGAAGACAGAAAACCAGAGGAAAAGTGCCCTGATAACGTGCTCGACACCCCATCTCCATCCTCAGAGCCGCCTCTCGCCACCACCTTCGTTGCATCATCCCCAGTTGTAGGGTCGAAGAGAAAAGCATTGAAGAGGGCACCAGCCGAGCGCTCAACAGAGTCTCCTTGCGGCACCTTTGACTTCCGTGGTTTCTTGAAAGGTCTCCCTCCCGTCCAGGAGAGGTTCAGCTCATACTTGCACCGATCGGGACATCGCTTGCACCGCGTGCAGTTGGGTTTCTTTTCGTCACACTATAGTACAGAAGTTGAATAGGCTCACATGAGTAAGAATGTTTATTTAAGGGTCTCAAATACTATCAGATGCAAGTTGAGGGACTTTGACGAGGAAAGGTTTGTGGGGGAAGGGAAGCTTATACCTTGATTTTCTTCCTTTTGCATTCGGCACAGCCAGTCCGCGTCTTGGTGAATATTCGGGTGTCGCCCATTACAGAACGTGTGGATAGTGAAGTGATCAATGGGAAATGATCAAGTACTGCAATGATATCTTGATTTGGAAGTGTATAACTTGAAGAGACGTTGAACTGATGATTTAGAAATCACTAAGCGAATGCATCAGAGCTAATCGGAAGGTCGTGGGAAACCGGAGGAGCATAGGACGGATCAAGGCGTCGAAGTCGTCTTTGGCTTATCTGTGGTCCATACGGCGGACAGAAGATAGAAAGATAGGGACATAACCAATACAATGCTTGAAATAAGGATCCATCGCGGCCGTGGGGGAATTACTTTAGGCTTATCTGTCCGCCGACAAGTGGAGGCCGAAAGGCCTGGACTTTTGTCCCACTTGTTTCCCTCGCAATCAAGCATCCATCCTACATCGCACACGAGTGAAGCATCAAGGTAATAATTGAGCAAGTGCTCCTCCTTGCGATCGGCAACTGTGCATAATACAATCGCATACAGGCGCACCAAGTCAGCTCCTTGGAAGTGGTATATGCTGGGTTAACCCTTCCGGTTCATCATATTATCAAACAGTCGTTCCATTGGCTTCCTCTGCCTTGAGCCAATCCTCCTTCGTGGGGTACATCTTTCGAAACGTCCTGGCCATCTGATAAATTGGAACCCATTCCACTCCTTCGTGAGTATTTACCCATTCAATGAATCTCTCGTGGGCCATTATCACATGTGGATGACCGCTAGCGTCAGGGTGGATGCTGGAGAAGACAAACACGTCACGTAATGTCAGCTTTGGGCAGCGATGGAGATGAAGAGAAGCTGGATCAGACGTACCACATGGGGAAGATGAAATAGTCGTATTCCCGGTAAAAGTACTCGAACCTCTCTTTCCAGATCTTGATAATAGTGTCGGGATCCTGCCACCCACCGCAGTTGGGCATGTTTTGCACGAATGTTAGAGGAATGAAATCTGATTACGCCGTCAGCACTCAGTTCTGCCGCAATGAAGGTGAGGATCCGTGAGAGTGGGCAGGTCATCCTACCGTCTTGGAACCAGTTCATGGGAATTTCGACTAGATCAGTGAGTTTGCCACGAACAAGAGGCTTCATCCAAGACGAAGCCGGCTTGCTTGGGTCAACCTTTTCCCATCTGTTCACTTCAATCAGCCTTTGGCGTGGGTTGGACTTGAACGGAGGTGGCCTACTGATCACCCACTCGAAGGTAATACGGAACACAATCTCTATGCATCGCACTGTGATCGTATTCCATACCCTTGTCGACGAGAAGCTGTGCAGAGGCTTCTGAAATCTGACACATCGGCGTCACGATTCCTTTGGGAGGTTCGCCAACGAATTTGGTGAGCAAATCATAGGTGTGGTTGAAGACATCTTCCTGCTGTTGTGGAGAGAGTTTATTTGGCTCTTCATGTGAATATCCATGCAGTCCACTATACAGGTCAGAATCTCAGAAAGCACATCGTTATACACATCATTATGGACATGCGGAAGAGTTGCTCACATCTCATGACCGGCCTTGTAAAGAGTTAGCCTATTTCTCATTCAGTTATGATCCTAGCACCACTTACGTCTCGAATGGCAGCACATTCGTTGGGAAATGTTTCCAGGGAGTGACCTGGGATATAAAAGGTTTGGGTCATGTTATACTTTTTGAACATCTTGAGCAATCGATGAACGTTGACTTCTCCAGCTTGCAGTCCTCGAGAGATATCGCAAATCGAGTCTTCGCCGCCATATGACCCGATCCATCCGGATACAGCGTCGACGTCGACACCATAGCCAATCTGTACCTTCTTCATAGTGAACCCGGATAACGTAATGAATAGATTGATCTTCCTTGTAATCTGGCGCTCGAGACGCTGATTCTATATATCATATCGGGATAGAAGTAAACATAGGCTCCTTTGATCCCACAACCGATATTAAGGTAACTCGGACCGATTCTCACAAGAGACCGATTATCAGTTCACATTAATGCAATCAACGCACAATCAATTGGCGTGGAAGTTCCGACATCGCATTGAGTTACCTTTTTGAGCGAATTCGAGGCTCACTAGGCCGACTCCACCAAGAGGTAATTGGTAAGCTTCAAGGCGATTCACTTATCGATCGCTGAGGCCGCCAAACGAGGAAGGTAGACGATACCCACACCAGATGTGAACATCTCCTCTCATTTGATGGCAGAACATGTAGGATGAATGTCATCTAGCTTTGGAGGCGGAGTTCATCGGGTACCAACAAAGGCATCTGCTTCGCTTCGCCATCTCTCCCTGATACAAGAGTGTTTCGTCCGGATGGTCTAGATCTAGGATCTTGTTTACACAGGTAGGTATTTCTTGCATCTTCGGCTATATAACGGTAGCAATATACGAGGATGATGGCAAAGTTACGAAGAAAACCTTGCTACCAACCAGGTGGGCCGATCATGCTGAAGACGATGCCTGATAGCCAGGATTTATTCAACTTGAGCATGTAGTTTCTAACCATGGGATCAAAACTCATATGAGGAGCGAGACTATCTGTACGGCATAGTCGACGAAGATCAGAAGCTACACGCCGGTCTGGAGAGCTATTGAGGATGCTCTTAATCAACAACAAGAAGAAAATCGCAGACAGCCCTCATCATATCCGCGAAGATACACACCATCTCTCGATCGTCTGAAGTCGGCGGGATACTCTCAGATACCAGACTTGCAGATCTGATAATGGCCCTCTGAACTGGAAGATAGACTACAAGATCTGCAATAAATACCGCGAGAAGACAGACTGGCAAATCCACCAAGCCCTGACGATTTATGCGGATGCACAATCATAAAACACCTTTGATGGCACCGGCTGGATCGACATCAAATCCGCAAATATGACCATGTGCGTGCTCAGGGCTCGTCTACCTTTGACAGCAGAATTTTGCAACGACCAGAAATCGAAGAAATTTATTTCAGCAAAACATCTCGCTTACGAACAGGAACTCTCCACAGCGGCGCAGGAAGAGTACGAACATGAATCGGTTTAGTCGAACTTAATAGGAAGCATAGTAAATTTAATCCTTGTGTATCGCTTTTCTTGTTCCTTGAATGTCCTATCTTGCCTCAGCTAAGTTAATCAGAAGGTCGCTCCCTTCGTGCCGACTTAAGCGTCTAGGTCCGTGGCCTCCGCGTTTTCGAATAGTCTATACTGACGGCCGTGAACAAGCTTTTTAACTTTCGATCGCGTGTTATTCTCCACCAGTTTGGTCGCTGCCGTAACATCTACGCGAAACGGTTTAATAGGTGCTTCGTCGTGCAAACACCAGATGATCTGGGGAGGCTCCTTGAGCCATCGGCAGATGTCAAGGACGGCTTCTGCTGCGCTACCATCATAGGGTCGACCATCAATATTCGCTCTGCCCGCAACGGACTGGATGAGAATGTCTGTACATCTTTAGTTCCTTTGACTTCTGCGTATGCTGTATGGGCCTGAAAGTACCTGGCTTGGGCTCTAGTTTTTCCAGGATACCCTGATAGCCTCCTAGGTGGCTGTTCCACATCAGAGTTCTTTGCCCCATGTGGAAAGAAAACGTCATCTGGCCACCGTCGAAGGCACTCATGACATTCTGTTTTCGATCGGAAATGTAATCAATGAATGGTTTCATGTGATTCCGCTCTTCCGCTGGGAGGATGTCGCCCATTCGAAGAAGTCCATACCTCATACCTACCGCTCAAGTCAGAGTTTGGCTGCTGCAAAGGCGATGATTTGCTCGTACCTCGAGTAATATCTATTGTGCAGGCGTACTGAGAACTACCCGTGTACACTGTAGCAGTGTCCATTGTGTCGGTGAGGTCAGCATGGCTAAAGCATGTGTTAGTACATAAGACTCAAGAGGACAAGGACTCACTAGCCTTGTTCCGGGTAACAGACAATGAAGGCTCGGCCACTATTAGGATAAGCGTACATTCGCTGGAGGATACACCAAGCCTGGCTAACTTACAGCATGAACATCCATGGCTGCCAAGGAAGGATCAGGAAGAATTGGAGCGCCGGGAGGCCCTGGTGCCGTAGGAACTTCGTTCCTTCGTGCTGCTTCCCATATATCACGGGCGAAAAGAGGAATTCTTTCACCACCGGCAACTGGTATGAGTTGTTCCTCGGCCACTCCGGCTTCTCTCAACATGTTAATGGCTTCGCCGTTGGCAATCACTATTGCTCCAGTCTTTTTCGCTAGTCGATCACAACCTGGGAGGTGATCAAAATGTGCATGCGAGATAAAAATGTAGTCAGCATGATCGACATCGTCGATTCGGAGGTACGAGTCGATGTTGCTCGGTCGCTCAAGCCAAGTGTCTAGGAATAGCGTGAGGCCGCATGCCCGAAGACGGAAAGTCGTGGCTCCTAGCAGGTACTGGGTTAGTGACCGACTGTGTCGACTTTTGCTTCCGGGCTTACCAAACCACTCCAAAGTGTAGGGATCAGCTTGCGTGATCATCCTCCCAGTAATCTCCAAACCCAAAAGCTAACTGAAAATTGCAAAGCTTTGTGATTTATGTATGTACCGCCATAGAGAGGCGGTTCGCCATGCGACCATCCGGGTTATTTGATGAATAGCTTAAATGACTAGAACGCCACAAACCCCACGAACAAGCCATCTCCACAATCCACATCTTGCAACTCCGGAGCTCCCGAACTGTCCACGTGTGCAACTCCAGACTTTGATGCCTGTCCCCGGCTCCTAGATCCCCCCGGGGGGGGGGGGGGGGGGGGGGGGGGGTGGAGAGGCTCCAGCTTCGGGGGTTTAAATACAAGTGGTGTGAGTCTTTTCCTTAATTCTAAGCACGTCGTGGCCAGCGCTATGGAGACTACAAAACCCACCGCCCCCGAACATCTGGAGCAGCATGAGCTGCGTGCCACACCAACTGAAACTGCGGTGCCGATTGCGACCGTGGAAGAGTCAGAACTCGATTATTCTGTTGCCTTCAGGACTTGGGCTGCTATAGCGGCGCTCGCACTGGCGAATTGCAATGCCACTTTGTCAAACACAACCAATACCATCATCAAATACCAAGTTCAGGATGTGGGAGGAGCATCGCTTGCCAGCTGGATCGCCAACAGCAACTTCCTTCTGACCCTGGCTTGTGGCCCGATCTTTGGCTATCTGGCCGATCGACTCGGGAAGCTGTGGTTTATTGTGGGCGGCTGTGCTGTCGGTGTCGTCGGATCCTTCATCAGTTCCTCTGCTCAGAACGTGCACACTATCATTGGCGGCAACATTCTCACTGGTAAGGTTTTACTCTACGCAACCAGGGATTGTTTCTGAGGTTTCATAGGTATTGCCAATGCCGGCTGTATTGTCTCTATCGCTGCAAATCAGGAGATTGTGCCTAGTCGGGTTCGACCATATGTGTTTGGCTTTGCTCAGACCATCAATAGCATCGCAGCCGTCGTCGGGACATTCACCGCCGGTGCCTTTGCACAAGCTGGCAACTGGCAATGGAGCTATCGCCTCAATGGTATCGTTTACGCTATTGCGGGTATCTCTGTGCTGTTGTCTTACCGACCACCGCCGACGGCGATCCGCCGGACAACCAACTTGCGCGAAATCATCCTTGGGTGCGACTTCATCGGCGTTATCTTACTTGCGGGCTCATTCGCTTGTATAGTGATTGCATTGACTTGGGGTGGATCACAATATGCCTGGAGTTCAGGAATGATCGTCGGGTTGCTTGTTGGCGGCTGTATTGGCCTGGTCGTCTTCGGCTTATATGAGTGGAAAGGCGCGAGATCAAACGCCGTCCTCGATCACCGCCTCTTTGACAGCGCCAACTTCCCGATCCTTTGCTTTATCTGCCTCATCGATGGCATGCTCCTGCTCGGAGTCAACGTACTTTACTCACACGAAATACCTGCGGTGTTCGGCGGTGATGCTGTTAGGACAGCTGTCATCCTCAGTCCTTATCTAATTACCTCAACTCTTGGCTGCTTGCCTGCCGGATTGATCATGGGTCGGACCAAGGCATACAGAACTCTCTTGGTATCAGCTCTTCTCTTTGTTAGCCTCTTCACAGGTATTTGTCTAACCCTCCCTATCTTTCCGGCAACTATTGACCAGTTTTCGATGCAGGGCTCATGGCGCTTCTAAACCCAGACAGGGTGAGATGGGCACTGGCGTTTTCGGCACTCTTTGGAGTGGGCACGGCTGTCACAACCGTAATTCCAAGTAAGCCGACATATTTCCTTCTGGCTGTGCAGGTGAGCTTACTTGCCCAGTCGTTGCACTAGGTCTGTCCGTGCCGTCTTTTCTGCTAGGGACGGCTGGCACTCTCAGTATTTCCTCCCGTGCTCTGGGGGGGATTACTGGTGTTACCGTTTACACAGCTATCTACGACAACAAATTTGCGCAAATCCAACCCCACAAGATCGATAAAGTTCTTGTCGCGGCAAATGAGCGCAAGTTGTTGCCACTTGTGCTTGAGGCATTATCGTCTCCTGCTCCCGCCCCGGTGTCTCTTGCCCAAGTACCAGGGTTACCTGGAAACTTGATTGGCCCTATCGTTAAAGCAGTAGCCGCCGCAAACGCTGAGGCATACAAGTATGTCTGGATCACAATAATGTGAGTTGTCGTTCCAATATCTTTTCGAAAAGCATCGATTCTAATTCGGCTCGCAGGGCTATTGTTCTTGGTGGTGCGATCGCATGCCTCTTCCTGAAGTCTGTCAAGGCAGACATGAATTCTCACGTCGAGTCCGCCTTGGAGCATTCGACTACTCGAGACCTTCAAATGGGGAAAAAAACGGTTCCACCAGAGGTCTAGTATGGGACTGAAACATCGACGGCGATAGGCAGCAGATGTCACGAGAAGGGTTCAGAACTTTTTTGATGAGAAGGATCGTGGACGCATCAGACATTAGCACTTTATGTAGGGAACAGACATAAACATCTAGCTAGAATTTATAGGATCGGTGTTCCACGCTCACCCATAGGCGAATACCGAGATGCATAAAACTGTGTCAAGCGTTTTGCATGGCCTGCGGATTGCTCCAAGAGTGCGTGTCAGGAAGCATTTTTGAACCCCACGAAAGCAGTGTCGTGTGTTTGCGGTAAGCATGGCTGTCGTGAGCACTAAGGATTGGTTATTGTCGGACGAAGCTTGATCGAATTCTGCGGATTCGCTATACCATATAGAGTACTGGTACCCTAGTACGTAGGATATCTCAAGTATTGTTGGTTCGCGACAGACATAGGGTCTTGCTAGCCCTCCGAGAGTCATGCGATTGAAAGCCGGCACTGTTATCAATCACGAGAGGTAATAGAAAGGGGCCCCATTTGTCCAAGATTAAGGGTCCCCGAGATTAGGACATACCACAATTTGTTTCCCCTCATGCATGTGCGAGCGGTGGAGAGCCTCACTTGTGGAGATGACTTCCCACTGCCTACTTCCTATATTAACGATGCAATTTCGGTAGACATCTACAATATGGTGTTAACTCGCTGGAATCCTCTATCCAGTCTGATTCTGACTGTGGCGTATCCAAGGGTTTATCTGTCAGTCCGAAGCTTTCTGCAGCTATGATCGCACATTACCGGACGCCCGCCGCCACCTTCGACGACGTACCTGGGGAGCTACCAGGATCCACGCTCGCCGGAACTAAAGCTCAAAACGCCGAAGTCAGCGATGCCCTCTCCCTACTGAATGGTTTACAGTTTGATGACCTTGCCGACAATGTCATCTGGAGGGATCTGCTCGCATTGACTGGGACGTACAGAACGATCTATTCCCCGTCCAAAGTTTTCACCACTTTTCAAAAGCTCTCGCAATTGAGGTCGAGGTCTGCCTTTTCCCAAACTAACCGTCCACCGAGAATTTCAACAGCTTTGGGAAAATCCTGGACAGAGGTGGACTTCGACTTTGAGGTTCAACATGGCACGCTTTCCGCGCTATGCAGTGGTACAGTGTCTTTGATCCTTGGCCTCGACAGTAAGTGGCGCATATGGATGATCCGCACGTGGCTAGAGAGCTATCGTGGACATGGTGACCCCGATATCTTGGAGCCCAAGGTCAAAGGCAGCCTTGGTAATGGAAAACTGGACACTGAATACGACGCTGTCATCGTTGGTGGTGGCCAGGCTGGTCTCTCTCTGGCAGGGCGGATGCAAGCCCTGAACTTGAACTACACTTTACTGGAACAGAACGCGGAGCTTGGAGATATCTGGAATCAACGGTACGAATCGCTGACATGGCACACTCCCAAGGAGTACGGTGAACTTCCATTTAGTCCTGCTTTTGATCCAGAAGATCCTGTGTTGGTTCCAACACAACGGATCGCCTCGGCACATAAAGCTTGGGCAGAAAAGTATGGCATCAAAGCTCAAACCAGCACGTGCGTAAACAAGGCAACTTGGGACGAAGAACGACAGCGTTGGATAGTACATGCAACTAGTCACGGAGAGAAGATCACTTTGATCTCCAAAAATCTTGTCATCTGCATTGGAGGCGGCTCATCTACCCCATATCTGCCCGCCTGGGCACAGCCTAAGCAGGTTCTTGCATCTCAATTTTCTGGTACCATCATCCACAGCAAGGACTATCGAAACTGTCACGCGTGGGCCGGACAACGTGGTGTGGTTGTTGGCACTGCAAATACGGGACACGATATGGCCGAAGACATGGTAAAAGCAGGCATGCATACTACCATGATTCAGCGCAACCCTACGTTTGTTATGCCCGTGGAATGGCTTCACGCTGGCATGATCGCCGACTACAATCAAAATAAAGATTCTGCCCGAGCGGACCGAGAAGCATTTACGTATCCGTACAAGATTACGAGGGAGATCATCAAGGGCACAGTGCGTCAGCTGATAGACAAAAATCCGGAACGATTTGATGCCCTTGAAAGAGCAGGCTTCAAGGTGGAAAGATACGGCGACATCATCAATAACATATTTGTGCGATTGGGTGGGCACTATGTTGACACGGGTGCTTCTGCAAGAATAGCGGCCGGACAAATCAAAATGAATACTCAATCAATCAAGAGCTTGACCAAGGACGGTCTGTTGTTCGAAGATGGGAGCGAGCTGAAAGCAGACTTAATTGTCCTTGCAACAGGTTTTGAGCACAACTTTCGCAAGCAAACGGAGCAAATCCTCGGACCCATCGCTGATCAGATAGACGATTACTGGGGCATCGACCGGGAGGGAGAAATCAGAGCGTTGGCAAAACCTGCAGGACGTAAGTACTACTACCCACTGTACAAGGAATGCATTAAACTAACCTTTGCCATCCTAGATCCTAATTTATACTACCTGGGTGGGGATACCAGAATGGCCCGATTCTTCTCGAGATTTGTGGCTCTCTTGGTGCAGGCCGAAGTCTTCGGCTCCGGAGCTGAGCCTTATCGGAATTAGCATACGATTCCTAAGATTCCAGATGAGTGCCGATTTTTTGGTTGGGACGGTTTTTACGATGACACTCTGAGGACCAGTTCTTTTCGCGCTCGCAGAGAAAACCATGAGGGCCGGCCAGATGGCCTAGCTTTGCCATCCATATACACCGTTATAAACGATAGAACCTAACCAACTACTGGCGCAAAAGAGTCCTAAGTATGAAGGTGCTAAATGTTCAACATTCTTCTTGACGCGCAGCCATTAATTGCGCAAGGGTTTGATGCATCTCCTTGGTGATTCGCCACTTTGGGCCTGTTGAGTCCAACATTGTTTGCAATGTGTTGAAGTCGACCAAAGTATTTCGAAAATCGTGGCGGGCACCCCTTTTAAGCGTACCAGACTGAAGGTACTCCGAAGTAGGAGAGAGTACCGACGCAGTCGACGTTCCTTCTACGTTAAATTCGCATACTTCTCTCCAGTTGATACTCCGTGGCACCTGGCAACGGGTAGAATCGGTTGGGACTGTCGCTATGAGTATAATCGCAGCGGTATAAAGTGCTGATGGGAGATGCAAAGTGTTGTACATGACGACGGGCAGTTGTTTGACAAGGTCCAGAATGGTAAATGCGTGCAGCATTGCTCGTCGGGCATGGTGCGACCCACGCCATGCGTCGACGTCAAATTTGGTATCCGGCACACCTCCATATGCATGATATCTGTCCAGCTCAATATTATACTTTCTGCATAATCCTCCAATGATGTTCCGAGTTTCGACGCAAAAATTAATGCAGACGGTATGCCAACGTACTGAAAGATCCGAAGCATCTGCGACAGGCAGGCGTCTAGTGATCTGAGAGTCAAAGAGCCGCCAGAGCGCACGGCTCAACGCCGGTCTTGTAGGCAAGCCAATCGACGGGCCCGCGGCTTCAGCGGTTTCGGTAATGAGAGATTGGAGTGCTTCTAGGACCACAGGCACTGCGAAGTGCGGCCAGAAAGATTTGGAAGGTTCGACATCGAAGTTGAACAGGTCCAAGAGAAGCTGCCGACACGTCAATGTGGAATGCAAATCTTGACTGCCAGCAATTTCAACCCATTCATCGGCGCTGGAGGCATCGAACATTTCGTCACTGCATGGCATTGCCACGTTGTTGATGGTGTGCAACGCAGTGTTTGGTAGGCCACAAGACTGTGCAATGAGCCCGTCCAAGATGTAGTGCCCGAACAACGCTCGACGACGACCTTCTGCAGCGGCCCAAGACCTCCACATGTCCGTCCTCGACGCTTCGTTCATTCTGAAAATGGGTCGCTCCGACTTCTCCTCAGAAGTAAACAAATTGAAGTGTCTCGCCCAGTGCAGTCCTTGTCCACGCAGGGCAAGGCTTGTGTGCTTCAAGACCCCGTTGCTCGATAAGACAGCATATGCCTGACTCAACAAAGCCGTGAGGACAAGCTGCATACCTGTAATCTGCTCATCTTCTGGAGAAGTGCTCGAAAAGCTTTGCCAGGAGGTAGCAACTGCAGCGTGTACGACCCTCCAAAGCGCTTCGCCCATTGTCGCTGCGCTGTCTCCTGCAACAAACAGCGAACCTATCGCGACCATGCTGAGTAATAATGTTGGGGTGCAACGTTTCAGAGAAAACGTCTGCTCGTGCATGACAGGAAAGATGCGTAGGAATTGGGAAAAGAAACAGCCGAGGCACACTTCCAGGAAATGAACAGGTACTCCTGTGGCTTCAACCTCGCCCGACAAATTGTGAGAGAACTCACTGACCAGACGTTTCAGATGCCCTAGAGCCTGACGGGCGTGTGTTGATGCTGCATCGCTAGGTCCAGAATCGCCACTCGGTTCACCAAGCGCTGTGACGGCTGCGTTCAGAAGAAGCTGGGAGCTACAAAAGTGCTGATCATTGTCTAAGGAGAAAAACTCTGTAAAGATGTCTTCTGATAGTCCAGCCCAGGAATACGGCTCATGACTGCTCGGGTCAACTGCGGTGTCTGTAGGCACTGAATCTGAGAACAGCGCCGTCAAGGATTGAGAGTCTAGCTGCAGGTCAACCGGGAATATTGGCGTATGCATTGCTGGCACGAGGGGATCAGCCACGGGGTGAATAGGGGATTCGAGCACACTTGAGACGCTGACATCCTCTTTATCGGCGGCATGGTGAGTCTTTCTGTGGCGTGCTAAGGAATCTAGACGATTAAAACGTCTTTGACAGTCAGGGTTGGGACAGACAAACGGTTTCGAACCGCTGTGAATGCGCTCGTGTCTCTGTTTGATCCTTCATTAACCTATCTCCGAGCAGATACCCCTACGACAGTACTCACCTTTAGATGCTCAGGCTTCGAGAATAATCTCTGGCAGTGAGGACATTGCCGACTAGAGCGTTTGGACCCCGCATCGGGGTCAGGAGCAGGCGCAATGCCCACGGAATCCATGTCTTGTGGAGGGCGAAAGCTGTCAAGGTGGAAAACCGTAGTTAATGACCAGCAGAATTTTCCTGGGGGAGGGGGGAAGTTGTGCCAAGTCGAGAGCGTGGGTCAAAGCGGCCGTGGAGATTGTGGAGAGCGTGGATAGTATGGAGGCTGATTTCGCGTCGGCTCCGTGTGGGGAGCTCTGTACAAAGGTTGTGCCAGGACTCAACACTGTGCTTGCTTGAGCTCGAGATATTTAACCGAAATCAAGTATTGGCCTTCGAGTGTTTCAACGATAATTCCTTTGGAAACTTTTGTGTCGCAACATGGCGCCCCCAGGAAATGTTATCTGTACAGGGCCGCTGCACAAATTTACCCTGCGCACAACAGCCCATGACTACCCTGAAATCAATCCAGGAAGCTTCGCCAACAAGTTTCGAGGACAGACTGCCCTAATCACCGGATCTGGCCGCGGAATTGGGAAGTCCATTGCCGCTGCATTTGCAAGTGCAGGATACTCTGTGGGTATGTAACCACTTTTGAGCTCGATCAGAACCACTTTGTCATGACTAAGTCTCGCCATGTGCAGCAATAACTGCCCGAAGTGCCGATCAAGTCGACGCCACAGTAAAAGAACTACAAAAGCAGTATCCCGATAACAAGTTTATTGGGGTCGCCGCAGATGGCTGCGATCGAAATGACCTGGAGAAGCTGGTTAGCACAGTAAGTTGCTAGGTCAAAGGCTTCACCATTCACGCAAGCCTCTCTAATCTTGCGATGCCAGGTTAACCAAAAACTTGGTGATATCGATGTGTTAGTGTGCAACGCGGGGACAAATAGTTGGCAGCATCGCCCGACCCTATTGAATATGCGCTGAGGCGTCTTCTAGCGTTCATGCCCTTCACTATGACAGACCCGGACGATTGGTGAGCTTCATCAAATTCTTCGACTAATAGTTTTGAACTTAAGTTAAATAGGTGGTATTCCTTGGAAATCAATCTGAAATCTCCGACCGAGCTCACTAGGATTGTACTACCGTAAGTATATCTTCTACACAAGAATCGGGTAACTGGTTAACATTAGCAGACAAATGCGGAAACGTAATTCTGGAAAGATTATCTATACTTCATCAAGAGCAGCAGTCGCGGTGAGTGGCAATATCTCTCTCCAGCTTGCATTTCTAATGTGATCTCAAGGACCTTCCCTGGACGACTGCGTGAGTATTTTGCAATCATAGTGCTACATCTGCCCAACTGCTAACTCATTCTTTTAGCTACGGAGCCGGTAAAACGGGCATCACACGCTTTGCAGCTTGTCTACAGGTTGAGCTCGATCAGACCCAGAAGATAGATTTTGGCTTCGAAGAGAACGGTTAGTTTCATTCTTCCACTACCATACTTATGTCTGACTGTTCTCCAAGGAATTTCTCTATTCAGTATCCATCCTGGGGAGATTGAAACGGATCTCCACACGACAGGATTTCCCGAGAAGACACATAAGGATGCTCCATATATTATCGAGCACATGAGGGCCCTAGACGCCAAACGACCCCATTTCGATGCATCTCTACCAGCCTATACTTGTGTCTACCTTGCTTCGGGGAAAGCGCAGAAGCTTCGTGGGCAATACGTGGATTGCACCCGCGATATTGGGGAGGTATTGGCTGCAAGACCTTAGAATAGAACCTTCATCAAATTCAGGTCAGAGTTGAAAGCTTGAGCTCTATCAATAAAGGACGCCACAAAAGGCGGAGAGTCACGTTTAAACATGCGGATAGTATAGTCTCTCTATCGATTTCCCAAGGTTTCTCGTTGAGTGTCATAGCTGCCGTTGTAGTGTAAGCTAGCTGCTAGAGAATCTTTAGACGGTAGTAGCGTTGGAGGCTTCCCTCCTACATACTTGCTCGGCCAAGACATCGCTTTAGTTTAAATGCGCCACAACTTGGATCTAGCGGTTCTTAATCTTACTGCAGGGCAACTCTTCTTACCAACTTCAGTCCGTTTCGTCCTCTCGGTTCAGTTGTGAACCCGGTGGATCGAAGGACAAGACGGTATGTCTCGATGACATCGAGTGTTTGTATTTGTTGAAGCGTATCACGGACTGATCCTAGAAATTGTGCAATTCTGTATGCTTTCTCACAGTTCGCTTCTGGTCTTGCGAACTTCAGAGAGGGGAACACAACGGAACCCTATGTTACTTGTTGGCTCGCATCCCGACTTAATGTTGGGAGGAAAGCCCTTATTATCCGAGAATTGGATCGTAATCAGTGAACATTTAGTATCGCTGCTAAGAAGGATGTTCAGTCTGCAGCTAAGAAGGATGTTCAGTCTGCAGCTAGGCCCCAAAGTCGGGCAAAAGTCTCAACTGTTTCTATGCCTTTGCCGATCAAGAACCTCGTCAGATTGAGACAGCATTACGAGTCTCTGTTGAGCGGGCAGCGATGGTGTTTGTGATAGGCTCCTATTCTGGCTCCAAATAGCCTGCGTTGATGCCATATTGGTTGATTACCGATTGCATCATTCTGGCCCGAGTTGACGGCAGCCGGTCATTCTCAAGCATTAAATGGCCACAATCCCCACTCACGAGGAACGGAATACTTTTCAACCAATTTAATCCCAACGTTAAAGTCCTAATATATCACGACTTCGATTTACCTTATCCGACACCCCTGTGACTATGGCCACCGTTGCAGTTGCTTTGACATTTGCACCACCAGATATTAGCTATACACCAGATGCTGAGAAGTTTGCTGCGAGAACACGACGCCGCCAGGAGACGGAACGACTTGAGAAAACACTTCCTGTCGGCTTTCCCCGGGAGCTTGTCTCTGATCTTGTATGGGACGGCCAAGATCTTCCCAGCAAATATGACTGGACTTATGAGCTGAGTGATAAAGAATTGGTCGAGATTGAAGCAGCACTTAGGCATTTCCAAGGTTTGTCCTATAACTGCCGATTTATCTTCGACTGCAGCTGAATCACACCTGTTCAAGCATTAAACAAACCCTTGGGGTTCATTGACCAGGACACATTCCCATTGCCGACGCTTCATTCAGCACTGCGTGAAGTATCTTTTGAACTCCACCACGGCCACGGTTTCAAAGTCCTTAGAGGTCTACCGGTCAGCAAGCATACACGAGAGGAGAATATTATTATATATGCTGGTGTCTCCTCACACAGTGCTGCTGTACGAGGCCGCCAAGACAATCAGTTTGAAGGCAAGCCAGCAGATGTTGTACTTAATCACATCAAAGACCTCAGCACAACAGCGGACAAGGACAAGATCGGGGCTCCTGCCTACACCACGGACAAACAGGTCTTTCGAACCGACTCGGGTGACATTGTCGCATTATTTGCTTTGAGCACAGCGGCCGAAGGTGGAGTCAGCAGACTGGCGAGCACCTGGCGAGTGTACAATGAGCTCGCCAAAACAAGGCCAGACTTGATTCGTACCCTTGCCGAGCCATGGCCAGCTGAAAAGTACGTGGCAAACATGGTCCTTCCTTCCACGAATATGTTATTTCGTGCTAAAACTACTGTAGCTTTGGTAACAAAGGAGAACCATACGAGAACAGGCCGTTGTTGTTCTACGAACCTGCAACAGCTAGTAGTCCTGAGCGTGTGCTGCTCCAATATGCTCGGCGGACCTTTACGGGCTTCGGAGCACCACCCCGTTCTGCCAACATCCCAGCAATCACAGAAGCACAAGCCGAAGCACTGGACGCTCTTCATTTTCTGGGCGAGCGCTTCAATGTTGGGCTAGACTTTCGCCAAGGTGATGTCCAGTACGTGAACAATTTGGCTGTCTTCCACGCTCGTGATGGTTTTAAAGATACCCCAACTCAACAGTAAGTTTTGCAAGATTTCTTTGCAGCTTTTTTGATTATGCACACCAGAGATGCCGCTACTGATGTGAGATAGACGTCACCTGGTAAGGCTGTGGCTACGGGATCCAGAATATGCATGGCCTACACCGGCTCCATTGGCCGGAAGGTGGTGTAAAGTGTATGATGGAATTCAGCCTCAGAACGAGGTCTTCCCGCTCGAGCCTCGTATAAGGAGCTCGAGTGAAGGGAAGGTGCAAGGAGAGGTGACAGGTCACTGAATTGCAACATTAATTCTGCGCAATGATAAATAGTGAGACCTAAGGTATTTGCATTAATCAGAAGGTCCAGAACTTAGTTTTATGGTCTTTGCGTCACTAGATCCCAAATCGATTTCTGTATCACTCTGGAAGGCCCCTCGTGCCTCTTCCTTGAGCTGATTTCCAGAGCTGCGAGTAGAGGTGATCGACCAAATAATGGCGTACACTGTCCACTATGCATTTGTGCACGCACAGCGCCGTCCGAAAAGCCATGTGAGGACTCTACTTGATTAACCACGGGTAGGATCTTCTGCGAGAACAATACCTCCCTGTCCGCCGAAATACATGCATCTTTCTATGGTCTCCCTAATTATAAGTCGCGCCATTGGACATCAAACCACCTCAGTGAATGTCTCTCCCATTACGTCACTCTCCAGCACAATAATTCTCAACTGTAGGCCTCGAGCAAACAAGGTGTGCTTATTCACCAACCGCGGCCATAAAGCCACGCCAGTTTCAAGATATCGTCTTTCAAAGGAAGAACCGTCTCAGCATCGGGGTGTCCATCTGGGATAGGAGAAGCCGTAACCATGATGCTGATCGGATGGAGTGTGACTGTAGTAGTGATTTTTGCGTCAAATACACCGAAATCACGGCAAGAGTTTACCACCTCCAAGCAGGTGGCGTTCCACGCCGCTACCAACGTGAGTTCTTGGGATTTGGCCCGAGAACTCTTCGGGACCTTTGTTCACGAGTCCGCCTCCTTATATCCGTACAGTAAGCGATTATGCCTAAATGCCTTTCCATATTACTCAGACCCACCTCTTCGATTATTTGTTTTGTAGCCTGTCTCGGATGTCTCAGTGCATTCCTGTGACACTGTGCCGCAGTAGCCTTACAAAACAGGGCGATGCTACTTCTGTTTCGGCCGCATAATTTTGATGTAGGTGGTAGTGCTAATCACCGGATGAAGCGTGGAAGAACTTGCCTGCGAATGCGACAGTTGTTTCCTCGGTCTTACGTACTGGGACGGCGATTTCATCACATGAACCCCGAAAACAACAGGCGATTGGGTGGGTCAGGAGCCGTTCGTCAAGGTATTCTGCAATGAAATGCGCCCTCGACGCAGCAAGTGAAATTAACACCGCAAGCAGAGAGAAGTTAGCTTAGCGAGTTATTTGAGCTACTCTGCCTGGGGAAGTCGAGTCACACGGTCTCAAACTCATGCCCGGATGTCCACACAAACTCCGGATTCTGCATGCGGAGGCTCGGATTCGGGGCCTCGTGGGATCTGCCAGAGGTGTGGAGCCCACATCACCTCCGGGGCCTACTATATCCTCCAAGCTTGAGCTTGGTACGGGTTGTGCTCTCGGAAGAGTGCTTCAAACCTCTGAGAAAGACGACACCTAACTAAATCTACTTACCAAGCAGGCCGCCGAATTTACGCAGCTAATTGCTGTCGTAATATCACCCGACCCGCGCTTTGTCAATCTCGGTACTCCGTACAGTGGTGAAATTTCGGTTCGGGCAAGACGCGATAGTCTTGTTCCATTTGAAAAGTTCTTTAAAGTCGAATCACCAGACGACTCCTTGCTTGAGTATTCCCAACTCTGGCAAACGCAAACAAGACTGTGCGAACCGACTCGAGGATGGGTTCCACCGGCGCTCTCACACCAAGCTTCGATGAGCTGAGGAGCTCTCTCAAAGCGTCGGTCGTTTTCACACCCGATTCTGAAGGCTATCAGGAATCACTGCATCGATGGTCTGAGGCCGCTGAGAAAAGAGCCGTAAGTGGTTAACCTATTGATTGTTGCTGGGAGAGCGAGATTATGGGCAGCTTGAATTGGGATGAGAACTTTTAAATTGACACTCTTTCGTTTGAATTTAGGCCGTGGTAGTACAGGTGACCACTGCCGAAGATGCGTCCACGGCGGTGCTGTCTGCACAAGCCAACGGGCTGGAGATCGCCGTTGTCGGCGGCGGCCACTCGACATCAGGATCGTCCTCAACGGAGGGCGGCCTCGTAGTCGACCTCACTAAGATGCGTCAAGTCACCGTCGACGTGGAAAAGAAGACTATTAAGGCTGGCGGCGGCTGCATCTGGGAGGACGTTGACCACGCCGCCGCCGAGTACGGCCTAGCCACTGTCGGTGGTACAGTCAATCACACTGGCGTGGGCGGTTTGACCTTAGGCGGCGGCTATGGCTGGCTGACAGGCAAGTATGGCCTAACAATTGACAATTTACTGGAGGTCGAAGTTGTGACTGCAGACGGACAAATTCTGACAGCGTCGGAGACCGAGAACCCTGATCTGTTCTGGGCTTTAAGAGGCGCCGGGCAAAGTTTTGGTGTAGCAACAAGCTTCACATTTCAAGGATACAAGCAAAGCAACCCAGTCTGGGGTGGGTTGCTGGTGTTCAAGACGTCAGATCTCGACAAGGTCTTGAATTTTGCCAATAAGCTCGTTATCAACACTAAAGGCGAGAGCGGTATGGTGGTCGGTTTCGGCGCCCCAGCTCCAAAACGTAAAGCGGCCGTGCTGACTATCCTATTCTACGATGGACCCAAGTCCGAGGCTCTGAGGTACTACGCTGATCTATTCGCGCTGGGCCCGATCAAAGACTTGACCTCAGAGATCCCGTACAAGGAAGTCAACTCCATGCTGAACAGAGTCTCGACACACGGAGATCGCAAGACTCAGAAAGGCTCTGCTTTCACTGTGCCCCTGCCGGAGCACCTAGGCCAGCTTATCCTCGACGATTATCTCAAGTTTATGGCTGAAATCCCTGACGCCATCAAGACCATCATCCTCTTCGAGTTCTTCTCACAGCGCAAGGTCAACGAGGTGTCTCAGACGGCCATGTCCTTTGCCAACCGCGGCGAACACTACAACATTCTCTTCAGTACGAGATGGGTCGGTGCTCAGAATGACAAGACTTGCCGAGAGTGGACGCGAAATATGGCCAGCAAGGTGGACAAGGAGCTGGCGAAACACAAGAATAATGACGGTGTGGGCCAATATGGTAACTATGATGGTGAGTTACAGTCTGCCTCATGTGGCCCTCATGATTCAGCGCCAACAGCAATTTTGACTAACCATGATTAATAATAGGCATTGCGTCGGCATCGGCAAAGGATATCTTTGGTGTCAATTACGAAAGGGTGCTCGCACTGAAGAAACAGTACGATCCCAACAATGTCTTCAAGAAGGGAGCCGGGAAGTTTCCTATCGAGTAGCAGTAGACCATGATCGATACTCAGTCCGTCGGTGGATAATTTCTAAACTCATCTGTAAACGTTATGGTGACTTGCGAATAGAATATTATTGCGTATTGAACGGTACCTTGGATTGGACTAGGTTCAGCTGTCTACTCTCAGCGACAAGGTTAAGCTGGAGCATAACTGCTAGCTCACCGCCTTCACGAAAGATTCGGAAGCAGAATCAGACCGTCTTAGATTGAGACTAGAGCTGTAGAGCATCCAAGTGTCAAATATGATCGAAATCTCAAAGTAACCAAGACACATCTCAATCCTGGCCCATTCTCCGTTGTTTTCACCGTCTTGGAAATTGGTTTGTCCTTTTGTTCGTGTCGTGATCCAATAACTGCACACATGTCGATATCGTTCGGGCCTTTGGCCTCCGCAGAGAGCTTCTATCCTGTCATGGGCCTCTAACCCGTCCGTCTTTGGTCTGAGATCTGGATCGTTTGCTTTCGACCGTCTCTTGTGAAGCCACCAGCGCTGCAGCGGTTAGCATGTGAAACGGTAAGGTCTACCGTTATTCGGAGTACATACTTCCATGTAGATACAAAGATGATTTCAGCAGAGGTGCTCACAAATCCCATCCTACTTAAGTGATCAGCTCCCGGTTCCGGAGGTGAATGTCCAGCCACATCTCCGTGGGCACTCCGACTATGGTGTTGTAGTATTTTACCGGGTGATCGGGATACACCAATTTCATCTGCTTAGGGTTAATATTGGCTCTTCCTGGGGCTGGCTATCCACGACAGGAGAAGATAACGCAAGTGGGAAAGTAGGGAAGGGGTGGTCACCACGTACATCAAAATTGAGTAAAATCTCTGGTAGAAGCTTCTTCATTTCGATCCAGGCGATGTGTTGTCCTATGCACATTCGCTTGCCGTGACCAAAGCCTGACCAGGCGCGCTCCATCCTGGCGCGCTGGCCCTGGTCTGCTTTGAGCCATCGATGCGGTCGAAATTCTTCGGGCTCTGAACCCCAGACGTCTTCCCGAAGCGAAAGCCCTTGAACGTTAAGCGCGACGGCCGTGCCACCTGGAATATGAACGCCACCAATGTTAGCACCGCCGTCGGGGACTTCCCGCTCCAAGGGAGCATGGCTGACAAGGTTCAGTCGCATGGACTCTTTGATCACCGCTTCGAGGTATTCAAGCTTGGACACGGAGGCAAAGGTCGGTGGGCTGGTTAACTGAGCCGCCTCGAGCTCGGTGACTAGATCCTTTAGGCATTGCGGGTGCAGCAACAGCTGGCGGATCACGTCAGTTAGTGTCGAGCCAGTGGTCTCTGACCCGGCGTGGATGGTCGAGATCACCAGACCGACTACAGTGCCCTCGGTGAATGTGTCAGGGGCTTTCCTGTTACCTTTAAGGTAGGACTCCAGCAGGTCCGAGTGCATACCGACCCCTCCAACTGCGTGTCTCTCCTGAACCCTTGCTACAGCCCTGCGGCCTAGTAAGGACGAGCCACGGGATCCCAGGACGAATGGGTTCTTGAAAAGTAGCTTCTCAAGCTTCGGAAGGAAGAACCAGAAGTACCAGTGGTCGAAGCGCTCTATGGCACCTCTAAGCGTGTCCTGAACATCCTGTTCTGAGAAGTTGCCATCACTAAAGGCGATACGGCAGAGAGTCTCGAAAGAAAATAGTTTCATCCAACGAACGAAGTCGACCTTGTTGTCCTGCGCGGCGGCATCTCGTACACGCGAGATAAACAGTCTGATTCCCTCGTCCACGTGCGACTCATACGAGCCAATGGCCGCAGCAGTGAACGCGGAATTGATGTGCTTCTTGATCGCCGAAACGCGAGCTTCGTCGCGCGTGGTGACGAAAGAATCCTGGAGCCGACCGTTGACAAGGGGTGTCGCCGGCTCGTAGGATAAGGCCTGTATGCAAAGGAATCAGACGATGAATCTAAAAGGAGAGATCCAGTACTAGTGTAGAACGACTCAGGCATGCGAAAAGCACAGCCAAATAACACAGCTCCATATTCGAGGCTTACCTTTTTGTATGGTCTAGCCGTGGCGTAAATGATGGGAATGACCACAGGGTCACTAAACACGACATTATTAGGTGCAATGAGTACAACAGGCCCGTACTTCCTATCGAGATCAAGCATGATATCGGCCATACTCTCGTGATGCCATAGTTTCCATGTAATCCAGAACCCTGTGAATCGGGCCCAAAAGGGTCCTGGGATGTGGCTCAAGCGGGAATATTTGTGATACGTTGTGCTGAGCAGTAACGCAGTGAGTACCACAAGGACTGCAACAAGGGGCGACATGGATGATGGTGATGGCAGCGACGACCGGAACTTAGATAAACCAGAGTTGTACCGTCTATTGGCGTCCATATCGAGTGTTCGTTACTTTGGTGCTTCAGTATATCTGTCAAGTGATCAAGAGACAATTATATCATCGATCGGAACGACATTGAACCATTGATTGATCGCCAGGAAAGAAGACGGTTTTTGTTTTGAAGAAAGCAAAAGACAAGTTGAAGGTCTTCAACCAGCCGGGGTGTTGACTATTTAACCTTGACACGACAACCCCGGACTCTTTACAAGACTGCGGGGCGGCATGAGATCGTGGAGTGCGTCGGCTTACACACGCGGTGGCTCGTATACCTGCGCGTGCTCCTACCTCCGACCGAAAGGTATCGATTTCCGCTTGAGGACCCGCGCAAGGAGTACTGCAGAACCAGAATCCGTATTCTTACAGGTGGACAAACAGTCATGTACATCTAAAATACGAGAGGTCGGAGTGCCAGGTGGTGGCATAATGGCTGTCATTGCAGATTGGCGTCTGGAAATTGGAGACCCTTGACAAGGATGTACAATAAATCTGGTGTACGGAGGACGATGGATATGATGTACGATAAATCTGATGTACGATGGACATAATGTAAATGGATCATCGTATCGACTACTTGCTCTAAACCACATACTCTGCAGTCCTTTCCCTGCGAGGTCGCACCGCCGCATCTCCGTCCTACCTCCAAGTTGTGTCTCGCTTCGGTGTACACGGGTAGTGGCGTACCAAGCTGGTCAGCCTTCATCGAGAGGGCCAAAATCTTGGAATACCACCGCGCGTGGCCCAAAGCTCCGCCAATATCCCAAAGCTCGGGTTCTACACAAGATTGGTGAACATGACGCGATCGCTAATTTCCGCTGGGATTTTGCTATTATACATTTCTGGCACGGTTGTGTCAGTATAGAATTGTTGTGAAGCCCCATACTCAACTTACAAATATATCGGCTTTGGATGTATTTCAAAGAGAGCACGTCTATATTTAGTGTGCCCATCAGTAAAGATCGCTGCCTAGGAAACACGGCAGAACAGGTCCGATACTTAGAAGTCTGATTTCGCAGCACCATCGTCACGTCCATGTCAGATTTGCACATGTCGTCCGCAACATCGTGTCCGGTGTTCGCTGTGCCAACCACAATCTCAGACTTTCCTTGCTAGGCGATGGCTGAGTCGTACTGGCTTGAGTGCACCGCGGTGCCCCGAAACCTGTCCTTTTCACGACTCAATCAGCTGAGCTATATTTGAAAACAATCCCTTATTTGGGAAAATACCTTGTTTGGCAGCGTCGGCGAGACTGGGGTTGGTGAGCCCGCTCCTGTGGCGATGACCGCGTGTTTGGCGGTGACGTGCGACTTAATGTCATGGCAAGTGATGTTCAGGGTGTAGAGTTTCTCTTTGGCATCTCAGCGACCAGATTCGAGCTTGGTCGACAGCCAGATGTTCTGGTCGGAAGTTAACCGCTATGAGCCAGACAAGAAGACCTGGGGGGACAACTACTTACGATGCCATATTGTTCAGCCCACAGTCGATGACCCCTGGCGAGATCCTCCTTGCCAAGGTATTCTGGGTACTGGGGACCGAACGTCCGATCAAAGGGTAGATGTCCTGTAGGATTCTTATCTGCGCAAATGGGGCAAACAGGTTTGGAAATCCTCGTGAATAATCAACTCACAGCACTCTCGAACGGTGTGGACTGCAGCGCTGATGTCATTTCTGTTGGGCCTCAAGGTAGGGATAGAGCAGAGCTTACGTTTGGCTGGTTTGTATCTCAAATGCCAGGCATCACCTACCTGCTTGTTCGCCTCAAGGATCACATAGCGTACACCGAGGGCCTAGAAGCGCCCACCATCATTTAAGCCAGCCTGACCACCGCCAATGATGACGGTGAAGAAGTGGCTCATGGGTTTCAGCCTGCCGTTGGTGCGGCCGGGACTGGGACTTGACTGACCGCCATATCTTGTAAATTTCGATTAAGATCAAGAAGCATGTACAACAGGTTGCGGCAAAAAGCAGGCTAAACTGAGCGTTACTGTTGCTTCCAAATAGTCTATGAGGGCTAAATTATCAAGATAACTCAAGGAGAAATGAAAACAGAAAACAAGTGCTCACTTTTCTCCACCCATAGTGATCGCGTTATCGCGTTGCCCACCAAAGCATGGGTACAGTACATAGTAGTGAGGTATGCGACGATCGAAAGACCTCCACCATGGCCCATCGTCGTCGGAGTTGATGTGAACATTCCGCCCACCCAAAGTCCGAGTAACCGACACCCACCACCAAAGAACCTCGGGGAATAGAAATCCCGAATCAGCCCCGTTCAAACATTGCGGGCGGTCGATACCAACTAACGCTTGATATATTACAGACAGCTAAATCCAACAACATTTGATGTCAATCATGCATAAATCAACTACAGTCTTACTACAGGTAGCTCAAGCCAGCGCGGTGATCGAGGAGCGCCCCCTGCCCGTCCTTGGTGATAATGAATCCCTCGTCAAGGTCGAGGCCGTCGCGCTGAATCCGTACGACTGGAAGATGCTGTACGGTCGAACCCCGCCTGTCCCAACGGTTCTCGGGTGCGACTTTGCTGGCGTTGTGGAAGCTGTGGGAGCACATGTTTGCTCTGTGAAGCCTGGTGACCGCGTGGCAGGAATGACGATGGGAGGTATGTTTGGAAGCCTCTCCGAGACCACGTTGGCCAATAGCTTCCCTCTAACTCGGACATACAGGGAACACTTTGAGACCGCAAGACGGGGCCTTTGCTACTTATCTGGTTGCGCCGACGCATGCGCTGCTACACCTGCCAGATGACATGTCTTTTGAGAATGGCGCGACTTTGCCGACTCCGGTTTTCACGGCGGGATTCTGTCTGTATCACCAATTGTCTTTGCCCTATCCTGACAGGGATGCGGTCTTTAATGGGAACGCGCCGACTCTGCTCGTGTACGGAGGCGCAACTTCGATAGGCCTGATGCTGATTCAGATGGCGAAATTGTGAGACTATTGGCATCTCCTACATCACCAATGACCTGGCACCTTGGCTGACACATCGGAGGCAGGACAGGAATGAGGGTCCTCACAGTCTGTTCTCGCCAAAGTGCTCATCTTGCGGAGGCCTTTGGCGCTGACGCTGTCTTCGACTATGTAGGTATCGCCTGTTGCCCAGCCATAAAATGGTCTCTTCGTCTTCTTGACATGTCTCGTTAACTATACTCTTCTCTTGTCAGAGCGATCACAACTGCGAAAACGACCTGCGTAACGAAACAGGCGGCAACATTCAGTACACCGTCGACTGCATTTCCGACCACCAATCGGCAGCCATCTGCGCAGCTGCAATGGGTTGCAAAAGTGGCTTCTACATCAGTCTCACGGCAAATGGGCCTACAATAAATGCTCGAGATGTCCAAACCATCAAGATTGTTGGCTTCACTATTCTGGGACGTGAGTTTTCTTTTGGATTCAAGGGGGTTGCGTCTCCTGTAGTTGAAGAGGACGTGGCTTTCGCTACCCAGTTCGCCGTCCTCATCGAGCAGTTCTTTTCAGACGACAAGATCAAACCTCTACGAGCTGAAGTGAGGGTTGAAGGTTTGAGTGGAATAGTGTCCGGACTCAATGATCTCAGAGAAGGCAAAGTACACGGAAAGCGGCTGGTCTACCAAACAGCATGAGGCTCGAAAACGTAGTTCATCATCCAAGATAGGCCAGATTTCCTTAAGGAAGGGAAGACGAAGGCGTGGTATAAAAGCTCCATTCAGAAGGTTTCTCTCTACAAAAGTATTTATGATCTGCTCTCTAGATGCTTCTAGACGTTTGAATGTCGGATCCACCGAGAATAGGTCCAGCCTACGCGGCATCCGCTCAAATGAACCGGCGCAGAACATCGATGAACGCGCCCGATAGAGCCCAAACCCGCATATTGCGAAGAATTCGGACCGTTTCTTCCATCACCTGGACGTGACTGGACTGGGCTCCCAGGATAGGGACACCATGCAAGCCAATAACCACGCTACCGCCTTCACGAATCCACTTCAAGACCTTGAAGTAGTCGACATCACCATCGGTAATGTGTCGATCTAGGAATAACAGGTTGACAGAGTTGTCACTTTCAGAATCTGTCGGAGCCTCTCCCAGAAGCTGGGCTGCACACCACAGCGCAGCTCCTGCATGAAAGACGAAAAAAGGTTCATATGGAGCGTTGAACGGGAAGTCTCGGCTTATTGCAATGATTTGGGCGCTATGGTAGATCACTCTTCTCAGCCGAACGGGGTCCTCCTTGCCCCAGGTCTTCATCCTTTCTTTGATCATCTCGCTCTTTCCTGCGCTCCGGAGCAGGCCAGGAAGCCAGTCCATAAGGTCATTGGCACCATACAGATGAGAGATATGGATCATTAGGGCTCTGGCAACGGCTTGCCGAAGCTCTTGATCGTTCCCAGACATTCGGGCAATGCTCAATGGCGTCAAATAGCTATCGAGCTTATCCAAGAGGTTGCTCTTATGCGCCAGGAACGGCCATTGTTCAGGCACAACATCCTGGAGGGGAGACGCCTGGAGCTCTTTGATTGACCAGAGAAAGCGAGCCAGCGTCAATACAATGAGATGCAGGTGTTGCCCGTCATTGAACTGAAAATCCTCGCTGAGACTGGTGTCGAAGGTGCTCCGGACTGCCAGTCTGAAGTGGGTCAGCACATTGTCGGCCGAGCCTTGGGAGCGCAGAGCCATCCAGGAATGAGCCGAGGGAGCGTCCCAACAGGAGGCATCGCTTGGAAGGCTGAGCATCATGTCGCCCGTGCTGAACAGTGGCCGCTGGTTGTGCAAAAAGCTGACTGAGGCGTCGAATTCCTGTTATTTTCAGTTCAGGTTAGCTGAGACGGCCTTGAAAGCTCACACAGTGCCGTAACCTACGTATACCGCCCACCCAATCCTCCTCCAGCGCTCAGCAGCAACCCAGGTCATCCACTGACTTTCCGTTTTGTTGCCGCTGGAGTCGGATACTCGCGTAGGAGGATCTCGGAATAGACCGATGAGCTTTCCATTGCGAACTAGGATGCCCCGTAGCGAGTCAATATAGGTGAATAATGTTTTGTCAGCACTGCAGTAGCCATAGACGCCAAGTAGTAGTTGTGATGTGAAGTAGGTCTCCGTTCTGGCAACTTCCGGGCTCCGTTCGACCTGCGGCCTTGCGTCAGTCCATCAAATTTTCAGAGTAACCGCTAAACGCACCGTTGCAATCAAAAGGCGGCGACCTAATTCCGCCAAAGCACTGGAAAAACCCGGAGCACCGCTGAACTTGGTAAAGCGCGCACCAATACACGCCATGGAAATTAGGAGCACTTCAGGTGCGGTTGTAGGGTTGAACGTTGGCCGGTGGATGAAGCTGACGATCTAGCAGATTGTCAATGCGGTGACTCGAGGTGCACACAAAGCAGTTAAGCAATACCGGATTCCAGTTCGCGAAGAACAGATCAACGCAATGGTCCAGAGTTTCCTTTGACGGGAAATTTTCCAAAGAAATGGGTGTCCAGAGAGGTCTTTCAAGAGCCAGCCTGATGGATTGTTGTACCCTAGCCCTATCTGATTCGGTCAATCGCTCCAATTGACAATAAAAGCCTGTTTGCGAGGGATTAACACGAATGACGCTCAGTTGCGGTATCGCTGACGGGCATCCCGCGCTGGCTGTGCCATTCAGTAACCAGTTCTCCTTCGCAGGCTCGCTTTCATGGTACATGGCTGCAGGGTTCTGAGCATTCTGCGTGACTTTATGAGGGAACAAATTGCTGTTCGCCGAATCGAAGGGCATCTCAAAAAATCCCAAGTTCTGTGTTTCGGGCGCCGCTTGCATGAACCAGTCAAAATTCGTATCGTCATACGGAGCGAACGAATCGTCCTTTAAAATGTCCTCAGGCGGGAACCCTGCGAAGGAGCTCAGAGATTGGGAGCAATTGTTTGGGAGATGATTCTGGGTATCGGAAGCGTAGACCAGGGAAGGAGACGTCACATATGGTGCGTCTTGCAGTACTGGCATCTCAGGTGTCTCCTCATAGTTGCTAGAAGGATCGGCGTAGGTAGCAGAGATTGATTGCGGCTGTATGTGCGAGTCTGATACGAGGCCAGATGAGTGATTTCGAGGAGTCGACATGGATGAATATGTGCAAACTTCCTTGCTGCGCGCACACCCCGTACATTGCGGTCGGTCCGCTGAACATTTGATCTTGGATCTGGATTGAATGAGTTGAGGCGCCGGGCCAAGAATCGCAAGTTCAAGACATTCTACCTCTGACAGCGCTCACAGGACCATTTACGCACTTTGATACCTCTCTCGTGCATTTTGAGGTGGCGGTTGAGACTGTCTCTGTGCGTGGGAAATCAAGTACTATGTTAGCGGTTGATCAGGCTGCCGCCAACCCCACATACCTGCGATTAAAGGTTTTGAGACACAGCGTGCACTCGTGCATGTCGGCGTTGAGGGTGTTGCAGGTTACTGCAACGTCTGGGTATTAATACAACAGGAGTGTTTCGCTGTGGTCTGACTCGAAGCGTGAAGGGAGTGTAGGAGGAGTAGGGAGCGGGAATTGAAGACCGGGACAGTCTACTTGCAGGGGCGGCGAAGGACGGTCCTTCACAATACTCCGCAGTATCCCGAGAAGAGCGAAAAAGATGGAGGGGTCCGCGCGGCATTTACGTAGAGCCACAGCACCCCAGCCGGGGTACAAAGTTCGCGGTCATGCTTTTTGGGGCAACGCATGGGAGTGCCGTGGAGAAGAAGGCCCCTGTCAGGCCCGGCCTAATAAAGCCATTTGTGCAAGGATGCATACTCCCTTTCAGAATTTCCTTTTGCACTTCACCACAGCAATATCTGAGGCCCTAAACTACCTCTATACATCGCTATCACTTGGTTTTTTCGCCGTCGTTGGCGTGTTGATATTGTCCGGTATACAACCACCCCCCGTTGAGCAAGTCTCTACGTGGTCTCCATCGGCAAAGGTACGTAGAACATGCCGGTAAATTCTGTGCGAGGTACACGCTCAGTAGACTTCAACCCAGTCATCTTGATGCGCACTATCTACAACTCCTGGTCTCACTCCAGTGTCTGGCTGATATGGTCTTCGCGCAGCGGCAGTTTGTGCGGATCTGCCCAAAAATGTTCAGCTTCTGAACGACCCCAGACCACGCCGACCGCGATGCGTCTATATGTCACCCCAGTAGATCGTCTTGCCCGTGAATTTGTCGGGTATACCAGTCTCCACGAGCTTGACAAATGCAGAAGCGGGCTGTTCGGGCTTGAGGAGCTTGTTGCTCGAGTATATCTCGTTCAAAAATTTGCGCATCTTAGGAGAGAAGTTCTCTGGGACAATGTCAGCAACAAGCAACCTGTAAAGAAAATTTGTATGCGTTGAGGACTGATCTTACCGTCCAGGCGTGAAGCAGTTTGAGAATCTGTGTCGACCGCCCCAGGAGTGATGGCGACGTATTTGATCTTGGGTTCTTCAAGGGGCAGGCACGAACACAGGTAGTTCAATGCCGCCTTTGTGGTGGCATAACAGGTCCATGAATCAGTCGGCTCCTGAGAGACTCTGGTTGATGTCATCATCACATTCCCTTCGCTCTCCAGTAAATGCGGCCACGCCTGTTGCATCTATAAACCCAGACACTACCATCAGCAATTATTTCTTATGGGATATCACGATCCTGTTTCGTACGTACCATATCGAGCTGGGAGAAAAAGTTTACATCAAATGCCTTTCTCCAGTCGTTCACTACCAGCTTGGGAAGATACCCGGTAGGTCGCACCATGGCTGCGTTCAAGATCAAGGAGTTGAGATGCCCTCCCTGTTTAACGGCTGTCTCAACAGCTTCAATACTGGTCGAAGTCTTAGAGACGTCTCCGGTGACCAAAGACACCTTCTCGGGATGCTCCTTTTGTATCGCTTTCAGTTTATCAATGTTTAGATCCACCGCAACTACATGGGACACTTTGGCCGACTTCATCAGTAGCTGGATCATGCTGAGACCAATTCCATTTCCCGCCCCGGTCACGATGCTATAAGGGTTTGTTAGTATCGACTGCCCCAGCCGGATCTTGGTATTGTGTGAAGGGGGCAGGATTGACGTACACTACCTGGTCTGCCATGAATATCGAATTTGATCTTCTTTGCCTACGGTTAGAGTATCGGTCAAGATGTTCTCAAGTCCTTTCTAGGATTGCCAAAAACGACCGGCGTACATGTACTGAAACTTTTCCGGCGCATCACATGGCACATTCGTGCCAACCTGGCCTCGGCTGTTTCCGAGGACGCCACCACCACCACCCGCTCCCCGTTCCCCGGTCACGCTGCTTCTATCCGAGATGGCACCAGCTCAAAGCTTGGGCTGTATAAGCTGAAGCGCGGAGGTTTCAGCACTCAGCCTGACTAAAACCCGGGAACCAGGTGGACCACACTGTTTGCATTTGCCAGCGAGAAACATCGAAAGCCAGCTCGACACATGCACCAAGCCTGTATCTGCGGTACTCTGCATACCTGGATGCTTGAAAAGACCGTCACTTGTCTGGAATCCCGGCGTAGGGGGCTTACATGAGTGGTACTGCGTAGTGTTGCTACTCTCCCCGACAGAAGTCATTGTCAGACATCGGACACTAATTTCAACACGACATAAGGTACACTCACGCTATCGAGCGGTTGGGGGAGTATAAGTCCTTTCTAATCCTCATTGACTGCATTATTAGTGAAATCGCACAGCTGTCAGTTTGCTTTCGACGCGTCAATAACGCACGCCCTCCTCAAAACTCTTGGGCATGAGAATAAGAGCATGTCCACAGCGACCCAGGACCGTAAGCTGAGCTATTCGATCCCTCTGCCAAGCAGTACTATCCCTCAAAGTAGCTGGAAGGCGGTGTGCGTAATGCCCAGTCCAGGGGGGTATGGTGACATTCTCTCTCGCAGGTCAGGTATCATGTCTTTGAATGACTGCTCCTTCCACATATCGTAGTGCTGTTGTCTGCTTCTCCATCCAACCACAGCCATACAAATCTCTACTCTGCCTGTCGGACTCTTGTCGGAGTCAAGCTCGGCGAAAGATCCAGCAGTACTGAGAATGTAATAGTCTGGTCTGACCTCGGGCAAAACTTCCTGAGTAACACACTGTCTCATTCGCGACACTGCCTTCAGATCCTTGATTCTATCCTCGAGAGTACTGGAACCAACAAACGGCAGTGTGGTCACATCAACACATGGACTCGCTAGCAGTCCGCCGACGCTTGACAAGGGTCGCTCCAGGCGAGTCTTCAAGCGTATTATTGGAGGCTCGGCCTTAGCTAGTGCCTGGAGGGAGTTGGTCGATAAATTTACGCTTCGGTGAGACCATTCTGTCTCGTAGTATTGCTCAGGGATCAGCTGGGGTCTCGTGCGACTATTTGAGACGACGATCTTAGGAGTTCACTCGACTCACCAAGTACCAATATCAGCGCATTGGGATTCTCTTCAGTCCTGCCCCAACCCGCCCATTCGCAAGCATCGTGACTCTTGACGCCATGGAGGATTTTGAGCACTTCCTGGCCCTTTTGGTTGTTCGGATCCTCCGGCTGGATGGTACTGTCAAGATGGAAGAAGATGAATTCAGTCGTTCTGTCGTGTTCGGCCATGGTAGCAAGGGTTAGATGAGAGCACGTCGTATGAGTTGTACTTAATGAAACCATCAAGAAGGCTCATATGCATCTGAAATTGTGACGTTATTTTGACTTAGGAATTGTGTCCCACACACATGTCCCGAGGCAGCAAAACCCGTTGCTCGAGAACTGTACATTTCCGGAATGATATGGTATCCGGAGATGTGCAGCATTACTTTTATCGCAAAAAGAAGCTCCGCCTACCAGCTCAAGTTTACGGTGATTCTGGCCGGCGACATGGTGGCACTTCGTACCCGAAATTCCATCGGAAAAGAAGTGGTGGCACTATCGGGGACTCCATGTGGGGTTAGCCGTTTCCGCGACATTATTATTACTTCGAAACACTCATTTGCGGGGTGTGAGGCACAATTGCATCTTTGCCTGACACCAGTCAAGGACACCTCAATGGCGGTGCAAGATTACATTGATTGCAACTCGTCTGTATCGATACCTGCGGCCAAGCAGGAGGCACAAACCATGCTCCATCTGATCGGCATTCCCGGTCTGGCCATCCTGCTTATCTTCGCCTATGTACGGGCGCATGAAAACAAATGGCCCGATGGACCCAAAGGTGTACCACTGCTGGGCGTGCTCCCCGACAAGAGTCGTCACCTTCACCATCAGCTTGCTGACCTGGTTCCAAGATATGGCGACTTCTTCTCGTTCAACATGGGCCGCTCCAAAGCAATAATTCTCAGCAGCCCCGAAACGATCGAAGATCTGATTGTAAAACGGGGCGGTAAATACAGCTCTCGCCCGTCATCTTCTCCAACCGCACGCATTGTAGCGCAAGGGAGGCTTGGTCAAATGACATATGGCGATGAGTTCAGGGTAAACTTAACTTTGTTTGCGAATGCCTGTGCAAGGCTGATAATGCTGCTTTGATTTCACAGAAACACCGCAGAGTCGTCCACGGTCTGCTTGGAATGCAAAACAACAAAATCTTCCTCCCGTATCAGGAGTACGAGAGTCGGCAAACCTTGACACAGTTTTTGGAAAACCCTTAATCCTTCTACACTGAAGTACACAGATTCTCAGCAAGCGTCACCTTCAGTCTGCTGTCAGTGACCTTTTGTCAGGTTTGAACAATGTGCTGACTCTACTTCAGACTTGGAGCGCGTTTTGCAGATGCAACGTCAATTATTCCACACGCATGTCAAGATAAAATGTACGAAATGTTTGCAGGTAAGGCTCTCGCCAATCGCACCCGTGGAGTAACTCGCTTATAGTGAAAGCTGTGCGCCCTGGCCACTATCTCGCCGATTGGATACCGATTCTCGATTACTTACCAGATATGTTGGCGCCCTGGAGGGCGAAAGCACAAAGGTCACTTGACCGTCTTATGGAGTTCTGGGGTGTCTTCTACTGCTCCATGGAGGCTAGAGTGCGGCAAGGGAATGCACCGGATTGTTTCGTAAAAGACTTTCTGCAAAGTCCCGAGATCGAAACTTTCGATGAAATCGAGCGACGCATGCTTATCTCAGGTCTTCTTGCGGCCGGTGCCGAGACGACTGCAACAACTCTTCAATGGTTCTTTAAGGCTACTCTATTGAATCCTGGTGCTGTCAAAGAGGCGCAGAAGGAATTAGATTCTGTGATCGGTCGAGATCGCTTGCCAGAATGGGAAGATCGGTCAAGCTTACCGTATTTGCAGGCCTTTATCCTCGGTGCTCGCTTTCTATCACGCAACTAGTGAGAAGGACACGTACAGAGGTAAAGATGTGCCTGCAAATACCACCGTCATTTACAACACTTGGTCAATACATCACAACGACATGTACTACAGAGAACATGAGAATTTCATCCCTGAACGCTTTCTATCTGAGAAAGACGACAGACACAGGCCAAAGTACGCCTTTGCTCAGAGACATTACAATTTCGGAGTTGGAAGGCGCGAATGCCCTGGACAGCATGTTGCAGAGACCAGTCTTTTCATCATCATCAGCCGGCTGCTCTGGGCATTTGATTTTGTTGGGCCTCGACCCAGCAATGGCACAGGTACTGGTAACTTGTTTGATTATCCTTTGAACAGATGCTAACCAAGATAATCAGCTGGCCAGGTTCCTATCATTGCACCTGCCGAGTTTGAGTGTACTGTTGCCCCCCGGGATCAAAGCACGCGCGAGCGCATCAGCAAATTTGCAAACTTCAGAGACCCGTCTTTGGAGGATGCAAAGCGCTATGAGGATGATGTGGCAAGAATTGTAGCGAAACACAAGGCCCAGTAAATTGCGCTCGATTGTGGGCAGTGTGGCATACAAGGTAGTCAATCGGGGTGGCGGCGAGAAACCCCTGTCCGTCGAAACCTCCTGCTGGCTTTCCTGTATATATGCATGAGTTAGAAACCATACCGATCGAACCACGAAAGGGTGAAAATAAAGCTGACAGCTGCTACTGAGGGGATATTATAGATAGTAAATAGCAGAAATCTAGCCAACCACACAAGGACGCAGAAGCTGCGTTCCTGAGCCCTCAAATCGAGGCAACCAAAGAAGTAGGCAGGATCTCAGTGCGTCAAACAGAAAATTGCTCATTCCCTCTAGTCCTAGGAAACTAACGCCTCTACCAGTCCTTATATTATACACAAAAACAAGCCGACATTTGGTGAGAACGCGGACGATACTGTCCAGAAAGGTGGCCAAGCAACGGACCGGATCATGATGCAACTCGTATGTGACCATGAAACGCTCCGTGGCCATCATAATTGCGTTCGGAAGAACATGGCTAGATTAAATCCATTCCGAACTCTCTCAGATGCTATGAAGTGAAGTGAGAAGCACACAGCCAGAACCTTTGTTGACAGTGTAGATAGGATTAGTAGAACCTAGAAGAGACTGAAAGACCTTCAAGAACGGGATTGTTGAAACTATTGAAGTTTCACTAAGAGTCGCTACACACAAAGCTAAGTTAGTCCCAGTATGTTCATTCGGCGTGTGGTTGTCCCGAGCGTCGCTTGGACAAAATCTGCAAGCAAAGGATCGGAGAATTTGGTGGGAATTGATGGTCATCTCGTCAATGATGTTTTTGTGACCCGTCAGCTTCTCCCAAACGCCGTGAAAAGTTAGCACTTGGTCAAAAGGCTCCAATCCAATGTATTTGTTTTACGAAGTGTCGGCAACAGGAAGGGCCACATCAACTCCGACCTCCTATTCGGCATAGTTTGTGGCCCAGGTTCCCCGGGAAAGGCTGTGTCACCCGCAACCCCGCCACATCAGAGGGCTTGGAGCATATGGGGTAATGGGCTCCCAGGTCCGGCCAGACTATATAGTCATCAACCTACCTCCTGATCTGGAACGTTCTATGGCATACGGATTCACCTCAACGCTCGTCAGACTCTACGTCCTCGACACGCAGAGTGTTTTGCACTTGTGTAAATCAACATGGCTGAACGAGAAATGAAACCAGAAAGAGCTCAGCTTGAGCTCTCGGTTGACGTTGTCGATAAATTCGAAGGAGATGCTCATCAAGGAAAGGTTGCTGACACTGTTCACAATGATGAAGCGACTAAAATCTTTGCTACCTACGAAGGCGACCAAAACTGGACCCAGGACGAGGAGAAGCGCCTTGTCAGGAAGATTGATCGTCGACTTCTGGTAATTCTGACGATTACCTTCGCCATTCAATTCTACGACAAATATATGCTCTCTCATGCTGTATGTTCCTTACAATCCTTGTGTGCTGCAAAACCTCTCCCGTAAAATCCAGTCCGCTTCTCATTTTGCCCAAAGACGATTTTTCCAATCGATTTTAGCTGACTTGTGCCATCAGGCGATCTTTGGTCTTATTGCGGATCTAAAACTCACCGGAAACAGATATTCATGGTCGGCTTCTATCTTTTACCTGGGTTACATTGTCGGTGTTTACCCCCAGGTTCTCCTAGCGCAGAGATTCAAGGTGCACATCGTCATAACAGCCATTGTTTTTGTGTGGGGCCTCTGTGTGCTGTCAACAGCATTATGCACTACATACAAGGGTCTCTACACACAACGGTTCTTCCTTGGCTTACTAGAATCTGGTGTCTCTCCGGTGAGTATATTCTTTCAAATATTCGGTAGAAGTACGTAGTTGACGCGTTCAGATCTGGATGACAGTCGTGGGTAGCTGGTACAAGAAAAGCGAGCAAAGCTTCAGACAGGTGAGAAGGGTCGCCCTCTTGAATTCCCAAAATGACTGACGAGATCGATATAGGGCTTGTGGTTTTCTGCGGCTGCCATGGTGGCGATTCCTGCTCCTCTGATCAACTATGGCTTCGGGAAAACTCACGGGTCGCTCTCGCCTTGGAGGTATATGTATATTTTTGCAGGCTCTCTTACAACCGTTTGGAGTTTTGTTGGTACGTCTCAACGGCACTGGAAGCCCCTTCTCGACATATTGCTAACCCTGGTGTAGTGAGTACCCGTACTATTGTCAGACCAACTGTGACAACTTATCCTGTTATCCTCCTGCACTGGTGGTGCCTTTTCATGTATCCACAATACCTTTTCTCTTCCTGACACATAAGCAGATCTTCTTCTTCATGGAGCCAGATCCTGTCCATGCAAAGCGTCTGAGCGAGCGCGAAAAGTTCATCGCTGTATCCAGGCTACGGTCCAACAACACTGGCGTCAAAAATACTCATTTCAAGTCCTGGCAAGTCCGTGAGCTGCTTTGCGGTGCACAGTTCTGGCTTCTATTCTTCATCGCCCTCTTGATGAATACCGCCAGCAGCGTCAGCACGGTGTTCTTGCCCATACTCATTAGAGCCATGGGCTTCACTAGCCTCAATGCGCTCCTGCTCACTATCCCGATTGGTGTTGTTGGCACTATAACCACTTTGGGCCTAACCGCAACCTTGGGTTTTCTTGCGTCACGCAACCTACGACTTCGTGCGTTGACGGTATGTGCCATTTTCATGTTATTAGCAGTGTTGCTGGTATGGCAACTACCTCTTAGTGACCGCGGCGGGCGACTCTTTGCGCTATACTGGATCAATTGGTTTCCCGCTGCGTACTCTATCCTTATGAATGTGGCCATGATCAATACTGCAGGATATACCAAACGTACACTGACGTCTGCGGGAATGTTCGTGGGGTACTGCATCGGTAGGTTGCCCACCTAAGGTTTTCAGATGCCAAAACTCGATGACGCTGACGGACTTTGCTTCAGGGAACTTTGTCACACCTTTCACATTTCTCACCGAAGAGGCTCCGCGTTATGATACCGGCTGTACTTTCGTCACCGTCTGTCAAGCTGTCATGGTCGTTCTTATCCTGGCTTACTATTACCTTTGCGTCCACACGAACGCCAAACGTGATGCGGCAGGATTTACAGAGGGTTTTGAGCATGCATTCGAGGATGATATGACGGACCAAATAAATCCTCGCTTCAGATTTGGGTACTGAAAAGAGACAGTCGCTTAGTAACCAGCAGCGGCTGCGTACAAAATCTGACATGGAGAGAGAATGATCCAGATAGCTGTTTTCAGTTGCGATCTGCACTGTTTTCAGTTGCCGGAGGTTTCATTTTTTTACACAACCAATACAGTGTTCTCTGCTCACGGGTACGTAGTCAAATTATGAGAATCTGCGGTAATCCATCAGGCTGGGGGATGTACCTCGTATTCACGCTGGATGCCCAGAGCCACCTAAACAAGTGCGTTCCTTCAACAATGAATGTAGTATCAAAAACTTTAGCGGCACTGTCAAGTTTCAACTTTACGCCAGCTTGAATATGTAATCATTGGTACAACCGGCACTTTGAATAAGTTCTAACTCCGATCTCATGCTCTGTCGTTTAGTTCGCCCTAAAGAAACTCTCTGTCTCGCTTGTGTTGTATACTGTTGTCAAAAAGTCAAGCGAGACCTGTTCGTCGAAGGGCTGCTGTGACACATCGTTGGAGGTGTGACTTCACAGATACAGAAAAGAGGGTCTATACCTGCAGTTTTGAAGGCTTGTTGTCGTTCTTTCCACCGAGGTTCTTATCGCGATCAGACGGGACAGATTCATCAGTTGCAAGAAGGCATCAATTGGCTCAGGTATTTGATAAACAGTTGCATAGTATTGTATTGTTTGTCACGTCGATTCGTTCTATATACTTATCAAAAGCCAAGCATTCTAATATTACTCTAGACTCTATGGTCCATTCGTTCCAAAGTCATTAGAGCCGAATACATCGATAATAAAAGCATCTAAGTCAAGGCACGAGCCTCGTTATTACTTTGACGTTCGATATAAGTTAATTAAATATCTGGTTCAAACACGGAAAGAAATTTGTTCTGTTACACATCTCTCTAACTCCAATCTCTAAGCCAATGGAGACATATTTGATGTGTGGTGACAAGTTTCCTGAATTCAGTGCTTATATTCCTTGTTTCCCTGTTACCTTGGCATCGAAGAGTCGCTAACGTCGTCGCAAACAGTGGTGTGTGCGCCGATATCCCGAGTCTTGAGTACACAGAGAACACCTGGGCAGCTAATAACAGCGTCAACATCGACGGCGTAATGTGGACGGCACAGGCAGCGGGCAAAATTTTCCAGCGACAGCGTTCTGGAAATTTCATCATTACGGCGTCCGTCAGCGCGACTTTGGTGAATGTGCCCCAAAGACAGGCTGCGTACAATGCCTCAAAAGCTGCCGCTGTGCATTTGGGAAAGAGTCTGGCGGTTGAATGGGTGCAGTTCGGCGCGAGGGTTAATATGATCTCCCCAGGTTTTATTGAAACTGAAAGTATGCTTCATTTCGTGTAGAGCGCGATGGAGTAGTTATGGATGCTAACGATGGAATTAGTGGTCCTATCGCAGACTAAGGAACGATTTGACGACTGGATTCGCATGATACCAGCTCGGCGCATGGCAAAAGCATCGGAACTTCAGGCGGTTTGTGCAATTTACATTTATCGACGGTTCTGTGAAGTTGACAGTATTTCAGGCATATATTTTTCTTGCAAGTGACGCATGACCGTATATGACAGGGGCAGATATCATAATTGACGGTGGCTATACCCTTACATAGTAGGGCGTGATGATGCTAAACAGCAATTCTGGAGGCTTGACGTGCTAAACGTTCCGTGGTGCGCTGCAAGACTTCGTCAGTGCCACGAGTCAGCAGCCATAAACCTCGGTCTTTATAATCACTTTATAACTCTTCACTATTGTATTTTCATGTAAAAATTTAACTTAAAGTCTTTTACATTTAAAAATAAAATTATTATTGCTTAATCATCTCGATTATCTTATTCTTTTCGAAAAACCTTGTAATAAAGATAAATTTCTATCTATGGTCAGTTTTGAAACTCCGCCGCCGACAGACTTTCTCGTCATTGCGCATGAAGTCACCTCACGTGGCCATGATCCCTTCGGCACAACTGAGCATCTAAAAGTAGCCAGGCAACTGAAACCAGTCATTGCAGTAGCTGTTGCTGCTGGAATAGACGATCTACGTAATTACAGCAATGGAAAGCTTTGGGAACAGAAAAAAATGGTAATTCCATGAGACGGATGGATTCAGACTGCCCATCGATCATGATTTTGGACGAGTCCAGGATTGGCTAACATATCGAGGTCGAATGCCTTTTGATGTGCTATGTACAGCCCGAACTTTCAAGCTCCCGATATTGGGAGTCATGGATACTTCTTCTCCAGCCGAGGGGGATGGAAGACAATTACAGAGGGGTTGGCATAGCTGCACTCTGTCAAGGCGATCGCGCAGGATGGCTCGATGACCCCAGCCGCCAGCGAGTCGGACTGAACTGAGGTATTCATCGATAGTCCAAAGCCAGGTATGGCTTCATTGCCATGACGGTGAGATATTCTTGTTGCAACTCTCTATGTCTACCTCGAAGATAGATTGAGTCAAAACAATGAGGTTATGTATTTAACGTACTAGGTTAGAAGTGGAAGTAATAGATACCTCCATTACGCCATAATTACCACAGGGAGAGGGGAACGAGAGGATTAGCAACTGCCGACACATAAGGTGGCTCTCCAGGGTACAAGGCTCTCATCGACAAAGTCTTATGGTCCAAAGGATGTGACTAACTATCCTTCATACAATTATATGCTATGGTAAGCCAACTCTGACATCACTATGTTCGTTAAGGCCCCATGCTTGAGAGCTCGAATCATGCACAGTTGCCCGTCTCATGTCACGCCTGTACTTGCGGAGAAATGGCCCGCCCACTGCCCGGTGCATAGTGCATGTATTGTCCCAAATGACGAGATCACCCGCAGATACCCACTCAATTTCCACTGTGTACTTGTCGGACTTGGCGTGATCATAGAGCCGATCGAACAGTTCCTGTGACTTTTCCGGCTCCAGCCCTTCGATATGATGGACGTGAGACGCGATGTAGAGATTCATTCGGCCGGACGCTTCGTGCCGCTGCAGCAGGTAGTGTCGGCCCATAGGGTAGTCACGCGGATCCATGTGAGCAAAGTACTCTGGTGATGCGAGTTTGCGGGAGTGGTGCGTCGAGTGTGCAGCGATGTAGTTGTGAGTCTTCAGTTGTTCCTTCAATTCGCTAGGGAGGTCATCGTATGCAGTCCGCGTGTCGGCAAACTCTGTGTGTCCGCCCATCCCAGGAGGAGGCAGCTCGTGGGCGAGCAAGAGAGAATATCCCGCTCGACGGGGGTTGAAACTCGAATCGACATGGAAGAGATGGTTGCCCTGAGGAGGTTTCAGTTAGCGGGGGTGCAATTGCTAACGAAACTTGGAAGAGTCACTTTATTGGCCTGGCCTCTCGCGCTTTCAGGGTCGAGAACGGTACCGTCCACTTCGACGTTGCTGACGTCGAATAGTTCGTCGTACTTGAGCCGGTTTGGACGGCCTGCTTTGACGTACGGCTTGACGTCGTCGAGCTCTCCAAATTTTCGAGCAAATTCGAGGTGGGACTCATCGGTGAGGCTTGTATGACGGAACACCACGACACCATACTGGGCAAGTTGGAGGTCAGCATACTGCATTCTCTTGGGCCACGCTGCTTCTGAGAGCGGAGGGCTACATGCTTGACTTACCTCGGTCACCGCGGCCAAAATTTCTCTGAACAGGTCGTCAGACAATGGTTTGGAAAAGTCGACGCCGCTAAGTTCAGCTGCAAAGGTTGGATGAAGCCTCTTTACAATGATATGGTCAAAGTCGGCTTTGGGGTTTGAAAGGATGCCAGGCATTTTAATTGAGACGGAGATCGAGTCTTATGAATTGACTGTATATGCTGAAATATTGGAAAGGAAGACTTGAGTGGCTCGTGTATATCGGTCGACGATGACTTTGAATGCCTAAAATATATATAAATCTATTAAGCCCTAAAAGTTCTTTGCAGGCTGCTGATACCTGCTCTCACATAAGCCATCTATAACCGGATTCGCCTTGCACAGCCTGGACCGCCGGTCCAAGACACAGATCGGAAGTCATTTCAGAATGGATTGATGGGCCAATTGGAGACCCATCCTGGATGAGTGGAGAGGTTCATGCCAGTAGAAGACTTCTGGTAAACTTCGTTGGCTGTGAGTATCAGACGTAGCCGTCGGCTGTAGAAGGAGCTTGTATAGACAAAGGTAGGTCAAGGATGGCCTCCTTGCAGATCCAAGCTGAAACCCTAATTCCGTCGGCAATAGATGGGAATATGAAGGCAAACGTCTTACTGTGTCTAATACCATAATCCCGGTAGTGTCGAAAGCCTCTCTGGAGGTGTCGATCCGTCATGTAGAATAGTGGACACGCTCATGAGAACCAAGCGTTCCTGGGCTCCCAACGCTCCCGGCGAAAACTGACGACTAAAAGATCTTCGCTCGATGTTGCTCTGCTGACAGTGGTGAGGGTTACCCTTAGGGTTAGATCGGGGAGGGAGCTGGTGATCGCCAACTCGGAAAGAGAACACAGTTATCTGCCGCTTGATTTCTGCAGTTGCACACTCAAACATTCTCTCTCTCGATCTATCCGAACAATAAACTCCCCGGTCGATTCTACACTTGTAAGTTTGTTTGGGTGCTCTCGGTCTAGGCTCCCTCTGTGCGTCTGCCAATAATGAGCGGCCAAAATGCCGTCTACAGCCGGCATCCCGAAACTACAGAACAGTTGCCGACTGTAGCCGAACGACATCTCTCCCGCTTCATATCCGGAGCCGCAAAACCATCCCACGTTGTGCATTTGAATAGTCAAAAGAATGTTTTTGGCTGCCTTCTGGAATGATACTGGATCATGACGATGGGTACTGGGAGACGACTATATCGTGCTTGTGAACGCTGCCGAAGCAGAAAGACGAGATGTGATTTGTAAGACACCTTCAGCCCCTCTTTTCGCTCGTCCTGACTGCCAGCAGAAGCGGCGTGGGGGAGGCTGGCAAGCCGCCATGCCTTGAATGCTATCGCACCGGGCAGAAATGCGTCTTGGCCCCTTCAAGACGAGGCGGTGACTACAGCCGCTTCAGGGTTCGTCGTAAACCGAGCGCGATAGGTCAAGAGTCATTGGACTCAGCTAAGCCCGACAGCAGAGTAGGAGATTCTGCTTGGTCGTATCCAGACCAGCCCATTGTGATCCGGAGAGCGTTTTCTGAAGATCTGGACGAAGAGCCAATCTGTGCGGAGCTCCGCAACCCCTCGGATGCCCTTCACATCCTGGAGAGGGCCGGCTCGCAGAAGGGGAAAGAACACAACGACAAGGATGAAGCAACTAGAAAACATGCAGGCTGTTTTGATATCTTTACTCCAAGTCCGCCACCAAATGATGGCGCAAGGGAATGTTCGACTCATACATCTACACCGAGTGCGACCAAAATCTCACCTCACAAGCTGATTGAGAGCGGACTTTTGTCCCCTGCCTCGATCCAAGACCTGGTTCATATGTCAGTGTAAGTCGGCATGGTATAAGTAAAGGCTAACAGACTAAAGATACGCCACAAAATATCATCCTTTCTTTCCCATCGTCCCATCACATATCCTAATGACGCCCAACATTGACAAGATTGCTGCAGAAGAGCCATTTCTCCTGACTGCTATGCTCACAGTTGCGTCGAGGCATGAAACTCCGTGGATGCATGTTCACAAGTATTGTTGGGACTACATGAAGGAATTGCTTCTTGAGGTCATGTTAGCCTTGCCGTGGACTCACCGCGTTGGGTCAGTGGAAGGTCTGCTGCTCCTGTCTGACTGGCTGCCTGATAGTGCATTCCATAGCCAGCCAACTTCAGGTTCATCAAGTGGAATCTTCGCAGAGGACGGAACTGCCTGGTCTCTTGTGGGCCAAGCTGTTCGACATGCCTACCTTCTTCGACTTGACCAAACGTCGTTTCGAGATAACCTCGTTGATGAATGTGGGGAGGAGCTAGAGCGGAAACGTATTGCATGGACATGTAAGTCCTCCCTAGGAGGAGTCTTGGAGTGTTTGACTAAGTCACACATCAGCTGTGTATCTTGCCGACCGGCAAATCTCTGTTCGCATGGGCCAGTCATTTTGGTCAAGAGGACCATCATTGTCAACGAGACTCACAGCGAACGACTTCCCCAGCCTCCAGGCTCGTCCAAACCAAGAAGATTATGCGTCAATCTTTCAGGCAACCATCGAGCTCACACAACTCCTCCACAACTCCCACGATATACTTTACTCTTCTCGTGCTAGGACGCTGGGTATGAGCCTCGCTGGAGACTACAGCCGATATCTTGACGACCTGTTGAAGGCTCTTCTGATGTGGCAGGCCGCATGGTCTGATTTAAACGTCAGCTCCAGGCTCAAATGCACGCTTTCCATCATGTACGAGTATCTGTGTCTTTATATCACTGCCTTCTCGTTTCAAGCAGTCATTACTAGGACCGCCGCCTCACGGAGGACCTCGAAGAAGGGACAACAGCCAATGAAATCCAGGAGATCGTTCCTCTTTCCTCGTGGCGTCTCGGCGTCTCCAGATGGGCGTTACGTATTTGAAGCTGTTCGAGCGTCGAAAATGGTGCTGAGGCTTGTGGGTGACTTGAGCCCCACAATGACTTTACGCTATATGCCAACACGATACTACCTGTGCGTTAGTTTGGTTCTTTTTGAACATCGAGAAAGCTGACCCTCTTAGATACGGTATCTACTCTGCTGTTTTCTTATATAAAGCGGAAATGTACGGCGCGTTGGTTGCTGGAGTCGAACAACGCGAAGTACGGAGTCTGATAAGACGCTTCATCAGCACTATCCAGCAAGCGGCAACAAGTCAACAACATGTCGGATGCCGCTATGGTAGGCTATTACAGATTCTTTGGTTTGGAAAGAAAAGCGCCACTTCCGAAGATTGCTCATCTACGGAGCAGGCACCGGAATTTTGCCCACCACATGAGCAACTGCCCGACGACCTTAACCAACGATGCATATCTGATGCATTGGCCCACGAACAGGCTCTCGCCGGAGCGAATCTCCAGAGCAACCAGATCTTTCGCTGCACAAGCACTGAGCCCAAGAAGAGATTATTTTCGCAGAATTCTTTAGTGAGCTCTCTTACGCCGAGCCCAGAAAGCTACACCACGTTATTCCAGGACGACTTCAACCCGGACATCTTTAACATTGGAGCGGTGGACTTTAGCAACACCTTCCTAGATCCACTTTTTAGCCTAGAGTAGAATAACAAAATAGCTTTTCTTGAAGCGATTTACCGACAAATTAAAGGACTTTTAGACGAGGACCAAGAGCTCGCTCTCGAGTCAAACTCTTCACAACCTACGATGGATCAAGCACGGCAGCGAGTTTAACGCTCGACGCAGCTCTCTCATTGCCATTTGTCTGGCATGACACGGGATGATGAATAAGCCGATCCTGCCCATTGCACGGATTAGTCTTGACTATCTACGGAGTCATAACATGTCAAATAGGACCTGAGCAAAGCACAGAATGCACTAACGATCTCCAGATCCTCTCAAAATCCATCATTGTCCCCAAGGAAGTCACATGCAACATAATGTGATGCGTGATATACTGCTGCATCAACCACTCGCACTCCCTGATATTGACCCGCGTTCAACGAATCTCAACCACGGTTCTCCATTACAGAAGGATCTCCCTGAGTCCAGACGACTTTTAATGCGCAGTTTTTCAGTTTCCATATCCCATCAACCTTGATGACATCAGCGGAATATTCGCCGGCAACCATGAATTTTGGCCCGTCTGGCTCCTTGCCCCTTCCGGGCGGACAATGCTGTGCCATTGAAGTCGCCGTGAGAAAAGCAGTGTCCGCGCTATCCTTAGCAACCACGCGAATATTGCTGATACTGTGCGTAGTATCCATAGGACCGACCCTGTCGAGTACATGTGTCCGGATGATGGTGAGGTTGGGCAGGACTTTCTTATCAGTACCGTTGATTGTGAACGAAACATCTTCTCCGGCCCAGGCAGAGTTGAAGAGCTCCGCGTCATGATTGTCGCACCCAACCACGGCCCGGGAGAAGGCGTCCACAATAGCTTCGTGTGAGGAAAGGGTGTAGAGGGAGGACGGCTCCATCGCGGCGATTGTGTAATATCCAGAGGCAGAAGATACAATCAAGAAGATACAATTGTGCTCTGATGATTCCAATTTACTCGCTGTTATTCTCTTCGTATTTCTCAGTTTCATCTGAGCCATGATGGGCTTTTTAAGCCTGAGCTGACAATCCACGTGATCAGGATCGCTCGGAATTTTCACAAAAACTCCGGACGCCAGATGTCCCTCGTAGAAAAGTCTAGGCAATTTAGTGCTCTCCCCTTCCTCTCATGATTCTGGAGGCTTCTTGTTGGCGCCTCAGAAGAGTCAATCTACAATTTCTCAACATACACAGATATCTGGCAAACTATCTACCGAATTCCACAGCATGGACAGGCCAAAGCGAGCCCGTAGCGCCAAATGGGGCCAGGCATGTGCCCCTTGCGCAGCCGCAAAGACACGATGCATTCGCTCAAGAAAGGTTCGAGAGGCGAAATGTGACCGGTGCCACGACCTCAGCCAGGATTGCTGTGACCAAGTTCAGCGACCGCGGAAGAAAAGACAGCCCAATCGCTCGTATGTTGACTCTCCTTCTACGATTTGAAAGCGCATCCATGTCTGCATCAGATATTTTGATTCCCATAGCTTCACTATTTATCAACTCTTCAGCGAGGTGTTGTTCAGCAGGCGCGTGTCACATGATGCTACCAACATCGTTGCTAGACAAACGGTAACCTGCTATGTGCCCGGGCCACTCCTCGCCTGGCTCTGCTGCACCTTCTCATGAATCTACCTGACAAGTGATTATGTGGACAGGAAAGCAGCCGAGCTGGAAGAGAGACTGAACAGTCTTCTCGAGGCTCTAGATACGTCCGGTGAGAGAGACTACCCGATCCCGTTTAGCATATCAACACGCAGCGAGTCAGGAAATCTTGCGGGATCCCGGGCTCAAGACCGGCCAAATCAGGAGAACCTGGTTCTGGATACCCCAGTGTCCAAATTCGACTCCAGCGCACCTGTTTCATGCACGTGTAAGGCACCTATCGGCAAAGCCGATCTTGCAGCTTCGGAGTCAGACGAAACTCTATTGTCCATTTACACAAATAAGCTCTGTTCATATTTCCCATTTGTCGTGATTCCACCTGAGACGACTTCAAAGCAACTACATGAAACACGGCCGTTTCTCATGAAGGTAATTAGGATGGTGGCTTCAGTCCGATATCTGACGGCTATGCGGGGACAAAGTCGCGCCGTCTTCAAGGATATATGCAACGCGATGCTGATGAAATCTGAGCGGTCCTTAGACCTTCTCCAAGGCATCTTAATCTTCCTGGGGTTCTATCATTACTTCTGTATGAGCCATGCCCATTATAACAGTCTCGTCCATCTAGCACTCAGCCTGATGGAAGATCTCGATCTGAACACCTGCCCCGGCTTGAAGGCCCGGGAGGAGCATCATCGTCTCGCTCTCGTACGTAACGAGGAACCGCAATCGAGAACGAATGAGGAAAGGAGAACCCTTCTGGGTGTCTGGTATATGACTTCAAAGTAAGCCGGGAAACTCATTTCATTGGACATCTCATTAACTTCTGTCGCCCCCTCAGCGCCGCGCTGGTTGTCAAGCAATTGGGACCCGCGAGATACACAAGATACATAGACCAATGTATGCAGGAACTTGAGAGTGCTGCTGTATGTGAGACCGATCAGCTCGCCGTACAGCTGGTTCGTATTCAACATCTCACCGAGAAAATCTTCCATTTCCACACTGGGGATCAGTTCTCCAGTGAATTGACAGGTGTTCCGAAGGACGGGGCCGTGGAATATCTAGTCGCCTTTCAGGCAGAGCTGGATAGACTTCGAAACGAAATACCACTTAATCTCAAAACAAACTGTAAGACCACCCCCTGCGAAGAGTACGAGTCCCAAGCGCATCACTAATCTTGAATGGGTTTATAGCGCTGCTATCTTGCCACTATTGCAGTGCTTCACTGCGCCTCTTCTCACCTCTCCTTGCCGATGCATATCTTGTAGAAGCTGTTCCTCAGCCATTTACCTCGCTCTTTCAGTCAGGTTTATGGCCCCGCGATATCTTCTCACATTTCACGGCTGCCCTCAAGGATTGGTTCAACTACTGGCTCACAGTCCCTGTCTGTTCCTACTTCTACTTGCCCCAGCCTGTCTCCACTCAGCTCATCCATGCCTCCAGGAACCTGGTCGAGTGGGTGAGACTTTGTGGCCCGACCGCGGTAAAGTTCTCCAGTACTGACACTGTGAGCCCTTCCTTATTTCAAAAAGACGTCACCATACTTGTGCAGTCTCTTCCATCATTCATTGGCGTTCCACCATGCCCAGTGCTGGTCGCTCCTCAGACTCCAGTGTCAACCTCAGACTCCAGTTATTATGCTCAAGCAATGCTCGACATGCTCCGGGCAGAAGTCTTCGCCCAGCCCCAGCTCCGTGTAGACGTCCTGGGTATCGCCGAGGCTATGGCTGTTCGGTTTGAGTCTGCGAAGAAGGAGATGGCTGCGGCGCAAGGCGGTGTGTGGGGGAACGATATGTGGGACGCAGCTGCCGAACAGATGCGGATGAAGAAAGCCAGGGTCGAGGAATGGTGCGAGAATGCTGTCGATACGGTGATTGACAGGGAGAACCAGCCACTAGTCAACCCACTCGACCACGGCGAGGTGACGGCTGGCTGGTGGAGTAGGAGTCAGAATTTCGAGCCACAAGATGGCCAGAACAGCTTGCTGTGGGCGAGTGATGCTTTTGATGGCATTGATTGGGAATCATCATTCCTTGAAATTTCTGGAGGTAGTTCTATGGCTCAGGTTGGTGACATGATACCTACGGGGTAGGCTAAGCCCTCAACTCGATGTAAGGCCGCGGCACTTGTAGTGTGGCTCCAGAAAGTTTCTACTAAAATGGCATATTCGAAAACTCCGCGGAAACTTTGAAAGTAAGAATGAACTATTTTCCGGCGAGGCCATCGTTGTTATTCACGCTCTTGACCACGTAAACACTTGTGAATGCAGTGATTAAAAGCAGTGATTGATGTGCTGACTGAGCGATATTGGCCTCTGTAGATACCTTGTAGCGAGTTGGTCAGAGCTTAAATTTATCGAACCAGGTCTTGAATTGCGTTCCCACCTACCAGCCACTCTATCTAGTGCCTATATAGTCATCACATCCCCTAGGACCCAGGTAGATCGAACAGAGATTCTTTCACCCATCGCTTCGCTCCCTTAACCTCAATAAAATTTGGACAAGGGGTAGATGTTAACTCTGACTAGCCTCCCAACTGGTGAGGTACTTAATGGACCAGTAAGGCACAAACTGTAAAGGATCTTGGTATATAAACTAATAGTCTTATACCACCTCCTAAGCCCCCCTGATATTCATGCATTCCATTCTCGTCAAATAGGTGGCTCATGAAGATAGATAGACGCCACCGCCCAGTTCGCGTCAGAGTAGAATCTGGAGACTAGCGTGGCCGCTGAATATGGGAGAATCGCAGATTAAGCCCATGGCTATCTTGTCTTTTGGCTCCTGACCCCAGTCAGATCATGAGTCACATCATTTAATGGCTTAGTCTTGTCTGCTTTCAGATATATCTATTGAGATCTGCGTGAAATCTTTAACGGCCAAAGTTGAAGCGCTCCTCCCACATTAAATCGGGGTAAGAACCTTGGAGTACAAATTTGATCTTGCCTCATCGCCAGAGTCGTAGAAAGACAAAACCCCCGCAGTCTGGGTTTTATGCATCGCACGTTTACTCTTTCAATAAGAGCAAACGTGGTCACTCATTTCTTGTTTGATGTTTGCAAAAGACATTCTCTCTTGCCTCAAGTTGTTGAGCTCTGTAACCCGCCAACTCCAGATGTCTTTGAGTCATCATTCAGCTGATTCCGCTCCTGGTTGTACCGCTCTGCGCTGACTGCCAAGTGCAACTTCTGGAAATTCCATCCTCTGCCTAGTGTGAGAAAAGCTAGAGACATGACAGGAACCATCAGGACATCAAGGATTCCAAAGAAGATGACACCGCCCATAGTGTCCATGGTACTGCTGGCGTCAGATAGAGCGTATGCTACCGGATAGCACACCCATATCAAGCTTGACCAGGAAGCCAGTAGCAAGTAGTCACGTTGAATGCCTCCCCGCTGGGCTGCCTCGCGTCCTTCATTGAGGGTACTCATCGTCAAAATAAGCCATGAAAAAGTACCGAAACCGAAAAAGCCCCATTTGTAGTTGTCTTCAACAAAAGCTCCAGCCAGGTAGCAGATAACCCAGATCCACGAGATGGCCAAGTTGGTGAGCATAGTTACCCAGGACAAACCAGACAGGAGGCCCAGGCTCAGCGAGACAGACGGCCACGCAACAGTCCAATAGACGTATTTCGCCCAGAAAAAGAGTTGCGATTGACTGTATTGGCTCGATGTCTCGTCAAAAGAGCCGACTATCACCCATCCGTAGTTGGAAGCCTGAGCAAAGTATGTGACGGCTCCAACCAGGAGGCAAATAACATAGAGATAGTGGAATACTCGATCACTTTCGGGAGCGGTGAAACAGAATATCAGAACGATGAGCTGTAAGCATGGTCAAAACCAGAAACTTTAACTCGATATCCTATTAAACTCACAAATACAAGCAGGAAGACGCCGGTGATTCCCCATAAGAAATTGGTTCCCGAGTCCGGAAGATATTGTCTGAGCTCTGTAATCGAGTGGACGTCTGTTCCGGGATTTCCTGAAGCAGACATATCGGCGTGCGTGGAAGCGTTGGATGGTTCGCGAGCGATAAGTTAAATAGACGAGTTACAGAGTCGAGATAACTAGACAATAACTTTGAGTCAAAGTCTGCCTTGAACGAACATAAGGTCAACTGAAGTGGTCGATGAATAGAAGTTGTCTGCACGACATTCGTACGTTTGCTCTTTAAATAAGAGTAAACATGGTTCAACCTATCGCAATTTCTATCTAAAGATCTCCCATCGGTGCAATTCAGAAACCCGACGGAAGCAAATGTTTCGGCGACAGTAAGAGTGTAGTGTCCCGACATTAGCAAAATAATGGGCGAACAAGTGTTTCGGAGTTAACGCTGATGATAACGAATTAGCGAATTTGCCTCCGTTAGATTATTAATATGCTTCACCCCTCCCCGAAAATTTGTTTCCGACGTGAGCCTATTGGATTGGCTCTTTCGCTAACCCTGAAATGTATGTAATAGGCCGGGCGCATTCAATCCGTTCAGTTTATGTAGATTGCTTCCGCCAACGTCTCTTTACCAACAGCTTCGCTCGGGCACTGAAGATCGCCTTGCCTCGATGTAAACAGCAATGTCAGATGAATCGCGTTGGGCAAAAACCTATATAGTGGGTTCTCGCCACTCAAAATTGACCACTACTGAGCCTCGCTACAGGCGTGCGACAGGTGCAAGCTTCGCAAGAAGAAATGCAATGGTGATCGACCAAAATGTAGTCTTTGTGCCATGCAGCGTGCGGATTGTACATATCCAGCAGTTCGACGCCTTCGTGGAGCAGGCAAAAAGTAAGTCGACCTGTCACCCATTAAGTAGGAAAGGTACACACCAAGATAAAAGCATCTAACGAATTATTACCAGGGAAAGGCATGGCAAGGCTGATCAAATGATCCCTCTGATGCAGTCTTCTTTGTCTACGGCAACTTGCGAACCACTGTGCATCAAATCGACAGAGTTCGGCAAGGACCTCTTCATTGCAAAACTTCCCGCATTTCTGGCACCGCACTCCTTTAAATACAACCTCGAAACAGTACAAGCAGCTCTCGACAAAGCACGTTCTAGGGACGAATACACATCAATATTACCAGACAATATAGTAAGATACTTGATTGAAGCCTCATTCGAAGAAATCTCGCTCCCGCGTAGCGTGGTCGCGAGCCGTCTCGAACTCACAGCCTTGTTTGATCAACAACGCCGAGAATGCCCGAAAGATCCAGGGTCCAATCCTGCAATATGGGTACTGATCAACGCAACTATTGCGCTCGCAGTTCGAGCCAAGACAGTTGACTCGCCTGCTTTGCGGCTGTCCGATATCGCGTCTGCGTATCATCGAAACGCAACGAAAGCTCTAGGTCAGGTTTTGCTAGCTGCTCCGTCAGTGGTCTCGGTTCGTGCATTGCTAGCGATGGCAGTGGCTACTCGGGTTGAGACGGGTCAGCTCGCAGCTCTGATTTTGACGAACAGTGCGAAATTGGTTCTTCAGGCCATACTATCACAGCCTAAAAGCGGTGCTAGTGACGACTTAAGTACACTGAAGCTTTTGCATGACGCCGTGAATAGATGGGGACAAGAGAATATAAAGCACAAAGATCCAAATACCTGTGAACCTAGTTGAGGTTCAAGAACAATTCTCTCCCCACCAGTAAAGCTAATTTCTAAACCATTTTCACTTGCCATACTAAGAATGCCTCTCTGTTATAAGTCGGCCTGGCCGCAGGCCGTGTGATTTTAGCGCCGGGTTCGGTACTACTTATTCCCGGTTGCTACATTGGCTTACATGCTCTTATGTATATATAGCGGCAAGTCACTCTCTCACTTTTAGTTAGTCAATCAATTCTTCACGCCGCCACAACCATAGCCGCATACAAACCCGTGATGACGGGCACCCGGAAAGGTAGGTGTGCCGACTTGGCACACCTATCTGTATCGATGTAGGTACAGCTAGAAGGAAGGGAAGGGTCCTGTATATATCTATATATGTGCTGTGGATCGATAATCATGCTGTAGAGTTCAAATATTTACAAGAATGTAATTAGACAATGATGGCAAAGAAAGTTCGCGAGCTATCTACAGTTATTGTACCTAGTCAAGGTACAGTACTGTTGAACTAGGCTGAGTTGCGGGCGTTGCCAATGACCGTCTTTACAAGTCAAATACTCACGCCTAGCGCCTAGCGCCCTCGGCGGAACGCCGACGCCCTCACTCTCCTTACAACTTTTGCAACACCATTAATTCACTGGATTTCACTATATATGACTATATTCTCGGCCTCACAAGGAGGACTTCTCTCCGTCTAGAACGTCGCCCGATAGAACGTCGCCCGATGGCTCCGTGCGGCGCGTTGTGCGACGGCGAGAAAGCCCTCCCTCGAAGAGAGAAAGAACGCTCCTTTTGCCTATATAATAGATAGAGATTTCCCTCCTAAAGAGGGAGGGCAGACTCGTCAATATATTTCAAGTGGCCCCCAAACATCGTCTAGAACTAAGCGTTGCATAACAAGTACCTAAGTAGTACATCAGCAAAATGGCCTGAAGCCTAGTGTTACAAACTAGGCCTTTTATGAGGCCGCAGACCAAGCTGTGACGACAGCCACTCAGCGTTATTACATCCAATGCACGTGAACTAACGAAGCAGGGATCACATGACCCGGCCAGGACCGGGGGCTCTGTCAGGAAGGAGTAAGAGGCACAGAGCCTGATAACTCTCATAACTCTGCGGGCTCTGTTTATAGAGCCTATAAAGCCTAAGAAAGTTATGGATTCTACAAGTTATATATACACAGTCATTATATAGACTTACTATGTAGTCAACTTCATTCACGATCATACCTATATATTTTGGTTATGATCACTTCGCTCTTGTACTCGCTCAAGAACTTCGTTCTTAGTGACCTCATCTCTTATACCTCCCCCTTATCAGGAAACTATATGTGCAGTGACACCCCTGGTGGAGCGAAACGTAACACCAGGAAAGGAAAAGTGGCAATATATATAAAACGGATCGGCTGTCTTTGAGAAAGAAAAAAGTATATACATAACAACACCTAACAGTTAGGTTTACAGGTTGTTACGTTTCGCTCCACCCAGGGTGTCACTGCACGTATCGTTCCTTGATAAGTGGGAAGTATAGGAGGCGAGGTCGCTGAGAACGGAGTACTTAAGCGAGTACTAGAGCGAAGTGATCACAACCAAAACGTATGGGTATGATCGTGAACGAAGTTGACTACGTAGTAAAGCTATGAAATGACCGTGTATATATATTCCTACGTGCTCAGCGTTGCTCAGTATTGCTCAGTGCCGCTCAGTCCTGAGCGTACTGATTCTCACTGATCCACACTAAGCGAGGCTGCCTGGTACCCACGTGACTGTCTATATCGTGACCCCTGTCCCGTGGCTCGCCCTCGGGTAACCTGCCTCTTAAGTGATTGGCTGTCATCACAGCTTTGTATATAGCCTGCTCGCAGGCCTAGTTCGTAACACTTTCCCTCTCCTAAACTCGTTCGTTGTCCGCAATATACATAAGGTGAGCGCTTCCCTTTGCCCTTCTTCGTTTCTTTCCTCATGGCTGATCATGCCTTAGTTTCGCGTGTCGAAAAGTAGCCGTTCCTCCACTTCCCGTCGTCACACCGCAATTGTCCGAATAGAGACCCTAGGTCATCAAAAGTTCGCAATGAGTCGCTATACTCCTTATCAAAACTTAGATTCGTTGTGCTTTATATTGGATAGCTACACGAAGTGCTCTTCGTGCACCAAGAAGGGAGTGAAAGAATATGATGGGACTTTCTTAGCTAAGGAGTTTGATGTGTTAATTGCTTAACGTAATCGCTTGACCAAGGCGTCCCGGCGCAAGGGTAAAGAGATTTAGTGCATGTTAGCCGAGGCTACATGAATGCAACTGGCCCTTTTCGAAGTCAACGCTAAGCGCGAGCGCCTCTAGCGTGAGGCTAATAATTTATTGGAAAAACAGAAGAAAATATTGATGTAAGAGCTGGAGTCCTTGAACAAATTAAACCACATTAATTTTTCTCTCGTAGTGTTATCCACTATTTTTGTGAGAATAGACAATGCCTAACTAGAGCAAATATTCGAACTGAAGCCTGGGTTTATATCCGATTTTCTTGGCCTCATTCTCATTGATCGTTCATTATAGACGTCGCACTCTATTAGTGAGCCGTTTTCTTTGTTTCTCCCTCTGATACCGCCTAACCATGTCGTCTGAAAGATATTTCGTTGGTTCCTAAGTGTTCTCCTTATGTCTATATCCTAACCACTTTGTTAAATAAAGCCGTTGTCCCTTCTCGACTTTGGCGTTCAGGATAGCTTCCACATTGTACATTGGTTGTTGGGTTTCCTTATGTATCAGCACTAGTTCTGGTTTGGCGTTTAGTGGTGCTTTTTCAAGAAGCGATTTATGGAAAACTGGGTAGATATTCATTCCTCCAGGTAGTTCTAACTCAAAGTTTATCGGTCTAAGTTTTTTCTTGATTCTGTAAGGTCCGATCTTGGTGTGATCTAGTTTGTTAGATGGTCATTGTGTTTTGATGTTTTTTCTGAGAAGGTATATTATCTCCCCTTCTTTGAAGTCTGGTCCCTTAGATCTTTATCTGTTTAAGCTTTCAACTATTTTTTATGATATTTTCTTAAGTTCTTTTTTCAAAAGTTCGTGTAGTGATTGTAATTTCTTAACCGAGATTGCTGCCTTTTCTGTAATTAATTTGATATCTTTGATATTCTTGTCTATTCTTGGGTGAAACCCGTGGTTCGCGTAGAATAGTGACATTTCTGTTGTTGCTGCTTTGTTGTTGAATGCAAATTGCGCTATAGGTAATAGCTATATCTAGTCGTTTTGCTAGAAATTGATATAACACTATAAATACTGTTCCAGCGTTTGGTTTGTTCTTTTTGTTTGCTTATCGCTTTATGGGTGAAAAGCTGTTGATAGCTTTTGATGGACTCCCGTGAGGTCCATTAACGATTGCTAAAACTGCGATATGAATAGCTTATCTCGGTTCGAGCGTATTTCTTTCGGCATTCTATGTCGACTGAAAATGTCCTTATATAGCGTGTACACTAAGTCTTTAGCTGTTGATAACTCCTTATATGGGATAAATTCTGTATATTTAGTTAGGATATCGTTTATCATAAGTATACTGTCGAATTTCATATCTATGAGGGGTTCTTTAGACTTTGGTAACTTTGTGATGAAATTTAATGCGATAGTGTGTCACGCCTTTTCTGATATTGTTGGTGTTTAGAGTAATCTGTAGGGCTTATGTTTTACGTGCTTTGCTTTGTGGTATATATCGCAGTTCTTAATGTATTCTGCTATGTCTTTCTTGACCCCTTTTTAGGTAAAGTCCCTCGTGACTAATTCGAGTGTCTTCTTAATATTTGGATATCCTGCTAACTTATTATCGTGTCGTCCTTTGATGATTTCTTTCTTTTGCTCTTCTGTTAGCTCGATGTCGATAAGAGCCAGTATCTCTATCTTAGGTATTACGTAGATCAAGGCGCTATCTTTTTCCTTGAGTACTATTATGGGCTCTGGTTTGATGTTTTCCATGTAATCTGGCTGTTTGCTGAGCGCGTTTGCCATAGTATTTTCTTTTCCTTGAACGTGATATATCTTGAAGTTATATAGTGCCAATGTTTCGGCCTATCGAATCTGTCTGCGGTTGAGTTCTTTTGTGGTTATCTAGTATAATAGATTCTTGTGGTCAATGTAGATTTGAACTTGATATTTAGCGCCTTCAAGATATACTCTTTATTCTTTGAGACATGCTATGATAGCGAGTAGTTCCTTGTCGTGGATGTCGTAATTTAGCTCCGGCCCTGTTATTCTCTTTAAGAAGTACGCGATTATTTGGGTCTTACTATTTAGCCCTTTTTGCGTGAGGCGGGCTTCGATCGCTTTATCTAATATATCTGTCTCTACCTAGCATTCCAGCTCAGGGTTAAATATCGCAAGTACTGGCGCCGTTGTGATGACTTCTTTAAGGCGTTCGAATGCCTTTCTATATTCTGGTCCGAACTTAAACGAGACGTTCTTCTTGATAAGGTTCATTAAAGACGCTATAATCTTCGAAAATCCCTTAATAAATCTTCGGTAGTAGTTAAGTAGTTCAATAAAAGACTGTACTTTCGTAATATTCTTGGGTTCTGGTCAGTCCTTGATTAGCGCTATTTTATTGGGATCCACTTTAATACCTTTATCGAATATAATATGGCCTAGAAATCGAATCCGTTTTTTGTGAAACTTATACTTATTAAGTTTTAATGGTAGATTCTTTTCCTAAAGTTTCCTTAGAACCTTTTAAACATGCTGTATATATTCTTTATACATCTTCGAGAATATAAGTATATCGTTTAAGTATATAATCGCGAAGTCGTCGAGATATTCTCATAGTGTGTTATTAATTAGTTCTTAAAAAGATGCCGGGGCGTTAATTAATCTAAACAGTATAACATAATATTTATATAACTCAAAGCTGGTTTTAAAAGCCGTTATCTATTCATGGCCTTCCTTTATCCGTACTCGGTAGTAGGCGTCCTGTATATCGAGCGCGATAAAGTATTTTGCACCAAGGAGTTTGTTCTATAGTTCCTTGATTAAGGA